AATAAATTCGTGTGGGACTCGTAACCCATACAAATGTGTATGTTTATTCTTTGAACGCGGAATTGTTTATTTGTGTTGCAGCTTGGTAAATCATAAATATATTTAGAAGCTTATTTTTTTTTTATTTTGGGACGACACACGTTATGTATAGATTTAAATTTTTGAAGTGAAAACTTCTTTAGACGCGTTCGTTGGAAATTTTTTTAAGATAGGAAAAACAATTGAATTAGCGACACTGTTACCGTTACCGTAAGCGACACCTCTGTATATAAGTATCTACATATATTTTGTATGTACATATATAGATACACATGCATGTTGGCACTTTTTAAAATAGGAACAAATCATTGAACTCACGACTCTGTCATCGTAACCACAGATAATATAATACTATACTAGTATCGTAACCAACACCTGTGATGATTCAAAAATACATACGTAATTATTCAAGTTTTCACTTCTGTTAGCATTCTCGGTATGCCACTGTTTTTTCTACATTTTTGTGTTCTTTTTTGTTTTGCACTATTATATTTATCAATTCTAAAATGATTTTGATCGTAAATATAGTCGTATTTTCGATATTAGCTTCCAAGTAAGTTTCGAAAGTGTGATAACTTTTGAAAGCAACACTGACACAATTGTTTACGTCAATTTTTTTTATGCAATTAAAATTGACAAACAAGCTGACGGCCCACCTGATGGACAGTGGTAACCGTCGCCTATAGACATGAACAGTACCATGAACATAACAGAGTATACTGTTTCGCCCATGATACCCCCTATGCGTAGCTTTTCCTGAGAACTCGGGTGTTATTTCTCTTTTTTTTTTTCATTTAAGAGTTTCCTCTTGTCGGTGCAACTAATTCATGCATCTTCCTCCAGCTAGCTCTATCCCAGGTCATATCCTTTATCTCCCTATAAGTCATGACGCCTAGTGTTTCCTTTATCTGTCCCATGTATTATATTCCTCGGTCTTCCTCTTCCTCTTTTGCCCTCTATCTTTCCTTCTACTATGCTCTTAAAAAAGTTATTCCTCTGAACCTTGTTAATTCACTGCCATATCCCACCCTTCAAATTACATTATTGACAATGCTAATTGAAATGGAATTCATGCAGTTTCAATCGAAGCTGCAATGTATGATGTATATATAAGTCCTCACGCAATTTTACTTTAGATATATAAAGGGAATGTACTATACATTCTACAGGTACATTTGATATACATATTTGATATTCCATATAGATACAGCATTACATAATTAAGTTATTAATTTTTTTTTAATGTTCTATGGCTTTCTATTGGACTATTATTTTCGTTTTAAACTTGCTAAAAAATATCAGGGTAAATAGAAATTATAGTTGATTACATAAGACTTCAAAATAATTTCATCTTCAATGAAACTATCAACGTGCTTCAATAATTCTAATCAAATTCCTCCATTATCGGTACTTCGATTAACTACGTCTTCAATCGGAATTGTAAACGATCAATGGAGATTGTCAATCATGAAAAATTGACAATTGCCTTGCAACGTCTCGCGACCGCTTTACCTTTTCACAATTCACGCTAGAAATAAGTAAGACAGTAAAAGCTATCAATGACGTCACACGTCGCCACATACGAGTGTCAAATACGAATTGCCTTTAACATTTTAGTAGATTTTCGTAATAATATTGTCTTAACCAACTTCAAAAAAGGAGGTTGTACGTTCGACTGTTTTGTTTGTCTATACATTTTTTTTTTTATTTTATATAACATGTGTTATTATATAACAGTACCATGGGCATAATATACTCTATTAAGCCCATATTATGTTCATGTCTATAGGCGACGATTACCACTTTCCATCAGGTGGGCCGTCAGTTTACTTGCCATTCTAAGTTGTATAAAAAAAAACTATTTCGACGCATAATTTGAAATGTAAATCTAAAAATGTATCCAGTATATAATACATTTAAAATTTATCGTCATATTATAAAATTTTGCTATGTACATGTCGATAACTTTACTGAAAGTATAGTAGCAGAATAATAAAGACAAGATAATATAAATATTTACGTTACCAAGTATTTCTTTATAAATTACGTGTCAGTGAACATATTTTTTTATTCCTTTTTATTTTCTAGTGGTTCCTTTAAGCTTTCGACTAATAATTTATGTAAATAAGTAATCTTTTTAGCTTCTTTTTCAATTTTATTTAAAAGATGTTTTGCTTGAAATTTGAAGTGTCTGTCAGTTTAGTTTTGTTTCGTTCGCTTTTTTGCTCCGTTGGTTTGCTTTGTATATTTTTATATAATTATATTATTTTTCTAAAAACACCGTGTTTCCATACCAGCATATAGCCCTTTCGCCTACATTTTTGGTATTTTTTTGATGAATGAAAATGGAATGGTAACCCCGCCTGCGCTAACGGGTTACGCTGGCGGAGCACCAGTGAAGGGTGAGAGATGAGAATGAAAACAAGCCAGTTAGCCCATCATGATGATTTCATCAGGAATTAACCATGATAGTTTCCAGGAAGAACCACGAGGAGGTCGACCTGGTTGGGTATATTGCTAGCAATGGAATTCTCAGTCTCCATTACTAATAATCCTTTTCCCCCCAATATATTATATATTAAGAGTTGAGGGTCTTAGTATGAATAAATTTGTGGTAGTGTTACAAATATAATATATAATATATTTATGAAAAAAATTAAAATATGAAACATCTTAATAAAAACAAACAAACAAAAATTTTAAAATTTAGTCTGTATCTTTGTTTCGACATCACACAAAAACTACTGCACCAAACTAGATGTGGTTTTCATAGTGGTGCTCTTGATCATGATGAATTCATCAGGAATTAACCATGATAGTTTCCAGGGGGAACCGCGAGGAGGTCGACCTGGTTGGGTATATTGCTAGCAATAGGATTCTCAGTCTTCATTACTAACAATCCCTTTCCCCCCACATTTTTGGTATTATAAACTGTAAAAGATAATTGCACAATTGTAGATATTGTGAGAGAATCAGAATAATTTATCATGCTACTCACCTACTCGTGTAAACGATCGTAAAGATAAGAGTTCCTAATCTGCCTTTGTTTTAAATCTACTTCAAAAAGTACATGGTACTCGTTTTGGTTGTATTTTTTGTTTGTTACCCCATAACTCCGTCAGTTACAAAGCGATTTGACAAATTCTTTTTGCTTTCACAATTACAGTCTGTTTTTTTTTTCTATGGAACAATCTTAAATTATATAAGAATGCCTCTGGCATTGCCTACCGGTCGACGGCATGTCTACCAGAAGTACGGAGCAAAAATAATCATTTCTAAATTACACAAATATGAATTTAAAAATATAGAGGTTAAGACTGGATTTTGGTGTCGGGATTCCGACCCAGCAGTCAAGCGCTGTCCATATAAGCCGTCCGTCCATTATCGCTCAATAATATTCATCATGATATTGTAATTAAAATAGTAACTTCGTCTGAATCATAATACGATTCATTTTGTCTATTTTTAATAGATGGTATGGTATCCCCGCCTGCGGTTTCGGTATACGTTGGCGTGACACCAGTAAGGAATGATACGAGTTGTTCAGTTGGCCCATTGTGACGAATTCCATAAGAATTAACCGTGATGGTTTCCGAGGGGAACCGCGTGCAGGTCGACCTGATAGGGTATATTACTAGCAATGAAGCTATTAGACCCTGTTACTAACAATCTCTCCCCCCCCCCCCACTTATTTTGTATAAGCCGCCGATGAAAATGTACCGTTAATAACTTTACCAATAAATTACGTCCTCAGCGGGAGATACAAAGAGACCGTTGGATATACAAAATTAATATGATTAATGTAAAATGACTATTTTCACCGTCCAAATAGAAATTATATACATATATTATTTTACATATACTATATATATATATATATATATATATAGGTACAACTTTTTTCGACCGACTTCAAAAAGACGATGGTTCTCAATTCGGTTATATTTTATATATATATATATATATATATATATATATATATATATATATATAAATTGTATGTAGCATTGCATGCGTATGTAGCATTTAACGATTACTTGCATTTTTGAGACTCCAAAATGTAACAATATTACATTTTGGAGTCTCAAAAATAATTCTTAATATTATAATAAACAATTTATTATATAATTAGGAATATTACTTTGTCTTTTCAAGGTATTTTAAAAAGAAAGAGATTTACAATTTAGTAATATTTTCTTTTAATGTTTGCGACCTTATAACTCTGTTAGTTCTAAATCGATTTCAATTTTTTTTTATCTGAAAAGATATGCTTAAAGTTCAGTAGTTTAGTTTTTAGATCAAAATAACTAGTTTGGTTCCAATAGAAGTCAGTTACCAGATGGAGACTTTGTACAAAAGTCGTTTACTTGGGCACCTCTGTCCCATTCGCGTTTTTACCGTGAAGCAGTTGTGTTTGCATGAATGTGTTACGATTTGAAAGGTGGGATATTACAGAAAATTTACAGGGTACAGAGGAATAACACCTGAGTCCTCAGGAATGGCAACGCATGAAGTGTATCATGGGTGATGGAGTATACGCTGTTATGTCTGTGGTGCTGTACATGTCTATAGTCGACGGTTACCACTTTTCATCAATTGGGCCGTCAGCTCGTTTGCCATTCTAAGTTGTATAAAAAAAAGTTTTCTTTTTGTGAATTACAATCTTTATTACCAATCTATTTAAACTAAAACAGACATTGTGTATCTCTTTTTTCTTTGTTATTTTCTTTAATACTGCTGATAGATCAGTTCTATCAGTATATTTAATAATAAAAACTCTGTCAATTAACTTTTGCAAGTGGCAATTCATTAACATCTTTCACATATAAAACAATAAATCTGATATAAAAAGGAACAGTATATATATATATATATATATAATTTAAAGTAGACTAACAAAATAATTCAGACAACTTTGAATTGTATATATATATATTTATACGATTTTCATTTGGTTGCAGACGAAAATGAAGCGTGGCTCTAGAGAGGAACTACTTGGCAGCTCTCACGAGGCTTTGAGGAACAGTCAGCATGATTTGCGGAATACATATGAAAAACCTCTTACCAGAGAAGAAAAAACATACCTTCTGCATGCTGATAGGGGTGACTACAATACAGTAAAAAGGTATTAAGGGTTAAAAGGTTATTTTTATTTATTTATTCATTAGTAAAAATATGTGTACATAGCGGACTTAATGCTAAAAGCATTCTCCCCCAGTCAACCATAGGGAAGTGTCAGAATATACAAATGCAGTACTACTAATTATTGATATACATACATATTAAAATTACATATATAAACGAATAAATATATATGAATAAGAAATATACTTACACATATATGATATACACTATATTATACACGAAATTGAGAATAATATAAAACACTTATTGCTCGGATAAAGATAAAAAGTGAGAGTGAACGCTTTTTTTGAAAGACGGTTTAGTCGGTAGTCTTTTAATGGCATCAGGAAGCGTGTTCCAGAGTCGTGAAAAATGTTGGAGAAAAGAGTTTGAAACGTGAACAGTACGGTGAGAGGGGTATTTAGTGTACTTCTCTACACTGATGTTATTATTAAAAACTGTGTCCCACAAAAAACCTACTTCAATTGTAATAAAACTAGTTTATTCGATTTAAAAACTATACTTCTGTACTCATTTTGAGAAGATTTCTATGAGACCAATCTCTAAATATATTCTTTCAGATAAAAAAAGAATTGTTCAAATCGGTTTACTGACGGAGCTATGAGGTCACGAATATAAAAAAAATACAATTGATTTGAGAACCTCCTTCTTTTTTAAATCTACACTAATATTATAAAGAGAAAAGATTTGTATTTCTGTATGTATGTATGTTTGTAATGAATAAACTCAAAAACTACTTTGCCGAATTCAATATACCACCAGTATACTGTTTCGCCTATGATACCCCCATGCAATGCCATTCTTGAGGACTCAGATATTATTCCTCTGTACCCTGTAAATTCACGCCATATCCCACCCTTCAAACCGAAACACAGCCATGCAAACACAACTGCTTTACAGGTGAAACAATTGCTGAGTTTGGAATGTGAAAAAGAACCCGCGAGAAACTCAACATTTACTCTTAAATTAATAAGTACATGATAATTTTACATTTGCATGGATACTGTGACTAAAATTGGCATTAAGTCCAATTTATGTGTATTATTAAATGGAAAATATACAAGCAAAAATGAGCAGACCAGTACCCACAAGCAGCACCCGTTCATGAGTATGACGGATGAGCTAGCCAATCCGTTTAAAACCAACGTTTTACACAGAAATAACAAGGAAGTAAATAGAAAAAGGTCGGTCGTTTTCAGCTGCCGACCGCCGAGAATCACTACAAGGCACTTAATCCAATTTATTAACAATATTAACGTTTTATAGTCGACGTACTATGTACTTAGTAAACGTATCCAATGCTAATAAAGCTCAGAATATTCGCTATTTGATTTTAGACGAAGTTTAATGTTCCCTGGCGTTTCCATTCAATCTATTTTGAGCAATAGGAGGCGAGAATATTATATTAAATTAGTTACGTATGATTACTGTACGAAATATACTTATATATACATATATATACATGCATACATACATATACTTTTTTTTTAATTAATAATAATGGAATGGTAACCCCGCCTGCACTATCGGTATACGCTGGCGGGGTACCAGTGGAAGATGATAGGTGAGGATGAAAATAGGTCAGTTAACCCATCGTGACGAATTCAACTAGAATTAATCACGATGTTTTCAAGAGGAACCACGTGGAGGTCGACCTGGTTGGGTATATTGCTAGCAATGAAGTTATTTGACCCCATTACTAACAATCCCTTTCCCCCCAATAACATACGTAAATAGTAAATGTTTCCTTTTACCAATATAATGAAATTTGATATCGTTGCTGTGTAGTCCCAGTATAGAATGGACTACTTCTTTCTTTCCCATAGGACTAGTGAAAGGCGATTAAGGAAACTCAATAGTAGAGCGATGGACAGCGCAGTAGCGTCTCTCTTTAAACAACACGAAAGCCTAATTGTTGATGCCAATCCGCCTGCCAAGCGTGGTAACTAATGACAAAACCCTTTTTTTTTATGCAATTCAGAATGGCAAACAAGCTGACGGTCCACCTGATGGAAAGTGATAACGTCGCCTATAGACATGAGCCGTACCGTGGACATAACAGAGTATACTGTTTCGCCCATGATATCCCCCCATGCGTTGCCATTCCTGAGAACTCAGATGTTATTCCTCCGTACCCAGTAAATTCACGCCATATCCCATCCTTCAAACCGAAACACAGCCATGCAAACACAACTGCTTTACGGTTGAAACACGAATGGGACAGAGGTGCCCAAGCAAACCTTCCTATAATCAATGGTGGACAATTAACGATATGATGATGTTAATAAAATTATAAATAAAAGAAGTATGTATATGAAAGATTTTTAGGAAAAAAAATATATGAAGCTACTTAATAAGATCAATAGATAACAAAACAATGATTTTTAAAAATTTATCTGTCTGTATGTTTGTTGCAGCATCAAGCAAAAAATATTGCACCAAATTAGATGCGATACTAAAAAAGATTCAACGGAACTATATTGTAAACTCCTATATAAATAAGGCATGATTATGACAGGTCTTTTTCTAGAAGTGCCGTTGTTAGTTTCGTATTTTTTCTTTTTTTTTACAACACAGGGGGCAAACGGGCATGCAGCTCACCTGATGGTAAGTGACTACCGCCGCCCATGATCACCCACAACACCAACGGCATTGTAGGTGTGCTGCTGGCCTTTTAAAATGGAAAATACTCTTTTCTTGAAGGTTATGTTGTCGTATCGGTTCGGAAATACTGCTGCTAGAAGTTGATTCCAAAGAATGGTAGTGGTGGATCTGGTGGACCTCTAGAGAAAACTTCATGACCTGATTTGACTTTTACCTGTCAGCCCTTACTATTATCCTACCATCGAAAATTGACAGCGTAGAAAGGGTTACATTACAGTCCATTTTTATTTAATAAAAATGGCACATTTTAATCGACTTCAAAAAAAGAGAAACTTTTCAATTCAGTTAAGCTTCTTTATGTTTGTTACCACAGAACTCTATCATTTATAAATTGACATGGAAAATTTATTATTATTTGATATACTTTTAGATTCGTCCCGCCAGTTAGAAATTTCATCAAAATCGGTTCAATTATTCGATTTTCAAATCAAAATTACAGATGTTTACTACGATAGAATATTTTTTAGGGAACAAAGTCTATTATAATTTGCTCTTGTCTGTCTAGGCCTATTTAGGCTCTCAGCTTAAGTCGGACGGAAGGCAAATATCGGTGTATATTTTTGTTTAAACACAATAAAACCCGTATAATTGTACACTACATAAATAAAAGATTTAAAAACGAGTAAATGAGCGAATAAATAAAACAAAATACACGTCTTACACAAGTACACGGTTTACACAAAGGGACAATTGAAAAAGTCTACTGTCTTCGCAGGCCTTAAGACATCGCAATAAAAGGGGAGAGTCAATATTATGTATCTACATTGATATCAATTCTTATTTATGTTAAGTGATAAGGGGATGCCTTTCACATTTCTCTAGGGACGCGAAATGCACAACATGATCGCATCTTTGAAAGTTACAAATAATAGAATTTTACCTTAGCTCTATACATTCATATAGTAATAATAATAAAAATAACGATATACAAATGTCAGTGTTGCCAGATTGCATTTGAGTAAAAAATTTCTATTCACGAAATCTTGGTAAATTGATATTCTTGTAATATTTTTGGAGAAAAATAACATGGGCTTGAAGATATTTGGGTTTACAATTTGTAACTTATAAACCGTATAAAATATTTATTATGCAACTTAGAATGGCAAACAAGCTGACGGTCCACCTGATGGAAAGTGGTAACCGTCGCCTATAGACATGAGCAGTACCATGAACATAACAGAGTATACTGTTTCACCCAGGATACCTCCCGTGCGTTGCCACTCCTGAGGACTCAGGTGCTATTCTTCTATATCCTTCAAACCGAAACACAACCATGCAAAACAACTGCTTCGCAGACATACGAATGGAAGTAGCAAAACAGAAGACAGAATAAGACAAGGAAGTTATAACCAAAAATTTGTAACCTTTATTCACTAAAATATCTTCATTAAATCTACACAAAACACCTGTTCACGAGACTAGCCTTTAAAGGGTTAAAAAGAAAACAAGAAAAAAGCAACTACATTTACACCTTATAAATAAATATAGATCATCACAGTGCCTTTGTGAGCAAAAACAAAACGTTAGGGAAACTCATTTGTAAGCTCAGATATATATTTATTTATGGCCCGTATTTATAAATCGATCCCAGGTGAAAAAAATTCAGTGTCCATTTAGAAGTTTTCAGAATTTAAGGTTACCGGAATGATGACTATACTCCGGTATTCCTCGCAATTATCTGTCAATTCTTAAAAACAATTTAAAAATAGAGAAAAAGCCTTTGCCAATTAATAGCGTAATGTTATTTATATTTATTAAATAAAATCCTATTTTCCCACCAAATTCAACAAACTGGATGGAAAGATTTTTGCAAATCCTTTTCATCTATCGATGTGATGAGAACTTGGTTTTCCAGTATAATGCTACTAGCATTATAGTGGGAAACTAAGTGACAAAAACATTTTCTCAAAGTGGCGTAGTAATTACTACTAATACTGCGAATAAGGAAAGGCGAGGGATGAGCAGCAGCGTCCCTCTTACAACATATCCAAAGCCTAACTGCGGTTGCCATCCGCCTGCCAAGCATAGCAACAATTAGCAACACACCTCAAGGAAGACGCTTATGTTTAGCAATGAACAGTTAAAGGCTGATATGATGATGATGATGACGATGATGGTAACGATGATATGTTATCTATAATAATAAACATTCGAAATAACTAAAGGAACCGTTAGATTACATTTCGAAATTTGACCTATACACGTCAATTATCCAGATCGGCCACGTCACATCATATTTTCTAAGAGGCGTCATAGTATAATAACATTAACCCCGAAAATATCCGATGCGATCTCAAGATTGTTCAATCAATCGTACGAGTATAGGAATAGGACGAGATAAGATGTGATTATTTTTGTCAGGTGCAGTGTTGCCATATTAATGACTGTTTAGTAACATTTGGCAATTTTAGATATTTAATAAAGTATATAAATTGTGTGTATTTTATTACCTTTTTTAAAGTCTAGTTATTTATTTAAATTTAGCTTAGAGAAAACTCTTCTGAACCGCATTATATGCGACCATTTATGTAAGTTCTAGTATGTGACGATGAAATCCCTGTCGATGGCGAGCGGTATGATAATAAAATGTGGCCATGGGTATCATCTCAAACAATTTCTCAGAATACAGTCCATTATACAAGCAGATTAGACTTAATGACTCAATACCGCCTGTGAGCTTGTACCACAATGTGAACGACGAGAGAAAAAGAAGCTCATTCCCTGTGTTTCTATTTTTCTCCATTCCTTATCTTCTGTTATGCATTTTAATTTTTCTATTTTATTTACTAGTAATTATATCAGTAGATTTTACAATTTTTTTACACTAAAACTATAACCCAAATATTTTCGAAAAAATACCCAAGTTTCTTCAAGTCCAGTTCCACTTTTCTCCAGAATTTTTTCCAAGAACTACAAGTTTCCAAAATTTAGCGAACAAAAAAGTCACACGTTACTGATCCTACACGAAGAGCCCGACTTATGACGACGTCTAACAACTCCATTGCTAGCAATATATCCTATCAGATTTCATGTGTTATTCACATGGTTCCTTCTGGAAACCATCGTAGTGAATTCTTGTGGAATTGTTTACGATGGGCTAACTGACCTGTTTTCAACCTCACCTATCATGTCTCATTGGTGCCTCGTTAGAGTATAGTGATAGCGTAAGCGGGGTTACCATCTCTTTCCCATACATTAAAAAAATAGTCTTCATTACGGGGTAAAACACCATTTCGCTCTATTGAGTACCCCGAGTTTTTGTACCAACTTAACCCTACCTTTAAAATGATTCCAGAACTCGACAGTGCTAGAGATATCGATACCGAGGATCCCACTTTTAGGTTTTCATTATATAAATTTTATATTTTAAGACATGCAGATAAATTCGAGGCACCTAACTACTTATTAATACCTAATTTCTCTTTCACAGATTGATAGACCAGTATGCTGCCAACCCTGATATCCTGGACATCAACTGTGTGGACCCATTAAACCGATCTGCACTGATAGCTGCCATAGAAAACGAGAATATAGAACTTATCAAATTACTACTAGACGCTGGTATAATGGTCAAGGTATGTCATTTTAAATCCTGCAGAATTCTCCTTATTCTATGAGATTACAAATTTCCTGGTAACGTTTACCATGTGTTAGTCCAGAGGCATAATAGATTTTATACGGTTAAACAAAAAATAAATAAATTATATTGTAATAAAATTAATATAAAAGTAATAATTAAAATTATTAAATATTAAATTATATTCCGATAAAAATAAATTGATTAAATATATTTTTATTTGTTATATATATTTATATATATAATGTATTATATATAATAGAATATTGTTACTTCTCGTAATAAATATTTAATAGACCAAAAAAGTCCCAAATAAAAATTATCATATATATACACACACACACACGCACGCACGCACGCACGCACGCACGCACGCACGCACGCACGCACGCACGCACGCACGCACGCACGCACGCACGCACTCACGAACGCACGCACGCACGCACTCACGCACGCACGCACGCACGCACGCACGCACGCACGCACGCACGCACGCACGCACGCACGCACGCACGCACGCACGCACGCACGCACGCACGCACGCACGCACGCACGCACGCACGCACGCACGCACGCACGCACGCACGCACGCACGCACGCACGCACGCACGCACGCACGCACGCACGCACGCACGCACGCACGCACGAACGCCCACACGCACGCACGCATGCACGCACGCACGCACGCACGCACGCACGCACGCACACACACACATATATATATATAATAAAAATTAATTTACGATTTTATTCCACAAAAAAAAACATGAACTTCAATAATGTAAAAACCAATTATTTTGATTTAAAAGCTAATCTGCTGAGCCAATAAAAAAATATGGAAGTAATCTGTAAGTATATCTTTTCAGATACGAAAAAAGATTTCCCAAATCGGTTTATAAATAATGGAATTATAAGCGAAATAAGAACCGTCTAATTTTTGTGATTAATAATATGAATGAGTCCTATCCTACAGTAAAATGAATTGTCAAAATTAATACAGAATTAACGAAAATATCGCACAAGAACACGGGAACTGAGAGCTTTTCTTGAAGTGGATTTAAAATATAACAATTTGCTTAACTTATTTCATACGAACCCTAATTTCGCATAAAAAAACCTCCCATATCATTATTCTAATGTTTGTGAAGGGCTTTGAAAACTTTACGGTCCTGCTATTCGCATAGGGAACTTTCAAGTGTCTATTATTTTCCAAAAACTGACATATGTACATGCAGAGTTTCTATTTTTATTACGAGTAATATAAAAGTATAAGAGAGAATGGACGAAAGAAGAATTACAAAAAAGATTTATGATTATCAAGCTCAAATGAATGGAGATATCGATGGAGGCCGCCCTAGAATGACGTATAGATAGATACTCTTTATTGTTTCCTCCAAAAGATTACAATAGTAAACTTATTATAAATATATACATTAACAAGAAATTATTACAGTGAGTAAACAATAGGCGGCCTTATCACTAAAAGCGATCCCTTCCAGGCAACCTTTGAATGGAGAGGACTAATTATAAACAGCTTGATCGGAGGAACGATGAAAATTCCATTATTTCTAAATATGGAGATGTAATAATGTAAATATATATCCTTACTCATTATTATATATATATACACACATGCATTTATACATACATACACATACATGCATATAAACACCTACACAAATACATAAAAATATATAAATTCTGTAAAATACAAAGAATGTCAACCAAATAGGCGACGTGCTGAAGAAGGGCCAAATTAAAAGTACCCGTAACCGGCGAGCATGTATGAAAAGATTGATGAATGTGGAAGAGGCGAAAGAGGTCTCTTTGAATCGAAGCAGTTAGCGTTCTATTGTTTCTACCTACTCCAATGAGAGACTAACGTGACGGAGATGTATCTATGTATGATACGTATAATACGGGTTACCTTCATACATTTATGTATGTGTTATTGTATGTCATATAAAAATTCATTTTGAGAGGTGGCCGTACTTGCTATTTTTATTCTATGGGTGATAACCGAATGTAACCCCGCTTTATTGGTATTCGCTGGCGGAGTACAAGTGAGTGATGATAAAGTCAAGTCAGTTGGCCCATTATGATAAATTCTTCAGTAATTAACCACAGCGGTTGTTACAATGGGGATTAGTAGCCCCATTAACATTGGGAGGGATTAATTGATTATTAACCCCTTTTCCCGACATTTCGCAATTTGATACGGGCAGCGGGATGCCTTATGTCATTAGTGATAAATACATTTTTAATGAGAGCATTATTTTTTTTTTTATTTTATTTGTAGGGTATTTGTCGAAATAAGTATGCTATATTTATTTGTTCAGATATCTAAAAATTTTATAACTTTGTGTTCTACGTATAAATGTGAGCAGTATTTATATATTTTTATGTATTTATGTAGGTGTTTATATGTATGTGTGTATGTATGTATATGTGTATATGTATGTATATGTATGTGATTAATTCTTGTAATTATTTATATCTAGAATAAGTTTACTGTTGTAATCTTTTGGAGGAAACAATAAAGAGTGTCTATCTATCTATTTATTTTATTTGAATTTTAGAGAAAAAAGATGGCTAGGTGTGGCAAGTTGTTGCTCTGATAGATAGATAGATAGATAATTTTATTTGCATTACTTACAGCACACAAATTACAACATACATACACAAAAAAAAGCGAGATAACATAAATGACAAAAAAAATACACAAAACCAAATGCAACTTTCGTTTGTGAGTGTGCCATAGCAATGCAAAATACAAGATGCTTAAATAGTTTGCTACACCTACTTACTATTCTAATTATACTATAAATGAGAAAGTTCGTATAGATGTTTGGGTGTTAGCATGTTTGTTACTCAATCACTCTTAAACAACTAGATGGATTTAAATGAAATTTAGTACATAAATTCAAATTCAAATCATTTTTACTCAGACTTGTTTAGAAGCACTTTTAAATCGTATTTTTTTTATGAATGTAAATTTCGGAAAGTTATTATCTGTTGAGAAAAGCCTGCAAGAAATTAAACTTTCAAGTAGTAGTAAAGAAGTTGTAGACAATAACCTAGCAAATTATATATATATATGTGTGTATAAATATATATAAAAATATATAAATCTGTTAGCATAGCGTTTATTTATTTGGCGTAACAGCGACATTTATAAATACTTATGTATGTATACGTACGTCGTCGAATACATAGTATTGTTTCAAATGTACGTAACAGTTACTATCTATCGGGGGGAACTTCGCAGCCCCCAGGGAAATCATATACCGATCATCGTATCCCCACATTTTTGCAACCCCCCTTCTCTGCAAATGTCAGTATTATAATAATAGAATAAATCTAGCTTAGATTTGCAGGATATATGTACAATATAGTGAATAAATTTTTTATATAATATCGAAACGCGAATATTTAAAATATTTACGTTATACATCATTATATTATAATAATAAATAAATGAAATTTATTTATTATTATTGTAACTGTCCACCGCTGAACATAAGCCTTTCCCATAAAGGAAGTTTTGTCAATAATTGCCACGTTTGACAGACGAATTAGCATCCAGAGTTATCTTTTGGTAATATTTTAAGAGGGACGCTGCTGCCCAACACTCGACCATTGGGGGGAAAGAGATTGTTAGTAATGAGGTCAAATAGCCCCGTTACTAGCAATATACCCTGTCAGGTCGACGTCCACGTGCTTCCCCCTGGAAACCATCGTGGCTAATTCTAATTGAATTCGTCAGGATAGGATGACCTGCTTTCATCTTCATCAATCGTCTATCAGTGGTGGTGCTGGTGGTGCCCCGCCAGTGTATACAGCGCAGACGGGGTTACCATACCATTATCACCCATAAAAAGAACCCTCGACCATTAAGTTCCCTTAGTCGCCTCAAACAACACACATGAGAAATAAAAGGGTTATTTATTTATTTACACTTTATTGCAACATTTATAAACGTAATAAAAAAATGAGGTAACAAACAAAAGTAAAATACAACCACGTTGATTGAATCACGTTCATTTTTTTAAGTTGGTAAAAAACTTCTAAATTACACATTGTAATTTTGTGGGTAACGTTGGCTTAGTTAAGAAAAATCCTTGTTTCTCCTTACGAAAGTATATTGCCCTAAGTTATTGCCTAGAGAGAAGAGTTTTTATCTTCATAATGTACTCGTTTTTAGTTTGGTAGTTTTTTTAGCACTCTTTATTCCAAGTGTAAAATATTAGGCTAAATGATTCACACTTTGTTATAACGACACCTATCTATATTAATAGAAAAAAAAAAATACAACAGAATCGAGAATCATCTTCTTTGTAACCAACTTCAAAAAAAGAGGTTTTCAATTCGGTCGTAATTGTTACCTTATAACTCGATCAGTTTTAGATCGATTTGGAAAATTATTTTTCATATAAAAGAATAGACTTACAGCAATCTGTAAGACCAATGTCTTAAATAAATATTATCAAAATCAGCTTAGTTTAAACATACTAGCTCTTACCCGCGACTTCGCCCGCGTGTGCCCCTTAGCAGGCGGATTAGCAACCACGGTTTGGCTTTGCTGATATTTTAAGAGGGGCATTGCTGCCCATTTCTCGATCTTTAATTTCCATTAGTTGCCTCTTACGGCACCCACGGGTAAGAAAATGGTGGCTCATTCTATGCTGGTACTATACGACTATTTTTTTTTTATTTTATGGTAATCCATAATGAAAATAGAGGTACCTATGACAACATATAGTATCGAAAACATGTGCATAAAATACAATTTCACCCTAGTAACCTGATGTGAACGCAATTTAATTAAGTCTCGAGGCTCGCTCTAACTTTGTTTGTCACTAATTAATGTTCCGCTACTTGAGTTTAGATATTTTAAAATGTTCAGGCAAATAGTGGGATTTTCTGCATTTTTTATAAACACTATTTTTAATTTACTTATTTTTTATTTGCATAAACATAAGTAGAGTTAAAAATTTAGTCGCCATCATCATCATCATATCAGCCTCTAACGGTCCACTACTGAATATAACATCCCCCTTGGGGGATTTTCCCAATAGTTGACATGCTTGGCAAACGGATGTGCAACCACAGTTACGCTTTAAAGATATTTTAAGAGGGACGCTGCTGCCCATCCCTCGCCCTCCCTTAGTCGCCTCTTACGACACCTACGGGATAGGAAGAGGTGGCCTATTCTATGCCGGGACCACACGGCTATTGCTAAAAATTGAATGCCTGGTGCTAATATTATAAAGATTGTGTCCCATAAAAAAATCGACTTTAGTTATAACAAAACCAGTTATTTAAAATATAGATATAAAAATTACACTATTGAATGAATGAATGGTTTATTTTCTCTTCACAAAAGGTAGTATAAAGTGACAACTTGAGGTACAATTAGATATGTAAGACCAATTTTATGAGAGACTGGTGCCTGCAGTATGTTTTTTTTATACAACTTAGAATGGCAAACAAGCTGACGGCCCACCTGATGGAAAATGGTAACCGTCGACTATAGACATGAGCATAGACCATGCACATTATAGAGTTTCGCCCATGATACCCCCCATGTGTCGCCATTCCTGAGAACTCATGTGTTATTTCTCTATACAAAAAGGTTTTGAAAAACCTGTGTTACCAGTCACTATTGAACAGATTTGGATAAAATCTTTATGGAATCAATCTGTAAGTATATCATTATTGATAAAAAAAAAAAGAAATTTCCCAAATCAGTTAACGACTGACGGAATTAAGAAGTAACAAACTTGAAAAGAAATACAATCTAAATGAAGTCTATTGGTAAATAAATACTCAATATACATTGAAGAATTTACTGGCTGAAATCTGCATTTATTTCCAAGCTATTCGGTTATAAAATTCCAACCCAACCTTGGTAAAAATAAGCTCTCTCCTAAACGCCGTTTGTATAATCTCATAGCTCTTATTAATTTTACTATCGACTAAAATTCTAAAGCTAGCGACTCACCTTAAATTTTATGGTAATGTAATGTTACAACTCAGGTCGATGACTCCATAAATAACCGACATAGACGCTTTCCTAAAAACGTATAAAGAAAATTAGAAACATTTAAATTTATGTTCAGTCAATTCTGACTAATATTATAAATGTGAAAGTGAGGTCGTTTGTTCGTTTATTATCTTACAGCACCTTAACGGCTTAACCAATTATTATGAAATTTGATGTACACATACTATATGGAATAAATAATTAAGTAGGCTACTTGGTAATCTATAAATGTATCCTTTCAATTAATAAAAAATCAAAATCTGTTTTCAACTGACGGAGTTATGAGGTAACAAATATAAACAAAAAATACAACCGAATTGTAAATCTCTTACTCTTTGAAGTCGGTTGAAAAAGGGATGAACCAATCATGTTTTAGTGGTAATTAGACGGAGATCTTTGCTTATATCGATTACTAGATTATTTACAACAAAAATTTCATATTTTTTTTATTATCTCAATTAGTTTAATTAATATTTTCTTAATTAATGTACCTACCTTATTTATTATCTTTTTAGATTTCTTCAAATACATTAATGTTTAAATAATATATGTATTTTTATATGTATTAGTTGCATAACCTCGCATCAATAGTAACTTACGAAAGAGTATAAACAAAATAGTGAGTATATAAATATCGCCATATTAAAAGAAGGAGATTCTTAATTCGACTGTAAATTTTTATACTTATGTTACGCAATTACACTTGCAAATTTTTAACAGATTTTAATAGATAAACACACGATCAAAATTTATAAATGCAAATTAGTATTTTCAACCTAATCTATCTATGAAATATCTCACCTTTTATTAGTGTGTTTTTTACATTTTCTGTGGGAAATATTTATCTATTTGTAAACAATCTATTTTTTTAGCTCGCTATATTATCTAAACGATTGACTTATAAATATTTTAAGGATTTTATGAACTTACTGTATTTGTTGTTTTCAACTACCGTACGTCCCCTGAAGAAAGCTTCCGAACGAAGTCAAAACACTTGGCGGAAATGACAAACATAGTAAGTTTATAAAATTCCCGTTGTGTGTGTATACCTATAGACATCGTAAAAAAAATAAACATAAGTTAAAAAAAATATAATAGTTTCAATAAACTACTATTATTATTTAATGTTACGATAATAATTCCAATAAATTATTACTATTATATATTACAAGTACATTAAGATTCAAACGACACCGGTCAGGCGCCAGCTTAATATTTTTGGTAGACAATTTTAATGGCCCCCCGCAGCTATAAAACTACCGGTATTGCTTTAAATAAATCATTCAACTGCCATAGTGTTTTTCATTTGGGAACGAGATTTATTTATTAATATCTGTCACTGAACGATATACCTACTTTTGAAGTATGTATTATATTTTATTATGAGGGAGTGTCTGTTTTTTGTTTTTGTTTTTAATACTTTTTATAGTACGTTCGTCCTTTCTGTCGTAACTCCTAAACTACTTAAAATAGAGACACAAATAAAATTATAATAATAAAATATAATATACAAATAGGAGTGTAGTATAGAATAGGCCACCCCTTCCTTTCCCGTGGGTACCGTAAGAGGCGACTAAGGAATCTTGTGATGTAGGGACGGGCAGTAACGTCCCTCTTAAAAATCACCAAAAGCCAAACTGCAGTTGCTAACCCGCTTGCTAAGAATGGCAACTACTGGCAAAATCCCCCTTTTATGGGGGAGGCTATATTCAGCAGTGACCAATCAACGTCTGATATAACATATTTTTCCCATTAAGTTTCCCATTGTTGTAGGTAAAAACAATGAATTGCCCAATTCTAAAATTTAAAATGTATATTTATATACAGGATGCTCTACTGCATGCAATCAAAGAAGAATACGTAGAAGCAGTTGAACTATTATTGCAATGGGAAGAAGAACACCATGTACCTGGAGAACCTTATGTAAGTGTTATGTATATATACTAGCTGACTCGACAGACAGTATGACCGATGGTCAAATGAACGAATTATCAAACGCGCGATTATAAAATTGTCGCTAGTTTTCTGAAGTTTTCCAATTTTCTGTACAAATTTTTATTAAATTTCCTTTCCGTCAGAATCTTGAACAAAGTATTAGAAAATATAAAAAAAAATGTAACGGGTCAAGTTATTTTCAAGTTATAGTGTGACTAAAGGAAACAAGGATTGTTTTATACCTACACTAATATTATAAAGAGGAAAGATTTGTATTTTTGTGTGTATGTATGTTTGTAATGAATAAACTCAAAAAATACTTTGCCGATTTCAAAAATTCTTTCACTATTAGAAAACTACATTCACCGTGAGTAACATAGGCTATATTTATTGCTAGAAAAGGTTAGGGATCCTTACTGAAACTTTAGTAACGTAACTCAAGGTGTAAAAAAATGCTATAAAATATCATTCGTCGCGTGCGCGGCGGAAACTATTGGTGATAGAACAAAAGTATGTTCTACAATATTGAAGAAAATATCAATAATTACAAAAAACTTAGCGATACTATATATCCAACTATTATTGTTTTGTCACAATAACTACTTTTTAAAACGTTATAAAAATGTCTACCCGTGCGAAACCGGGACGGGCCGCTAGTTTATTTATATACGAGTATAGTTCGGAAGCTACACGCCTTAGTCAAAAATCAGTATGCAACTTTGTGTAAAATCGTTCGTATACCTTTACCCTTATACCCTTTTCTACCAAACAATTAACATGAATTCTGTTTTCTGAAAGCTGAGATATGCCAATAAAATTACTAGTCTTCCTTCATATGATAAGGGTAAAAACTGAACACACACGCGCGTTAGATATTTATGTTAAATTATATTAATTTTCTTAAACATCTTATGTCAAAATGTGTACCTACATTTATTAATAAAAATCAGACTAACTACTTTAAATATAATAAAACGTATTAAAATGGTTATTATACCAAATTTGGTAATAAATTATTCTTATCATGTATATAGAACACTAATTTATATTTTAATTAATTTTATTATTATTTATTGTCATGTTACTTAAATAAAAAGTAATGAAATTGTAAGAACACGTGGTCTTGCTGACAGGTTCACTCCAATCGCGGAGAGTAAACCACGTGGTCATTATATAAAATATATCACAATTATTGTTAATGGAAGTCCTAAAGAAGCTGTAGTTAAATAATTGTGAATGGATTAAGAGAAGTTGGGTATTTATGTTATATTATTTATTATATTTCATATAAAAGGTAAAATAAGTAAATATATAATATAATAGTATGATATCTAAATTAAATGAACTTTGAGAAATTGTGCTTCATTTCTATTTATTACTAAGAGGCTTACAACCTTTATATTGCTAAAGAATATATCATATATACATATAAAGTTAAAATTATGTAATTAAATTACTATACAAAACTATTACCCTACAGTTATTTATCATTAATTTGATACGCGCGTACTTCAACATATATACACATACACACACACACATATACACAAACGCCCACACACACGCACGCACACACAAATACACACACATTCCCACACATAGTCACAGACACGTACACATACGCAATCATAATGATGACATGTTTTTTTTTCAAGTTCATTGAAATAGGTTCAAAGTCAACTATTCTATCACTAATCATAATAAGCAGGGGGAAAAGGGATTGTTAGTAATGGAGACTAAAAATCCCATTGCTTGCAATACACCCAACCAGGTCGACCTTCACGCGATTCCCCCTGGAAACTATCATGGTTAATTCTTGATGAATTCATCATGATAAGCTAACTGGCCTGTTTTCATTCTCATCTATCAACCTTCACTGGTGCTCCGCTAGCGTATCCCATTAGCGCAGGCGGGGTTACCATACCATTTTCATCCACTAAAAAAAATCATAATAAGCATTTAACAATTTTTATTTATTTATTTATTTAATTCTTTATTGTACACACCAGTTGTAAGAATATGACAGAGGTAATCAAATGTACAAAGGCGAGCTTAACTCTAACCTTTCAACTATCTCATGCAAAATGGTGGAAAATCCACATCTGTGGCGTCCCGTGAGCAGACTTTACACAGACTAGGTATTTTTAGCGTATAGGTCTAAAAAACCTGTTTTTTCTAAAATCTAATTGGAATTATACAAAATTCAGATTAGATTTATATTCCAACTAGATTCCTTATGTAATTTCTTACACTACACTCGACTTGAAGTGCATAGCAACTGTTCTATGAGAAATAAAATGGGGTCACCTATGAATTACCTTTTATTTTTCAATTATTAAAAATCTAAGACCTTGTTGGATGTAAAATTATATATTTTATGTACAATATTATATACTTGATAAAATAAAAATAAAATATCTGATGTTCCAATACATTTTTTTTTGTACAGCACTTGTTTATAAACATGGACATTGTCAATTGAAAGTCCCTCTTCAATTGACACTTAATTTCATTATTTTACGTACATTTTTGGCGTTAGGGACAAGACGTGGTTTGTTTACAATAATTTAAGCTTATCGTCAAGCTAGTTTAGACAAAACAGTATATATGCATTATCATCTATATGTCCGCTTAGCGGACGCGACACAGTTGAGAGGCTAATAGAGTTTTCTTCCACAATGTACACAGAGTTGGGAATCCGTAGACCCGGCGGCCGCCACCTTCACGCCGGACATCACGCCGCTGATCCTCGCGGCCCACAGGAACCACTACGAGATCCTTAAGATCCTACTGGACAGGGGTGCCACGTTGCCGGTGCCACACGACGTAAAGTAGGTACAGGTCGTTTTCTAATCTATATCGTCAATAATTATTATATCGTATTTTTTTTAAGTTTTATTTTTTTCTACTTTTTTTTAATATTATTCAAAATATTTGTAGTTTGATTCAAAACCACTCGAGTATATTATAATTTATTAATTATTTATAAACAGGGGGCCTACCATGAAATTAAATTCCGAATTTTCAGGCTCAATTTCGTGTTTTTGTTCGTACTTAAATCGGCTCAGTAAATGGAGCTTAACGTTTCATTCATCATAAATCCTATCCTAATAGTCCAGAGAAACGATATTTTAATATCTTTAGTAATTTTAAGCGGCATGTATTATGTAATTTTAACATCAAATTTCTATTTCGTTTGTCCCCGAAATTTCGGAAAATATTTCATGGTAAGCCATCAGTTATATTATTACAGCGATTGTATAAATTATATTATTTGTAATAATATTATAACATATTTAATATTATAATTAATTTAATATTATTAATAACCGTTTTCCAAATATTATCAGACAATACTAACATATTAATTAAATATTGATGGTAGAGGGATAAGTACCAACGTCACTCTTAAAAAATCACTACGCAAAAGCCTAACTGCGGTTGCCATCCCGCCTGTCAAACGTGGCAACTACTGGCAAAACCAATATAAGAAAGGCCTCTTTCCAATAGTGGACAGTTTAGCATGATTTATAAAAAGCAGTGATTAGCATTATATATAAAAAGAGAATAAAGTCATATATTTTAAACAATATAACTCATAAAAGTAACTTGACGTGATTTTTGGCCAATACCACCTAAAAACCCCAAATTCGCCCAAGTTTATAAATCATTTTCCTAGAATACCCTTTTTCCGGTTGGAGAGGGCTGTAATATTTATCCGCATAATTGATTATTTCCCTGTTTCCCTAAAGGTTAAATGGAAAATAATCTTATGTGAATTTAAATCTGCTATTGTGCCTTCTAATTGATTTTGTATCATCACTAGGTAGAATAGTTGAGTAAATTTTTTGTAACATAGCGAGCAAGCTGTCTGTCCACTTGATAGAAAGTAGCAATCCTCGCCTATAGACACGAATGGCACAATGGGGGGGGTGAGGATTGTTAGTAATAAGATATCGTATCAGGTCGACCTCCACGCGTTTCATTCTCTGAACCATCATAGTTAATTCGTTACGATGAGCATATATATAAATGAAAACAACGATAAGCATTATGAGATGTAATAACTATTGAGTAACCTGTAACTAGAGCTGGTTTTGTTGACTCAACAAATAATTAAAAAGACTTCTTTTAAGAATATCCTTACTTGATGCTCTGCGTAGATCTACATGTTATCATGCTCTAAAACCTTATTAACATGTATCATAAGTGCAGACAGGGGTTCCACTCCATTTTCATCCCATAAAAATCATTTATTTCAGATGCGGATGCGATGAATGCGTTAAATCCTCTCAGGAGGATTCCCTACGTCATTCCCAAGCTCGCATTAACGCGTACCGGGCTCTCACATCTCCATCACTGATAGCCCTGTCGTCAGCTGATCCTCTCCTGACTGCCTTCCAGCTTTCTTGGGAGCTGGGACGGCTGAGTCGCATGGAGACAGAGTTCAGAGTTGAATATAAGGTAATACTAACTTATCTTCAGTAAAGTTCTAATAGTATTTTTTTTTATTTATTCATTAGTACAAATATGTGTACATGGCGGACTTAATGCTAAAAACATTCTCTCACAGTCAACCATAGAGAAGTGTTAGAATACTCGAATACGATACTAGTAATTATTGATATACATACACACTAAAATTACATATATAAACGAATAAATATATATAAATAATAAATATACTTACGCATATATGACATATACTATATTATACACGAAATTGAGAATAATATAAAGTACTTACTTAAAGTTTTTTTTTGAAAGACGGTTTAGTCGGTAGTCTATCAAATATAGCAACTACTGGTAAAATCCTTCGTATGGACAGCTGATATGATGATGATAACTTTGTTATGATTTTTTTTATACCACTGAGGTGGCAAACAAGCATACGGCCCACCTGATGGTAAGCGGCTACCGTAGCCTATGAATGCCTGCAATACCAGAGGTATTACGCGCGCGTTGCCGACCCTGAAGAAACCTCTTTAGCTCCCCTTTTGAAGAACCCCATGCTGTAGTCTCTTGAGAAATTGTGACCGACATAGCCCGAAGAAAAGTCAAACTGAAATGGCAATGGGGTGATCATATATTTCGAAGAACCTACAACCAATGAGGAAGAAAGCTTCTTGAGCAGTGACTCCGTACGAACAGTACAGACTAGACGAGAAGTTTTCGAGAAAATATTTGGGTAGAACGAGAAGTCGTCACTTCATCTAGTGAGGACTAAATGAAGTGACGACTTCGTATCCATTGCGGGGAGTCAGTGGATACAGGTGGCTTAGGACCGTTCCTTGTGGCAGTTTATGAGGGAGGCCTTTCAGAATTCTTAGCAGTGGACAAATATCTTTAATTTGTCGACTCCTTCAACAGTGGACAAATAACAGCTGATATGTTAATGATACCATATATTACCAGAGGGAGACTTTGTAGAAAAGTCGATTGCTTGGGTGCCTCTGTCCCATTTTGTGTTTCAATCGTAAAGCAGTTATGTTTGCATGGCTGTGTTTCGGTTTGAAGAGTGGGATATGGCGTGAAATTACTGGGTACGGAGGAATAACACCTGACTCCTCAGGAATGGCAACGCACGGGGGGTATCACGGGCGAAACAGTATACTCTGTTATGTCCATGGCATTGCTCATGTCTATAGGCGACGGTTACCACTTTCCATCAGGTGGGCCGTCAGCTTGTTTGCCATTCTAAGTTGTATAAAAAAAATGTGGTGTTGTGTAAAAGCATTATTTTATTTAATTCCGCTACTACTGTTACCAGAGGCTTTATCAGAGGCTTTACAACCCTTCCTATTAGCACATACATAACAACATAAACAAAACAAACATATACATACAAAAAAGAAGAACATAAATTGATAACAAAACTGAAATCGTAAATAGGTCATAGTAACACAAAGTGATTATAGCTCAAAAGAGCAAAACACTAATGTTCTCCTAGCAAAAGATCAAAAGATGGCTTATTAGGTAATGCACCTCTATGATGTATGAAATTTAAACATAACATTCTAACTCCTACATTCAATCCAAAAATAAACAAACCGATGCCTGTAAAAAGTTTTCATTTGAAATAATTACAATACGTTAATTATTTGCTTGCTATATTTCGGTTTGAAGGGTGGGCTGTAGCAATGAAATTACAGGATACAGAGGCATTGTTAGTGATGGAGACAGAATCCCGTTGCTAGCAATATACCCAACCAGGTCGACCTTCTCGCGGTTCCTGGAAACTATCATGGTTAATTCCTAATGAATTCATCATGATGGGCTAACTGGCCTGTTTTCATTCTCATCTATCACCCTTCACTGGTGCTCCGCCAGCGTATCCCGTTAGCGCAGGCGGTGTAACCATTCCATTTTCACCCATCAAAAAAAAAATCTTACTCCTCGAGAATTACAACGCATGAAACGTAGTATGGATAACACAGTATACTAAAAACTAGATATAGGTAATATCAGCGCTTCTCTGATATCTATATATTTGGGTTGATCTGAACATTGATGACGGAAGAAATGTCTTTATCAATTTCGATATTACTTACATTAGTCAGATATCTATATCCCTTACGATCGGGTTCTTCAATTCAATATAATACATATATTGAATAACCGATATTGAAAATATACCCATTGTTGCTCCAATATATAAATATTATAACTACAATATATAGATATTACCCAATTTTACAGTATACTCTGTTTTTTTTATACAACTTAGAATGGCAAACAAGCTGACGGCCCACCTGATGGAAAGTGGTAACCGTCGCCTATAGACATGACCAGTACCATGGACATAACAGAGTATACTGTTTCGCCCATGATACATCCCATGCATTGCCATTCCTGACGACTCAGATGTTATTCCTCTGTACCAAGTAAATTTACGCTATATCCCACCCTTCAAACCGAAACAGAGCCATGCAAACACAACTGCTTCACGATTGAAACACGAATGGAACAGAGGTACCCAAGCAATCGACTTTTATATATTGTTCATGTCTATTGGCGACCATACTTAACCCAGAGATAAAGGAGGGAAAAGAGATTTTTAGTAATGGGAATTAGCAACCCTATTTACTAGCAATATACCCTATCAAATCGACCTCCTCCTGGTTCCCCCTTGGAAACCATCGTGATGGATTCATTGGTAAATTGGTCATGATGGGCTAACTGACCTGCTTCATCTTCACTTATCATCCCTCACTGGTGCTCCACCTCAGTGTATACCGATAGTACAGGCAGGGTTACCATTCTTTTATCATCCATTAAAAAAAAACAGACAAAAATCGACGACTATATTAAGTTTTAATCTGAAATTATAGCATCATAATTATCATTCTGCAGGCACTGAGACAACAATGTCAAGAATTTGCTACCTCACTATTAGACCATACTAGGACCTCCAAGGAGTTGGAGATCATGCTCAACTACAACCCTTGGGACCTCGACAGCTGGGAGCCAGGAGAACGGCAGACGTTAGGAAGGCTCAAATTAGCTATTAAATACAAACAGAAAATGGTATGTAATATTAACTGATACTAAACTTATTTTGTCATGGTCCTATATACTGCTAGGGATATATGGATAGATAGATCATACTCATATAGATAGGGCATCAAGTTTCAACAAACATCTCAGGAACCGTTCATTTAATTGTTCATTGACACATCTTCATACTCAGTAGTCAAGTGCCCATTCTTTATCTAGAATGTGCGAAAGTATGGAAGTATTGAATACTATCGTCTCAGCTTCGCTTCTTTTTTTTTAATAAAAAATAAATATATCCTATATTACTCGCTCATAATGTAGCTTTCTACACTTGAAAGAAATATCAAAATCGGTTAAATATATTTTTTTATTTGATCATTACAAACAAAATTGTTCATCGTGCCTCCCACTAAATTGTTTACTCCTCTCCATCCAAAGGTTGCCTGGAAGAGATCGCTCTTAGCGATAAGGTCGCCCATTGTTTTCTCATTGTGATTATTTCTTGTAATTATTTATATTTATAATAAGTTTACTATTGTAATCTTTTGGAGGAAACAATAAAGAGTATCTATCTATGTATAAAACTTTTTCACTTTTAAATATTAGTTTAAATAATATTAGTGTAGATAGAGTCAATAGTTTTAAATATTAAATATGAAGAAAAAACATAAGCTGTCTATCAATATTTCCTGAGTTCATACATTACTTTTTCTACTATTATACAAAGAAAAGCCAAGGAATATTGCTAGTCATCTTAAAAATAAAAAAGGAGAAAATATTTCTAAAAAAGAAAGTCGTTTATATTCATATTTATATTAGTTGTTTATATTAGTTGAACGTAACAAGTAACCATCATTAAAAGCGTCTTGTATTTACCTCCCTATCAACATACATAATATTATGATATTCGGTATTCATTTTTCCATTGTTTCTAGAATTTTCCTTCTTAATGAACTTAAATTATTTCTCGATGTAGTGTTTGTTATAATAATGTTCTGTTGAGTATTTTTAAACGATTTCTAAAAATAAGCTAAATCTAAATATAATTCTGATTCTGACAAACTAAGGGGGGGGGGAGGGATTATTAATAAGGCCTTAATCGTCATTGCTAACAATATACAGATCGACTTCCCCCTGGAAATTATCGTGGTTAATTTCTGATGAATTCCTCACGATAGGCCTACTGACCTGAATTTATCTTCACTTATCATCAATCACTAATGCCCCACTAGCGTATATAGCACAGGCGGCATAATCATTCCATAATCATCACATAAAATAAATAAGGTTTGTATCCTATAAAAAAAAAAACTGACTGTCACAATTGATGTGACAAAATCAGTTATTATGGCCTTAAAAATAAAATATTTAACCGATTTTGAGATTATTTTATATTATGTAATACTAATCTCTAAGCATATCCTTTCAGATTAAAAAAAAATCCAAATCTTTATTACCACCAATAGTTAAAAAAAAAACAACAATAAAAAAGAAAAAAACAATTAATTTTGCTGGTAATAGGAGCCGCCTCAGCTGTTGCTATATATGCACACCTCCAGCGAGAGGCACCTATACAGCACTGATTTATAGACGACCCCTTAACTCATTTAACTTTAGCATTCGTGCGGGTAGCTAATACCTATTTTTCGGATAGGAGACTCAATACAATGAACAAAAAAAAACTTAAAAAAAAGAACGTAAAGCGTCACTTTCTCAGCTGTTTAGAGTTATAAGGTAACAAACAAACAAAAATACGACCGAATTGAGAACTGCCTTCTTTTAGAAGTCGATTGAAAAATACTATTACTTATACCACAGATAATATAATACTACGCTACTCTTATACTGTGTCGTATGATAAAATGATAAGACATTCACCAGAGGGAGAGTTTATACAAACTCTCCCTCTGTCGATTACTTGGGTACCTCTGTCCCATTCATGTTTCAACCGTGATGCAGTTGAGTTTGCATGGCTGTGTTTCGGTTTGAAGGGTGGGATATAGCAGTGAATTTACAGGATACAGAGGCATAACACCTGAGTCCTCAGGAATGACAACGCATTGGGGTATCATGGGCGAAGCAGTATACTCTATTATGTCTATGGTACTGTTCATGACTATAGGCAACGGTTACTACTTTCCATCAGATGGGCCGTCAGCTTGTTTGCAATGCTAACTTGCATAAAAAAAAGACTGAAGATTTCAGCCGAGTTCAGCACCCGGCTTCCCTATTGAGAAGTCGTATCGTCAACTGTCTGCCTTATAAAACATCGTTACTTCTGATTCCAGTGACTTTCAACGGTAATAAGTTTATATAAGTCGGGCTTAACTTTTTTATATATTTCTCACAGTTGAGCGTAAAATATCTTCTATGTAGGTATGTTATTCTTTTGAATTCTCTGTTCTATTTAAGTGACCTATAAAAGAAGTAGGCTTGCAGTATATTTATAATAGTTTTATTTGTAACTATCTTATGTGATTACATCGCGAAATTTTGAACCGATTACGAAGTTTCTTTTTAAAATCGATATAGTTCACACTCATATTGGTTCTATGTTAATTTCATAACGATTTTTTTTCTTTACGAAGACTACTTGTTACAAGGTAAAATCCACTAATACCTAAATACGATTCTGTCTTCAGAATCTTCAAAAAACGTAATAAGTTTCCGATTCGGTAGTATTTTTTTTTTTAGTTTATTTCCTTACAGCTGTGTCAATTATAAATCGATTAAAAAAATATTTTTTTATCTAAATGGATTGATGCCATAGAAATTTTATCAAAATCATTCAATAGTTTTATTTTTAAATAAAAATAACTGATTTTTTAAAACAAAATAGTTGATTTTGTCCGGATTGTAATTGGCTTTTTTATTTTAAGGAACACAATCTTAAATTACCAATCTAACGTATCAATCTATAAATCAATACGAAAAACCTTATCATTGATGCATATTGTTAATATTGAATATACAATTTTTTACAAAGCAAAATATATTTATTTGTAATCATAACTGTACAGAAACCAATTCGATACTACATTCATGTTACTATTAATTTTTTCCAAAACTATATTCGACTGGTATTAGGAAACTCGCGCGTATTTGTTTTGTTTGTGTATTTACGCATGATTGCTTTTAAATTGAAAGGAAAGATTTAACTTATCATACTATCCATAATATTTGAGGTCAGCGTAAAATGTTATTCTCATCCACTAATAATAAAGTTTATAATAAAGTATGGCAATATCGAAATAATTTACAAATCATCAAAGAAATTTAACATTTTTCAATGTTCCTGATTTTTTTTTAAAGTACGCTGATAGGGAATTAACCTTTGAACATGCAATAATATTCTTATTATAATGTCACTGAAAATTTTGATATTTATGGAAAAAAATTTTTGAAGCAAAATATGAAGTAAGCGCAAAGTTTTTAATGGTAAATTTATATGCAAATACGAATCCGGTCCAGCTTCGCAATGGGTGAACAGAATTTTCAAAAATAATATGTAGCCTATGTTACTGGCTGATAATATAGCTTCTATAGGTGAAAGAATTTTTAAAATTAGAATTATATTAGTATAAATGTAATTTATGTTTAATTTTAGTTTGCAGGCAGAGCACATTTTAAATAATTTCTCAGAAACATTAAAATGTTTCTGAAATAAGTAAAGTAAATGAGTTCTTTAGAAAGTTAAAATGTTTTTAAAAATTGACAGATACGAACGCTCTTCATCTCTATTCGCAAACTACTTTTGTCTTCTTTCCAGGAAATTAAGCCAAATTCACACGTTCAATTAGTCCAGAATTGGAATTAGTCCAGATTCGTTCTCGATCCAATCTCGTTACGCTTCGATATTGAGGCCGGATTTACACTATAATGTCAATCTCAGTTCGTTCTCCGTCCTATGTCGTAATACTTCCATATTGAGGTCGGATTCACACTATAACGCCGGTCATGGTTCGTTCTCTATCCGACCTCGTTACTCTTCGTTATTGAGGGTGGATTCACATTATAATGCCATCACGATTCGTTCTCGGTCCGATCTCGTTACACTTCAATATTGAGGCCGGATCCATACAATAACGCCGATTACGGTTCATTCTCGATCCAGTTACGGTCTGGTAAAATATTATTAAGTAAGACATGTAGGGACCAATTTTAAGATTCCATTTCACTTAACTAATCTCTTAATCTAATAATAAAATGTTATAATTTCATATTTTCGGGAAATTACTGCTTTATGAACCATAATAAACTAATGTTATAATAATTTTGAATTAAATCTATTAGAAAATTAGTTCGTATTGATCTTTATAATAAAAATTTTACTGTAATATAAAATTGAATATATATATATATATATATATATATATATATATATATATATATATATATATATATATATATATATATATATATATATATATATATAATATTATGTATATTTATACAAAAGTCCAGTTCCGTTCTGTATCAGTCACGATCAATTTTAAATTATTTCTAGTTACCAGACCTAGAACCGATTGAGAACGAACCGTAACCGGCATTATAGTGTGAATCTAGCCTCAATATTGTACAAAGTTTTATTGTGCAACAAAGAATAAATAAAATTTTTAATTCAGTCTATCTTTTCTTGCTCATCTCTTATATTTAGGTATCCATATCTATGGATACCCCCTACATATAATTTTAAGTTTTCTACACTTGTGTCGGTTTTTACAGTTCGTGTCGCATCCAAATGTTCAACAATTATTGGGAGCGATATGGTATGAAGGTCTACCTGGTTTTAGAAGAAAAAACATCGTAGGACAATGTGTACAGGTAAATACACTTTTTAAGCGGATTCAAATAGGAGGCAATTGCTTATATATCTAATTTAACTGTTTCTAAGACTTTTTACAAAAAGAAACTTTTTGCAAAGATTGCAAACATACAGCTTTCCATGTGGTCTCGGCATAGAATTAGCCACCCCTTCCTTCCCCGTAGATGTCGTAAGAGGTAACTAAGGAAATTTAATAGTCGAGAGATGGGTAACAGCGTCCCCCTTAAAATATTATCAAATGTCTGCGGTTGAATTGGCTGTGGTGTGCCCGAAATGTTTGTCGCCTAGTCCCTATAACACGGGATATTTTAGCTTAAAGATTAAGAAATTAGTGTAAATATATGTCACTTATTATTATTCTAGATGTTTGATCTAAGGGATTGTTAGAAACGAAGATTAACTCGTAACAGCTCCATTGCTAGCAATATACTCTATGAGGTCGACTTCCATTCAATTCCCCCTGGAAACTATCGTGGTTATGTCTTGTGGATTTCTTCACGATGAGCTAACTGATCTGCTTTCATCCTCACGTATCCTTTCTCATTGGTGTCCCATCAGCGTATACCGATAGCGTAGGCGAGGTTACCATTCTATTATCATCCATTAAAAAAAAACTGTTTTTGCATATTGTTAGAAGTGCTAGTATTCTGTTATTGAAGTATTATGAAGGACTTGTTTTACTGTATATGCTTTCAGGTAGCAAAATTAGGAGTGATGTTTCCAGTGTATTGCACTATATACATGCTCGCACCAAACTCCGAGTACGGCAGATTCATGAAGAAACCATTCGTCAAATTTATCTGCCATAGTTCTTCTTATATGCTGTTCCTTAGTAAGTCTGTTTATTCTATTAAATACAATAACGGTATTACATAATAAAATTGCCAACAATAAATAGGCAATAATGGCGTAACACTTTAATCAGGGTGGGAGGAATTGCTAGTAATGTGGGCTACTAGTCCCATTGCTAGAAATATACAGTATCAGGTCGACCTCCACGTGTTCCTCCTGGAAACTGTCGTGCTAAATTCCGGATTGGCCGCAGCAGAATATCAGTGCTTTGCTCTTTTGAGGGCTAAGCAATAAACTGAGTTGTGGCCATTTTGTATTGCTATGGCACACTCACAAACGAAAATTGTATTTAGCTTTATGTATTTTCTTTTTTATCATTTCTGTTATCTCGCTTTTTTTTGTATTATGTATGTTGTAATTTATGTGCTGTAAGTAAGTAATGCAAATAAATTATCTATCTATCTATCTAACTGATCTGTATTTTCACTCTTACCTATCATCACTCACTGGTGCTTAGCCAGCGTATACCCTTAACGCAGACAGGCTAACCATTCCTTTGTAATTCATTAAAAAAATAAACACTTTAGTCAGGGGTAGATTATTAGTGAGAGACTAAGATTACCGTATTAGATTGACTTCCAGTTCCCCTTGAAGACCATCGTAGTGATTCTTGTTGAATTCATTACGATAGACTAACTGAACTGCTTACATCCTCACCTGTCTTTCTGTGCTACACTAATGCATGCCGATAGCGCAATGAAGGTATCATTCTATTTTCACCCATACAAAAAGACACTTTAATCAGGGAGGTACGGAATTGTTAGTAATGGAGAATAGTAATTCCATTACTAGCCAAATCTCTCGTCGAAGTTTAGTCAACTTAATTGCCATTCTAAGTGTTTGTTCACATAGACCGACTTGGAGAGAGAACGCAATCAAAATTTGCAAACTTTTTGGAGTTACTCTGTTTGAATAATATTGAAGGAATTGTTAGTAATACGGACCACAAATCTTATTGCTGGTAATATACTCTGGCAGGTCGACCTTCACGTGGTCCCCCTGAAAACCATCATGCTGTATTCCAGGTTTATTCATAACGAAGGGCTACTGACTTACTTTTTCATTTTTACCTATTGTTCCTCACTGGTGCCCCATCAGAGTATACCATTAGCACAGATGGGGTTACCATTACATTATTATCCATTAAATTACGTACTGACAGACTAGAAATGCAATCACAAAAACGAGATAAAAAAAATTATTAGTGTGCGTATTTTATAATTGTGTGCATGTGACAGTTCTGAATTTATATAAAATTAAAGCTGTAAAAATTTTTACAATTTACATATATGTTATAATGTTAATTTCAATTCGTGGATTCGTAGAGTTCAATATTGGGAGTTGATTTAGATTAAATTATATTTTATTTAAAAAAATAAATGTTCAAAACACTATTACTCGAAAAATGTGCATTTTCCATGACTATTCCTATTTTATGTTATATCCCCTAATAGCATAATTAACTTTAACTGACTACGTCTACTAAGAACTAATTTCATTTTAAAACTTTAAAATAATTAAAATTTGTTTTGCTCATACTCCCGCCAAATCAGCTTCGAGCTTATATTGTGTGGGGGAGTGTCCTACTTATATATCTAAAGCGAGAGATATAAGTAGGATATGAAGTATGTGTTATTTTTCCCCTTTTAACATTACCCATTTATATAATTTATAATATAAATATAAGATTTCATTGGGCACTAAACCGTATAAAAAAAATCACATGCAAACTCTCAAAAATTCTCTTTCCCCCTTAACTACATACTAATTGAATTAGATTATTTGTTTTAGCATTGTTATCACTGGCTTCCCAACGGGCGGAGTATTTAATACTGGAGTGGTCGGGCATAAGGTGGCTGCAGCAGCTGGTAGAGTACTGGAAGGAGCACGAGCGAGGCTCGCTGCCGGGCCCCATCGAGTTCACAGTCATCATCTACATAGCAAGTAAATTTAAGTCTGTTGCATGCTTTATATATAATACTCGTGCCAGCTTTTTTCGTTAGTCAATACGTAAACTATCTTATATATTAAGGTAAGATATAACCTAACCGTGTACCAAATTTCATGTACCAAATGTGTTGGATAGTTTTTGCGTAAAAGTGTGCGCGAACTGATTTGTCGGATCCACGAAATAAGTGACTTTTTGGCCGACCCAGTAAATTGCGTCATATTTCACTTGATGCATTTATAAATGAAGATCTTTGAATCTATAATCATATTTATAAACATGACGGTATTATTTAAGATTATTCTCCATATTATAACACATATTTAAAAGGGAGGGAGGGATTGTTAGTAATGCGGACTACCATTCCCATTGCTAGCAATATACCCTGTCAGGTCGACCTCCACGTGGTCCCCCCGGAAACCATCGTGCTGAATTCCAGGTGTATTTATCACGATGGGTTAACTGATCTGCTCATTTTCACTTATCATCTCTCACTGGTGCCCCGCCAGTGTATACCGATAGCGCAGGCGGGGTTACCATTCCATTATCATGCATTAAAAAAAACACATACTTAAATTATATAGATAGAGTCTCAAGCCTCAAAAACGAGTAACTTTTTGTCAGCTAATTGTCAAATTAGCTGACTCGCTATTTTATCAGTATTCTATATATTTACGCATATAAACTTGTGTTGACATATTATTTAATATATAAAAGACGTATTTACGCATTAAGAAAATAAAATAATTTAATAAGACAAAGTAAATATAGAAGTTATAAAGGAATCACTCATAACTATTTATCACGCAAAGTTGTATGAATAAGTTGACCCGTTTTTCTCGAAGCATTTGTATGTTGACACTATATGTATATAATCTAAGAATACACTATAGATAAATATAAAATGAAACATTTTAAAATTCTTAAGTTTTAAAGTGTCGCACTATGCAGAAATATAAAAATTAATTTGAAAGTGTCTTCGATGGTAGTGATAAAGTTTTATGTCTGAAAACTGAATCCGGGTCACTTGCTAACGACCAGAAACACATCGTACAAACAAATAATTTAAAATGGTACAGTTGTTTTATTGCAAAAGTTTTTTAATGCAGAGTGCGGAGTTATTCAAAGTAAGAACAGTCTATCGAATGAAGATATTTTGTTTAGTATACTAATTTATACTCAATGTATATATATACTACTATTATACTCACATATACGTTTTGTATTTAAATATTAAATATTTTAACGAGTCCTAAAATATGAGAAACTTATTTTTTTCAACAAAATTTAATTAAGGTTAATTATGGTTGGCATGTGGTCCAACTAAGTGAGGGCGGGGGATGGGCATTAGCGTCCATCTTAAAACGTATCCAAAGCCTAACTGCGGTTGCCAATCCGCCTACCAAATGTGGCAAAACCCCCAAGAGGGTAAAAAAACATAAGTTCAGCAGTGGACAGTTAAAGGCTGGTATGATGATGATGATGATATTACAATATTATTATTTTATTCACAATTTAATTTATTTTTGTGTTCATTTTTATTATATGTTATTTAATTTATTACTCTTATAAGTTGATTGTGGAAAGTTGACATATCTTTGTTGTTACACTCCTGTTATATTAAAGCAAGCAAACTCATGATATTCTTCAAGATAAAAAATGGCAGAAAATGTTATTTCAGACTTATAATTTTCTCTTCAAGGTAGACAAAAATTATATAATGTCACTTTTTGTTGCTTATTGCATTTGCTTTCTTCTATCGACGACTATTTGTAAATTTGTATCAACCGACTTGATTTTTTATCATTTTACACATATCGTCATAGTCGTAGAATACTGACGGATCTGACAAAGATTACATATAAAGATCCGTCAGTATTTTTTTTTTGTAATAGATGATAATGGAATGGTAACCCTACCCGCGCTATCGGTATACACCGGCGGGGCACTAGTGAAGGATGATAGGTGAGGATAAAGCAGGTCAGTTAGCCCATCGTGACGAATTCAACAAGAATTGTTCACGATGGTTTCCGGGGGGAATCACATGGAGGTCGACCTAATAAGGCATATTGCTAGCAATGGGGCTGTCAAACTCCATTGCTAACAATCCCTTCCCCCCCATCCGTCAGTATTCTACGACTATGACGATATTTCTAGGGTTCTTTAGGTAACTAGAGTACTAAGATAATATTACTAATAACTGTAGTCTTTTGTGATAAGTTAAAAATGTTTTTATAATTTCAACTGGGGAAAGTTGTTAAGGTGAACCAGAGGGAGACTTTGTACAAAAGTCGATTGCTTGGGTACCTCTGTCCCATTCGTGTTTCTATCGTGAAGCAGTTGTGTTTGCATGGCTGTGTGTCAGTTTAAAGGGTGGGATATGGCAATGAATTTACAGGGTACAGAGGAATAACACCTGAGTCCTAAGGAACGGCAATGCATAGGGGTATCATGGGCGAAACAGTATACGAGTACTCTGTTATGTCCATGCTACTGCTCATGTCTATAGGCGACGGTTACCACTTTGCTTCAGGTGGGCCGTCAGCTTGTTTGCCATTCTAAGATGTATAAAAAAATGTAGTAACTACTGGCTTTTTTTATGGTTGAGGTCTGTATTCACCTATGGACAGTTAAATACTATTTATGGTGATGATTGTATAGGTAGGTAATAGTATAACCCTCTAAATTTAATAGGTCTGCAGATTATATGAAATGATTTAAGTGAAGCAAGTTTTTAAACTTGATTACTTAATTTTTTTTAAATTGTACAAATAGAATTTTTAGTATTATTATTATTATGAACTGTTTCAGGTTTAATATGGGCAGAAATAAGAGCGCTGTGGACGGGAGGAATCATGGAGTATATAAGCGATCTTTGGAATATCGTCGATTTTATTACCAACATGTTCTATATAGCTTGGATTAGCTTGCGTATATCTTCTTGGTACATCGTTCAGGTTTGTTGGTTTTGTGAAAGACTAAATAAAATTGTGTATTTTTTGTGCAGCGATTACCAATGTTTATTTATCAAAATTATAGAACTTTAAAGGATTTTCAATAAGCATAGTGTAGTACAAAAGGCAACCTTGTTGATAAGCAATCTCTTCTTGTTTTTCCAAAATTTTGGGAACACAAAGAGAAAGAGACTTTGTACAAAAGTCGTTTGCTTGAGTACCTCTGTCCTATTCGTGTTTCTATCTTGAAGCAGTTGTGTTTGCATGGCTGTGTTTCGGTTTGAAGGATGGGATATGGCAGTGAATCTACAGGTACAGAGGAATAACACCTGAGCACTCAGGAATGGCAACGCATGAGATGTATCAGGAGCAAAACAGTGTACTCTGTTATGTCCATGGTACTGCTCATGTCTATAGGCGACGGTTACCACTTTCCATCAGGTGGGCCGTCAGTTCGTTTGCTATTCTAAGTTGTATAAAAAATAACAAATCTTATAATGATTGAATAAGTTATTAAAGCGACGCGATAACGCCTTAAAGAGGTCAACAAGTAACAAATAAACTCACTTTAACATTTATAATATTAGTATGTATGATACGACTCATCAAATATTATTACAACCTATTTGTAGAGAAATCTTCGACATTAGTTCTTGCTTAGAAAATCAACATTACTAAATAGTATAACAATTTTGATTGAAGCCCACACAGAAATTATGAACACTTACCCACCAAAACCTTCTAACTGACATTTAATTATTATAATAATATTGAGTTTATTATTTAAGTGTTTCATTAAATATATTGCTGGGGAAATTGTTCGCATTGATACCCGTTGCTGATTTTCACCACCGTACAACCCGCCACAAACTAAAGTTCCAAGCCAACCATCTAGATGAGTGACGGTCCTCCACTGTGTGTTTTTCATGGCACTTTCTTCCACGCACAACCATTCTTTGGGATCAACTTCCAACAACAGTTCGAACCGATACGACATCATAACCTTTAAGAAAAGAGCATATTTCTTTTTAAAAGACTGGCAGCGCATCTACTACCCTTCTGGTGTTGTAGGTGATCATGAGCGGTGGTAGTCACTTACCATCAGGTGAGCACATGCTCGTTTGTCCCTATGTTTTAAAAAAATTAAGTAAACTTTTGACATAATCGCACATAATTCACGATACGTCTTGAAACAAATCATGCTCACTATAATATCTAAATCGGAGGTGTCGTGGTAGGTTAGGTCGTTGAACTTTCGGTTATACGGTTGAACACAACGATAGGTAGAGTTCATCTGTCATACTCGTGACCGGTTGTTTCTAGTAGAGACTGGTCTATTCAAGAATATTGTGATTAATTGTAGTTAGCATTTTGTACATGTTTTTTAATTAATTCTATGGGTTGTTAATTTTTTGGTATCACCATAATTGTATTAAATTCAAAATTAAGAAATCTGTATCTTGAGATTGTCTGAAAGAGATTGATTTTAACGATAAGGCCGCTCATTTTTTTCTTAATAAGATATTTTCTTATAATATCTTTATTGATTTTTACTAATTTTACTACTACTACAATCTTTTAGAGTAGTAAATCTATTCTGTAAAATTTTCTACTGCAAAAGAAAATAATGTTAGTTAGGTGGTATTGGTGGTTAACTATCGTTCAGCATTTTATAATTAAATGGTACATTTTTCAGTGTTCCATATTGTTTGAGATCAAAGAAAAGCCTTGACTTGTCCATCTCACAACAGCTTTATTCAAATACATTTATACCAACAAAATACATATTTTCAATAAAAGGTTTATAAGAATAAACCTAAAAATAAATAATTTCAATATAATATATAATTATTTAATTTAAAACGTGCACTAATATTCAATCAAATTATTCGTATATATAAATGAACTGTTTTTATATTATTACACGATTAACGTTTTAGTTTACCAACAGGGAACTTTTTAAATAATTATTTAAAAAGATTAAAAATTGTTTTTGAAAATTACTCGTGACAAATTATTGTGACGTTGCCACACTTCGGTAAGCAATAGTTGTGAACTAGGGATAAGTAATATATTGCAATCTTTATATATATATATATATATATATATATATATATATATATATATATATATATATATATATATATATATATATATATATATATATATATATATATATATATTCGAACTATATATTGGTAACTATAATATCTATATGTATTAGTCCAATAAAAGACATGATACATATTACTTGTCTAATATATAATACTGAAATAAAGCACCCATTTGAAACGAATGAAGATAACCGATTCGATATCTAAGATATATTTAGATATCGAATCGGGACCCATATTACCTATACCTATTATGAACACTTATTTTAGCTACTTTTATTTTACCACAGCGAGACTACAAAAGCGGCATGGACCCATGGTACCCTCGAGAGCGCTGGGACTCCTACGACCCCATGTTACTATCTGAAGGCGCATTCGCAGCTGGCATGATCTTCTCCTTCTTAAAACTGGTGCACATCTTCTCCATCAACCCTTACTTGGGGCCGTTGCAGGTGTCTCTCGGAAGAATGATACTGGACATCTTGAAGTTCTTCTTCGTGTATATGCTGGTGCTCTTCGCTTTTGGATGTGGTAAGTTATTAGGTATAATACAGAGGAATAACACCTGAGTCCTCAGGAGTGGCAACGCATGGGAAGTATCATGGGCGAAACAGTATACTCTGTTATGTCCATGGTACTGCTCATGTCTATAGACGACGGTTACCACTTTCCATCAGGTGGGCCGTCAGCTTGTTTGCCATTCTAAGTTGCATAAAAAAAAAAAAGTTATTAGGTATATAATCATGACGAACTTGATGATATAACTTCTACTACATATTACTACATACAGTTGAAGGTTCGATTCCTGCACAATACAAACTTTTAAATTCATAAGTATACCTGTTTGTATTGTGTGTGTATGTGTTTTTTTTATGGGTGAAAATGGTATGGTAACCCCGCCTGCGCTAACGGGATACGCTGGCGGAGCACCAGTGAAGGGTGATAGATGAGAATGAAAACAGGCCAGTTAGCCCATCATGATGAATTCATCAGGAATTAACCATGATATTTTCCAGGGAGAACCGCGAGGAGGTCTCGACCTGGTTGGGTATATTGCTAGCAATGAGATTCTCAGTCTCCATTCCTAAGTTGGGAAAAGAAAGTAGCAGTCGGAAAGTCGGTCTAAAAAAAGGCAAATGAGAACAATCAAGCATTAAAAAGAGTGGCAAATATTATTTTTGTCCAAAATGACAAAATTTCAAGATGACAAAGTTAGTTAAAAGACTATGACAAAGTTATATTATAAGTATCTAAGCCAGTGATTCTCAACCTTTTTTTTTTTGTTGCGGCACATATTTAACGATTTCAAAATTTGGCGGCACACAAAGAAAAAGATAAAAATTATTTACTTACTACAACACACTGCATAAATAGTTTATGACAAAAATTTTAAATATTTGCAAAATTTGGCGGCACACAAAAATGCCGCGGCACAATGATTGAGAATCACTGATCTAAGCCATTAATTTGAATAGTCATTTGATCATATATATTTTTTATTGGGTGATAAAGGAATGGTAATCCCGTCTGCGCTCGGTATAAGTTGACAGGGCATCAGTGATAGATGATAGGTGAAGATGAAGGCAGGTCAGTTAGTCTATTATGTAGAATTCGACATGAATTAACCTTGATAGTTTCCAGGGTAACCACGTGAAGGTTGAGCTAATAAAGTATATTACTAGCAATGGAGCTGTTAGATCCCTTTATTAACAATCTCTTTCCTCTGCATATAAATCAATAAATAAATGAATGAATGAATAAAAAGTCTTTATTATTCCCTTCGAAAAATAATACAGATTATAAAGATTAACAGTATGAACAGAAATAAAATGAATAATTTTTTTTTTTATACAACTTAGAATGGCAAACAAGCTGACGGCCCACCTGACGGAAAGTGGTAACCGTCGCCTATAGACATGAGCAGTACCATGGACATAACAGAGTATACTGTTTCGCCCATGATACCTCCTATGCGTTGTCATTCCTGAGGACTCAGTGTTATTCCTCTGTACCATGTAAATTCACGCCGTATCCCACCCTTCAAACTGAAACACAGCCATGCAAACACAACTGCTTTACGGTTGAAATACGATTGGGACAGAGGTACCGAAGCAATCGACTTTTGTACAAATTCTCCCTCTGGTAATTACATAAAAGCAAGAAAAAGAGACAACAATGGGCGACCTTATCGCTAAATAGCAATCTCTCCCAGACAACCTTAGGATGGAGAGGAATGATTAAAATTGTGTCTAGTCAAGGCGTAACAGAAAAATAATGAAACAAAAACTAAAAAACGTTTGATCATGTTTAAATCATGGGAGAGAACGAAATCAACTCGACAGAGTCGCAGTATGGCGGAAAGTTAATTCTTTTCCTTTTCTAATCCTTTTATTCGTCCTACGTCTTGGAATACACAAAACACAATAATTGGACCATTGCTACGTAATCGTTAGCAACTTTCGTATTTAGTTAAAAATTGAATCGTTCATTACTAATTGGGGGCCTACAATCAAAAATGAAAAGAAAAGATTTTATAATTGAATATGGCGTAAAAAGTTAGAGGAGAAATTTATTAAAAACAATAAACTTTTAATTTGGATAATTGATTAATTAACATCGACGAGAAACTTTCTGAAAACAGGTCAATTCGGTAATCCTAGTAGAATTACGTATATAAATGTGAAAATTCGAATGTTTCAAATTTGTATATTTCAGTGCCATATCTCTTTACTTTTCAAACCGAAACAGACATATAAATACGTTTATCTGCTTGATAGGCATGCTTAATATCAGTACTGTTCCGATATCTATATATTGGGTTCTACTATATATTCATGATGGATAAAAGGTAAATAACCTTTTTTGATATTGCCAATATCAGTTTTAATATAGGCAATATAGGCAAACAAACATACGGCCTACCTGATGGTAAGCGGTTACCATAGCCTATGAAAGAAAGCCATACCTCTGGTATTGCAGACTTTCATAGGCTTCATAGGCATACGCGCGCGTTGCCGACCCTGAAGAAACCTCTTTACCCCGCTTTTGAAGAACCCCATGCTGTAGTCTCTTGGGAAAACCTCGGTAGGGAGCTCATTCCATAACCTGAGTAATCATGGGAGAAAACATCTCTGAAACCGCGTTGTACGCGACCATTTAAGCTGTAAGGTATGAGGGTGAACTCCCTTTCGATGGTGAGCCGTACGATGATTTCCTTTATGAACACCTAGGTATCGACAAAAATCTGCTACCGATAGTGTCGAATGAAACAACCACAATACGGTAAGAATGATAGGATAGTTTCAATAATCCTCTCTAAGGGCAGGTCATCAAAACACAAGAAAACCTTAACAGCGACTTTTTTATCGTCAACAACGCCATCTAGTATCTGTTTTCAAACTAAATTTTCGATATAAAAAAATACATTTCTTAAACACTTTATTTGCATTAAACATATAAAAGATTATCAAATCACTTGCAGTATATGCTACTACCAACCTTGTCGTATCAATTTATTTCACAACAAACTTCTTTTTTACTCAAGGTCTAAATCAATTGATGTGGTATTACGCTGAATTGGAGAAGAACAAATGTTACCACGCTCCAAACGGGCTCCCGGACTTCGACAACCAAGAACGAGCTTGCACGATATGGAGACGATATGCCAAGTACTTTTTTTTTTATTTGTATTTTTTCAGTAGTAGGTTAACACCCGTCTCATCTACCCATAGTTGTAAATTCGATACTCGAATAACACAAACATTTGCATTCTTAAATAGATATGTATGTTTGTATATTAATAAGAAACGATACTTAGAGTTGTTGTTCCTTATTTTTAATTGTCAATTTACAATTACATAAATTCATAGATTATAAAAAATTCAAATATTATTTGAAAAATATAGGTATCAGATTTATTGCTCGAGTAATAAAAATGAATATATACAAATGCTTAAAACTAAATTTGTCTACCTATTTGTATATCTATTTTATTCTGTATATAATTTGCGAATTGTATGAAATTAGGAATAAATTGCCTTGTGGTCCTGACATAGAATAGGCTACCTCTACCTTTATATATATATATATATATATATATATGTATTTTATACAACTTAGAATGGCAAACAAGCTAACGGCCCACCCAAAAGTAGTAACCGTCGCCTATAGACGTGAGCAGTACCATGGACATAACAGAGTATACTGTTTCGCCCATGATGCCCCCCATGCGTTGCCATTCCTGAGGATTCAGATGTTATTCCTCTGTACCCTGTAAATTCACGCCATATCCCACCCTTCTAACCGAAACACAGCCATGCAAACACAACTACTTCACGGTAAAACACGAATGGGACAGAGGTACCCAAGCAATCGACTTTTGTACAAAGTCTCCCTCTGGTAAAACTGTATCACATACATTACCAATTTTATCCTAATTTTCAGCTTGTTTGAAACCTCACAGTCCCTATTTTGGGCATCTTTCGGCCTCGTCGACCTGACGACCTTCGAGTTGACCGGCATCAAGAGTTTCACCAGATTCTGGGCACTACTCACCTTTGGCTCTTACTCGGTCATCAACATCATTGTACTACTGAATATGCTGATCGCGATGATGTCCAATTCGTATCAAATCATCTCTGTAAGTAATTATGTGCACACGATGAGTAATCTTAGCTTTACTGTTTGTTTGTTTGTTTGTTTGTTTATTGATTATTATTATAATTTAATTGCTTTCTGTTTATATACAATTTTTTTGTTTGTTTGTCTTGATTTCTTTTGTTTTTGTTTTGTGCGCTACTGTGTGGACCGCATGCTCCTTCGATTAAATTCTTTCTTTCTTCTTTAATTAGGTAATCTACTTATTTGCCGTTATCGTTCAAAAACTAACCTCTTTTAAAAAGGGAAAAAGCGTTGTTAGTAATGGGTACTAGTATAAATTTACATGGAATCAATAAAAAAAAATTAAAAATATTTTTCTAATCGGTTTACAACTGACTGCATTATAATGAAACAATAAAAATACTAAATTGAGAACCTCCTTCTTTCTGAAGTCGGTTAAAAATATTTGAATATATTCTAAACTTTTGTTTCATATTCTGTTTACATTTTATTTGTATTAATATAGGGATTTTAATAAATCGAAAAAGAAGAGAAACATAAAACACTCGTTATTGTTTTATAGTTAATTCAAAATTGCTTTGTTGGATAAATTATACTGAAATTTAAAAAATATTTATTTATTTTTAAGTTATTCACAATTTAATATAACTTATCTAGTCTATGGTATTTAAATAAAATATTTTTTTTATCTATTATATGATATTCAGGAACGAGCAGATATGGAGTGGAAGTTCGCACGCAGTAACCTCTGGATGTCATACTTCGAGGACGGGGACACCGTTCCCCCGCCGTTCAACATTATCATTACACCTAAACACATCGTCTGTTGGATCAAACATTGCTTCAGTAACGCGAACAGAGGATCTATTATAGTAATTATATATTTACTAGTCTTCACCCGCGACTTCCTTCGGGTGTCCGGGATACATAGTTAGATAGATACTCTTTATTGTTTCCTCCAAATGATTACAATAGTAAACTTATTATAGATGTAAACAATTACAAGAAATGATCACAGTAAGAAAAAATTGAGCGGCCTTATCGCTAAAAGCGATCTCTCCCAGGCAACCTTTGGATGGAGAGGAATAATTATAAACAGTTTGTTAGGAGGCACGATGATAATTGTATTATTTTTAAATATATGTTGATTAACCGACATAACAAGTAACCTATCTAATAAGTATCTCCTTCTCCATCCCAAATAGTATGTATATACCAAATTCCGTGGAAATTGGTTCAGCCAATAAAACTAGAATACAGAAGGTGACAAACAAACAAACTGGTCATGGAAGATATTTGAGGAAAATTTATGTGGTTTTAATAAAAGCAACGTATTGGCTTACAATCATTTTCGAACATTTTATCTGTTTATTTATATAAACAAATAAAACGCTATAACGTAAAAACGATTCCATCAAATTGGATGCGATTGGGGGGAAAGGGATTGTTAACAATGGAGTTTGACAGCCCCATTGCTAGCAATATGCCCTATTGGATCGACCTCCACGTGGTTCCCCCTGGAAACCATCGTGAACAATTCTTGTTAAATTCGTCACGATGGGCTAATTAACCTGCTTCATCCTCACCTATCATCCTTCACTGGTGCCCCGCCGGTGTATACTAATATCGCGAGTGGGGTTACTATTTCATTATCACCCATAAAAAAAAAGCAATAAAATAAAAAAAAAATTGGATTTGATTTTCACAGTTGTGTCCCTGGAAGTCTAAGTTGAAAATTGGTGCGGTATCTTGATATGCCATATTTCTTACTTTTGAAATTTACTCATACGAAGTAGCGTAGCGTAATATAGAAATATAAATATTTATATATGTTATTAAAACTACTTGTACTATAGCTTAGTAACACTTACTATATCTTGGGGATGAGAAGAAGTAGAAAGGAGTGTACGATGCTCGCCTTTAAGATACTGCTTCAAATATGATTCAAACGCATACATATAATGCTCATTTTTCATAATTACAGAACAAATCACGGGAAAAAGCCCGTCAACAACACGAAGCAGTGATGAGGGTGTTAGTCCGCCGGTACGTGACAGCCGAGCAGCGGGCTCGGGACGAAGTCGGCGTTACCGAGGATGACGTTATGGAGATCAGGCAGGACATATCCACGCTAAGGTTCGAGCTGATAGATATACTCCACAACAATGGTATGAAGACGCCAAGACTGAATATGCAGGATAGTACAGGTCAGTGATACATTCATAATGGAATCCTAAAAGGTGATGATTATAAACAGGTCTATTTTAATAAAGATGAATTTGAATTTGATCTGTCATCAATAATTTACAGAGACATACAGAAATGTCTTATTTACGTTCAGCTGATATAGATTGAATAAGACCAATATTTATTCTATGTTATTTAGATGATGAAACGGCACGTGAACTTTTCTCTTTCCTTCAAGTTTAAAAATGGATAAAATTTTATTTAAAGATATTTTTTATGATACTCAAAATGGTAAAAATAAATAAATGGCAAACAAGCTGACGTTTGAAAGTAATAACCGTCACCTATATACATAAACAGCGATATGGGTATCACAGAATATACATACTATGATTCTAATTTCAACCCTAATGCGTTGCCATTTCTGAAGGCTACAGTGTTCTGATGATGAAATATAGCCATACAAGCATAGCTGCTTCACAACAGAAATACAAATGGTACAGTTGTACCCAAGAGATCCCAGATAACTTCTGTATAAAATATCCTTCTGATGGAATATTTAAACGTACACATTTAATACACATTGTTAACGTGATTTGTATGGAAAATAAAATTTCAATGTTAAGACTCTTGTGACCATATTTTTGGAATTTTCTAGTATCTGGTAAAAAAGGTAAAGTGATGGAAAGAAGAATATTAAAGGATTTCCAGATCGGCATCGTGGAGGGAATCATTAAAGACGTGATATCAAGGGAGAACAAACCGAAAGACGTGTTCAGTCAGATTGCGAAAGCCATTGTGAGGAGAGGAAGTCTTGATAGGTAACACAATTTTTTTTTTCCACAAAAATATTTCGGTTCATAAAAGGGCATCTACGTCAAACATGGCAAAATCAGTTATTTTGATTAAAAAACTACCAAAGCAATTTTATTAAAAATTTCTATGGGTTCAATCTGAAAGTATAATGTTTCAGATAAAAATATTCCAAATCTATTTATTAATGACAAAGTTATGAGTTAGCAAACTTATAAAAATACTAATGAACTGAGAACTTCCTCCTGTTTGGAAATCGGTTAAAATCTACGATTTAATAATTCGCAGTATTCTTTTTTACTTTCCATATTGTTGCATATTTTGAGATGCATGATTCTTCTGAGATGTCAAAAGTTATTCTTAATTCTTTTGGCCTTCTAAAATTTTACTCCATAAATTTGGTAATCTATCTAAAATCGTTTAAAAAACAATCAAATTATAATCCAATTTTTTTTTAAAGCAGTTCTGATTAATTACTACGCTAACATAAAGAAGGCTAAATACTTAAATAAATACGTAATATATTAAATAATAGTCTCAGTCTCTCTCAAGTCTCAGCCCAATACCTCAACTAATAGATCACAAAGTTCGTGAATTCAATTTTAGCCAATACCAAAAACTTTAAATATTTTAATTTAAGATATGGTCATGTCGAGCATTATGTTCACCACAACGGCAAGAATCGACAAATGTCTATAACTGGAGGGGAAGGAATTATCATTAATGGGGACTACCAGCCCCATTGTTAGCAATATACTCTGTCAAGTCAAGCTTCTAGCAGAGTCCCCTGGAAACAGTCGTTCTGAATTTCAAGTGTTTTCGTCACGATGGCAGGTCAATTACCCAATTGAGCCTTTTTATCCTCACCTATCATCCCTCACTGGTGCCCCGCAAGCGTATAGGTACCGTTAGCGCGAGCTGGGAAACCATTCCATTATCATCCATTAAAAAAATGCTTGTGGCTACCCCATCTGATATAATATATACTTATTTACATTTTTTTTTAATCAATACAGTAAAAAACGCGACTGGAATGCCCTTGTACGAAGCAACACAGTACGGCGGGACCCCATCGGAACCACAGCAGAGGCGCTTACCAGACGCAGCCGACAGTCCCTCAGGATGCATATCCTGGAGAACGTATCCTCGCGCACTATCGACCCTCAAAAATTGTTAGGTAACTATAGATCACATTTCATTTTTTTATCAAATCTACGAAATTGAACTTTAGACGTTAAACTTAGTAAAACATATAAATAATTAAAAAAAACTATTTTTTTATACCATTGAGGTGGCAAACAAGCATACGGCCTACCTGATAGTAAGCGGTTATTGTAACCGTAATGGTGAAAATTAACGGTAATAAATATATCCCAATCCTACACAGCCCATAATTCCCAGCCTACACATAATAATGCTCTTTTTTTTTATATTTTCCTTTCAGAATACAATCCAAAACTATCAGAAGTGACTCCAACTACACGGGTAGCATATGCCAAGTTTATGAGAAGTAAAATCAAGTCAGACTTCACGGCTAGAGAGAAGTTGAAATCGGTGGGAGATATAAGCTTAGAGGACGAGGTTTTTGAAACGCCAAAAAGACATGACACTAAAAGACAAAGTCGTAAGTATACTGATTATAAAGACTTCAATCATTATCATCATCACCATGTCAGCCTTTAACTGTCCACTGCTGAACATAAGCCTCTCTTTATGCCGCTGTCTATCTCTCACCCTCCCTCAGTCGCCTCTTACGACACCCACGGCAGAGATAATATCCCACGAGAAATATATATATATATATACATATATATATTCTTTATTGCACTTATAAGTTACATATAAAATAATATATTTATACAGGTTGTGAGCAAGGGTGGACTTAATTTAATGATTTTAAGATTTGACAGTTCAATTATAAAAATACAAAAAAAATATTACTCAAGGGAAAGAAAATGTGATTTCAACCTCTTCTTGAAAGAGGTAATAGAGGGACTCTCTTGTATGTGGGAAGGGAGTTTGTTCCATAACAGGACAGCTCGATACGAGAAAGAGTTGCCCATAAAGTGTCCTACACACAATATAATCGTTTACTAAACATGTAGATACATACATGATAGGTAGGTATTATATTTACTTATAGTATGTATACGTATTTATGTACTATTTTAATATTTCACTTAACAGTTAAGTATATTTGTTTATGTATTGATTGGTGTTAATAGTAATTCGTATTCTAAATATTAACAGTTGTAGCTCTTTAGCTACCCGCTAACGACATGATTTCTAACTGCATTAGGTTGAGTGAAAAAGATCTTTGTCAGAGATAAGTCCACCCTTGCTCACAACATTTATAAGTGCATTAACAATGTAATTTACAAATGAAATAAAGAATATATATATATATTTTGAACTCATATGATCCGTAGAGAATTCTCAGTATAATTCAAAGACGAACTTATTGATAAGTATGTGTAGTAATATAATTTTTTTGGGACTTATACTGTAGGAAATAAATACGAAACAAAGATTACTCTGACCTTATTAATGTGCATGTAGTTCTTTACTTTTCTCAGCGTTAAGAATGATTTATTCTATCTATTCTATCTAGCAGAGGGAGACTTTCTACAAAAGTCGATTGCTTGGGTACCTCTGTCCCATACGTGTTTCAACCGTGAAGCAGTTGTGTTTGCATGGCTGTGTTTTGGTTTGAAGGGTGGGATACGGCGTGAATTTACTGGGTACAGAGGAATAAAACCTGGGTCCTCAGGAATGGCAACGCATGGGGGGTATCATGGGCGAAACAGTATACTCGATTATGTCCATGGTACTGCTCATGTCTATAGGCGACGGTTACCACTTTCCATCAGGTGGGCCGTCAGCTTGTTTGCCATTCTAAGTTATATATAAAAAAAAATATATTATTATTAACTTTTACATAATTTATTATGTAATTCTTACTGCTATTATGAGAATAGATGGATGTTGACTTTCACACAAAAAGTACTGATTTATATACTGATTCTCGCAGAAAAAATCACGGAATACAGCTAATAGATAGATACTCTAATCTTATATATATATTATATACGCATACACAATTCAATTACTGAGCTAAACTGTTTATTTACATAATCGATAGTCCAATTTCTATCCCAATATATATTGCGAGATCGTATTATGTATATGTGGATATAAAAAATAAATAATTATTTAATCTCTCCTGTCTCATTTATTTGCCGTTATCCGTATATATTAATAATAAAATCGTAGCAAATTGTTTGAGTAAAACTACATTCGTAAACTAACTAGCTATATCCTGGAACTTTGTCTGCGTAAATAATTTAGCACATAAAATATTTAATATTTTATGTGCTAAATTATTATATACCTTACATACGTACCAAATTTCATTCGAATCCATTAAGTGATTTTTGCATAAAAGAGTAACAAACATCTCTCCATCCATCCATCCACCCATCCATTCATCCTTACAGACTGACGCATTTAGAATATTAATAGGAAGAAAAAAAATCATCAATTTTGTAAACCTTGAATATTTCCCCTAATACTGGTTATTTCCTGTAGTTTTAGCCTTAATCTCAATATCTTCTGTACTCGCTCTGATTTCGGAAAATATTTGTATTTTATTTTAAGGACCCCTATGAATAAATCAGTTTCTCCGATTAGGTTGAATTAATTAATAATTCTATTGTAAGTATACAAACAGTCGGTAAAAGTCCCTTAATAGTTTAAGGTTTAAGGTTTTAATTAAAACTCAAACAAATTATTACATTTTATAACATTTAGTTATTTGTTACAGATCAATCATTCCGAAGCAGAACACCTATACTCGAAACATCAGATGACGAATGTTTAAAAGATTATGAAATTCAAGTAGAAGCATGTATTGAAGACAAAGGTAATGTCTAAGATCGCCAACAAAATTTCAGTAATGAATTAATAACAGTATATCGAATTAATTTACCTTATGTTTTGAATATCTTAGGTTCTGAAGGTGGAACTGAACGAACAAGACCCTTAAAATCTTCATCGCAAGAACCATCTGAGCCTTGCACACCTGATTTTGACCCGATCAACGATAAACTGTTCACTGCAGTTAAAGACCATGTCATCCAGATAGATGAACCTGAAACACCAACTAAAACGCTGTGTATGACTAAAGACGAAGATACAAACTTGCAAACACCTATTACGCCAACACCAAGTGTACGTTCTGAACAGATCCTATCTGCCTCCGCTTTGGATGTGCAGTACAAACAAATGGTTACCCCATTTGTATCTGATGAAAGTCATTCTTCAGGCCAAAAGCCTAGAAGCCCAGTACTGTCCACTATAAGTGAAAAGCAATTAGTAATATCTAAACCAAAATCTAGATCAATGTTGGGTAGTCCTAAAATCTGTCCCTCGTCATCACCCACACCTGACCAAGGGAAATCCAAGGTAACGGGGAAATTTGTGTCCGGTTGGCTATGAAGATATTACATTAATTTATAAAATGACCAACACTGACGTATTAGTGAGAGTATAAATATTGTTAGAGCAATAATTAGATGTAGACATTGATAATGATAGATTTAATAAAATGCACTTGATTGTTATGTACTTTAAGCATCAATACAGTTATTAAAAAATTATAATGGATATATTTATATTGGAAATAAAAATAACTGAGTCTAATTAATATTAATTAATATCATTCAACGAAAATTCCTTATTTTAGTTAATTTCAAACTTTCGCGTTGTTTTCACATATTTTAAACGCGATGAAACAACCTTGGCGTCTTCGTCTGACAGCTCGCGCAATCAATAATAATAGTAACAACGTGAGGGTATTCGAAGAAACTGCACGAGCTGCCAGACGAAGAAGCCGCTCACTTCGGTCCTGTCGTGACCACGACGTGGTACAATCCACATCGAAACGTTGGCAATAAAGAAGCAGATATATATTTAATATTTACCTGCAAAGATTCCTTCATCGCGTTAAATTTCGATTGTGAATTAAAAATGTTAATCATTTTGTTTTAAAAGGCCTAATATATCATCTGAAAGATACTTCAAGTACAATATTGCACACAATTAGTTCAATATTCTGTATTGTTGACGAACTATGTATGAATAATTTTACATATTAAAATAAAACGTTTGCATTTGACATTTTTTTGTTTAATTTTCCCCTAAAATAATAGCTATCGCAAAATACTTTGATATTTCTTCAAACGTAGGGTGCGTTATTATTTGTGAACAATCGTTTCCTTTGATCTGATTAGTAACTCAATAGCCCAGGGCGTTTTATAAATTATCGCTTATATAATATTATTTAAACCTTTTTATCACAACTCAGTGACAACTGTGGGTTGGTGTCCAAGAAATCCTTTAAATATTGCAACGGTTTCATACCAAAACATATCGTGTATTTTTGTTTAAATTAATTGTAGGTTTTAAAATGAACTAAAGACTTAGCATTTTTTAATATGAGACATCAAGAAAGATTGAAGTAGCTTTTATTTCACGCAATAAAAATACCGATTCCACTTTAACAAAAAATAATGTAAACAACCAAAAATGACAAAGATATCACGAAACCTAACGAATCATACACATATATATATATATATATATATATATATATATATATATATATATATATATATATATGAAAAAAAATATAGTCCAATTAAAAACTGGTAAAGTTTGTTAAATGTAAAAAGTGTATAATAATATAAACCTATACATAATAAACTAAGTTTATAATTTTGATTGAAATGTATTAAAAATTTGATTCATATTAAAAATTTAATTATTTAAATAAAAATTTTGCTGTGATATAAATGACTCTTTTAATTTTAGAAATAAGTTTAATGAATACCACCTCAGAATTAACCTAAATGTTTATTCTATAATGGTGTTTTATTTTTTTTATTTATGATAAATTTTAATAACTGGCAGCCCTTTCTCAAACAATCTTATTTCCATCAGAATAGTGTCTCTCATCAAAAATATTAAAATGTTCAAAATAATTGCTGACTCGTCTGACCTTTTATACAAGTCCATTAAAAGAGTGCCCACCTACGTGATTTGTGACCACCTACTTAGTTTTATGTTTTTTTTAATCATAACTCCTATGGCTCACCGCAGGTATTAAATTAGCCGTTATAAACAGAGGAAGGCTGTACAGATAATTTTTATCTGCTTCTATACCTCTGTTCCATACGTGATTCTACCGTGAAGTAACTATGCTTGCATGACTATGTTTCGATTTAAAAAGTCTACCTTTATACCATATCCCAATATGGCAGCGATATTACAGGGTACGAAGGCTTATAACATCTTCAGGAATGGTAATACATGAGGGATATCATAGGCATTGCGACATATTTTAAGACATCCATGGTGCTGTTCATGTTTCATAGGCAAAATAATTAGCCCTTTCTATCAGGGCCGTCTGCTTGTTTGCCAGTCAAGTATCATAAAAAACTATAATTTCCTTATTAATATCAGAACGCAGTCTGTTTCTCATTATATCAAATATGTAATTTATAGTTTGGCACCTTAGTTACCTACTACACTACATCCAATAATTAGGTATCTAGATTGAAATAAATGTGCAGATGTCAGGGATATTAGACAGTGCCCCAGCACAATAAATTTACTACACTGTGGTCCCAAATATACCATTCGATATTTCAATAACTTTTAATTAAGAGGGTTCCTAGTCTAATCTCTGATAAACAACAGAGTCCTTATTAAATCTTCAGAATGTATTTTTTTTTATTATACTTAATATAGCAAACAAGCTGACAACGTATTTGACTTGAACATCGTCTATAGACATAAAGATTGCCCTGTCATTCCCGGCAGATAATGGGCCACCACTTCCTTTCCCGTGGATGTCGAAAAAGGCGACTAAGAGGAATTCGTGCCCGAGAGATGGGCAGCAGCGTTCCTCTTAAAACATCTTAACAGTTACATCTTACGGAGTACAAAGGAATAAAACCTGAGTCGTCAGGAATGTCAAAACATGGGGGTATCATGGGCGAAACGGTATACTCTGTTATGTCCATGGTACTGCTCATATCTATAGGCGACGGTTACCACTTTCCATCAGGTGGGCCGTCAGCTTGTTTGCCATTCTAAGTTCCATAAAAGAAATCTCCAAAGCTTGCGGTTAGTAATCCGCCTGCCAAACGTGGCAACTATTGGCAGAAGCTCCCTTTATGGGGGAGGCTTATGGTCAGCAGTGGGCAGTTAAAGGTCGATATGATATGCACCATTTAGATACATCACATAAAGCATGTGTGTTGACAATGATACTCTTCCAGAAGTTGTAAGAACTCTGTAATATCTAAAAATATAAGAAACGCCCACACACAATATGATCTCAAAAATTTACTATCAGATTTTACACAAAAATGAAAAACGAGACAAAACTAGGATAGAAGTTAAAGAATAAAAGACCAAATAATGATATCAACTTTATTACAGACTTGATACAACATAGGTACCTATTAAAAATATGAAAAAGATTTACATAACGAGGAAAGTATGTAATTTATTATATTTACATAATAAAATAAATGGTAATAAAATATTACTCTATTATTTTGAAGTAGAAATAATGCCTATCACGAAATTATAGAGGGATAGTGAAATTCTATTACTGAAGGAAAAATATATTCTTTGAATAACGTAAGACAATAATAATGAAATAAGTAGAAACATACCGAATACTGATTTTCAACTAAACAAATTTTAGGCTCAAGTCTACGGAGCTTGTATTTGTCTCAAATTTTTTTTGTCTCGTTACGTCTTTCATCTTTTTGAGGTTCAGATATTAGTTGTTTAAATACTAATCCGGATAACCATTTCAAATCGTCCGGTATGTACATATGACCTAGATGGTCGCATACAACGCGGTTTCAGAGATGTTTTCTCCCACTAATACTCACTTGTATTATATTATATTATAGTAATTATATTATCTGTACTCAGGTTATGGATTGAACTTCCTGTCGAGGTTTTCCCAAGGGACTACATCATGGGGTTCTTCAAAAAGGGGCTAAAGAGGTTTCTTTCTTCTCTTCAGGGTCGGCAACGCACGCGTAATAACTTTGGTGTTGCAGACGTTCATAGGCTACGGTAACCGCTTACCATCAGGTGGGCCGTATGCTTGTTTGCACTATTTATATTCTACCACAAATGTGATTAATATATTTTAAACATATTTTTATCTATACATGTAAACGATACAAATTCTGTTTATAATTAAAAAAAAAGAATGTTGCGATAGTTTGGTCATTTGGAAAGGATGGATGAAAGAAGAATTACGAAAGAGATTTATCGAGCAAGAATGAATAGAGATGTCGGTAGGGGCCGCCCTAGATGGACGTATGTTGACCAAATAGGCGACGTACTGAAGAAGGGCCAAATTAAAAGTACCCGTAACCGGCGAGCGTGTATGAAAAGATTGATGAATGTGGAAGAAGCGAAAGAGGTTTGTTCGAATCGAAGCATTTGGCGTTCCATTGTTTCTGCCTACCCTAATGGGAGACGGTCGTGACGGATATGTATGTATGTATGTATGTATGTAATTGATATATATAAACCTATAATATTGTTTCCTCCACCACTTATGTAAGTTGAAATAATAAATCTGTATTTAAAAACTGTGCTATTAATGTTTAAACGTAAAATAACAAGTTTGTTTTTTTAAATATTTATTACTTATTCACATAAAGATTGGTCAAATAGTCATGATCAAATAAAAGTATTTATTAAAGTTTGATCTAATCAAACCCTATTGATATCACATATATTGTCAGATCAGAGATACATATATGGTCGTAAACTTTCAGTTTCTATGAACTTACATGAGATCAAAGTTTCCATCAAAAAAATCAAGTCTATTGTAAGTTACGAGGCCAGTAATGTTCGGTTTACTATAGCGAGTTTAAGTAAGGGTCGAATGCGGACTAACCCATGTCATGGAGTGTGAAGGGTTGCTTGAATCACAGCTCAAATAACACCATGTTTTATGAATTTTATTATGGTATAATATATATTGTTTATGGCTGAAGATATTGAATATATATATACGGGGTTTTTGCCCGTTTCGTCATACGTTTGGATTTTAAACTTAAAAAAAAAAAAACACTTCCGAATGAAAAAGAAAAAATAAAACGTACGCCAGTTTTTAACTTAGATCTCCAAAAACACAACTGTGAAAACTGCATCCAATTTGGTACAGTGTGTTTTATATAAACAAGCAGAGAAAAATTCTAAATACTATTGTTTTGACTTCTAAAGCTTAAAACCCCTCATATCGATGAACCATACAATTTTATTGCATTATTAAAATATGTATATACCCATCTGTAATGGAATCCATTCTGTATAACGAAATACTGGGGAAAAATCGTAATGTGTCTACATTATCGTCATAGTATCGAATGTCGAGTGGAGACGACGAAAGCGGTCTATCAGACATTCACATTAGTCATGAATTTGACGCTCTGAAACTACGCGCTCTGTTCGTACACTATTTGTCATTCTGCTGACACTATGCCGATTGTACACCGACTTATTTTTGACTTGTACACATATCTTATTGCGTATTTTTGAGGAACTTGGTTTTTTTTTTATACAACTTAGAATGGCAAACAAGCTGACGGCCCACCTGATGGAAAGTGGTAACCGTCGCCTATAGACATGAGCATAACATGAACATAACAGAGTATACTGTTTCGCCCATGATACCCCCATGCGTTGTCATTCCTGAGGACTCAGATGTTATTCCTCTGTACCCTGTAAATTCACGCAAATTGGTGGTGCATTTTACACATATTTTTTACACTTAATTTCCTTTTTTTTTTCTCATCGCAAATTCACCGTGAGTTCATTATTTTATCGTTATACATGTAGCGTAGACATCATATTGTGTAGTTTTGACGACCTTGGTGGTGTAGCGGCTTAACACAGTGCCTCGCTGTCCAGTGGTCGTAGATTCGAACTCCGCACAATTGGAACATTACGTATTAATGAGTACGTCTATTTATATTGGCCTGTATGTATTATACATATATATTTAAGATTTTTGCTTTTATTTCCATTTCCATTTGTTTTAATGTAGCAACAAATTGAATTTAATTTAAGTTTTCATGCAATTTTGGAATGAAAAATAATTAAATTATTATTAATCATTAAAAATTAAATAAAAAATAATGGTTAAGTCACAATGTAACTCAAAAATGTCTTTAAAATAAATCAACTGTAACTTACGCATATGTAATCTTTTTTTCTGTGTAAACAAAAAAGCATATAAAACTCTTTTATATTATATTATGTACTGCAATATGTCATCAAGTTCACAGCCTACAGCAATAATTATGTACATTTCAATAATGGCACTTACATTACATGCACTTATTAGATCCTTAAAATAAATCTATTTAAAAATGAAAGAGACATTCCTAGATTTTTTTATAGAGACTAAGGGAGGATGAGAGATGAGCAGCAGCATCCCTCTTAAAACATCTCTAAAACCTGACTATTGGCAAAACCTCCCCAAGGGGGAGGCTTATGTTCAGCAGTGGACAGTTAAAGGCTGATATGATGATGATGATGATGATTAATTATGTGGTTTAAAGCCAGCCAGTTTTTGGCTGTCTTTTAATGGTCTTCACGTCTTCCAGCTTCTTGATGGGGCGGAGGGGTTCCGGTGACGCCGGTGGTATCAACTGTTCAGTGCTTGATGTTGACGAGAGGCGCTTTGGTGGTGTTTGGGGCAAGGTCTGTTGAGGGAGATATCATATAACATCACGCCCGCTTCGAAATTCATCAATCACCCAATAATTAAAAAGTTTAATGTTTTTATATATCAATTTGCAATTAATAAACTGCTATGTTTATAACACAAATAGCATAGACATAGATATATACAAATAAAAAGAAAATAGAATACATACATACATACATAAAAGAAGCAATTTATTTTTTTCCTTTCGTGATTGATATATAATCTTTAGATTTTTATCCGACTTCAAATCGATCGATAATCGATAAAGTGATCGCGTGGCTTGTATGGAAATATTAAAAATTATTTCCTAAGGGAAAATTTCCTGAATACTATCTACTAATACTATCCCTAGTACAACTTTTCAAGTTGAGAATGAATGAATGAACCGTTTACGACTAATCCTATATTTAGGTATACTCACAGCTGGTTCAGAAGTAGAGGGCTGAGGAGAAGCCACCCTCGGCGCTGGTGTCGGAGCTTTGGGTGGTGAAGGGGGCTTCGCGGCAGGAATTGGAGACACGGGTGGAGGTTCGGCCGAGTGCACAGGGGGTGTACTCGGGGTCACCTCCATCACCGGTGCGGGGGGTGCCTGTGGAAAATAAAATATAACTGTACTTCTCTTAAAATCAAATTAAATAATTGTATGTAATGTATATATACATATATATATATATATATATATATATATATATATATATATATATATATATATATATATATATATATTTTTTTTATTATTGTATCAGCCATTAATTCTCTACTGTTGAAAATAGGCCTCTCCATTTTGCCAGTAGTTGGCACACTTGGCAGGCGGGTTGGCAACCGCAGTTAGGTTTCGATGATATTTTAAGAGGGTCGCTGCTGCTCATCTCTCAATCATTAAGTTCCCTAGTGGCGACTACTTACGACGTCCACGAAAAAGGAATTACAAATAATAGCCAAATTTACAAAAATTAGCCAAATTTACCAAATTTAAAATTTACAAATAATACCAAGTATACTTATACAAAATAATATAATAATTTTGTATAAGTATACTTGGGTATAAATAAATTAAAATAAATTGTATACCCTTAGTATAGGGACACAATTTATACGATGTATAATGAGTATGAGAGAAGAAAATACTTATGTCTCAGAGGCGGAGGTAGACAGCTTTACATCAGTCTACTCGTGACTACGGTCAGTGTAACCTGGTCGAGACGTCGAGATAATTCAGGTAAATTATTATAGTTTATGGATAGATCGGCCGTGTGGTCCCGGTATAAAATAGGCCACCCCTTCCTTTCCCGTGGGCAGCGTAAGAGGCGACTAAGGGAGGGCGAGGAATGGGCAGCAGCGTCCCTCTTAAGTCTCTGATATCTCTAAAATCTAACTGCGGTTGCCAATCCAGCTGCCAAGCGTGGCATTTACTGGCAAGAACCCCCAAGGGAGAGGCTTATGTCCAACAGTAGATAGTTAAAAGCTGATGTGATGATGATGGTGATCACCTAAATAAATTGCGTTAATTACTTTCTCTAATAAACCACGTTACTAACTTTTACACTACTTTCCAACCAACTAATAAAAGAAGGAGTGACAATATATTTATTTTATGTTTGTTACCTAATAACTCTATCGGTTCTAAACCGATTTGGAATATTCTCTCTTTAGCTGAAAGGATAAATTTACAGATTGGTCCTATTGAAGTTTTATCAAAATCGATTCAGTAATTTAGTTTTTAGATCAAAATAACTGTCACATTTGAAGTCGGTTATTTTTTGTGGGATATTATAATCTTTTTATACATTTTAGTTTTCAAAATGTAACATCATATTTGTCTTTAATTAAACGTTAAATTACCTTAGGTTTGACCGGTGGTGGCGGCGGTGGTATTGCCCCCTCAGTGGGCTTGATCTCTGGAGCTACCGGTCGCGCTACAACTATGTCCTCAACGGGCAGCTTCGTCTCCACATCAGCTAATATTTCCACCTGTGGGAAAGGGATTATAAGCAAAATACTATATTTTTGCCTTGCCACGACCGACTGAATCAATAGTCGCGATCGACCGGTTGGCCATCTCTGAACTAGCCATTTAACATGGGGGAGAATATAAATATTTTATCCCAGTAATTCTAATCAAGTCATGGATCCAGCTCAAATTAGTATAATTATACAAAATATAAAATAAAAGTATTTAAAATCACCCACTTAACAAAACCAGAGGGAGACTTTGTACAAAAGTCGATTGCTTGAGTACCTCTGTCCCATTCGTGTTTCTACCGTGAAGCAGTTGTGTTTGCATGGCTGTGTTTCGGTTTGAAGGGTGGGATATGGCGTCAATTTACTGGGTACGGAGTAATAACACCTGAGTCCTCAGGAATGGCAACGCATGGGGGGTATCATGGGCGAAACAGTATACTCTGTCATGTCCATGGTACTGCTCATGTCTATAGGCGACAATTACCACTTTCCATCAGGTGGGCCGTCAGCTTGTTTGCCATTCTAAGTTGTATAAAAAAAAACATCTCACCAAAGAGTTAAATAATATTATTATGCAAGAAAAAAATTGTGGATTGACAACACAGTGGACAGGTACGTAAAAATTTTTGTAGAATAATATTTATTAAATAAATATTTATAAGACAAAAATGACTGAAATGGCTGCCGATGAATACAAATGGCACGTCGATGGTTGTCCCACGACAAAATCTTTATTAGATTCCCTTTGTTATTTCAATTCTGTAATATTTTTTTAATGTATTTAAAAATCGATACTGCTTCAGAAGATTTTCGTCTCGCAAACACTAATCTCTATTGTTATAAAAAATGCCAAACTTCTAATATATAATTTTAACTATTAAGTATTTTAATTAAAAAATTTCTTTGCCCCTTGCGATAAATTTTCAAATTGAAAGAATGTTGTAAATCATTGTAATAGTTAAAATAGACATGTAAAAAGTTTTAGTTTTTGTAAATAATTATTTTTGTATGTATGGTTTGTTATGTATGGTTGTAAAATATGTTTCCTGTAAAGAAAAAGCAAGCTGAAGTAGCTATAGTGTTATGTACCCAATATACATATAACTTGATATATGAAGACTCTATCTATCAATCACATAATAAGTCAAAGAGATGTTATCATACAGCAAGTCGAGTAAAACATACCAGAGAGAGAGAGACTGCACAAAATACATTACAGATAACGTAGATACATTTGTTCTACTCGTGTTTCAAGAAATCATGCTTACAAGTCTTAAAGGGATTTAGATTTTTTTTGTACTACTTATAATGGCAAAAAGGTGACGGCCCACCTGATAGAAAATGGTAACCGTCGCCTATAGACATTAGCAGTACCATGGACATAACAGAGTATACTGTTTCATCCACGATATCCCCCATGCGTTGCCATTCCTGAGGACTCAGGTGTTATTCCTCTGTACCCTGTAAATTCACGCCATATCCCACCTTTCAAACCGAAACACAGCCATGCAAACACAACTGCTTCACGGTAGAAACACGAATGGGACAGATGTACCCAAGCAATCGACTTTTGTACAAAGTCTCCCTCTGGAGATTTGAAGAGATATGGCATTTAAATTACTGAATACGAAGTCAAAACACCTTATTCCTTGGGAATAGCGACGTATAAAGGACACCATGAGTAGCACAGTGCATTCTGTGACGCGCTGTTCATGTTTAAAGACGACGGTTACTTTCCATCGAACTAACAGCTTGTTCGCTTCTCTTGAAGTTGTATTAAACGCAGCGTCCACCTCACCTTCTCATCTCCAGGTTGCACAGGTGGCACGGGTGGCTTCCTCTTGATCACTTTCGGTGGTGATTCGCCCGGCACGCGCTTCGATTTCAGTGGACTTGGTTCTGAATACGTGTAAGATATTATAAATGCAAGAGTTGGATGGATTAACGATGGATAGATGAAAGACTAACAAACATCCATATGTTTGTAAGTCTTTCATGCAAAAACTACTGAACGGATTTGAATGAAATTTAGTACACGGGTAGGTTATATCCTAACTTAGTATATTTTATTTATTTTAAGTTTTTATTAAAGAAAATTCAACAGCTAAAAAACTTCATAATAAAAAAAGACAGTAAAGGCAAAAATCCAATTACAAATAAAAAAAATTTTTACAAATAAAAACATGATTTAACTAAATGCGCATGACAACGCAAATACTTACAATCAACTAAATTAAATTCAGAGTAACAACATTATAATAGTTTTTTTTTTTTTATACAACTTATAATAGAATGGCAAACAAGCTGATGGCTCACCTGATGGAAAGTGGTAACCGTCGCCTATAGACATGAGCTGTACCATGGACATAACAGAGTATACTGTTTCGCCCATGATACTCCCCATGCGTCGCCATTCCTGAGGACTCAGATGTTATTCCTCTGTACCCAGTAAATTCACGCCATATCCCACCCTTCAAACCGAAACACAGCCATGCAAACACAACTGCTTCACGGTTGAAACACGGATGGGACAGAGGTACCCAAGCAATCGACTTTTGTACAAAATCTCCCTCTGGTAAATACATCTGATATGTTATTAGAAAAAGTATTCATAGTACAAACTTGCTAAGTATACGACTACATGGTAAATACAATCCTTACTAATATCATATATAACAGTACAGTACATACAACGAATGCGTGGCATCCCTAGTGTCATAGACGTCCATGGGCTACGGTAACCCCATTTACCATCAGTAAGGCCCTATGCTTGTTTGCAAACATAGCAGTATAAAAAATAGGAAAGTGAATTTGTTTGTTCATTATTTGTATTTTAATGGCTTAACCAATCGTCATGACATTTTTTGTTTTTTGTAATTTATATTTATTTGGTGTACACGTACTACATAGGATGGATAAGGATATAGCCCATTTTATCCTGGTCATTTTATACAGGCAATAAAAGCATACAAAAAATATTTTCCAGCGATCCTTGCAGTGTTGCATTAAAGCTGTCAATTTGTTACTTTACATCTATAGTCGCTATCTTTTAATATTTTTAATATCGAATGTTATGCAGAGCAAATTTGATGCTATTTTATGTAATATTTATTTTACTAATATATTAATTTGTAATCTGTAAATATCCTGGTCACGCGGACGGAGTTAAGTGTAAAAAATAGTATTATACAACACTATGGATTTCCCAATATTTGTTTTTCTATTCTAATTCACCTGGTTGAGGCACCGTCTCCTCGCTGACCGAGCTGATAGGCTTCGACACGGGGCTCTGACCTCGAGAGAGTACAGGCGTGGCACTCTTGGATGGTAACTGTCCAATGAAATGCACATTATCTATTTATTATAACAGAAAAACAAGTAGGTATCCAAATAAATACTACAATTATCATTTATATGTGCCTATTGTTCTAGACCTCATCATTACGAAAAAAATTATTTCATTTATTTATTTATTCATTTATACACATGTATGTATGTACATGTATGTATACATGGCAGTCTAAATGCTAAAACCATTCTCTCAGTCAACCTTAGGAACTGTTAATTTATTCGAATGCGGTATTAGTAATTATTGATATACAGGGTGGCCCATAAGTCCTTAGTAATGAAAAAATTAATTAAAATAAAACTAATTACACTATGAATAATATTTTTATTTGTAAATATAGCTAGAAAAACGGGAATTATTTTTTGTAAATAACGTCGTCCAAATGTAATCCGTTACAGTCACGGCACTCTTGCAAACGCCTTCTGAAATTGTCGATGACTGCGCGGCACGTCACTGCTGAAATGCTTGCCATTTCTCTGCGGATGTTTTCTTTTAGGTCATTAATTGACCACGGGTTAGAGTCGTACACTTTAGCCTTAAGGTAGCCCCACAAAAAAAATCCATTGGAGTCAGATCCGGGCTACGTGGTGGCCAGGAAATGTCTCCTCTCTTAGAAATAACTTTGTTTGGAAAAAGTTGACGGATAACGGGCATAGCAGTATTGGAGGTGTGGGAAGTTGCTTCATCCTGTTGAAACCATGTTCGGGCATTAAAGCCTGGAAAGTTTTGCAATTTTTGTGTGAAAAACTCCTCGATCATGGCCACATATCGCTCCGAAGTAACAGTAACAGCACGCCCTCTGCCGTCCTCAAAAAAGTAAGGCCCTATGATGCCATGGGCTGACATAGCGGCCCAAACTGTAACTTTAGGGCTATGTAAGGGCTTCTGGTGCTTAAGTTTTGGATTAATCGGGCTCCAATAGCGGCAATTTTGTTTACTAACATGTCCGTTAATGTGGAAGTGTGCCTCATCAGAGAACATTATGTTATTAAACGAAGTAAACCGATTAAACATTTCATTAGCATAATTCACTCTCTGAATAGCATCAGTTTCTTTTAATTCTTGCACCAACTGAATTTTGTAAGGGTGCATAAGTAAATCTTTCTTCAAAATCCGTTGTAACGATGTCCTGGATACGTTTAATGCACTGGAACGCTTACGAGTTGACTGTGTAGGATTTTCACGAATAGATTGTGCCACTGTGTCGATGTTTTGTTCCGTACGTGATGGTACGTACGGTCTCCTCGAACTTAGCAACCCAATTCTTAATCGTTTGGAGAGCTGGGGTGTCATCAAAGTTGTGTAAACCTTTGTGTTCTCGAAATTTACGCCTTGCAACGGTTGCCGAATTGTTGTTTTGATAAAACTCGTGCACACAAAACGCACGGTCCGCTCCGGTGAAACGCTCCATCGCGACTAAATTCCCAGAAACCGAAGTTACTGCCCCCGCTTCCCCTGCACCGCTCACGCGCGCCGTTTTCGTTTAATTCAAATTTTACTTTTCTAAGGACTTTTGGGCCACCCTGTATTTACATACTAAAATTCACAAATATAAACAAATAAATATATAAAGATAACAAATATACCAAGACATATAATAAAAAAAAAGAATAATAGCTATTTCATTCCTATTTAAAAGCTACGCTCTTGTCGATGGAGCTCTTCCCACTCACTACGATTTTCAGCGAGTCTCTTTACCCCTTGATACGACAAGACACCAACTTTTAACTATACTTCGGTCTTCCTCTTCCCTTCCTTCCTTCTATTATAATGTTCATAAGAACGTAAGACAAACTGAAGAGCCAATAAAAATATATACCTAATTATATTATATATATTTTGTTGACTCTTGTTGGCTTAATTACACAAATTAATATGTATACCAAATATAGTAGAAAATCACTTTAACTAAATTGGATTTTAGTAGATAATTATTAAATTTATTTTTTATCGTTGCATATAGAAACTTAAATGTAAAAGAAGTGATAAGATTAAAGGGCATTAACCAAATTTTAATTACAATAATCAAACGAATCATGATAATACATACCTAATTATGTAAGTATTAGATACGGAAGCTAATTTCTTGGAAATAAATATTTATTTTTAATTATCAACATTTTCTTAGAAAGATTCTTACGATATTGAATCCACTCAATACATATATATATTTAATATATATCTGTTTTTTATAATACTACTATACCTTTAAAATCGTTTTTCCTTACTGACTATCAACACATAACCAAAACTACCGAGTCTAGAAAACTGAAATTTGGTACTTAGATTTCTTTTATGAAATAAACATCTACTAAGAAAGGATTATTGACTTTTTTCACAATATAGAGAGGCAAACGAGCATGCAGCTCACCTGATGGTAAGTGACTACCGTCAGCCATGAGCACCCACAACACCAGAGACATTGCAGGTATGCTGCCGGTCTTTTAAAAAAGTTTTCTTGAAGGTTACTGTTAATTTCAACTTTAAAAGGAAACATTTTTTTTATACAATTTAGAATGGCAAACAAGCTGACGGCCCACCTGATGGAAAGTAGTAACCGTCGCCTATAGACATGAGCAGTACTATGCACATAACAGAGTATACTGTTTCGCCCATCATACCCCCCATGCGTTGCCATTCCTGAGGACTCAGATGTTATTCCTCTGTACCCAGTAAATTCACGCCATATTCCACCCTTCAAACCGTAACACAGCCATGCAAACACAACTGCTTCACGGTTGAAACACGAATGGGACAGAGGTACCCAAGCAATCAACTTTTGTACAAAGTCTCCCTCTGGTAAACTAAAACATGATAGCACACGTGCGAAGTCACGGACAACAGCTAGTAATATTATAATTAATTAATATTATTCCCTTTCTCTGCTGCTGTCCTGTACCGAATAGGCCACCCTTTCCTTTCCCGCGACAAAAGGAGGGCGAGGGATGAGCAGCAGCGTCCCTCTTCAAACATCTCTAAAAGCCTAACTGCGGTTGCCATCCTGCCTGCCAAGCGTGGCAACTACTATAGCAAAACTTCCCTAATGGGAAGGATTATGTCCAGCATTGGACAGCCAAACCATATCAATTATCCTCCTCCATTAAGGGGATTTTGCCAATAGTTGCCACGCTTATATATCACAATATATATATATATATATATATATATGATTGACGAATGTGGAAGAAGCGAGGTTTATTCGAGAATCAAAGCATTTGGCGTTCCATTGTTTCTGCCTACCCTAATGGTAGACAGGCGTGACAGATATGTATGTATGTATTGCCACGCTTATACATTATAACGCAATTGTCATGAAGAATGTAACGCATGACCATTTTAATCTCGACATTACATATTTTTATGAGAAATTTAATATACACGCTCACACACATGAACAGCACCATGGATGTCACAAAATACGAGTACTTTTAGACTAATTTAGACTAAAATAATTTTAGACACCTCGGCATTTCTCGTGGGTACCATTCCTAAGAATAATGGCGTTATACCTTCTTATATCACACTTTTCAATATGAAACACATATAAACACAGTTATATAAAAAATTTTTTATTTACTTGTTTCCCTTACCTTGGACGCTTGGGCAGGGCTTGGTGAACGTGGTTTAGGTGATGCTGCTTTACTGCGGGCCCCAGCCGCAGTCAGCAACAAACCAGGAGGGCCAGAACTCTCACCTACAGTTTTACTTCGTATTAAAATACTATCCTTATAAGAAACACGTTATTAATTGGGGGGAAAGGAGTTGCCAGTAATGTAGATCTAGCAAGCCCATTGATAGTAATATACCTTATTAGGTCGACCTCTACACGGCTCCTTATGGAAAACATCTTGTGGTCATCATGACGGACTAACTGATTTACCTTGAGGGGAAAGGGATTGTTAGTAATGAGATTTAACAACCGCATTGCTAACAATACACCCTATCCGGTCGACCTCCACGCGGTTCCCCCTAAAAACCATAGTGATTAATTCTTGTTCAATTGGTTACTATGGGCTAACTGATCTGCCGTCATCCTCACCTGTCACCTTTCACTGGTACCCCGCCAGCAAATACCGATAACGTAGGCAGAGATACCATACCATCTTCACCTAATAAAAAACTGATTTACTTTTTTATCCATCACTGGTATTCCGCCAGCGTAAACAGATAGCACAAGCGAAGTTACCATTTATTATCAGTCATAAAAAAATATATCTAGATCATTATATCATTTCTAAAAATATTGATGTACATCAGTGATTATCACTAAAATTATTTGAACAATTATCAATTATTAATTATGCATTTTAAACTATTGTTATCTAAAAGTTAATGAAAACCCGTTAAAATTGTTCACAGTGTATTCTGAGATCAGTGGTAGCGTTCATGCATATAGATGGGCAGCCAATTTTTGTGTAATTTACAAGTAAGTAGTTAATTAAGCATTGATCTCACCACTTATATAAAGTTTTATTTTACTATAAAAAATAAATAAATATTTTATACATTATATATTATCAAATTATGATAATCACTATGGAGTTGATGATAATCGTTAAAAAAAATAAACTGTAGCACTTTCCAATAAATAACTTTGACATGATATTTATTTATTTTTTCAAATTATTTTATACTGATGATAATAGAAATAATTATTTCACTGTATTAACAAACTAAAATTATAATTGTAAAAATAGGGATTATGTCAAAGAGTATTTATGCCAATTTGCATAATAATAATTTTAAATAATCATTAATAAACATAAATAAATAATTAAAATTAAAACAAGTAATAATTTATACATGTGTAAATATTAACATAAAATTTAAAAAATAAAAATCAAATTAATAAAAACAACTTACGCTGTTACGTTGTGTATCTAAAAACTAGACTGCACTGTGATGATAATAAAAATATACTTTGGTATCCGTTATCGTTACAGCTTTAAATATTTTTTTAAATATTTAAATATATAATGGCGGTAAAACGCCTAAGTAAATTATTAACGGTAAATACAAAATAAAAATGGAATATATATATATATATATATATATTCCATTTATTCATATATATATTAACTAATAATTAAATCATATTAATAATTAATATTTAATAATTAATTAATTAATAATTAATAAAAATATCTTTACTTTCTTTGCAAATGACCTTAAAAGGGATTCTCTATATTTTCAAATTAATCTTCTAATTCAAGTAGGATATCATAGGAAACAACTTCACTAAAAATTTTTTATTTGTTTATTGTTCTGAATTTCAGAATCGGCGCCCAATAAAATCCGAATCAAGAGTCAGTTAGTAGTCTATTTTACACAAGAGTGTAAAATAGACTACTGAAGACTCTGCAAGGATTGGTCATCAGGCCTTTGCGGTAGTTAATGCTAATGAAGACGTCAAAATGAAACCATCCATTCGCGTAGAACATCGGATAGGAACTTGGAATGTACGTGGACTGTTAATGGACGGAAAATTATCCATTATTGAGGATGAAATAGATAAACATAAAATAAGCATACTCGGTCTAAGTGAGACGCATATAAAAGGAAGCGGACACTTTAAAACAACTACGGGGAATACTATGTACTTCTCAGGTCACGAAGCGGACAGAAGGAATGGGGTCGGTTTTATCGTCCCAGCAAAATTGACGCGGTTTGTCACTGGATATAACCCTATTAATGACCGAATTATGACCATCAGATTAAAATCTAAACCATGCTTACTGAACATCATTCAGGTATATGCTCCTACAGCTGCGGCATCACAGGAAGCTACTGAGATTTTTTATAGAACCCTCGAAACAATAATTCAAAGAATACCCAAGCGGGAGATGCTCATTGTACAGGGTGACTGGAATGCCAAAATAGGGAACTCTGCAAATGATGACCAAATACGGCATATACTAGGGAAACATGGACTTGGCATTAGGAACGAGAGAGGGAAAAAGTTCATTGAATTCTGCATTGGCAACTCACTAACAATCACGAACTCCTGTTTCAAATACCATAACCGTAGACTATATACTTGGCGCTCCCCAGGTGACCGATACCGAAATCAAATTGATTATATTATTATTAATGAACGATGGAGATCATCTATCACAAATGTAAGAACATTCCCTAGTTCAGACTGTGGCAGCGATCATCAACTGCTTGTAGCAAATCTTCGCCTATGCCTGAAATCGCTCCATAAACCACCTAAGCAAATGAAACGGCATGCTCCATCTGAGATCAGTGTCTTTCGAAGGAAAACCGAAAATAAATTCCTACAACAACCGTATACTGTAACGCAAAAAAATACCAATGCAAATACGCAATGGCAAAGACTTCAAAGTCAGATTGCGGAAGTGCTTGATTCCATGCTACGTCATGGCCAGAATGAGATAGATAAAATGAGACCGCAGTTTTCGACAAGAATACGCTCGTGCAAGACCTATGCAGACGTAAGAGAAACCAATTTTTCGAGAAGATCTACGCGGAAATAGATATTAATGCCAAATAAGTATCAAACTGCTAACTTGTTCAAGAAATCCGTCCTATAATAGGAAGTTTCAAACCTTCCTTTTGGATAACAGATAACAAATGAAATTGTGAAATCAGCTGAAACATGAAAAGAATATTATGCAGAATTATATAAAGATAATATCAGCACAGAAATAGAGACATCAATTGAGTAAATTAGCATAAACCTGATGTAATGTAATCGAAAGTTATCGACGCCCTGCAGAAATTGAAACAAAAGCATCAAGTTCAGACAGAAAAGGAGAGCACTAGAACAAAAAGAAATGTCAAACGTGCACAAGATCTGGCTGTGTAGTTTGAAAAACACATTAAATAACCTGTTGATTGAACTCGTTTATACTTCTGCTACATAAAAAATATATGTACCTGCAGAAATTTTAAAACTATTACATTAATATCACATGCGTGCAAAGTCCTCATACATATTATTAATAACCGCCTTAAGTGATTTTTAGATTGACAAACCGCATTTGTTAAAAGCACAGGCAGAGACCAAATTTTGAACCTTAGGCAGACAATAGGAAAGTGCTACGAATGTGATATTCCCGTGATCATATGTGATATATTGGGTGAACTGGCAACACTTATGGAACGTTTTTAGGGAAGCTGGTGTACTACAACTCATAATAATACTAAACCAAAAATTGTACATAAGTAGTCACAGAACAGTCAGCTGGGGCAAAATCACATTCAACAGCTTCACTTTTGAAAGAAGTTAGATAAGGATGCATTATTTCCCCTTATTCTTTTTAATATATATGAGGAACATATAATACGCAAAACTCTTGATGAACGGTAAAGAGGAATAAAAATAGGTCAAGTCCTAGCTCAAACATGCTATTGGTGGATAACACAGCTCTGTTTGAAATCCTCAAACTATTAAAACGAGTGAGCTGAAAATTTGGCCTTCTGATCAACAAAAAAAAAGAAAGATCATGATAGTCGATCGCTTAAGTATTATCCTGCGTACCGTCACGCTTAATTACTATGAAACAGTGAACGAATTTACATACCTAAGCTCGATTGTTAGCAGCATAGGAAGCTACGAAGGAGACACCAAGCAGCGAATTGGAATGACAAAGTCAACAGTGACTCAACTGGGTAGAGTTTGGAGAGACAACAACTTATCAATGCGAACTAAAAATCACATCATGCGCACACTGGTTTTTTTAATTTTTTTTTTTTTGTACAGTATCAAGATTTTGATACTAAAACATACTTACAGGCGGATGTATTTAGAAAGTGGATAAGTTTGGGATACGGTGCAAAAGAAAAATTATTCGTATTCCCTGGACTATTCGAAAAACGAGCAAAGTGCCAAGTCTTAGCAAAGTTGAAACTTACAGACTAACAGCAACTCTACCGCATCTACCTGCACCGAATACTAAAACACTTCGGACACATAGCTCGAAGAAGCAATATCAATCTCATGGTGACAGGTCAGGTGGAAGGGAAAAGACCAAGAGGCCGCAGTCTAAAGTGCTAGACAGCTCATGACAGAAGAGTTGCAGATCCCAGTGAATATAGCTATCTATCTAGCACAAGATAAGGACAAATAGAGGAAGGCAATAAAAAATATAAGACAGGGTCATGATCCTTAGGAATCAAAGAGCGATTGAAAGAGAGAGAGAGAAAGAGAGAATTTTAGAAATTTTAAGTTATTTTATTATTATTTCCATAACAATACATATTTATGATAATAATACTGAAAAAATCAATTTACCTGGTTTCCAGGGCGATCTAGGAGTTGGGGATGATAGATCGACAGGCTCCCCAACTTCTGTTGATATATCCTTGATTAATTCCAATAAGGTATGTCCAGGAGTCACCGGCATTTCTATAGGGGAGGCACCTCTAGAACCCTCTGTAAAAAAAAATATATCGTTATCAAACAACTTCAGAAGAAAGAAGTTCGAAATAAAAAAAAAAAAACTATATTTTTATTTGTACGTTAAAACGTTAGGGGAGGAGACCTAGCCATTGACCACCACCACCTTAGCAGTGGACAGCATTACTGAACGTAGATAAATGACTGTAATGATGATGATGTTAAGCATTTACTACAAATATATTTAAAACAATGTTTATCTAAACAGTGTTTTACAAGGCACTATCTAAGTGATTAAATACTGTTTGATCATATTAAAAATATTTATTTTTTAAAAAAGATTTACTTTTTTAGCGAAACGTTGAAACATGTAAAGAACACTGGTCTATCGCAAGTTTTATTTATTTTTTTTTAGTTCAAATAAATGGTCTCATTTTCTCAATAGATTCAGAACCCATTCGGCATTCTGAAGTGAAGATGGCAAATTTCAAACATTATGATGATGTTGATTTACTCTTAAGGTACAGTATCATATCTATTTATCCCCTTAGATTAAAAATACAAGATTGACAATGTAAAAAAATGTATAGCAATATGTATTTTATTAACAAGATTAACAGATTGGAAAGTATAACATTAAATATAAGGTGAATTAAAAAACACACATACAAAATACACATTTTTACACATTCGGCAACAATATGTTAAGGTTTAAAATATAAACTACCTGGTAACGGTGACCTCAACACCAACTTCCTAGCTTCATCCATAGCTCGCTGTAAGTTCTGTTGATTCTTGAAGGATTCTCTGCTGCGACAGCGTCCAATTTGACTTCTGCAAGAAATGTAAATAAAATCTGAAACTACTTCATTTTATTATTCTAAATTAAATAAAAATAAAAAAATACATTATTTTAAATGTAAAACGTGTAATTTATTTGAGAACGCTCGACTGGTTTCGAGACCATCCGGGATCTTGAGTGACCGCCATGAGAGCGGAAGCCTAACAGCCGAGTGCATAAAATTTTGACTATAATAATTTTGACAATTACATACAATAACTGGTAATTTAACCGATAACCAACTAACCTACCTATTTCTATGTGCATGATTGAAAAGTTCTAGTTAATGGGGTAGGACGAAGGGCGTACAAGCTAATGATTTAGTGAAAGAAATAGAAATTTACTGTGGCAACACTGACAACAAATCGAAAAAAAATATTTAAAATTTGTGTTTCAACATTATTTTATAATATTTGTAATAGTTTATTATTGTGTTTGTAATTTAAAAAAATAGCAATGGCATCATATCAAAATATTGTTGAGATAAATAAAGTACATAAGTACTCGTATTATCATGCTATGTAACCGCGGCGTAATCACAATTTCTTAAAATTTATTAAAAACCCACAGAATATATTTACAATTTTTATTCATTTGCCTTTATATTATAGAAAAAAAAAAACTAAACTTAAATTTAATTAACATTTTTAATGGTATTTTTTTATGATTCCGCCTTCTGAATTTGCCAATCAAGTGGTGATCAAATATTTTTTTTATATCACGAAGATGGCAAACATACAAATAGCCTGTCTGACGGTAAACGGTCATTGTAGCCTATGGACTCCAGCAACACTAAGGGAGTCACGTGCGCGTTGCTGATCCTGAAGAAACCTTACGAAAAACACATGAAAACTCACGAAACACCGGTCCCAGCAAGAGTTTGATCCCATTTGGCGTTAGTGGTGTTTGCAACCGCCATCTTTGCGATCCTCCTGAATTTAGCGAGTCCATCCTCAGCAGGCGGCCTGTCCTCGTCGTCGATCGCGACTGGCGCTACATGGAAGTCCTTCATCAGCCGCCGCTCCCATACTTTCATGCGTTTACCCAGCACCACTAGAAAAAAATTTATTACAATTCTATATAGTGAATTCGGAATAAACATAATTAACAACATTTCAAGGAAGTGTTCTGACAGAAAAACTGAACTTTATTCCCAAAGGAGCATAGACCGAAAAGTTACAAATAAATATTGACTCCTTTACACTTAGTTCGAAGTTTAATAGTCAAGTTAGTGTGGAGAGCTTAAATTTTTATTGACAATTTACAACCCAAGATTCTTTGGAAAAAATGTGCTATAATCACAAAATCTAGAGCCAGCATAACTGAAGATGGTATAAGGATTTTAACTATACCCTCTACATCCAAAACTATTTAGATATGATGAGTATGTAAGTTATGGTGGAATAAAAAACTCACATACATTATCTACATGAACCCTGAAACCAATCACTCCCTTTTGATCAGTCGATTTAAAAAAGCTATCAAATATATCTTTAGCATTCTTTTAATAGAATTTTAATAAAATTCTTACAAGAAAATACTCACTCTTCTCTTTCCTATCGGTGAACGAGACGTCCATTCCGTTCTTCTCGAAAACTTCTAGAAGTTCATATCGTAGAGCCGACACGTCTCCTTTAAGTTCGTTGACGTCATCTTCTGTGACTGGTTCGTCGTCCATTCTTCTGTGCATCGCGGACACATATCTCCAAACGAGAGCTCTCATGACCGCCGTGTACCGGACATCGTGCTCTTTCTCTTTCTGTTCCTATAGAAATAGTAGTTAAATATCTTAGATCATACACCTCTAGATAGAGTGCCGCATTACAAACAGTTTACAAAAATATCCAACATTTTTATGTGTATTATGTGTATAGAGATGCCAAAATCCATAGTTATTACTCAGTAAATGAGAGAAAGAAGATTAAGATTTTAAAAAATATATTATTCTTATATGTATAATTGAGTGAATGGAGCAAATAGCAATAGCATACTGATTCATAATAATGCTTATTTTCATCGATTATTTTATCTGAAATCTGGGAACAGACTTAAAATATGTATTCATTCGTAGAGTTATTGGAAGTCACTCTTTTAATAAAAACATGATGTAAATCTATCTCAGTAATCTATCGTAATTATTAATCGAATTCCTCGCAACACTGAAAAATATGAAATTGTAACTAGGTTTTTTTTTATAATAATTTGAGATTTTATTTCATAAAAAATATTTATTACTATTTACATTTTCGCAGTTATTTTTCCACTATTCACAGATAATGGACTAATTCCTGCTACACAAGTATTATTCTGACGAAAATAAATGTCAAAAAAACAGGATCTAAGAGGGTAAACAAATGTGTTTGCCCTTAAGTCGTTCATGCATTTAATCAATTACTTCGTAACCATGACTCTTGTCATAGGGCCAAAATATTGACTCACTCAAATAAATATGTTGTGTATCATAATGTTAAAAGAGCAATTAATTAAATCAAAAAGGGAGTATTAAAATTTCCTCAAGGGCAGTAACGCGCACAGGACATCCTTAGTGTGTTACACACGTCCATAAACTGGCTGTATGCTTGCTTGCCAACTTCGTGGTATAAAACAATAGGTAATAAAAAATTACACATAATTCTAGTGTAATTTGGAGGGGGGGGGGGGGGGGGGGGGGGAAGAATCGTTAGTAATGCGCACTACCAATCTTATAGGTAGCAATATACCTTGTCAAGTCGACCTGCACGTGGTCCTCCTGGAAACCATCGTGCTGAATTCCAAGTGTATTTATCACGATGGGCTACCTAACCTGCCTTTTCATTCTCACCTATCATCTCTCACTGGTGCCCCGCCAGCGCTAACCGATAACGCAGGCAGGGTTACCATTTCATTATCATCCATTAAAAAAAAACTAGTGTAATGTTTGCACTTACGTAATATTATCGAATCTATGAAATATTGAAAGACATCTTCCAATCATATCACGTAGATATTTTCTATAATACATATATTCATTTACAAGAACGTTGAAAATGTCTTTAAATATTACAATTTATAATATTCTTATAACTTCTGAATCTGAGCTCCGAGGTTTTCCCAAGAGACTACAGCATGGGGTTCTTCAAAAGGGGGTAAAGAGGTTTCTTCAGGGTCGGCAACGCGCGCGTAATACCTCTGGTATTGCAGGTGTTCATAGGCTACGGTAACCACTTACCATCAAGTGGGCCGTATGCTTGTTTGCCACCTCAGTGGTATAAAAAAAATCCGGTAAGAAATATATTTTCTTATTAAAATATCTTCGTTAATAAAACTTAAAACCTAATACTATGAAGTACTATCTACTGTGTAGTTAGATAAGTACTGAAATCAAATACAAAATCTATTTTTATTTCATATTGTACAATTAGATTATATCAACAAGATATTAATAACAAGATAATGTTTGAAATAATGTTTAGATCAATAAAATATATAATTAAATTATTGATCACAAAAATAAATAACAGTTTCATGTGGAACTAGCGACCCGCCCCGACTTCGCACGGGTGCAATGCTAATACTAATACACTACAAAATACAATTTCGAATACATATATATTTTTTTAATTCATCGTAACATACTTATAAGTATGATAAAAAATTAGTGTTCCTTTACTATATTATGCATGTATTATACATATAAACCTTCCTCTTGATTCACTCTATCTATTAAACAAAATCGCATCAAAATCCGTTGCGTAGTTTTAAACATCTAAGGGACAGACAGACGGGAAGCGACTTTGTTCTGTACTATATAAATAGTTATAGTATTAAGTTTACCTTTGTCTTTATTTTCCTCATTTTATCCTTCTTTCTCAAGCCTAACATTTTGAGGAGTAACTTTGGTGTAGGCATGATGTTAAAAGGCGGGGGTAGTGTCGCGCTCTCCTCGAAGTAGCTCATCCACAGTCGAGTTCTAGCAAATTTCCACTCCACATCGGAATGTTCCTATGGGACAGAAAGTTACATTGTTAAGAGACCAATAAGAATAGATACTTTTGTGTTATCTTAATAATTTCTTTTTGTATATCTTTATTAATATTGTAACATAACAAAACTCTTTATTTCACTCAAAGTATATATATATATATATATATATATATATATATATATATATATATATATATATATATATATATATATATATATATACTTTGACAATTATAAAAGGCGGTCCTATCACTAAGAACAATCTCTCGCAGACAACCAAACAACACCAAAGTAAGTACAGACTTGTAAATATATTCAAAATACCGCAGGTGAATGGTGTTAGTCGATCATGCACGAACTTTTTAATGACCATGTAATTTTAGACAAAGTATATTAAAATAAGTACACATAATGTTAACAGAGATTTAAATGAGTGGCTTTTTTTTTGGGGTTTGTCTCAGCAGATAGCAACATAGAACTCGGCAGTAGATTTATAAAAAAATACAATTTAAAAGTGATTGTAAACTATTATAATAAAGATGATTTTAATTTGATTTTTTTAATAATTGTAAAAATGAATATGTTTATTTCTCTGTTACCCCTTGACGCTTTGACGACTTGACGGATCGTCATTAAGTTTGGCATACACGTACTATTTGGGATTAGATAGACATTAGCTACTTCTTATCACGGTTTTTGTAAATTCAATTATTATTAAACACTTTGTAAGCTGCCTTTCTAATTAAATTAAAAACGTTGTTAAAAATAATCATATTTCAATCCCGTGATAAATAGAACTAGAATAGAGAGTAAACGATACAATTTCTGCCGCGTGATAGCTCTCATACTGTTTATTCATAACTGACAGTACACAAGCTTTGTTAATAATGGCTGTTGTTTAAAAATATATGCAAATGAATTTTGTAAAAAAAAAATCACGCTATAAATGAAGATACACAAATAAAAATGATCTAAGAACAGTTTTATTAATAAGAACTATAACTTAAAAAAATATCTGTAAATGAATTTTGCAAAAAGAACACTTTATTATGTGAAAGTGAATAGATAAAAGTTATTTATTACCGTGCGATTTTCTCTAAGAGGTAAACAAAAAGAACTAAATGCCAAAGTTCACTGTCCCTACTACATACCATATAAACCTACTAGTGAAATTTTTCACCTACTTCATATTTTGTTCTGATATATTATTCACGATTCAGATATATCATGTTATAAGCATATCTGTACCAGAACTCAGCAAGCGTGATCGTAATCACAGAGTATTTGCCCATCAGGCAACGGGATATTCCGTGCTGATCAGGCGCCACTCACGAGGGCGCTACGTCTGCTCAATGAGGTAGTTGCGAGTTCAAAACTGGACTTATATCGCTATGCTGTCACAGAATTTCGTAGAGCAGTAACAATTTACGCAGAATAGCTATTTCTGATATTTGTTTTATAATTTAATTACAATTTTTTTTTTCATCAATGTCTTATTTGTATTATTATAATACTCTATTTTTGGTTTTTAGTAAGTGCATTGGTAAATCTGTAAAGACCACCAAAATATGTATATATATTATAAATAAATAATTAAATAAATATTTGCTATCAGAATCCAAATTTTATTACAACTATATAAGAATATTATCATATAGTTAACATTATAGTTAACCTACAGTGTACTTTTTGAATAATCAATCAAATATTGTTGAATTATTTCCGAAGATTGGCAGATAATCCAACGTTGCCACTCTTTGGTGAGTTTAAGAATGAATGCTCTAAGTGCTAATAATTTCAAAGCAGCATTACTATACTTACATCAATCATCGCATACGAATTGGACATCATAGCGATGAGCAGGTTCAGTAATACGATGACGTTGATCACGGAGTAAGAACCGAACATCAACAGGCCCCAAAACCGAGTGTAACTCTTGATGCCCGCCAACTCGAAGTTTTCAAGACCGACCATCCCAAAAGAGGCCCAGAAAAGTGACTGCGATGCTTCAAATACGCTAATTGTAATAAAAATGTTAATAAACACATTACAAGGAAAATAATATTTTAGAAAAAAAAATAATGATCCTAGACAAAATTTGTTAAAAAAAATATGATTTCTTGACAACATCTAAGTTTTCCATAAAGATATTAAATTGTTAGTTGTATAAAGGTAGAGACATCTCATTAAATTTTTCATATTAAATTTTTCATATTGTTATTATATTCTTTTAACACTCTAGACGTTTTACAAGTATTTTTTGATATACTTAAAAAAAAACAATAGTTACAAAAGAATTCTAATATCAATTCTAAAGCATTTTCATAGAATACAAGAAATAAACTAAACTACTGAACCCATTTTGATAAGATTTCTACAGGACTCATCTGGAAGTATAACCTATCAGATAAAAAAGAAATTTTCAAAATGATATGTTGCTATTAAACTATCAAGCTATTATACACTGAAATAGACTCCCGCTTGACATAAGCAAGCTAGCTTTTAAACACAAATTTCGCACCTATTTCTTAGAAAAATCACTTTCCCTTTAAGCTTCTCCTGCTAGTTACTCTGTTTGAGTCATAGATTACTATTTGCTCTTGCATTTTTATATAGTAATATTTTATGTTTTTATTTATGTATTTATTTCATATACATATTACACATAAATATATACATATTATATATATGCTAATATTATATGAATTTATCAAATATTGCTTTATATTCAAAATTGCAGCGCCTTCTCAATTTGTCCAATAGTTGACTGGTAGAGAAAACGTCCGGTGTTAAGTCCACCAAATGTACATAAAATTTTACTGTGCATTAAAGTTAAATGAAATAAAAAAAAATTGTAACTGACAGAATTATGAGGTAACAAATATAAAAAAAATACAACCGAATTGAGAACCTCCTTCTTTTTTAAGTCGGTTGAAAATATATATATATAATGTTTTTATTGAAAACAATAATTAATACAATATAAATGGTTTTTTAATTCAAAAATTTACACAATTTAATCAATAAGCATGATAGTCCATAGTTTCCCTCAATGTCATACAGTCTACTTCATCAATCTTTAGTGTATTCATTTTCACGTTAATATCTTCCTCCAGCTGAATTTGTGTTTGCAACAAATAACGTAGAGAAGACGTAGCCTCATGCAGCATTTGTTGAAGCTGCTCAGTACTGTGGCGAAGCATCTCACATTCATAATATAGCGCCTGGCCTGGTGGATCACGTACCAACTCCGCGCCCACTCTCTGCGCCCTTCTACCAAGTCTTGTATGCGCTAAGGCTACATGCCCTTCTTTATCGGACAAAGCTTTTTGCAATTGCAAAATATTATTTTGCATATCAATAATCTTTTGAGTCGTTTCTCTATGCATATCTTCCAGTTTCCCTTTAGCTATTTTAGTCTCTTTAATTCTCTCACTAAACGCATGGTTGCATTTGTTGTAAGCTACCCATAGATCATCAATTACCTGTTTCAACAGAGTATCTACGAACATACGTATAGGACGCGCACTGGTTACTTCTTTGGCTGCAAGTTTAATATTATTTGCCGAATATACGTTATATTCTTCAGCAGATATATTTGCTGGATCTAAATTTGCATATCCTTCGTAAATAGATAGACACAAGTCAGTTGGCTTTAAGGAAAGCGAGCCTTTATCCAAATCTATAGCTGCTTGCTTATACTGAAGATCTCGGTCGAGGAGATAACGCGTGGCCCGTAAACGTCTCATCTGCTCATTCAGCTGTTCCAAAACACGTTTCAAAAGACTTTGACCACCGAGTATTGTGGTGATTTCTTGCTGCAAAGCATGCTCCACATCGTCCACTACCAAGTCTATGCCAATGCGACCATCTCTTAACATTAAGCACTTTCTGCATATATTGAGAGCATTCGACTGTAACGAAGAAAGACAATCCAGCAGTCGGGTCTTATAAACTCCAAGGGCTTCTAATTCAATACAAATTTCTTTTCTTTGTATTTGTAGCTCCTTCTTGTTGAATTCTATGTCTCCGATTCGTTCTTCTATACGTCTGTCTGTGGTGGCTTTCATAATTTCAGATCTCTCAGACGTTTCTTCCCGAACCCTTTGGCATTCTCCTAAGATTCTGTCAGCTAACTGTTGTTGGTCTTCTGTATTTCGACATTTCTGATCATTGCTCAACTTCCACTCTGCTAGAGTGAACTTTGCAGATCTTGGAGGCATGCAGACTAATGCCTGTTCGGATAATCTGGTGGTAGCAACGGGAGCTCCTATCACATGCCTTACACCAAACTGAGCCTCCCCCATTTTGTCAGTAACAAATATGATTACAAAACAATTTAAAAATGAAATCTCAAAAACGACACATTATGTTACGAACAACAGTTACATACAAACATTGACATAACAGATAAACGGTTGCTATGGCAACGTAAAAGATATTATCGACCGGATAGGAAAAAAGGTTTTATATAAATAATACTCTGATGTTACAATAACGTATCGTGAGATTGAATGTTGGGTTTTCAGTTTAAACGCACTTCGTTATGGGATACGATGAAGGAAATCGCTGTAATAATACAGTCGTTTTAGCTTTTTATTAGCTCTTAAATTTTACGTATACTGTTGAAACGCTGTGAGGATCTGCTGTGTTGCATGTGTACTAAATAATAAAACATTATTTTTATGATAGCTACTTTCTTTAAAAACAATGGCCACATTTATGAACGCTAAACTGAACGAGTAGAAGTTGTATTAGGTATATTTATTTATTTAAACTTTAATGCATAGTAAGACTATATGTACATTTGGCAGACTTAACATCAGATGATGTTCTTAATCAGTCAAACATTGGGCAAACAGAGAAATAGGTAGGCGGTGCATTGAAGAACTAAGGTAATATAAACTAATACCTAAAATGTTCATATATTATAAACATATAATTAGACTAATATAAACATACACAAAACTATTATTATTATTTCAGCTGTCAACTATCCACTGCTGGATATAAGTCTTCTCCATAAGGGGAATTTTGCCAATAGTTGCCACACTTAGCAGGCATTTTAGCAACCGCAGTCAGGCTTTTAGAGATGTTTTTAAAGGGACACTGCTACCCATCTCTTATCCTCACTTAATTGCCTCTTACGCTACCCATGGGAAAACTGGAGGCGGCCCATTCTATGGCGAGGCACACACGGCAAATACACAAAAAAAAAACATAATATAAACACATATATGTAATGTAAAATCAGTTTTGTGGAAAACTGCAGTAGGTTTTGAAAATACCTGTGTTACATGTTGCCTAAGTAACACGACATGTAACATAACTCACTTGCCAAAACTCCTCCACTTCATACAAGAGTCACCAGCGTTATCCCAATCGGGTAGACCTCCAGGTAATACGTAACATTTCTTTTTCTCTAGATCCGCGAAATACCAAAGCAGTTGATTGAGACCTGAATAAGTAAATATAAATATTAACTTTCACGGAATACCTTCTGCAAATGAGATAAAGAGAGAAAAAGTGACCTAACAAGAGATGGAATCATTTTTACCCGTCACTTTGACGGCTATATATTAGTTGACTGAAATAAAAAGTAACCTATGTTATTCTTCGTATCAAATCAAAGATTTCCCTTGTTCTTAATTTCTAATGCAATGTGTATGTATATATTAAAGCTCGCATTTAGATGAGAATAGGAATAATCTTTATTCATATAGACTACTTTACAAACTCTTTTAAATAGTAATTTTTTATGGTTGTACCGCTGGGTTCGGAAAGTTGTTATCTGCTGTGAAGAACTTGCAAGAAACTCGACAGATACTCTTTTCAAATTGTTATGTACAAGATAATTTTACATTTGCATGGGTCTCTCTCTCTTTCTCTCTCTCTCTCTCTCTCTCTCTCTCTTCGGCCACTTCGTTACTAAAGGTCGTGTCCTTGAAAGGTATCCGCTACCTCTCTTATGATGTTAATGTTGCATGGGTACTGTGACTATAATGAGAATTAAGATTGATTTATTATTTACTGCCATAACTCCCCTCATGTGGAAGGCTTATGTTCAGCAGTGGACAATTAACGACTGAAATGATGATAGAATGACAAACAAACTGACGATCCACCTGATGTTAAATGATAGCCATATATAGACATGAATGGAACCATAGATATCACAGAATACACTGAACCCCATGGTAGCACTCATGTATTGCTATTCCCAAGGACTAAGGTTCCGAATCCTGTAATTGCACTACCATATATCACTCTTCAAATCGAAACATTGCCAGCCAAGCATAGCTGCTTCACGACAGAAACACGAGTGGGACACAGTAATGAAAGTAATTGATTTTTGTAAAACGTCGTCATCCAAAAGGTTAGTAAAAAGAATCAATACTAACCACATGCGAAAGCAAATAGCACCAAGCTGTAAATAAAGAAGAACTTGACGATGTCGATGACCATCCGGCCGAGGGAGATCTGCAGCGGCCCAAGGTGGGGATTGATGGAGAACAGGTGGACCAGCTTCAAGGCACTATCGAACACAACAGATCACATTATGTGTAAGTCGAGTTAGAATTTGACTAATACTTAAAATTTTTTAATTATTAGTCAAATTAATAAAAAAGGGAGAAGGCATTATTAGATAGAAAGCTCCCATCCTAGCTACATATATATCCTGCGAGTCAACCTCCATGCAACTCCTCTGAAAACCATTACGGTTAATTACCAGTTAATTTGCCACAATAAAGCATTTCATCTGACTTCGTTCTTTCCTATTATCACTGCGACTAGCGCAGAATAGCGCAGAGAGACAAAACTCCATGGTCAACTAATATAAAGGAACTGTCCGGTGATGGAAAATAATAATGTTTTTTATGCAACTTAGAATAAACAAGATGACAGTCCACCTGATGGAAAAAGATAACCATCGCCTATAGATATGAACAATGGACATGACAAAATATATTGTTTCGCTCTTGATACCCCCCATGTGTTGCCATTCCTGAGGACAAAGGTATTTCTCTGTACCCTGTAAATTCTCTGCCGTATTCCACCTTTCAAACACAGCCATGCAAACACAACTGGTTCATGGCATAAACACGAATGGGACAGAGGCGGCCGCTTGCCCCCTTCTACGTCGAATTCCAATATGCCGAACGAAATATGACATAACGAGAGTTACGTACATCACAACGGTAACTATGAGATTCTTCAGGATAAGGAAGATTACAATTATGAGCATATTGTTTTTATAATCACCTGAATATATTAGCTGCAGCGAACAGACCTTCAGCTATAAGCTGAGGATCAAACGGATCCCACTGTTCTCTAGGTATGAACTTTGTCTGAGGATCTCTCCTGATCTCTGCTGTTTGTTGGAGGTATGCCGCGAACCTCAATAAAGCGACGGCCACGTATAAAGAGTTTCGGGTAAAGTCAATGAAATTCCACATGTTGCGAAGATAAGAACGTATGCCCTCTATATAGATCTCTTGAGTTTCTTCCCAGATAAATCCTAAGAAAGAAACAGGTATAGTTTACGTAGTCTTTTGATTTCTCTCTGTTTTAAATGAAAAATATAATAGTGGACAAATGTACGGGTATTTAAATTACCACTTCTTAACCATTGCGAAACAATTAGACAATAATCGTGGATTATCCATAATTTGTGAACATTTATAATACTAGCCATTTAGCAGTCAGGTAAAAAGTGGCCTCAAATTCGATTTGATTGTTTATTAGCCACGTAATGGATAGTGGTAACCATAACTTAGAGACATGAATAGTGCCATGAACATCTATTTTTACCAGAACTTTTAAGATCTAGGAAAAGAGAATTGAATTTCAAAAGTCTATATCCTTATAGTGGATTTAGAATGAATCCACTTCTCAAACTCGTCTCATGTCAAACACGTCTTTCAACGATACATGGATTAAAACAAATTAATCAAAACATTGTAAAACAAAAAACTTTTAAATACTCACCAAGTACATAAACAACCACGACCAGCTCTAAATATGTGGGTCCATTGCCCCTTTGCTTGAGGAGCTCCTTCTCCAATTCCTTCACCATCCAATCAGGCCCGAATAGCTGTATAGCCTGCACCTCCGCTCTTTGTGATACTAATATCAAAATCACTGCCAAAATGGAAGACTTTATCACTTTATATTCTTATTACCATAATATACTTAGTTATATTAGGGCGAGGAATTTGTGAGGGATGATAGCTGAAGATGAAATCAGGTCAGTTGGGCCATCATGGCAAAATTTGCAGAAATTAATCACGATTGCTTTCAGAGGGACCACCTGGAAGTCGTCCTGGTAGGGTGGAGTATTGCTAGCGATGTGTCCCCATAACTAACAGTCCCTTACCTCCCTTAACAATCGACTAACGTACTACAGTTGGATATGTGTCTCTCCCCTTTATGAGAAAGAATTAGTCTACTACTGCTACGCTCCATAGATGACTTAGTATGAGGTTTTATTTCAAGATTTCCTTCCCTTGCACTGCTGTATTGTGCATACCATTAGAAACCAAAATTTCTAAAACAGAAGTATGTTCCACTCGCATTTTCATCACCAAACGTGCATTCATAGCTGTATTTCAATTTGAAGGATGGGATGTGAGAGTGAAATTGCAGGGTGCAGAGATATAGTCCTTAGTACTTCTCAACACATGAGAAGTACTATGGGCTTTAAGATGTATTCTATAACGTAAAGATGAAGATAAATATGTCTTAGACATAAAATATTCTATGGTTTCCATGATGCTGTTTATATCTATACTCGACAATAAGCTGTTTCAATAAACCATTAGTCACTCCGTGTCTTATGTAAAATATACTTACACAAGAAGAACAGATAACTGGAAGCGTGTATCAAGAACTTCATGAACGGTTTCCTCATGAGTTTCCCGGTGGCGCAGTTGGGTGCTATCATATACAGGGTGCAGTAGAAAGGGAACAAGAGAGCCACCCTACAGATGATCATGATCTTCTCCATGGCCGTCTTCCGACGGAAGCCCGGGACTCCCTCGTACCAGATTGCGGCCAACAGTTGTTGGATATTTGGGTGGGAGACGAACTGGCAAACAAAATTGGTTTTTTAATCTTACTTGGTAGTAGGTGAGTGGTGGCAACACTGACCGATGACATTTCATATGAAAATATTTATGACATTTAATAATTAAAAAAAAATGACAGTTCCGAAAATTATTTAAAAATATAAAATCCTAGATAAACTTTTTACATTTAAAACCTGGCAGCATGATTTCTGACCGTAGACTGTTCTTCTGGAGAACAAATGTACAAAAAAAATATGAGACTCCTAAAGGCTATTTAAATGTTATTAAGATATCGAATGAAATATATTTCTTTTATATTTATTAATATTCATGCTCTTGTTTAATAAGTATCCTATATATAAAGGGATAACTCTAAACTACTAAACCTACAAATATTATAAATGTAAAAAATTGTAAATATGTTTGTGGGTAAACAGCTGAACGGATTTAAATGGAATTTGGTACACAAATAGATAAATTTAATTTAATTAACTAATAATTTAATTTCTTAATTTAATGATGCACGCAGTTAAATTCATGAAAAATAACTATTCTTATAAATATGAAAGTTTGAATGTTTATTACTCAAAACAGGTTTAAAATGCAGAAACAATACATATCATAGTATCTGTCATTGCGATTAATTTCATTTTAATTAATTTATTTATTTATTTTTAATAGTCAATAGCTATCTAGAATCTTTTATACTAGTTGACGTGGGTAAGTAATTAATTTTCACAAAAAAAATTGTAAAAAGAATAACACTTGTAACTATGTAGAAAAAATAGTACAAGTCCAAACTAAGAGTAGGTACTTTTTAAGATTTTCAGAATTAAAAGAACAAAATCGATACCAAATTGATAAACTACAAAAAATTTTGTGGAATTGCAAACTTCCTTCTAAAGTTTAAAGTTTCAAAGTAATATATATATATACATACATACATATATATATATATATATATATATATATATATATATATATATATATATATATATATATATATATATATATATATATATATATATATATATATATATATATATATATATATATATATATATATATATATATATATATATATATATATATATATATATATATATATATGTATGTATGTATTATTTCTAAGCAAATATATAAAATTACACCTTGACATATTTTCCTTAAACTAATAAAAATAAAACGTTGCCTGTTGGACACTAACGCACATTATTATAAAAATTTCACGTGGAGGAAACATTTTTTAAATATATTATTACTAACTTACAGGAATTTGTTAATGAGTAAATATAAAAATATAAACATATAAAAAGTAAATAAATAAATAGTAGGTAGTATTCTATATGTCAGTGCTTATTTTTTAATAGGATTAATTTTTTTATCTAGTCAGGTATTTAATTTGTTAACATAAAAATAACTAATATAAATTAAACCACATTTTATATAAAATGTCATCGTTATATCATAATATTAGCCGTTAACTATTTACTGCTAAACATAAGCCTCCCCCATAAAGGGGGATTTACCAGTAGTTGCCACGTTTGGCAGGCGGATTGGCAACCGCAGATAGGTTTTGGTGACGTTTTAAGAGGGACACTGCTGCCCATCATTCCTTAGTCGTCTTCCAATAAGAAAGGAAGAATGGCCGATTCATAAGCCAGGACCGCACAGTATAAAATGTCATAGTATTATATTTATATCTACATGTGACTCAATTCACATAATGAAAACCATCTGTTTTGGCTGTAGTTATATCTAATTTTTTTTTACAACACAGGGGGCAAACGAGCATGCGGCTGACCTGATGGTAAGTGACTACCACCGCCCATGATCACCCACAACACTAGCGGCATTGCAGGTGTGCTGCCGGCCTTTTAAATATCTATCTTATTTTAATACAGTTATACACATGTTTTTTTAAATCTATAGAAAGCAATTTCAAAATCTTACATCACGTTTATTTTCAGGTTTCTACTTTTTTCATTTACGTATATTTTGTATTATTTATGTTGTAATTTTTTTTATACCACGAACGTGGCAAACAAGCATACAGCCCGTCTGATGGTTAACGTCACAGTAGCTTTTGGACGCCTGCAACATTAGGGGTGTCATGTGCTCATTGCCAACCCTGAAGAAACATTAATATACCCACTTTGAAAACAAAAATGTTTAAATTGTTATTTAATTAATAAATACTAACCTTTTTCTGTTTAAAATCAATGGCCAACTCCAATCTCGCCAGCTTCATGTGATCACCCTCGACGAAGGCGGGCTCGTCGGGGTCGTGGTTTAAGATGATGGCCAGCTCCTGCGAACTGCGGGACTGATCCAGCAGGTCTACCGCGAACTTCTGCGCTTGGCGACGCAGCTCTAAATACTCCGCCTTGCTTTCCTATTAAAAAATACATTTATTAATTCAATTTCTTTTTAGGAGGAGTTTGTAAGCGAACTATTGACATGTACCGTCGTGGTCAATTCTTGATGGGTCAACTGATCTGCTTTTATCCTTGTTTATCATCTTTCACTGATAACGCCAGCAGAGTTATCATTTCATTATCATCTTATAAAACAAACCTAATTTCACCCACCACTGATTTTTTTTTATGCAACTTATACTGGGAATCAAGCTGATGGCTCACCTGATGAAAAGTGGTAACTGTCGCCTATAGACATGAGCAATACCATGGACATAACAGAGTATTCTGTTTCCCCCATAATGCCCCCATGCATTGCCGTTCCTGAAAACTTAGGTGTTAATCCTCTATACTCTGTAAATTCACTGCCATATCCCACCCTTCAAACCGAAACAGAGCCATGCAAACACAACTGCTCCACGGTAGAAACATTACCCTACCATCTCGATTCATAAAAAAATTATGATTCTTTGAAGGAAACTATTATATTTAAAGAGTTTCATTCATTCATTCGTGCAATTATTCGCTTTCTTTGTCAAAATATAAGAGCCACTAACCTGCTCAGCAAAAGCCAAGTTCCTCAGCTCCCACGACAGTTGGAAGGCAGTGAGTATAGGGTCGGTAGAGGACAGAGCTATCAGCGAGGGGGAGGCCAGCGCTCTATACTCGTTGAGGCGTGCTAGTGAGTGCCGGAGGGAATCTTCAGTTGACTCACGGATGCACTCATCACAGCCACACCTTGGGTGGAAAGCTTTATTCCATTAATTTAAAAGTTTAATCCCCAAATCCCCAACTCTGTTCGTGTAGTATATCTTTCTACATCCCCAATCCTATATCAATCCCAAGTTTTTTAAAAATTGAGCAATTAAAAACCGATAAGACAACAAACAGATTCATTTCTACTTCTTTGGTAAAGGATGAATTTGTATCATAAAAAAGTACCAGGGAAATCGCTACTGAATTAATGTATATTTTATATATACCTTGTAACATAGGTATATATAAAATATAATTAAAATAAGAAACTCCACCTTTTTGATGTCGATTAAAATGTCCTTGTGGTGAAAAATTTAAAGATTTTGGTTTCACAAAAAACTAACTTCAATTGTGGCATAACTAATTATTTTAAAATAAAAAAGAATTTTCCAAATCGGTCTACAACTGACGAAATTATGTGGTAACATACATAAATAAATGCAACTGAATTGAAAACCTCCTTTTTTGAAAGCGGTTAAAAATAACTATTCGGTATTACCTAACGTCATGAGGGTTTGGTAGAGTAGCGCCCCGATCCAATAATATCTTGAGGATTTCGTAGTTGTTCTTGTGAGCTGCCAACATGAGGGGCGTGATGTCGGGTGTAAACATGGCCGTGTTTGGATCCACTTTCTGCCAACTCTGTTTAAAGAAATGTCTGCTTAGATAGATACAGCTGTAATAAACACACTCTGATGATCAAAGGGATAAGAAGACCACTTAATCTTAATCATATAACCCACGAAATTAAAAGAGCACCTCGCGCTTAACGTAACACAATGAGGTAGAGATGATCCCCTCACCCAGAACCTCCATAATTTTAAGGTTTTGAAACCAAAGTCCATCTTATCTATCCATTGCTGAACATAGACCTCCCCCATAGACTTCCATAAAAAACGGTCCTGAGCCACCTGCATCCACTGACTCCCTGCAATGCATTTGAGGTCGTCACTCCATCTAGTGGGATGACATACTACTCTGGTGTACTTCAGCTGTAAGTGATTAGTACTCTGGTTTTAATTAGTTACAATAACCGTTATTCTTATCCCTTTACCAGAATAGACCTGTCCGTATATAACAACATAATTTTCATAACACTTTATTTGCTTACTGCTACTTACGTATGGTTCCCCATCTTTATGTATCAGCTCCTCATGTTCCAACAATAATTCGACAGCTTCCACAAACTCAGCGTTAATGGCCTGCAACAGAGCATCCTTGGTCTCCACGCCCATGATGACAAGCAGTTCAACCATCTCCATGTTCTCCCCATCTATCGCCAACGTCAAAGCTCCGCGGCCTAACGAATCTACGCAGTTCACATCGATGTGCTTCTGGCGGTGGGCCTTCTGCAAGATCCTAAGAAGAAAGAGAAAATGATCATTATCCTACTTATATTACAAATGCCATAACTACTCACATTACATTTGTCGTACTGTCCTGGCATAAAATTGAATACCCCATCTTTTCCCGTGCTTGTCGTAAGAGGCGACTAAGGAAACTAAATTGTCGCGGGATTGGCAGCAGACTAAAGCTTAACTGCGGTTGCCAACCAGCCGGCCAAGCGTGACACTGGTAAAAAGGGGTGGAGAGGGATTTTAGGGGCTATGTTCAGCAATGGACAATTAACGGTTGATGTAATAATAATTAAAATTTTGAAAATTTAGTTTCATTTAATTCGATTTCAGCATAAGGTTATACTGGGGTATGTACTGATGCATGCGTATACGCAGGACACAGTCTTAACACAGGATACTTTGTGTACTGATGCACGCAGGCAAAGCCGCGGAAAACAACTAGTACTAAATATGTGTAAATCTTCATAATGATTTGTTGAACCATTAAGAGATAACAAACAAAGTCAGGGCTTTCTTATAAGTTATTATAATTCAATAAACGAAACAAAGCCGATTTGTAGCGGTCATTTGGATTGGGTGAAACGTTAAATTTAATTAGGTAAGGCGCACTATTAATTTGATTGCTTCAAAATTTGGTCAATTTAGGAAAGTTCAGTAGACGTTGACTGTATTCATTATAATTCTAACTTAATTATCATTTATATATTTAAAGGATTGATGTTCTGGAAGTTCATAATTTAGGTCTTATCTAACTGTTTTGTCATTATGAGAACCGCTGCCTTTATATATTTATGCCATTGATATATGCTAACGCAGCACCAGAAAGAGATGAGGAATGTAATGCAAAATGCAAAAATGGTCCCATTTCCACACTCAATCTCCCATTTGAGCTATTATATGTGTGAGATGCGGCTAATAAATCCAGCCAAGCTCCGCCCAGAAGCGCAGAAGCTTCTTGGTACCTTCACAGACTTCACGAATCGACCTCACGTTTTAAAGATTTGTGAACGTTAGAATACAAGAAGCAGCAACATTCCAAGATTACGTTAGTGGCTATTAGTTCGGCGTCAAAACAGCCTCCAGCCAACTGTTTGTGGCCTCTATAGTGCAAAAGTGTTTGTTTTAGATGAAAAAACCTTATTATTATCCTTTTTTAAGATTTTTCCTATCGAAAAGAAGGTGAGGATGATTTGAAAATAACTATAGGTTGCTGTAAACTTAATTATATCTTAAGATACTTGTATCTTCTAAAATAAAGAATTTACATTCATTGTTTCTGTCATAATTTTGCATATTATGATTCAACGTCACTAGTCCCTAAATTGATTAATACTCATTATATTAAGATTAGGAATGGGTCCCGTATTTTACAAAGCAGAGGATATTTGATTGGCATATCCTAAATAAACTGAACGCATAATAGGATAGAATATTTCTATGACTTATCTAATAGTGACAGTCGGAGCTATTGGCTTTGTTATTCCTTTTGAAATATTATTCTGAGCTATTGTTACTAGTACAATCGCGCGTAATCTATATACATAACAAAATTAGAATAAATGACATCTGTAAGTACATAGAGAGAATAATTTAATGAAGAATTAGAAGAAAGAAGAAGAAGAATAAAAAAAATTAAATGAAGGTAGAAGAATAAGAATGTTAAGAGCAATAGAAGTCACAAAAATTTTTAGAAGTTTTCTCTCTGTCTATATCTTTGTTTTGGAGTCAAAACTGTTTCACAGTTATATTCGTGAAGGTCAAATCGTCGTTACAAACGTCCATAGTCTAAGGTGATCGTTTACCATCAGACAGGCCGTATGTGTATGTTTGACATTCTAGCAGTAAATCAACTTACCTCCTGACATTGCCCATATCTCCCCTTTCGACCGCCAAAAGATACTTCTTCTCTTCGAGAGTGAGAGCCTTCGGTAATGTCGGCAAGTCCATCGGCTTCCGCACGCCCTCCAGCTCAGGGTCACCCTATATAATATATCTAGACTTGTATTTTATAACAATCTATAATAAAGTTCACGTATCATTAGTTTTTGGAGAGAATCTTTATTCAAAATTTAAAAACTAGAAAATGTCATGGCTTAGTAGTATAGTATACGCATCTTATACTCGTAGACAGCAAATATCTTGAGTTCTAATGTTGTTGCCACCAAAAACTTTGTATGTCAATTTAAATTTCCGAAATAAAAAATCGATAACAAACTAAAATAGTCCTTTTTTATCTATATTTATTTAGAGCCCTTTTAGCCACGTCAGTCTCATCGTACTTTAATCAATTTTAAAACATCATTGGATTTATTTTAACAATCAAAAGCTACCCCCCGCAATATCAAATAATAGGAACGAAAGGAATATTGTAGAAAAATTATATGACATACATAGTTGAAAATAATCCTTTTTCATTCTTAATTTAAAATATTCAATTATTATAATTTTTCGATACTGGCAAGTTAAAATAATTTTTGTTCTTTAGTATGGCAGCTCTTTGCCTTCATCGTATTCGATCCTAAATTGATGAATCCTTGACGATAATCTCGCCCCCTACTATCTTGGATTCGAGTATGCTCATCGAAATGTGGCCATGTATGACACTACATTCACCACAACGGCAACAGACAACAAATGCCTTCCACTGGGGTAAGGTATTGTCCGTAATTCAGACAGACTATCAGTCGCATTACTAACAATATACCCCATCAGATCGATCTCCCCATGGTCCCCATAGAAATAATCGTGCTGAATTCCAGTTGTGTTTATCACGATGACCTAATTGACCTGCCTTTTTATTCTCACCTATCATTTACCACTGGAGCCCCGCCAGGCAGGCAGGGTTACCATTCCATTATCATCCATTAAAATGCCTTCAACTGTCCCGTTATTTTCGTAAGCATATTTTATTTTAATCCTACTAATATTATAAAATTGAAAATTTCTAAACTTTCGATATTTAGTAAGCAATTACTCAATTACACTTTAACAGCTAATCAGATGTAATGAAATTTGCTACAGACATGATCCATATACTGAAATTTTATAACACATAGGGTATTTTTTATCATAATACATGCAGCTTCAGCCGTGAGGAACAGCTAGTCTTTTACGAATTAAAGCAGTACTTACGCATTCCAGGTCCTTTTTATCAGCCATGATGTCGGTTTACACCCTGGAGTCGATTGGAGCAGCATCCGCCCCCGCAGGCGAACCCTTACGCAAAGTACAATATATAAATTATAATAAAAGATTATGTCCCACAAAAAAATCCGACTTAATCGTTACAAAATCGGTTATTTTGATATGAAAACTACTAAACTACTGAACCGATTTTGATAAAACATCTACGGGACCGATTGGTCTTATTACATATATATTTACAGATTTGTAAATATATTCTTTTAGATAAAGAAATAACTTTCCAATTCGGTTTAGAACTAATGAAGTTATGAAGTAACACATTAAAAAAATACAACTGAAATGAGAACCTCCTTTTTTAAAAGTCGATTGAAAACAGTAATTTATAGTCGACGCGGCGTCCCGTTTAATAATTGAGATAAGTAATACCAACATTTATAATCATATAAATATATCACACTTTTTAAATAAATTTATGTATTTTAAATACACCTGATTGTGTGTTACAATAAAGAAGCAGGTATATTGGTATTATTTATCTGCAAAAATTTTTCATCGCGTTAAGTCCCGATAGTGTATTTTAAATATGTGTGAGAAAATTTAAAATTAACTTTTTTTTATACAACTTAGAATGGCAAACAAGCTGACGGCCCACCTGATGGAAAGTGGTAATCGTCGCCTATAGACATGAACAGTACCATGGACATAACAGAGTATACTGTTTAGCCCATGATAACCCTCATGCGTTACCATTCCTGAGGACTCAGGTGTTATTCCTCTGTACCCAGTAAATTCACGCCATATCCCACCCTTTAAACCGAAACACAGCCATGTAAACACAACTGCTTTACGGTTGAAACACGAATGGGACAGAGGTACCCAAGCAATCGACTTTTGTACAAAGTCTCCATCTGGTTAACTAGTTTATTTAGTTACTAATTGCTATATATAGATATCTATATATAGCAATGCCTTTCAGTTCACAGATAACTAGATACCCTGAATACATGAAGCCAAACAAAGTCGACGGACATTATAATCCGCGTTGACATGTCGATTACGACCATCACCTACTTACCTCCGCTGACATAATAACCTTAAACAAGGCATAATTTAATAACATACAAGTTGAGAGAAGAATTAATGCAGCTGATCAAGCATACGGCCCGCCTGGTAGCGATTTGTAGTGGGTAGGGGTTAATACATGTTTTTCACAAACTTAAACCAATAAGATCCGTATTATTATTCATATTGACTTATTTTTCTAAATATTTTGTTTTCTGTTTTGTTATGAATTACACAAATATATAATATAATAATAAAATAATAAATTATTATGTTTATATTATAGTATTGCTCATGTCTATAGGCGACGGTTACCACTTTCCATCAAGTGGGCCGTGAGCTTGTTTGCCATTCAAAGTTGCATAAAAAATTAATCTTAAATTTAACATTGACCATTTGGATCGATGAAAGAAGAAGCACGAAAGAGATTTATCGAGCAAGAATGAATGTCGGTAGGGGCTGTCCTAGACGAACTAATGTCGACTAAATAACACCCTACTATTACCCTAATGGGAGACAGGCGTGATAGTTATGTATGTATATATATAAATTTAATATCACACTAATCCCTGACGATCAAACGGATTGAATGATTTTGAAAATATGTATAATATAACTTGAGAGATGACGTACATAATGTTTATCTGAATAAGAAAAATATTAAACAGTGGGTAGGGACTAAAAGAACTTTTGCTGATTCGACTAGTAGGATTGTTAGAACCTGGTATTTTATAACCAAACCTAGAATCAGGCTATTTCAAATTAATAGGTACCTATTTAATAAAATTTCAGTTTAAAAGCCAGCAACCAGCAGGGTAAGTAAGACGCCGGCTTTTACATGCTCTCCAAAGCACATATCCAAGTGAAAAAGTATTTAAAAATCCAAATTAAAAATTCAAAGGTTACTGTTGCGTTTTAGTCTTCGGATCTCGAACCGGAAGCGAGCATTATAGCTATATGCATTTAAAAATGACAGAATTTTCATCATACCTTCGATCAAACTGTTTATAATTACTCCTCTCCATCCAAAGGTTGCCTGGAAGAGATCGCTTTTAGCGATAAGGCCGCCCATTGTTTTCTTACTGTGATTATTTCTTGTAATTGTTTGTATGTGCTATTAAATATGCTTATGTATATATTTGTTTATATGCGTATTTATTTACATATATGTATAATGTATATATATATATATATATAGTAGTACGCTACCTACCCTTCGTTTTTTCCCTATGTCCTCTAACCAAAGGTTATCTAAAAAAGATTGCTTAGCGGTAAACTATTTAACAATATTAAAACAATAACAATAATATATGTACGTACTTACAAGTAACGGACGCTTGAGGCTGACTGGACACCACTCCTGCGCCGTCCTACCCCACCTGTCCTTATATACCAACTACTGTAAACCCACTTTATCCAATTAGACAGGGGTGGCACTAAACAAGAGAGCTGTTTCTAAGCAGTTTTCGTATAAACACGTGTAATTGTTGATTCTCGTTGCCATTTATTGTCAACCGACTTCAAAATTGTTAATTAGATTGTATGCTTTTTGTATATGTGTTATACAATATCTTTAATTCTGAACTGATTTTAATGATACATATTGCAATGGATAAAGTTGACTCTCGTGTTGTGTAGGTACCGGCATAGAATAGGCCAACCCTTCCTTTCCCGTGGGTATCGTAAAAGGCAACTAAGGGAGTTTATGGTGATGGTATGAGCAGCAGCCAGAGGGAGACTTTGTACAAAAGTCGTTTGCTTGGGTACCTCTATCCCATTTGTGTTTCAACCGTAAAGCAGTTGTATTTGCATGGCTATGTTTCGGTTTGAAGGGTGAGACATGGCGTGAATTAACAGGGTACAGAGGAATAACACCTCAGTCTTCAGGAATGGCAACGCATGGGGGTATCATGGGTGAAACAGTATACTCTATTACATCCATGGTACTGCTCATGTCTATAGGCGACGGTTACCACTTTCCATCAGGTGGGCCGTCAGCTTGTTTGCCATTCTAAGTTGTATAAATAAAAAGCAGCGTCTTAAAACATAAACAAAAGCCAAGCTGCGGTTGCCTACTTACCTGTCAAGCGTGGCAACTATTGGCAAAACCTCCCTTATTGGGGAGGCCTTGTTCAGGAGTGGACAGTTTAGGGCTGATACAACAACGTCATCGAATGTAGTGCACTCGCAAATTGTATATCACTTTTAGGGTTTTTTTTTTTCTTGTCATTAATTTGTTGGTATACTGGATTCTTGTTCTGTTTTTTTTTTCTTTTATTCATTGTTTTTATACTTGTTTATTTTAGTTTTTGTATTGTTTTCTTTTATTTTTTATGTAATATCTACATCAATATATATATTTGATAATGAAACGGTGCCCCGTGTAGGTGCAAACTGAAAATCAGCGCTGAACAAACATCAGTCCAACAAAAGCTGAGTTTGTACATATTGCCAGGCGCATACGATTAATGGACAATATATTGATTAATTAATATATATACATTATAATTTGTGAAGAATGGCAATAAATTTTATTATTATTTAAAAAAAAAAACTCGTATTCATCCAGGTCCATACATTTTTTTTACAATGAAAGTAACATTCATTTGTTTAAAAGTAAAATTATTATTCAATCAAATATTGCAAATGTTAAAGTTACTTTGTTTGTTTTTTTTTTTTTTTTTTTTTTTTAATATTTTAAGGGCTTTTACCTTCTTCAGGTATATCAGTCCTATTGTACCCTGAACTTTGTTTGTTTGTGTCTATTGGAGTTGTAACGTAAATAACAATGAAGTACATGCAAATAATAAAAATATATAAAAATATGGGCATGTCAAAGAGATTTGATGGCTGATTGTAAAATGCTTTTGAAGGTATTTAGACGCGAGTTGAAGATATCAAAACATCAATGGATAAAAGTGATATATCACGTTTTCGGATTTACGCTATTCTATTAATGGACAGAGGCGCTATGTTACTTCACTACATAGTATTAAACAAAGTCGCTTCCCGCCTGTCTATCCCTATGTATGCTTAGATCTTTAAAACTACGCAACGGATTTTGATGAGAGTTTTTTAATAGATAGAGTGATTTAAGGGGATGGTTTATATATATAATACATGCATAATATAGTAGAGAAACACTGATAATATTAGTGGTTTCTAATGTGATGTCGTACCTAAACATATTTTTGCGTTTACATTGCAAACGCTGGCTGAACCCTACAAGATAGATCAAAATAATGTACTACAGTATTTTACACTTTAAGAAGTTCTACAAAAAAGTGTGCGATGGTATATGTCTCTCTTTTAGGAACGATCCACAATAACAATTTTTTATTCTATACTTTTTACGAGAAGTAATGGCTTTTTTACGGAGCGATTTTAACCAATACAGCATTAATCCTTATCCAATTAAATACCTTAAATACATTGTTGATTTAATATAGATCAAAATGGTCATTTACAGCATGTCATTTAAATGAATATTTAATATTACAGATTTAAAATGCAGGGGGCGTAGCGATTGCGGCGGCGCTATTCAGTATCAGCATTGCACCCGTGCGAAGCCGGGGCGGGTCACTAGTACATACTAATATAGCTTATACTTACCCTCAATTCGCCATGTGGTCCCGACATAGAATAGGCATCCTCACCGATGCCACGCCAACGTTATCACCCAATAAAAAAAGCTGTTATAATCATTTAGACTGCTGACATTTTCAGTAGAAACGAAATAAATTCAAATTTAATACAACAATAAATTGTTCCATGTAGAGGTAGGTACTATTCGCCCAACTGGCAGGCAGTTCAGTAATTATTACTGAAATCCGCGCCAAAACGAAACTTTTATGCAAAGAAATAAAAAAGTTTTAATTCCAAATTCAAACTCTCGTATTAGAAGAAAAAAATAGTACCGTATTATTTTTCTATTACGCAAATTAGAATTCGGTGAAACTTTTTTTTTTCTTTGCACCAAAGAGGCTAAAGACCGTGTATTCCATTTCCATTTATAGGAATTCAGAAATAAATAATAAGAAGAGCAAACCCACGTTACTTTAGAAAAACACGTTTGTATGAAATCTATGCAACCAGTTTATTGAATTTGTAACTTTTATTAAACTGTATAATCACTGTAAGACTCCTCACGAGTTGGTAATAGAACACAATATGTGTTCAATTTCTTAATGGTTGCATAGATTCATTTCTCATTTTCACCAATATAAAGTCAGCGGCGACTATTAAATAACGGAATTATTACTTTGTGATTGTTATATAAAATTGCTTTCATACTTTTTAAGTATATGGAACATCCTATTTAACGGGATATATAAAAAAAACACATGAAAAATGTAAAATTTTATTACATCACTACTTGTCAACATAAAGTACTGTACATACCACACTACAACATGACTAGTGCATTACCAGATATCTTCACAATATTAATGGTTACCTACAATGAATTCTGATAAAATACATTACCTAGGTATATTTGAAGCTAATATAGTACAAAATATTGTTACGTACAATCAGGGAAAAAAGTCTATGACCTCCTACAGAGAAGAGCAATATCATAGACATAGATTTAAAAACATTCTGTAAGTAAGGTATAAGTTATAGAATATTTTTTATTTTATTTATTTTACACTAATAATTATTTGCTTACTTAAATGCATGCTATCTAAATCTATATTTATGAATAATATAGGTACTTATTTCCCCGATTATAAAAGGGTAGTTTTTAATCCACTATACAATATTGCTGTCTTTTACCTAAGTTATATACAATGCATATCAAAATATTATATTGTAGGCAATCAATCGAATAAACAACAATACACTATTTATAGACAAATACAACGTAAGTAACTACAGTGAATATGTGTGTGTGTGTGTGTGTGTGTGTGTGTGTGTGTGTGTGTGTGTGTGTGTGTGTGTGTGTGTGTGTGTGTGTGTGTGTGTGTGTGTGTGTGTGTGTGTGTGTGTGTGTGTGTGTGTGTGTGTGTGTGTGTGTGTGTGTGTGTGTGTATGTGTGTTATTTACACAATAGTGTAGCGTCACATTGTACACATATTGCGTCCACTAATGACGATTAATACTTAATTTGATTATATAATAAAAACATTATTAAAAATATAATGCTGAAAAAAATATATAATTACGGTGAATAAATTGAGGCAAACTGGTTTAAATTAAAAACACTTTTAACAATCTATTGAAATGACCTATTTTCGCATGGACAATGGATGAGCGAAATTATGACGACGAAAAATAAGTTCTAGTTAACAGTCATAATATTAAGAATATTTGCGAACTCTCAAACCCGCTCGCTTCGAATTATTACAATCATAAACATATAAATTATTACATTTTTGTGCCTGTACTAATACCGTTGTATTTTTAAGACTGATAAAAATGCATAATTCTAAATTTCTGCGAAACATATGATTTTTTAAATAGATTTTCAATTATATAAATAAAGTAACAATCCGACCTACCATATTTCACTACATCCTAATCATTATGGCAATAACGGTTAAACTCATAGTGTAGGAACATACAGTAGTCCAACGCCTTTGGCATATCCGAAACGAATCAATGGTAATTCACATTTCTCTGTCTACACGAGTCTATTCGTTATCATCGAATTAACAAAATATCAATAGTTTTAAGAAGTACGAATTACAATCGTAATTTTATGAAATGTTACGGTTGTAGTAAGTGTGAAATACAATTAAACAGTTTTGTTACCGGCGTTTAGGGGAATATCAGGGAATTTAAATTGGCATACAAATTATGACGCCAACCGCTAACGCCTCGAACTAACGATAATTTATATTTAGAATTCTTGAAAAGTACAATTAAAGTATTCTATGTAGTTTTAGCATATTTTCTTTCTTTTCGTAACTGTTGGTCAAATGCCACCGTTGCTGATTTTATTTATCTTCAAAATAGTGATTTGACATTTCCGTAATAATTATTTACCCGCCAAAACTAGTCAATAAAAGCTAGAACGACCAACAGTTGACAGTTGTTGATCGAACATCGACCAGTAAAGACGTGTAATTTGGTAAATCGTTTTAATACAAATGTATTTAAATTGTAAGTTAATACATAAATTGGATACCGGAATCACGACCACTTAAAGTAGGAAATATAAAAAAAATAGTTCGACACAAAAATCGATTGATTTACCAACAAATTACTGTGTTCGCAGTCAGATAGTTCACGGTACAGTTTTCGGTCGACAGGTTGTGACAGTAGATTTATGTGCAATTGAAATAATCGGAGGAAACTCTTACCCTTAGAATGCCTACAAATTAGGTATGTATATATATATACACATATAAATACTTTCTGATATTTTACACAGGCTACATTTTAAATGCACAACTGGACCAAACTATGCAAATTATATGGACGGAAATTATGTTTTCAAATAAAAAAAATCGCATTAATTCAGAACATACATAATTGGCTACTTGCTAGAGATGTCAAAGTAATTTATGACTATGACCAATGCCTATCAAAGTATAAAAAAAAAAAAACGAGAAACCCGAAAGGAAGTCGACCCCAAATAGTTTATGTATTAACGTTCTACTTCCAACACGTCTACGTTCAATTTCTGTATTTCTAAAATTTGGTATTTTATCCCTGTAATATTTTTTCGTCGGATACACCGAAAACTAATTTCACGCAGACATAGTAAGAAGTTCTAAAGTAATAATCAATTACAATTTTCACAAATAGTCCCAGAGCTTGGACTCTTTTTAATAATCCGATTGTAAAATCGAATTATAAATACTTACGAAAAAAATATGTCAACTAAAATATTAATAAAAAAAAATATTTAAAAAGAATAAAATGTTTTTTAAAACCAAAGTCTTTTTACGTTAGAAAAAAATTTAAAACAATTGCATTATGGCAACAGTAAAATAAATAAATCCTTTATCCAAACATACCTACATGACTAATTAATTGACATTATAATATATTTGTGTTACACATTTATTAACACGTCCAATTATTAAAAATAACTAAAGTTTACTTAGTGCATCTTAAGATCAATGTATATTTTATTTATACCTAGATAGATAGACTTACCGGCAAAACATTTAAATATTAACTTGCACAGTTTCGCAGTATCAACTTTATACAAATTGTACAAAAATGTGCATATAGCAATTATAGTTTTTTTTTTTAAGCTTTTTGGCGCGAACTACGAATGAGAACAAATTTTAAAAATAGAATTGCGTTCCGTAACTCGACCATTAGCTGTAGGAGTAGGGGAGCACGGGGGAATCAGAGCCACAGGGTAATGGGAGTTACTCTAGTTTACATGCTTCTTGACAATTTAGACCCTGTTTTGTTTTAACGTATTACAAAAGGACGCAGGAGGGGTGCATATGCCTCGTTGTGTCACCGTTTAGTTGACTTTTAGTACACAAATAAATAGCACGTCAGTTTTTTAAGCTATTCATCTAATTTTTGACAACATTCAAGGACAAATTGTGAGTTTTTAATTTATTTTATTATTAGTATTGCTTCTTTTATCTTATAGATTTATCATTAGAGTGTCGTATAAAAAAGTTAATTTATGTAAATAAGCAATTGTATTTTGACAATTATATGAAAACCTAAAAATGAGTATTTGGGGAAATGGGAGTCGAATGGCTCTCATTACCCACTTCATTTCTTGTAGTTTTATTTCAGATGCCTTGAAAACAAGATAGGATTACGGATAAATATCAGTGGAATCTGGTTACTATACCGTGCTATCAAGAGAGTCAATGAAGATGGAATATCTCTGCATAAGGCTGCCCAAGGGTTTAATATTCCATATAGTACTTTGCAAAAAAGGTATCGCAGAGCAGTACAAACCAATCCTCGTCTCGGAAGGAAACCAATATTTTCTCCAACTCAAAAACAAATTTTGGCTGATCATCTCATTCACATGTCGAATCTTTTTTACGGCTTAGACTCCATGAAATTTAGAAAATTAGCATACGAGTGTGCTGAACAGTTGAAGATATCTCATAATTTTAATAAGGAACTTAAATGTGCGGGACCAGACTGGCTTAAAGGATTTTTGAAAAGAAATACTAATATCAGTGTTCGCAAACCTGAGTCAACTAGTATTAACAGAATTGAGGGATTTAACAGAGTAGAAGTAGAATTATTTTCCAAAAATCTTGAGGAACTAATGATAAAAAATAATGATGCAGCGCACCAAATATTTAATGTAGATGAGACGGGAGTGTCTACAGTGCAGAAACCAGGAACAATTTTAGCAAAAACAGGTCAAAAACGAGTTGGTACTGTCACTTCTTGGGAGAGAGGAAAGACAGTCACTGTTGTTTGTGCAATGAGTGCTTCTGGCGTTTATGTGCCTCCTATGTTTATATATCCGAGACAACGTCATTCTCCTCTTTTAGAGAAAGATGGTCCTCCGGGTGTAATTTACGATTGTTCAAAAAATGGATGGACAAATGAAAATCTATTTTTTAAATGGTTGCAACATTTCAAAATGTTTGTAAAACCGAGTAAGGAAAACAAAATATTGCTTATTCTAGATAATAATAACAGCCACTCCACTTTAGAAGCATATGAATTTTGCAAAGCTAACTACATCAACATGTTGTCTACACCACCACACTCCTCGCATCGTTTGCAGCCTCTAGATATAACATTTTTTGGTCCTCTAAAAAAAGCATACAATCGCGAATGTGACCTATATCTCAAATCAAAAAATATGATTAAAATCACAATGTATGATATACACATGCCCAATATTCAGGTAGTGATTCTGCCAAAAATTATGTTTGTGATTTTTGTATGAGGCGATAATTGTTTTTAATTACATATAATTATCTATAATTTTGCATGTTCCTAAAGATAATATAATTGTATTTTGAATGAGAATAAGTTTAGTTTATAAACACATGAGGAAAATGTTTAATTATACAATATTTTGTTACATATTGTTAATGTGGTTACCATTACCCCGATGGATCTTATTGCCCCTATTTCTGGTTCTAATTACCCCGTACTCTTGGCAATGGGAGCCAATGTTACTTTTTTTTAAGTAAGAATTATTTTCATTTTAAGTAGGTTTTTTTTAATTTCTATATTAACAGGATAAGCCTGATTAGTTACATTATAATTAAAAGAAAAAATTAAAATAAAAAGTGATTTATACAAAAAGTTATTTAAGTTTTAGCTTAAGTGGCGCCAATTCCCCCGTGCTCCCCTATATGGCCAGTGTTCGTAGAACTATTTAATATGTAATACGAGTATGTCTATGGTTGCCGTGTGGTCCCGGCATAAAATAGGCCACTCTTCCTTTCCCATGAGTGTTGTAAGAAGTTACTAAAAGAACTTAAGGGTGGAGAGATGAACAGCAGAGTCCTTCTTTATACATCACCAAAGACTAACTGCGATTGCCAATCCGCCTGCCAAGCGTGACAACTATCGGCAAAACCACCCAATAGGGGGAGCCCTATATTCAGCAGTGGATAGATAACGACTGATATGATAATGATGATGATGATGTCCATGTCTTCCCTAGACTTACCCTATTACATGACAGCATCAAAATTCGATGAACACGTTGTTTTCAAAAATCCATAAACGTTTTTGTAAATAGGTAGCTCGACTAGATTTTTAATTCATACAATGTCATGTCTACAATGGAGTATAGGAATTTTAAAAATTTTATAGTGTTCAACATCTTTCATGATGCTGGCCATATTCAAACCAGACTTGCTTTCATAGATAAAGAACAGTGCTTAAGACAGGATTTGTAGTTATTTCTCACTGTTTTAATAAGTAGTAATATAATTTTTAAATATAAGTAATATAATAATTTTAGTAAATCCGGTCTTATGTGATTTTAAGTAATGTTTTAATTATTCTTTGAAGAAATTACTCTACATATAAAATCTACAGTATAATTACATAATAAAACATTTGTCATATTAACTTATATGAAGAATCAGTTTAAATCTTACAAAGATGTAATTTATATGAATAACGAACAAAAAATAAACATAGATAATTACAACAAATATAGATGTGATGTTCGGAAATTAGAACTGTCTCACTTACATTGTTCCTTATTCATAAAAAAAAAAAATCGCAAGAGTGTTTCTTATTTATGACATATGACGTTTATATGGATTCTAATTTTGAAATTATTTATATAAACGTCACACGTTCCGTAAGACATTTTGGCTGATAAAAGTATTCCGCTATTTCCTTCAAACAAAATTTTTAGATTGATAGAAAATTATAAAACCTACTGATATTTGCAATGGGCCTACCATTGAAGATTTTTCGTATTTATAAATAATAATAAATACATAGAATGTGATCTCACAATAATAATACTCAGTACATTTATAATTAAGAATTACATATTTATAGCTTTTCCTTTTGTGATAGATAGTCTTAACCCCTTATTCATAAAAATTAAACCTCAGTTTTTTGTCACTTTCTTTCAAAAATACAAAACAGTCTGTAGGATTAATAGTAGGGTTCATCTTGTAAATAAATTTAATCAATAAATAAAAAAAAAAAAAACAAATTATTTTACAATAAAACAAATAAATTTTTAAATTGTCCAAGTTAACAAAACACTCTCTCTCCTCGCTGATCCGTGCGCGGTATGCGCGCGCATCTTGCGAGTGAGTCTCGTGACCACGCGTCATGATATAAATATATATCATAAAATGTTACTTTGTCTGCTTGTTTTTAAAACTCAATTATATTATAAAAATTGACATATATAATAAACATTGGTGAGTATTATCTCACCACAAGTCCAATAGCCAATGACTATGTCTGAGACATTTTGCGTTTTTATGAATACGGGGTTAAGTATACAATCTATTTAGTATAAGTAATAAAAATTAAGAATAACAAAAAAATATTAATTAAAAGCTTTAGATAAGTATACAATTTTAGCAATTACTCCATAACCGTTTTTAGCTATTATGACACGAACAAATCACAATAAGTTTTAATTACTACAACTAATATCAATAATAAAATGTACCTAATTAGTTTAATTCAAGTATTTGATTAAATCATCATGAATTAGCACTTTTAAATATAACAAATAATAAAGATTGGTATCAGTAATGATGGACTAACCGGGAGGCGGAAGGGGCGGCCCATCCCGGCCCTCTAGTATTGGAGGGAGGCCTATAAACGCCTGTTTATCCTCATCCGTATCCATATTCTATATATATTTATTTAAATAAATCTAATTTAAATTCTACTTCTTAAACTTGGGGCCTCATTTCAACTTTGCCGCCCCGACCTTCTGACAGGTTTAGTCCGCTACTAAATATCAAAAAATAACTAGTGTAAAATTTAAATAACACGCGATAAATTAGGCAACAATAAAAATTTTGCTCATACAAAAATATTCACTGTGCAAATTTCATTGTATATACTATATACTTGTACAAGTCGTTTGCCTTATTTATAGCACTGTTGTGCCCAAAGCAAAAAATCTCGTAATTAATAACTGAAAATTACATTTTAAATAATATCGACTGTAAAAATATCTTAATCATTACTAATATTATAAATGTGAAAGTTAGTTACTACCAGAGAGAGACTTTGTACAAAAGTCGATTGCTTGGGCACCTCCGTCCCATTCGTGTTTCAACCGTGAAGCAGTTGTGTTTGCATGGCTGTTTCGGTTTGAAGGGTGGAATATGGCGTGAATTTACTGGGAACGGAGGAATAACACTTGAGTTCTCAGGAATGGCGACGTATGGGGGGTATCATGGGCGAAACAGTATACTCTGTTATGTCCATGGTACTGCTCATGTCTATAGGCGACGGTTCCTGCTTTCCATCAGGTGGGCCGTCAGCTTGTTTGCCATTCCAATTTGTATAAAAAAAAATTTTTTCTTTGTTACCTCTTGGCGCCTAAACGAAGCAACCAATCGTCATGAAATTTTATATACAAATTCCGTTTATACACGCTCGAAGTCGCAGGGAAATTCTCCATCTATGCCGACCAGGGCCGTAGTCAGACCCATATTTAAGGTAGGAAAAAAAAGTTAGGGTATAGCAGAAGCCATAATTAAGTGATTTCGAAAAAAACGAATCTGTCTAATTTTCTTGAGGTCTTTCATTTTAACGTAGGGCATTGCCCTGAATGCCCCTACCCCAGCTACGGCTATGACGCCGACGTTTTAATTTAATAAATTATTTAATAATGGGTTACATCATTTTGCAAAATTTACCTTACGGATAACTCGATCCGGTAGGTTTCAAACCCACATCTCTCTACTGTCCTGACCGAATATGTTTTTAGTTACACAATAGAAGGAATGCTATCATTCTGTCAATTTTAAACTACCTTCATAAATATCAGTGCGTCTAAGGATGTTCAAACGCAGAGTAAAGTGTTTAAAATTTTTTTTTTACTATTATAATAAATTATGTTGATATCTCTTTAAATTTCTATTGAATTAAATGCGTAAATGTAAAAAGAATTAGTTCTGTTTTATTTTAGAATAAAATATTAAATTATACTATAATAAACAATAATGACTCGAAATTTCGATTAAATACTTGGTAATAAAGTAATAGAAATACTAGAAACAGAAGAATTGCGAGGAATTGTAACTTCAATTCGTTCATCAATATTTAAAGGCTTATTACACTATCCTACATATATGATCATATATTGTTGTATATCCTAGAAACAAATAACGATCACACTAGATTAATCCTAAGCTCTATGTACAAGATATTGTAAATTTCTTTTATCGATATTAAAAATACATCACTAGTTACATAAAATGATAGATATGTTCCCATATATGACTAGTAAAACCTAGTAGACATTGTCTTTGTATATTTCTTTTTGTGTTTCGTCGTCTATGTATATTTATTTATATATATAAAAAGTGATGATCTATATAAGTTGATGTGACGAAACGCCATCTAGTGGTGATTTACAAAAAAAAATTAACAGCGTAGATTATTCTCCGTGCTCAAATATTTAAGTATACCAATTTTTACGCCAATCGGAAGAATGGCATAAAAGTGAATACGCGCCATCTATTGACGCCTTTAATTAGAATAAATGCCCTCTTTGTGACAATTATTAATCTCATAAAATGTATATATTTGGATATACCAATATCCATATTAATAATATATTATAAAAATATGCTCGCGTGATGATATATAATGAAATAAGCCTCTAAATATATATAAGCGATTATAATGAAATCTACTCATTTTATAATCAAGATATTTACCGTGATTATAGAATAAATTACCGGCTTAAACTACATTGCAAAAGCACAGTATAGAGAAGAACCAGTAGTCCAACTCCTTGACATGTCCCAAACAATTACGTGACAATTCGGAACGTTGCTTTAATAGACGTGTTTGTTGGACGACTGGTTAAAGTTCTTTAGACTGTCATAACAGTATCTAATAAATATAGCGGCCATCTGTCAAGAACTTACTTAAATTATATGATTTTATAAATTTCACAGTTGGGTTTCCGTGATTCGTAACGCCCACATATATTATCTACAATTTCGTGATGTATCCTAATTTGTACAGATTGTATTATTAAATAAATGGGTAAGTCTTTATTTAAGGTCCTCTTCTTCATCTTCCACATACAACAAGTCATCCATTTTTGTCATAAACTTACTGTCTATAACATGCTCCACCGGTATTGGGGACTCCTGTGAAATTAAAAATACATATAACGTAAATACGTAATACTGACCCTCTTATTCATAAAAACGTCTAATCTTTTTTTTTTTGCACAAACTTCTCAATTTAAAAGACAAGGACAAAACAATGTAATAGTTAAAATAGATTTGTAACATTTTATTTTAGTTTTTATGAATAAGGGGATAATAAATAAATTATAAAAAATAAATATTTTTTATAAATAAGTCTATTATGAACATAATAGAAATTGAGCCTCAACAGCGTTCTTACTTTAGCGTACCGAATTGTGACGTTGCAACTGCAAATATATATATATATATATATATATATATATATATATATATATATATATATATATATATACTCCATATATATCGAGTATCTCAGCACATCCTAAAAGTTGCTGGTAGAGAATGCCTGTAGCATTAAGTCCGCCTTTTGTACCACACTTTATTGGTCAGTAAAGTTTAAATAAATAATTTATCATGTTATTTTTGCAATACGTATGTCATGCTTTATGTACAACCCCTATAGATACCTTCTCCTTTTGGATTTTCAAGGAAAACTGGAAAAATCCCCTTAAGGAATAAATCCATTTGTGTACATTTTTGTTATAACCTGATATATATATTAAAAGTGAATATACAAACAGATTACATTAAATAAATAAATGATTCCAATAATTATATATTAAATAAAAACAAAACACTTTCTTAATATTTTATTGCAAGCAAACAGGAGTGGCTTCACAAAACAAAAGCAATGCAGTGACAAAATCATTCAAAACAACCAGAATAAAATGCATATAATTTTTTAGACGAATATTTCAAAATGTATCTCTGTATAAATCACACTTTTTTTACATTTATTATGATATAACTCATGTGGACAAAAAGTGAGAATATAGTATCAAAAACTATGTGATTTCATTAAATGGATAATGGAAAATAAGACACCATCATTGTGAAATATTCCATTCATTATAAATACATATTAGAGGTTTAATTTTAATAATAAATAATAATATAAATGAAATTTTAAAGAAAATATACCTATCTGACAATCTTGTTAGACAATCACATATATAATTTAACAATGTACATAATGCATTTTAAAAAGTGTACCTACCTGCACGTAACGATGAATATATAACTAAATTTTTTATCAAACATTGTCAATGTACAATCAAAGCAAGCTTGTAATAGTAACATAAACCATATTCAAACAACATTTACATCAAATTTTCATGCAAATTAAACAAGAATATACATATCAGACATGCAAGACAATGCACAGTAGTTATTTATAATTTTTATATATTATAATTATATTACATTCACAATAAAAACATGCATATATTTTTAATATAACAAGCAAATTAAAAAAGAAATAAAATACATATGGACGACTAAATTTGAGAAAACAATACAATTTTTATATAAATAAAAATGAACTTTATGATGTATTATAATGTAGCCCATTTAATTATATATATTTGCTTTAATTATACCCCAGTTTATGCAAATGTCAAGGGAAAAAAGAAAAAAATATAATCAAGAACTAATTTACAAATTTGTCCATATTTTTATTTTATATTTGAAATATTTTTTATATAACTATACTATACATTGTTGGCAACCCTATGATTATTATTATGTAAATGTTTAATACATTTTCAATCGTATATACTACATTGCATAGTTTATGCAACATATAATTTAGTTTAATAGAAAATGTATATCATCAATTTGTTCATATAGGCCGAACGCTTAACAGAAAATCCTTATCACATTTTAATTTATTAATATTATAATTAATATTGATTAAGAAGGTAAAATTATTAGTAAAAGCAGGCAATCAAAATTAATAGACAAAAGAAAAAGTATTGCAACCTTCATATTGTTTTTTCGCATTCAATTTGTTCTATATTTTTAACTTTTTTTTTATTAACCTAGTCCTCTTTAGAGGTGGTTTAGTCTACATTATGCCATAAATAAAAGTAACAGAAAATGTTTGTTAAACAAATTAAATTACTGTATAGACTCATGTTAAAGTTATTATTAATATAATTATTTAACATTACAGCCAGTAGAATAATAGCACTCGATGGCTGGAAATTGTAGTTCACAATATACATATACATATATATATATATATATATATATATATATATATATATATATATATATATATCATTGTCTCCACAAATTTTACAGAAAAAGACAGCCACATGAAAAAATACAACAATAAATGCATAAATGCAATGCTCTGTAAAAGTTGTGGGAGATTGGACTCTAAACTAGATCAGAGATCTATATCTCAGGAATCCAGACCCATATATATATATATATATATATATATATATATATATATACTTTATAAAGATATTATACACATAAATTTACAGTCAAGCAAATTGTTAAATATAATATATTAATAGTTATAGTAATAATAACTTTTTAATTTTTTCAAGTGCAATTAAAAAAAAAACGAATCAACAAAATTACCAGAACAAACAACCGTGCATGGCACTCATCAGTCTTTTAACTTGTCGATATGAAATATAACATTAAATTCGTTAAACCAATACGATTATAATATACTACGCAATCACAGACTAATAGAACTTGGCCGTTTCACTACACCTAAAATGTAATTCCAATGGCATCCTTACATAAACAATTATTTATGATTAAGAATTTTTTATAATAATAAGTATTATTATAAAAAATTCTATAACTTTTATTAAATTTATAAAACAAAAAAAAGACATGTCATAAATTGATATAATTATCATAAACTAACTATCGGCTCTGGCTTCGTACAGTAGTTAGATAGAGAAATTAGTATTTTATATTAGCTTTTAATGAGCAATATATTTTATATTTTTGTTACAGTATTGTAATTTTATTAGTGTTTAATTTTATATATATATACCATATATATATTACCACTTGTTGCGAAATATAAAAATCGCGATTAAAATACAGGGGTTGATCGTAAAACGATGAAAATTTAAAGTTGTATGTATTTTTCAATGCTAAATTATAATAAAATAAAAATATAAAAAAATTGTCAAAAAAATAAATATATTTTGGGGTGGGTCACCCTTATCATTGAGGGGTATGAAAAATAGATGTTGGCCGATTCTCAGACCTACCCAATATGCACACAAAATTTCATAAATATCGGTAAAGCCGTTTCGGAGGAGTTTGGTACCAAACACCGTGACACGAGAATTTTATATATTAGATATATATATATAGCCTATGCTACTCGCGTATAATGTAGCTTTCAATAGGTGAAAAAATTTGAAAATCGGTTGAACATATCTCCCCATTATAATATTATAGTAAGTATAGATATAGGCAAAAAATTTACTATAACAAATAAGAATTAGATCATTACTAAAAGTAAACAAATCCATTTAAATAAAACATACTAGGAACAGTTTTAGAAACATCTCAGATACGTATTAGACTTTGCATTTGAGGCCTAACTCAACGTCCAACGTATATCTATTTAGCCCGTTAAAATATGTACTCTCTTTCTTTCCTGTTAAATTCTTAATTCGAAAGACCGCAACAAAATATATAATTAGGAACAATATGCGAGGTTTTCCTTTTTCAAATACGGTATGATAATTTTAAACGGGTAATGAAAAAAAAAACGTCCAAGTTCTATACCTTTGGGTACATAATCACAGTTGGAGACACACTGGAAGTTCGATATTAAAGCTTGTGCGTACGATAGGGTTGATTTTTAAAATTAGGAGAACCGTCGCGTCGGCGAGAATGCCCAATACTTGTTGGAGCGAGCTGTATCGAAGCATTTGTACGGAGACTGCAAGCAAAGTAGTGAGTTAACACTTGTAGATACGAAACAAATAATACAATACTTAATTGAATCCTAGTATTATTATAAATATAAAGTCCTTTACATTCATGCAATAGTATCTATCAATCATACGATAATAATCATCCAAATAACTTCACAAAATTAAAAGTTTGTAAAGATATTCGTGTGTTTGTTACTCTAATCGTCGAATGTTAGAGAAGAGAGAGAGAGAGAGAGAGAGAGAGAGAGAGAGAGAGAGAGAGAGAGAGAGAGAGAGAGAGAGAGAGAGAGAGATAGAGAGAGAGAGAGATAGAGAGAGAGAGAAAAGAGAGAGAGAGAGAAAGAGAGAGAGAGAGAGAGAAGAGAGAGAGAGAGAGAGAGAGAGAAAGAGAGAGATAGAGAAGAGAGAGAGAGAAGAGAGAGAGAGAGAGAGTGAGAAGAGAGAGAGAGAGAAGAGAGAGAGATAGAAAGAGAGAGAGAAAGAAAGAGAGAGAGAGAGAGCTAAAGATAGCGAAAGAGAGAGAACTAAAGAGAGAGACAGAGATAAAGAGTGGAAGAGAACAAGAGAGAGGAAGAGAAAATTTAAAACCAAAAAAATTGATGATTATAATCTTGGACTAGTCTCACAGCCAAAAATTAGGTCAGAGTACTAGTGACTGATACGGCCACGGTAACAATAACTTTAATAAGAAAATTATTAAACAATCAATTATAAGCTTCGATAGACTAATCCTCACAAAGAATACCCGTTTACAACTATGACATGGATAGCCATCAGTGTTTAACAATTACAGGAAGCCAATAAATTTTAAACCATAGATATTGCAAAATATATTTTTGGTGAGTTTTTATTACATGTATAACCATGCATTTTAGTACATAAGCAATTATATATAACACTTAAACATGCATAAAGTAACAAATTACCATAAAACATTGTCTACGATAACATGGCACGCCCCACCAAAAACTAAAGAATTAAAAATATATCAGATATATTTAACTCTCTGGCCGGAACGCTACTGAGGACGAGACGTTTCCACACAAACCCAACTGTTTGCACATATATATAGACACACACATCGAAATTAAAATTTGGAGTAACGTGCCATGTTAACATAGGTGATAAATATAAATAACATGCAATCAAACCAACAGACAAATCAATAAAATATAAAAAAAATATCGGTAATATTTTTAATAACGTAATAAAGTTGAAGTTTCTAAAGTCATATAACCTAAATTAGTAATGGAGACTGAGAATCGTATTGCTAGCAATATACCCAACCAGGTCGACCTCCTCGCGATTCTCCCTAGAAACTATCATGGTTAATTCCTGATGAATTCATCATGATGGGCTCATCATGATGGGCTAACTGGCCTGTTTTCATTCACATCTATCACCCTTTACTGGTGCTCCGCCAGCGTATCCCGTTACCGCAGGCAGGGTTACCATACCATTTTCACCCATCAAAAAAAACCTAAATCAAACTTCGAACTATCCTCATTATTATAATCCCAAAGGGAGTGTTCATTCATTGACACTGAGTCGAACTAATTGAAGGGAACTTGTCGTCAATTTACAGAGTACGTTATATTTAACCTATTCGTTACAAAATGGTTAGTGACGCATCGCTAAATATGACTGACTAATATTTCTTTTATACAACTTAGAATGGCAAACAAGCTGACGGCCCACCTGATGGAAAGTGGTAACCGTTGCCTATAGACGAGCAGTACCATGGACATACCAGAGTTTGTTTCGCCCATGATACCCCCCCCCCCCCATGCGTTGTCATCCCTGAGAACTCAGCTGTTATTCCTCTGTACCCAGTAAATTCACGCCATATCCCACTCTTCAAACCGAAACACAGCCATGCAAACACAACTGCTTCACGGTTGAAACACGAATGGGACAGAGGTACCCAAGCAATCGACTTTTGTACAAAGTCTCCCTCTGGTAGTCGCGTCATTAAATGTTCTGTGATGTCGCGAAATATATACGTACCGGCCCATCACTAAATATATACGTATTGAATCTTTTTTAAATATGTACTAACAGGCACGAGACCCAGTTGAAGAAGATTGTTAAAAATAAGTCCCGGCACAGTACAGACCCTTCCTTTCTCGTAGGTGTCGTAAGTGGCGACTAAGGGAACTTAATGATCGAGGGATAGGCAGCGGCTTGGACTGCTGGACATAAGTCTTCCCCATAAGGGGAGTTTTACCAGTAGTTGCCACGCTTGGCAGGCGGGTTAGCAACCGCAGTTAGACTTTTAGAGATGTTTAAAGACGGACTCCCTTAGTCGCCTCTTATGACACCTGCGAGAAAGAAAGAGATGCCCTATTCTATGCCGGGACATACGACAGTATATGCTATAGTACACTCAGGTCGATCTCCTGATCGGTCCCCCTGAAAACCACAACGTGGTTGATACCCAATGAAATTGTCACGATGGGCCAACTGCCTTAATCCTCACCTATCTTCATTCACTGACACCCCATCACGTTAAACACCGCAACCCATCAATTTATATCCTCGATACAAGTAAATGTATACTTACCGGCGCTTCGCACCGCGGGAACGGCGTGAGACAGATGAGCAGCACGGTCATGTTGTCGCAGCCGAGGCCGCCGGTGGCGCAGTTGGGCGCGAGGCACTGCCGCATCAACTCCTCGCACACCGCCACCGGCTCCCAGCCGCTCAGCAGCCGCGCCCGGCAGAACACTATCACCTCCTGCAACGATACACAAAATATATTTTTTTTTTCAATGACATGGAATGATAGGTGACAATGGAATTGTAACCCCGCCTGCGCTATCGGTATACACTAGCGAGGCACCAGTGGGAGATGATAAGTGAGGATGAAGCAGGTCAGTTAGCCCACCGTGATATATCTAACAATAAATCAATCACGATGGTTTCCAGGGGGAGGAGAACCACGAGGAGATCGACCTGACAGGGTATATACTACTAATTCCCATTACTAACAATCCCTTCTCCCCCTTACACAAAATATTATTAAAATAAGCGTCACACGATCCCCACCAATACTCTGGTCTTCAAGTTAAAATGGGGTAAATAGATTGTTAATAAGGGGAATAACAACCCCATTGCTAGCAATATACCCTAACAGGTCGACCTGCCGTGGCGCCCCCTGAAAACCAACATTGTTAATCATTGTTGAATTCGTCTGGCCCAACTGATCTGCTTTCAATTTCTCTTTTTTCTCTTTATTTAGGTCAAACAGTAGACACAATAACAATATATACATATACATATACATATACATATACATATACATATACATATACATATACATATACATATACATATACATATACATATACATATACATATACATATACATATACATATACATATACATATACATATACATATACATATACATATACATATACATATACATATACATATACATATATATATACATATGTATCTAAATATCAATAATTTTTGTGTCACCAACGACGTTAGCCACCTGTTACTATAAAACAAAATACGCAAAATGGTTGCGTGCAACTACTTGTACTAAATTAAACATATACACATACATGAACGACAGAAATGTAAAGAGGTGCGTACCAGAATACAATCGAATAATATTCTTGTTTCAACCGTGGACCAGTTGTGTTTGCATGGCTGTGTTTCGGTTTAAAGGGTGGGATATGGCGTGAATTTACTGGGTACAGGGGAATAACACCTGAGTCCTCAGGAATGGCAACGCATGGGGGGTATCATGGGCGAAACAGTATACTCTGTTATGTCCATGGTACTGCTCATGTCTATAGGCGACGGTTATCACATTCCATCAGGTGGACCGTCAGCTTGTTTGCCATTCTAAGTCGTATAAAAAAAAATGATAAAAAAAATCACCTATCATCCTTCACTGGTGCCCGACAGTTTATACCAATAGCGCAGGATGGATTACTATTATCATTCTCATTCATTATCATATTCATCATTCCATCAACACCTTAAGCTAGAATGCCTTCACGTTAATGGATCCATCATCTACAGACATCCTTGTCCTATGTAATGAGAAACAAGGCAACGAACCCTAGTGATTTCCTACATTGAGCCGGCTGGAAATGAAACCTGTCCCAGGTTCGATTACCACGAAGTGACATGACCACCACTGCGCTACAGAAGTCGTCAAAAATACTAGTTGACTAATTATTGGAGTATCATGTATCGCCATTCTTTATTCCCAGAATGATGTAAGAGGTGAATAGGAAAACACAGCACAATGATGGTGCCATTTATTTGAATTTAAATTGATTTGAATAAATTCTCACATTTCTCACCCTTTCCAGCTGAGAACTAAACCCATCTAATGAAATGTAGTCACCATCGCGTATAAACATGAACTACCAAGAAGCTACTGGCAGCTAAGTTATCTTTGTGCGTTGTTTACACATATTTTAAATACACGATCTTGTCGTGACCAGGAAGTGGCTATCAACGTCGACGTTTCGACGTTGATAGCGACGTCGTGTAAAAATTTCTCATCGCGTCAAGTCCAGATAATGTATTTAATATAGCTATCTCCGAAATTGTTAGTTGTAAAGGTCTCTTAATAAAAAAAAATAGGAATATTTCTCCTCACCTCATTGGTCATCACCTCCCATATACCGTCGCATGCGATCACAATGAATTCCCAATCATCATTTAAGTGTCGCACTTGCACGTCCGGGTATGCTGCAATAGATATGAATAAACATTAAGACGAGAGGAAAGAAGTAATTTATAAGTTACAGATTAAAAAAATATAGGATTAAAAATAATATAGGAATGTTTCGTGCCATTCTAGCAGATCCCTCGTCTGACGACGCGAAGCTGGTGTATGATATAATTGGATGTATGTTTTAATGTAGACCTACCTGCAAAGAGGCCTACATCTGACCATAAATTATTACGTTTTTTTTCTCTTTCTCTCTCCCTCACACAACTATGCAAATCATATAATTGTTCCACGACATTCCTTTCATTCATATTATTTTTTGATTTGATGGTATCTTTTCATTGGGTATGGTATGATGGGAGTGACGTGCCTAAAAGGACAGAAGTCCCTAAATAAATAAAGATAAAAAAACATGAATACAATATATGTAACTAATGCAGTGACCGAATGAAAGATATATGTGTATAAATTATAATAGCATACTAGCTATTACTCACGACTTTGTCTACGGGGCCGAAATAACATTTATTGATGGGAATAAAGTCCATATCCTTCTCCATCTCAAATAATATGTGTATACCTAATTTCATAGTGAATGGTTAAGATGTTAAGGTGCTAGGAAGTAACAAATAAACTCACTTTCACATTTATAACATTAGTAAGGATTATAAATACGGTTATTATATATCAGCAAGCATTTAAAGAGAGCCCGGGTGGGCTGTACCCACTTCAGAATTGTCAAGTCAGAAGAATGTCCTTTCAGGATCAGGAGTGGAGATTCACGAAAAACACCTTTTTAAGAAACCAAGCCTAGCCTGGAAAATAACTTTAAATACACTAAAACAGGGCCGTAGCTAGACCCAAGTTTCAGGTAGGACAAAAGAACTTTTTGGCAGAGGAGAAGCCATAATTAAGTAACTTTGAAAAAGCGAATCTGTCTAATTTTCTTGGCCAGGCCTAGCCTGGAAAATAAGTTTTAATACACCGAAGCAGGGTCGTAACTAGATCCAAGTTTAAGGTTGGGCAAATGAACTTTATGGTAGGGCAGAAGCCATAATTAAGTAACTTTAAAAAAGCAAATCTATCTAATTTTCTTAGAGCCTTTCATTTTAAGACAGGACTTTGGGCCTTTTAAGGCAGGGCATTGCCCCTCAATGACCACGTCCCCTAACTACTGTCATTCACCAAAGATAACAGAAAATCTGCCATTAGAGGGCGCCAAACACACTAGTAGTAGTGATAGCATGCCTGGTAGTACCAACAAGTGTCTCACCAGTAACAATCTGCTCCTGCGGCGAGAGCCTATAGTTCCGTTTGAACACGTAGTCGCCGAGCGCACGCGACAGTGCCAGGTTGCCGTTGACGCGGTTCAGCTGCACCCAGCCGCCGCCCGCTGTGATCCTGCGCAGCTCCTCCTCGTTGTTAGGCTTGTGATCGTATGACAGCACCTCCACCTGTTATCAATGAAATGAAATTAATTTATTTTGCTAGAACGTCGATAATTTTCCGTCTTTCAAAAAAAGCGTTCACGCTCACTTTTTATCTTTATCCGAGCAGTAAGTACTTTATATTATTCCCAAATTCGTGTATAATATAGTATATATCATATATGTGTAAGTATATTTGTTATTCATATATATTTATTCGTTTATATATGTAATTTTAGTATGTATGTATATCAATACATACAGTTACTTTCCACGAAGGTCAACGAAAGTCCGTAATATTTCAAACATTTGCAAATGTAGTGCCTTCTATATTTGAAGAAAAAAAATTCAAGTAAACCGAATTATAAGCATGTTTGAATAGTCATTTTTTATGAATCTACCGTCCAGTTCGTAATTCAAAATCAATTGAGAATAACGGAAAAGAAACTCCGGTATTACTTTTTTCAAAAGTCGAACTACATGTATGTACGTGTGTACATGTATGTAGTACATATGTGTATGTAGAACATAATTATCATAATTACACTATTTAGGTTAGTATCCGTAAAATAATGATAGCTATAGATATAAATAAATAAATTATAAACTGTCACTAACCTCACCCCTCACGCTCGCAATGGCCCTGGAGTCACCAACATTGGCACAGTACAAGGTGTTCTCTTTTATGAGCACCACGACGGCCGTGCTGCCAGCCACCTTCTCCTGAAGCATGTCCTCCTCCAGCATCGCCTGGTCAAGGTCGAGGAAACCCTGAAAGAAAAATTCATCTATACTTATAATAAATCTGTAGAGAGGTCAATTTTGTACATGAAATATATTTTCAAAATAACTATCAGAGGGTGATAAGTGATCGATACTGATGCCAAAAATGCAATCAGTAAAATTTTTGTCTGTCTGTCTGTATGTTCGTTATAGAGACAAAAATTACTCGACGGATTTAAACGAAACTTGGTACAGTTATTCTTCATACTCCTGGGCAAGTTATAGGAGTATACTTTTCATCACGCTACGATCAATAGTAGCAGAGCAGTGAAGGGAAATGTGTCTGTTACATCAAAACCTCTGAACCGTGAGGAAGGACATAGGCTACTTATTTTACGAAAAACAACGGAAACGCGGACGAAGTCGCGGGGAACTGCTAATATAAAATAAATATGTTAATTATATATATATATATATATATATATATATATATATATATATATATATATATATATATATATATATATATATATTAGCTGACCCCGAAAACGTTGGTTTGCCATATACATTATTTCTAGAAAATAGTTTTTTAGGGGTGGGTTACCCTTATCATTGAGGGGTATAAAAATAGATGTTGGCCGATTCTCAGACCTACCGAATATGCACACAAACAAAATTTCATGAAAATCGGTAAAGCCGTTTCGGAGGAGTTTGGTAACAAACACCGTGACATATATATATATATATATATATATATATATATATATATATATATATATATATATATATATATATATATATATATATATATATATATAAAGATTACAGCATGGGGTTCTTCAATTAATTACCAATGTATACCGTCAGCGCAAAGCGGAGTTACCATTCCATTATCATCCATAAAAAATGCATAGATATCATACGGCATTTAGCTTGTTTTTTATACAAATTTTATTATGCAACCATTAATAAATATCTATAAATAAACTTATTCATTAAAACAACATAAGCGATCTTTCTTTTACAGTCTGATAAAAGTCGACCTCTAAACTCTGAAGGATATTTTTTTACTCGTGTTAATTATATATATCTAATTACATAGCGAATTGTATGCAACATGCAATTCTGAATTCTCTCGCAAGGTCGCAAGGAATTCACTACACATTACGTCATACAATGTTGTTAATAGCAATTTACACATTTTATACGTGACTAGCAACTTGCCGCGACTTCAGACAAATGCAAATTAGAGTGTACAAACCTTCCGTAGAAAATATCTAAATGATAAGTAAAATTTATATCAAAATCCTGGTTTAAAAGAAAACGGGTATAAAACAGACTCAGATATCAATTTTTTTTTATACTTTATGTCTCATAAGGAAATAAAATAACGCGATCACTTAAAAAAACTATAATAATTATCTCGACATTTCCACCAGAGGGCCTACCACGAAATACTTTCGGAAATTTTAGGGGTCGAACGAAATATAAATTTGATGTTAATATTACATAATACGTACTGTTTAAAAATATAAAAATGTTTTAATAGTTTTATATTCTAAAATAGTGTTTATTATAATCTAATATGGTATATGGTTAACTTACCAGAGGGAGACTTTATACATAAGTCGATTGCTTGGGCACCTCTGTCCCATTCGTTGTATTTGCATGGCTGTGTTTCGGTTTGAAGGGTGGGATATGGCGTGAATTTACTGGGTACAGAGGAATTCCCCATGCGTTGCCATTCCTGAGTCCTCAGGAATGGCAACGCATGGGGATGGTATCATGGGCGAAACAGTATACTCTGTTATGTCCATGGTACTGCTCATGTCTATAGGCGACAGTTACCACTTTACATCAGGTGGGCCGTCAGCTTGTTTGCCATTCTAAGTTGTATAAAAAAAATATGGTTGTTAAAATTTTACTGAATTCTGGACATAAGCTTTCCAAATAAAGAGAGTTTTGCCAGCAGTTGCCACGCTTGGCAGGCAGGTTGGCAACCGCAGTTAGGCTTTTTAGAGATATTTTAATAGGAACGCTGCTGCCCATCCCTCGCTCTCCCTTACGATACCCACGGGAAAGTAGGAGCCGCCTATTCTATGCCGCGGTACACACGGCAATCTCACTTGTGGTTCCCAAAATTATGCCATTATTAATTTTGCATGTGTATAATTTTGGTTATTAATTTATGTATGTAATGGTACAAATATTATTAAATATTACCTGTTTGAGTGCTTCTTCAATATTCCCGAGATGGTACTCAGGCCTCACTGTTATGAACTTGTGCAAATGCTTCCCAGCATACTCAGCTATATTTGCACCTAAAATATATATATTTTTAATTACATTATTAAAACCCAATAATTAATTCAATAATGAATGTCTATAGAGCACAATGAACCTAATATGTAAAACTTTTTCTAGTATCTTTCTTTTTCATGTCCAACCTGATAGAGAATGTTATTTGTCACCATTAGACATGAACAGCACCATGGACAGCTCAGAATGTACCCACCCCTTATGCATTCATTTATAAAAAAATGTTACATTCATTTACAAAAAAATATAAAAAATAACCTTTTTCAAATGTCAAATTTAAACAACTATTAATAATAAACAAACATACTAACCACCATGACCATCGTAAACAGCAAAGAAAGCAGTACCAGGATCATCAGGCAGAGACAATATGTGTGTATGGGAGTCATCCATAGACACTCTCCAGCCTTGCATACATGATGAACCAACAAGGAATCTGGCATCCTGACATGTTGATGACTGCTTATCTGTCACCGGTTCAGAGAGGGTTTGCCCCATCACTCTGCAAAATCATAAAAAATGGCATGAATATGGAATGATAATCCCACCTAAGAGATGATAAATGAAGGAAATAAATGCAGATCATTTTAGCACACTGTAACAAGAGTTATACACAAGGTTTCCAAAGAAAACTGTGTAAAAGTTGGCCTGATCAGGTATATTGCTAGCAATGGGCCTGTTTAGTTTCATTACTAACAATCCCTTTCCCCTAAAGATTATATCATATTAGGTCAACTTCCATATGGTTCACCTGTAAACCATAGTTGCTACTTTCTGGTGAAATTATTACAATGAGCTGACTCTAGGCTGGTGAAGTCAGGTTGACTTTTTATCTATCATACTGACTGGTGCACCATTAGTATAAACCACAGGCAGGGTTACTATATTATCTTCTTCCATAATAAACTCCCAAGCCATTAACTATCCACTGCTGAACATAGACCTTCCCCATAAGGTGAGTTTTGCCAGTAATAGCTAGACAGATTGGCAGATGCTGCTCCCCATCCCTTGACCTTAATGTCCCTTGGATCCTGGAAAATTAGTGAAACCATAAGCTGTTTGGGAAATCTATTCAACACAATAGCAATAATATATTTACAGCCTACTAGCTAAAAATTATTATTACTGACAAATTTGATACTTCTTCAACTTCATAGTTGTATTATTTCCTTAGAACATTATCAATCCAACAACATAAATTAATAATAATCAAGACCCAGAACTACATACATACACTTAACACTCAATTATTTATTTCTGTATACTACTACGGTAGTTTATTGTACATTATCCATATTAAACACAGTACCTCTATGTTACTATATGAATTCAAAATATTAATTTTTTCTTAATAATCTATTGCCATTAATTATATTAAATAAAATCTATATACTACTCAATAAAATTTATACCTTAACATGGAATATAATGTAAATATTAACAAATTCTGAATACAATAGTAAATTGTGTAAATCACTATTTACTTACAACAGATATTTGTTTATTTATTTAACACTTTAATACACCAATATTACATGATTTGTGGATGGATTACATATACTACAGTACAAGAGGAGGCCTTATTACTAAGCAATCACTACTAGACAACCTTTAAGTGTAAGGAATTACTTTTATCTGAATAAATATATTTTCTTTTATTATCTGAATATAGCCCAATAATAATCCAGTGTTTCTATTATTATTTTATTATTATATGCCTATTATAGAAAAAAATGAGTCTGTAGGTCAAGTTGTAATAGTATAAATATAAATATTATCACATAACTCACAAGGACTGTACTTATATCTTAATTTCAATGACTAACAACTGAGTCATACACGAAGTGAAACAATTCAGTTTACAAGCTTATCTGAATATAACTGGATAAGATTATATTTTCATATGACTTCTAAATCGAGTTAATCCCGTTGCCAAATAAAATCATCTGTTGATTTACACGATTTTTTAAATTATAACTAAATACAATGCGTTCTTTGCACATACCTGTAACAATTGCACACAAACACTTAAAATCAATTTAAAACTCAAAGTCCCGTTGATATAAACGTTTTAAATGTAATGTTCCACACAATTTTACTGCAACAGTGACAAAATGTTAGAACTTGTTCTATTTTCCGACTGAATTATTTTTCATTCAAAGTGCGTAAATAATAACTAAACGTCAAACTATGGCGTCCACTGTCAATGTCAAACTGACATTGAAAAGGGATTGCCAACGTTTAGTACTATTTTAGGTGTTACCTTTATATTAATTAAAATGTACAAAAAGTTTCTAAAATAGGCAAAATTGAAAATTTATTTTAATTAGCTGTTTCCCACGGTTTTGCCCGCGTACATCGATATAATAAAGTATTCCATAAGTTATAACTTAAGTTAAGGTAACCTAGGTAAGTTTACTTACTACTACTTACTTGTTACTTTAACATTTATAAGAACGTAAACGTTAATAAAAATGTATGTATGGTACTTAATCACCGATTTGATTTAAACTTGGTACACGGATAAGTTTATAATATTATATCAGCTAATTTGCAGTATTAGTAGAATGAAAGATAATTTTAATTTTGCAGTGCCGCCGTAATACATACTTAATATCAGGAAATTTAAAAAAAGTAATTAGCAAATCAAAGTAGGCAATAAAGAACAAACAGGATAAGTAGTAACATAAGCATCAGAGTTACTGCACTGAGTTCTTTATAATAATAATTTAGCGATAAGATCGCCTTTTGTACTTAATTTATTACACATTTAATTAATAAATAAATAAATTTAATGCGATTTTCATTATTGTGTTTCTGGAGGTATAACTTAAAATCTAATACATTTTGTCTTGATATTCCATCTAGAAGTGATTTATTTATGGCGTGTGTGATAGAAAAACATGCATACAAAGTAGGTAGCAAAAATCGGGTAGATATAAATATTTACCTTATTAATTTCGAAGTTGAAAACATTTCCAAAAGTATTAAGTATTATTACATTTCACTTTATAGACACAATTAAATATAACTTGATTTGCTGAGTTACAAAATATGACTATAATTTAATATGTAAATAAACAAATTAAGAAGGAATGGTCATTATACCAAAATGATATATGAACAATAATTATTAATTTAACGCAATTATGCACTAGACAAACCTAGACAGGTACACAAAAAAAAATATTTATGACTATATCAACCAAAAAGTTTCCAAATAGTAGATATTAATTTTATATAAGTATTGAAACTTTAGCATGAATTACATCATAACCTAATTTTAAATGTATTGTATGTATTAAATATATAAAAATTGTTAAATATATATAAATAAAACGCAATATGTAGTGTGTAGTTATTTATCTAGGATAAAACATTCTTATGTTTTATCCTTTTAAATTTTCAATGTATTAATCGATTTTATATTTGTATTACTTAATACTGGACATCAGCAGACAGTTTTATGGTGTGCTCAGTTATTAGTTTGTTTACATTCTCTCACAACAGTGTACACATATTTTGCTGTAATATGGAACTCGTACACTAGGGTACATTAGGGTACCTAAGGTTTCCTAGGTCGTCGGATCTGCGGTCGTGCTTGAAAGGAAACCCAGAGTTCCGACAATATGTCTCGAGATATGTCGTGAGATTTTTAGTGGATAAAAATCCCACACATTCTTTCTGCCCTATTTCCGGCAGTTGCAAAGGTCTTAGTGAAGATTTACTAGACATAAAAAAAGGATTCCGTAGGTATATGATATGACTTGTCGGTAATATAAAATAATTATACCCATACCCCATTCCACCTGTTAGAAGCATTTAATTTCATAATGTCTGCAAATAGGTATCTAATTCTTGCATGAAATTTATAAATACCTATATATTTAAAAATAAATATATACTGCCATATTTATTTTTATCTGCATTTTTCATATTTTTAAAACCTACTATTTAAATATACACGCCACAAATTAAATATAGCTGTGGTCGCCTTTTCGCGCGGTTTCTCATTCGCCAAATTATAATTGTTGCGTCATCCCGCTGAGCCAATACAGCCGGTTCATTACATTGAACTTGAATTTAATTGTGGAAGTTTAATGGTTAGAACTAGTTATTCAAATTCGGGAGGTAACGGGCTTTAGTTTAGTAGATAAACACATATGTACCTAAAAATTCTGATTGCCATACCATGCCAATCTGTCAAACGTCATTAAAGTCTTTGTATTTCATGCATACAGCTTTTAACCCAATTTGAAGTACTGGTTTAATCTATATAAATACAAATTAAAAGGTGGTCATGCATGCATCATTTGAAAACTGCTTTATTTTAATTAAATCTTCGTAATGGTTCTTTTTTCTAGTCATTAATTTTTATTATCCAATTAAACTGTGATCCAGGACAAAATTTCTACCAATATCCAATAAATAGTAACATGTAGCCAAAACTAAGCTGAGAGGTAGGTATCTAATAAATAAATAGGCGGGATTCCTTCTTATGCAGGATCGAATCCGCGAAATTTTTTATTATGAGGGAAGACAGTATTCATATTATAGTATATTATAGCCAATAGAATTGGTGACAGATTTCCCACTGCTATCACTACCTCTGTCATCATATTTCATTCTCAATAAATTTGTTATGATAGCCTAACCAACCTGACTAGGAGGAAATGGATTTTTAGTAACTTGATCTAACAGTCCCATTGCTAGCAACATGCCGTAACAGTACCGACCACCAGGCGATTCCTCGTGGTTAATTATTGATGAATCCGTCATAATAAGCTAACTGACCTGGTTTCAACTTCATCTATCATCTCTCACTGGTAACCCACCAACTTACACCAGTAGCACAGGTGGCGTAACTATTCCTTTGGTATCCGTTATAATTAAAGACTGTGTCCCACAAAAAACCGACTTCGATTGATGTCAAAACCAGTTATTTTGATTATTAAAACTAAATTACTGAATCGATTTTGATAAAATGTCTGTGGTACTAATCTGTAAGTATATCCTTTCAGATAAAAAAGGATTTCCTAAATCGGTTTATAGTTGACGGAGCTATGAGATAACAAACATAAAAAATACAATCAAATTGAGAGTCTCTTTCTTTCTGAAGCCGATAGAAAGAAGATCGTCACTTGTTTTTTTACGTAAAATATACACCTGATTTACACGTTCAACGTCACTCAGAAAGAATACGTAAAATTAGAAGTTATCAAAACTGTAAAAAAAAATACTCGTTATCAACCAAACAAACCATTATTATATCACCCCTAGTTCATCTCTATATTATTGCGACCTAATGACCCGCTTACAATTATTCTAAACAATATTTATCACGTATTTGTTACAATATCAATGAACTAGATGCGTTTTTTTGTCTTGAAAGCATAATTTTTCGCACTACTTCCCCCGTCGTCGTTCTACTGGCACGGCACTAATATTTTTAAAGTGCAAATCAATCAATATCGTATAGAAGTTTTAAGTTACATGTTATCATGGGGCGAGTGACGAAATCCATACCAAGTGGATACAGTGAACAGCTAAAGCTAGACGTCATTTAGTTCAGTACACCAAGTGACCGCGCGCCGCGAATGTGCGCGCAATAGCACGCGACCGTTCAAATTTCGAATTTAAATTAAGAAGTGCTTATTTTTTTTTTTTACAAGAAAAAAAGAAAAGGAAAATGGCGTGTCCTATGAGGTCAGTTTAACTGTATAATATTATATTTTTTACTATTATTATTTTAATATTAATAACAATTTTGTACGTATATGATTTTACTTAGAAATTATACACGCCACTTGGGCATACCTAACTATAGAAAAATATTATTATTTTTATTTACTAATACCTTCCGTAACGTGATAGGTACTTTCAATATTTATGCATATAAAGTTCGTATAAAAGTGTTCTGGAATGCGAGAAAAAGCGCAGGACCCCTTCCTTATGTCCCTAACAATGCTTCAGTTCTGGTCTGACCGCCGTGCGGTGCGAACTGGCTTGTCACGCCATCTGTGAAGTTACCTCTTAACGAAACCCCGTCGGCATGGAGCCCGCTTCCGTTGAAGAGCAGCGCGTCGTAATCAAGTTTCTCTCGAAACTCGGCAAGAATGGCCGTGAAATTTTTGCCGATCTCAGAACAGTTTATGGGGATGATGCTGTGAAGGAACCAACCGTCCACAAGTGGCTAAAAAGATTCAGAGAGGGCCGAGACAATGTTGATTGTTTTTTTCGATGTTCGGGGGATTGTCCATCAAGAATTCGTCCCTTAAAATTCTACGTCGATGTGCTCAGACGCCTCAAAGCTCGTGTGGCACGAGTTCGTCCAGAATTGGCGCGAGAGGGGCGTTGGATTCTTCACCACGACAATGCCCCTGCCCACACCTCTCTTGTTGTCCGTGAGTTTTTGAGTAAAAATTCCATTACGGTGACCGAACACCCCCCCTATATATCTTCTTGTTCCCAAAAACCAAATTGGTACTTCGGGGGCGGCATTTGGGGGACATAAATGAGATAAAAAAAGCTACGACGGGGCAGCTGAGAAACCTACAACCAGAGGACTTTCAAGGAGCCTTCTCACAGTGGAAACGGCGTTGGCACAAGTGCATTATGTCACAGGGGGAGTACTTTGAAGGGGATAAAATTGATTTACCTGAATAATTGTAAAATAAAATTTTTAAAAAACTTTTATACGTACTTACCGGACAAACCTCGTATATCCAAGTCTCTAATGAGGTAAGCAGAAATAATCAATAATTCTAATAGTTTACAATAATCTCACATGTTTATCTACTCATATTTCTCGCTCCGTTTACTTTCTCATGTCTTACATATATGCGTATATACATACATGCGGTTCCGGAGAATCGTGACTCTCCGATAGGTACAAACTTTTTTTTTTAAACTAAGTAATTAATATTTTAAAATTTTACTTTCTTATAACCATTTTTTTTTTTCTCCAATTATAGCTGCACTGAACCTGACCTACTATGTATATATTTCAAGTCCCTATCATATTTCTTTTAGAAGGTAGAGTAACATTATTATCTATGCTCAAGTCTTGAAACATACAAATAAAGTACCTCAGAATCTTAAGAATAGTTCTCTTTTTTATATAGATACTTATAATAGTCTATTTTAGCTTCCATATTATAAAAAAAATCTGCATTGTTATAAAAAAATATCTAACTACCCTACATTAGTTTCAGTAAGACGAACTAATGACAAATTATACTGACACTGTTCTGATTCAAAACTATTTCGGCCATTTAGGTAGACTATCAAATAAGTTTTTTTTTTTTTATAAAACTTAGAAAGGCAAACAAGCTGACGGCCACCTGATAGAAAGTGGTAACCGTCGCCTATAGACATGAGCAGTACCATGGAAATAACAGAGTATACTGTTTCGCCCATGATACCCCCTACGCGTTGCCATTCCTGAGGACTCAGGTGTTATTCTTCTGTACCCTGTAAATTCACGCCATATCCCATCCTTCAAACCGAAACACAGCCATGAAAACACAACTGCTTCACGGTAGAAACACGAATGGGACAGAGGTACCCAAGCAATCGACTTTTGTACAAAGTCTCCCTCAGTTCAATATTCACTTGTAAATCATTATCTGTTGTCTAGAAGAGTAAGATGACAGAATAAATAAAGATGAATTTATTGTATTATAATTTTATAATTAATTAAACTTACTCATATCAATAAAAAAAAATTAAAGATGGCAGCGTACATGGCTGCTATTTTTTTTTTTTATTTATTATTGTAGTTTATTAGTATTGTAGTATTTAGTATTGCAGTTAGTTGGTTGCTAGATATAAAAAAAAATATCTTCGTTGATGTAACTACTATATGTTTTAATTGGTTTGTTTTGAAATCCAGTAATGAGGAGGAGGGCTTTGATATTTGTGACACAGTTTTATACTTCTGCGGACATCAACGTTTTTCATATAATATTGTAATCAATATTTTAATTCCAAATAAAGAATTATTACTATAATTCATGCGGATGTTTGAAATAAAAAAAAAGTCTCTGTAAAGCAGAGAAATATAGAATATATGACATGGGAGAAAGTTTTAACCCTACCTGAAGATAAGAGAAGTAAACAATAATTTATTGTTACCTCATAGACAGGTATGAAGTATATGTATCTAAGTTGTATAAAAAAAAAACTGACCAAGTGCCCTGACCATCTCAGCATTTTCATTTTGATAGCATAACCATATTTCAAATATGTCTGCTTCATTACAAGAACGAGCGGGCGAACAACTACCCTCTAATCTGAAATATTGCATGTTAATAATTCGATCATAATCATCATCATTTCAGCCATTATCCGTCCACTGGTGGACACAAGCCTCCCCCATAGACTGCCATAAAGAACGGTCCTGAACCACCTGCGCCCGCTGACTCCTTGCAACGCATTTCAGGTCGTCACTACATCTAGTGGGGGGTCGTCCTACACTGCGTTTACCCATACATGGTCGCCACTCAAGAACCTTTCTTAATAATTCCATGCAGCCTATAAATAGCCTAGTGCCTTTAACCAGCCCCCTACACTTAACGTAAACATGTTGCTTCATGTCTGAATTACTGACGACAGAGGACTGTTCAAACAACTTTGTACATAATTTCTCTATGATATAAGTAAGTATACCTGGCAGTGAAATTCCACGGTACGAAGGCATACCACCTTACTCCTCAGTAACAGCAATACATGAGGGACGTCACTGGAACTAGGCATCACAGTATACACTGTGAAGTACACGGTACTGTTTTGTATAGACGACGATATTTCTACTTTCCTTCAAATGGGCCGTCAGCTTGTTTGCTATTCTAAGTTACACAGAAAAATAATTTATAAAAATTACATAACAAATAAAGTGGTTTTTTTTTTTTTTTTGAGTTTTTTTTACTATACATAAACCTATATAAAAATTATACAGTTCGGTCACATAAATTATTAAATTGCAAACTTTTCCTTCGTGGTTCAACGTACTTCTTTTAAAAAGAATAATTATACTTATTTTATTTACCAATAGAGTATAAAAAATACCAACAATTACGATATTTGAACACACTTGTGTAAATATAATAACGCGATCATAATACCAGTAAGAGCAATATTTTCAAAGTAACCGTGGTGAAACGAATTGTTGAATATACGTAAAATAAAAGGAAAACAAAATAGTAAATTGATTTTGAAGATAAATCTAACTAAAAGGTAGAAATATGTTGGAATGATAAATAAAATAAATAAAAATAAAAAAGCCTTTTATTTCCCATTATAAAGAAAAGAAAAAAAAAATATTACATGCAATTTCATTCGATAATAATTATTTTCTTAATAAACTTATAAAAAAGAAATTATTCATTGATTACATAAATTATTCATTCCTTTTTTTTTATATTATTATTACATCCTTTCCTTTACTTGGGTATCCATTTAAGGATATAGGCCTCTTCCAACCTTTTCCACATGTTTCTGTCCTTTGCGAGTCTGCCTGGGCCTAGGGCCTGCCACATCCACAATGTCATCACTCCATCGCGTCTTAGGTCTTCCGCGTGGTCTTGTTTTATTTCGTGGATACCAATACAACATTTTTTCGCTCCATCGACCATCTGTTATCCTTGCTAAGTGTCCTGCCCACCTCCATTTTAGTCTACAGACCAGCTCAGCAGCATCGATAACCTGTGTAATTTTCCTTATATCCTTATTTCTCTTTCTATCTTTAAGATTTAATCCTATCATGCTTCTTTCTGCTGCTCTTTGGAACACTTGAACTTTATTTAAGGAATCTTTGGTCAATGCCCAACTCTGACATCCATACATCAATGTTGGGAGAATTATTGTGTCCATTGCCTTCTTTTTCAATGTAACAGGTAACGTTGATTTAAAAATTTCCCCCAAAGACCAGTACCTACACCAAGCTTTTTTAATTCTGCGTTGTATTTCTGTGTTGGTCGGAGCTGTAAAGGATATGTTTATCCCTAGATATATGTACTCTTCCACATAATCAATACTTCGTGTCTCCACAATAAGAGGTACTTTTTTACTATTGGTCATAGCAAAAGTCTTCGAAGAGTTCATCTTCAAGCCACATCTCTGACTCTCTTTATTTAAAGTGTTGAGCATGTATTCGACATCTTTATAGTTTTCAGAAATCAGCACAATATCATCAGCAAAACGCAAATGATTTAAATATTCACCATTGATATTAATCCCCATGTTCTCCCAATGCAATTGCTTAAATACATATTCTAGTAACGCGATAAAGAGTTTGGGTGAAATGGGATCTCCCTGTCGTACTCCTCTTTTTATGTCAAATGGTTTTCCTTCACGTTCCAATTTTACTATAGTGAAAGGTCGATGGACCGCCTTTTAGGTCAAAGGGTCCGAATTTGTCGTCAAAATGTATTAAAAATTAAAAGGCAAAATTAGTCATCAAAACTATGTCCGTCTTCTCATCGGTCTTTTGTCTAAGTCCTTTTGTTTTGTCCCAAGCTGTCAGTTTTAATTGTCGAATGTCTTAGCGGCCAGCGATAAAACCGGTCAAAGAGGCCGCAACATCCCCACCTCCAGTATTGGAAGCCAATACTTCAGGCGTGGCCTAAGCGCGGACGTCTAGTCTGGCCAGTTTTGTCACTGGTCGCTTATAGAGTCCGGTCGAAGTCAGCACGTCAGCTACTCGAACCTTGCCGTCCTTCCCAGGATACACTGCCGTCACTCGTCCTTTGGGCCACTGGTTTCGTGGGAGTTGATCGTCAGTTACAATTACAACGTCATCAGTCATTAATGGTCGTGTTTCTTGTCGAAACCATTTGTCTCGTCTTGTCAAAGTTGGTAGGTACTCTTTTACCCAACGTTTCCAGGTAAGGTCGGCTAGCCGCTGGGAGTGACGCCAGGATCGTCGCAGTATGTCACCGTCGTCAAAGGTACTCAAAGGATGGTCCATGTCATTTGTCTTCGTCATCAAAAAGTCATTCGGAGTTAAAGGTAAGTCGTCGTCCTTGTCAATAGGTACATACGTTAGTGGTCTACTATTTACAAAATGTTCTGTCTCCGCTAGGAGTGTTGACAGAACTTGATCACTCGGCGCTGTTTCTTTTAGAGTGACACGGAGAGCAGTCTTAACAGAGCGCACCATTCGCTCCCAACAACCTCCCATATGAGGGGCGTTAGGGGCGATAAAGTGCCAGTCAATACCCCTTGTACTTCCGAATCTAGTTAGTTCGCCTTTGTCCAAGGGCGCCAAGGACAATTTCAGCTCACGGTCGGCTCCTTTAAAAGTGGTGGCATTGTCACTCCATATTTGTCTTGGGCAACCACGACGAGCAATGAAACGTCGGATGGCCATGATAGCGCTGCTTGTCGATAAATCATGTGTCACCTCAATATGGATAGCTCGAACCGTAAGACAGGTGAAAAGAGCTCCATATCTCTTCTCTCGATGACGACCTACTTTGACTAACATTGGGATTGGCGTAGGGAGCTCTCTTTGTCCACTTGTCCACACGTGTTGTTCTTTAACTTCGTCCGCTGTCAATTCACCTCGTTTTCTGTTATCTTTGTGAATCCAGTTACATACAGCGCGGTAGAACCACGCGGTACTTCTTATTAGCCTCCAAAACTTTGAGAATCGGCTGACGTCAGGCAGATTAACGGGCATTTCAGTTAAAACTAAGATGGTTTTCACCTCAACGTCGTCAGGATCAATAACAAATTTAGTTTCTTCAGACGGCCAGAATTCCTTGGACCCCCGGAGAAACTGTGGTCCATATAACCATCTCGTATTATCCTCGGTAACTGTCTCTCTAGTTGCATCGTCTGCTGCATTTAGGCCTGACGGTACCCACCTCCAGTGATTAACGTCGGTTAACTCGGAGATCTCGCTGACACGATGGGCAACGAAAGGCTTAAAACGACCGCTGTCAGAACGAAGCCAGCTCAGAACAGTCTTAGAGTCAGACCAAAGTGTTATGCTTGCATCAAAGTGTTGCTTCAAAGTGTGAGCTAGTCTAGCACCCAGCAAGGCAGCCTGTAACTCGAGGCGAGGTATGCTCATTACTTTGAGTGGTGCGACGTGAGCACGTGCCAAGACGAAAGCTACATGCCAACTACCATCTGACATCTTGACGCGTAGATATGCAACGCTCGCATAAGCCTTACTGCTTGCATCGCAAAAAATGTGAAGTTCTAAGTCAGCTTGTTTGTCACACATGTCAGTAAAAAGCCAACGAGGAAGTCTAAAGTCGCTGACCTTTTGTAATTCCAACAACCATAACTGCCATTCCTTGAAACTAGTCGATTCGATTTCATCGTCCCAGCTGATTTTGGATTTCCAGATATTTTGCAGGAGAATTCGCCCCTTCACTGTCACATATAAGAGGAAACCCAAAGGATCAAAAATGGACATCGTCAATCTTAATATGTCACGCTTGGTTGGTTTCTTCACCCCTGACTTAATGTCCTCGCTCACCTTAGGAAGCTTCAATAGAAAGATAAACTCATCGGAATCCTGGTCTACCTGATCTACCTGATCATCCTTGGAGTCAGAGAGGATCTTCAGGCTACACGGGGCTAGCTTTTCTGAAGGTAAGTGTTCCAATAGTGTATGAGAATTAGAGACAAAATTCCTTATATTGAAGCCACCTGCAGCATGTATACGTATTACATCATCCACTACGCGTACCAAGTCATCCTCATCGTCAAAAGAGTGGATGTAGTCGTCGACGTAATGGTGGTCTATAATAGCTTTGACAGCTTCTGGGTGAGTCGCCTCATATCTACGAGCATTCAAATTTTTTACATATTGAGCTGATGATGGTGAACAGACAGCTCCAAAAGTCATGACATTCATGACATAAACGTCATTATTCCAGAGAAGTCTTTGGGCATATCGGTCATCTTCCCTAATAAGTACTCTATGAAACATCTCTTGGATGTCACCAATTACACAATATTTGCCTAGACGAAACCCTAATAATACAGCAGGCAAAGATGTTAAAAAATCAGGTCCACTCAATAAGAAGTCATTGAGTGACTTACCGTCAGACTTAGCTGCACAGTCAAGTACAATTCGCAACTTATTAGGCTTATTAGGATTAAAAACGGCAAAGTGAGGAAGATACCATGTCTTATTGGTCTGGATCGAGGCCTCTTCAGGAGTTAATTTTGAGATGTATCCTTTATCAACATTCTCCTGGATCTTCTCCTCATACTTGACAGCAAGCTCAGGATACCTACGAAATTTTCTCTGGATACCTATAAGTCTACTCTTCGCCTGTGGGTAGCTATTCGGGAGCTGAACGTCATCAGACCTCCAGAGTAGGCCGGTCTCCCATCGTCCTTGAGGCAAGAGTTTCGTGGTCTGTTCCATAATCTTCAGCGCCAGCTGATCCTCTCGAGAACGAGGAAAGTCACCTGTCTGCTTCACGCCGAAAGACTCTGTGGAAAAAGATCTCTTAACGAGGTCGTGTAATTCGTCACAAGAGCATAGATGTAATATAGTTCTGTCATTCGCTATACTACGAAGTCCTATGTTCCCATGTACAAAATAACCCAAGTCCGTCTTAGATATTATAGGTCCGTTCTTATGTCCTTGTATTATTTGTCTAGTAATAATTAAGTCAATATTATCTTGTCCAATTAATAATTCAATCTTTCTAGGTCGTATGTCATAGTCTGTCACATAGTCAGTCACATAAGGAAATTTATTTACAATATTTTTATATGAAATACTATCTACTACAATATTCAAATTATTTATAGAACGAACACTATTTACACTATACACATTTTTTTCATTCAAACCGCGAATATTAAATGACACTATTTTTGAGTCCGTCTCTGTGGTTGACATTCCGGACACACCACGCATGTGTAGATTTGTCGTCGGACCAGTAATGCCTGCCTTCTCGAGCAGAGCAGCATCAACCAGGCTCACAGATGCGCCTTCATCAAAGAGAGCGAAGGTAGTGACGTCACCTTTTGTACCTGATACAACTACTGGCACGACCTTCAGTAGTACATGCGAGCTTTGACTGTCGTTGCTCACTGTCATTTTGGCATGGTTAACTGATATTACTCTATCATCAGTATCGTTGCGTGGGGCAGCATGAAGCAAGGTGTGATGAGCACGGACACATTCAGGAACAGAGCATTTAATTTTTCTCTTACAGGCTTTTAGTTGGTGTCGTACAGATAGACAAGAGAAACATAACTTTTTGTCAGTTACCAACTTCCAGCGGTCGTCTATCGTCATCCGTTTGAAATCATCACAATCACTTAGTCGATGATTACTGTTGCAGAGCACACATGTAGGTGATGATGATGAAACTGTAGCTACCACCGGTCTCCATGGTCTATGGTCAGGCTTGGTCGGCGGCTTCGCAACAGTATTATTTACAGTCCTTATAGGCAGCGGAGCAATATAAGTGGCGGCGTTAGCTACGGTCATGAGCCACTCAGATACATGACATAAAGTAACAATATTTACATTTTTATTCGATATATACATACTCCATTGATATTTCAATAGTGACGGCAGTTTACTTATTATTTCTCGAATTAAAGTGGGATTAGTCAGATGTCCAACCTCTTCTGTCATTTTCATCGTAGCTACAACATTTTGAATTGCAGTCGCATATTCTATTAAATGATTGACGTCGTCATGACGGACTTCACGCATGAGCCTTATTTTATTCAACATGACTTCTATGATTAATTCAGGTCTACCAAATCGTAACTTCAATGTGTCTATTATTAGTTTCAGGTTTGTAGCACTCACCAACAGCGCAGATACAGCGTCACGCGCACGGCCCTTCAGGCAGCGTGCTAGTCGTGCGATGTTTTCATCGTCACTATAACCACACAGCTGTGTTGTCGATATATACTGCCTATAGAACAACGGCCACTCATCAGGCTCACCGCTATACAAGGGCAGCTCCTTTGCGCTTGTTTGCCTGGCTAGGAGTTTAGACATGTTCGTGTTGTCATTCTCTAGTCTGCGTGTAGGAATGTGTGGTGGTACAGGCATAATTTCAGGCTGTGTCTGTGTATAAGCATTGATAGCCGTCGACATAGCGTGAGGCATACTAATATTATTTTGATACACCATACCTGAGGTTGTAGGCAGACGTAGGGACTCTCGTGACTGTGTCCTATTGAGCACGAGGAGGTTGTCTTCATCTTCAAGCGCTTGTGCTGATAATGCAAGTTTTTCTTCGATGAGTCTGGTTTGTATTAACGCACGCTCTTCCGCGGCTTGCAATTGTAGTTGTAGGAGTCGTTGTCTTCTTACTATAGTCGTTGTGGACGTACTAGAGTGCGAACGGGCGGATGGCGTGGGTGAGGGCTGGCGGCTACCGCGGGCGGACTGTCGGTCGTGTTCACCCTGGTCAGCAGTAGCATGCAGCGTCGTCGGAATTGTCGTCATCTTCGCTTGTCTTCGTGTCTGCGCCATAGGTTGGTTGTAGTTTGTTCGAAGGACCACTTGAAAGGTCGATGGACCGCCTTTTAGGTCAAAGGGTCCGAATTTGTCGTCAAAATGTATTAAAAATTAAAAGGCAAAATTAGTCATCAAAACTATGTCCGTCTTCTCATCGGTCTTTTGTCTAAGTCCTTTTGTTTTGTCCCAAGCTGTCAGTTTTAATTGTCGAATGTCTTAGCGGCCAGCGATAAAACCGGTCAAAGAGGCCGCAACATATAGCCTTACAATTTTTATATATTGTCTTCAATATTTCAATATAGCTTTCTTATTGGAATGATAGGTGAGGATAAATCAGGTTTGTTAGCCCATCGTGACAGAATTAATCACGATGGTTTCCAGGGAGAACCGCGAGGAGGTTGACCTGATAGGGTTTATTGCTAGCAATGGGGTTGCTTATTCTCATTACTAACAATCCCTTCCCCCCTAATAGACCTTATCAGGTCTAAATGGCCGCATAAATTGTGTTTTCAGAGGAGTTTTCTCCCGCGGCCGCTCAGGCTGTGTAATGAGCTCCTTGCTGAGGTTTTAGAAACTGCAATATAGGGTTCTTCGAAATCGACTCGTATTACAGGCGTCTATAGGCTAGAAGAATAACTACATGGGACAGATAAAAGAAACACTAGGTGTCATGTCGTATAGGGAGATCAAGGATATAGCCTGGGATAGAGCTGGCTGGAAGAAGATGCATGAATTAGTTGCACCGACAAGAGGAAACTCTTAAATGAAAAAAAAATAGGCTACAGTAACTGTTTACCATCAGACGGGCTGTACACTTGTTTTCCACATTTATAGTATATAAATAAAAAAAAAACAGTTATACTTCTGAATGCAGTACAAATATTTGTATTGTGCAGAAATCGGGCCGGCCTTCAATCGTGAAAAAAATTATACTAGATCAAATCAATCGTAAGTCCATGGTTGTAAAAATAATTATTAAATTCGGTTCAAAATTAAATAATGAAGTTTATACAAAAAACCTGACAAATCTAGAACCTATAGACGTATTTAAGATGAGGAGTAAGTAAGCTAATCCCAATATCTTCCAGTGGGGGGAACGGGATTGTTACCAATTGGGAGGTTAGTCCCCATTGCTATCAATATATCCTATCAGGTCGACCTCCACGCGGTTCCCCCTGAAAACCATCATGACAAATTTATGGTTGAATTCGTCACGATGGGCTAACTGACCTGCCTTTTCATTCTCACCTATCATCCCTCACTGGTGCCCCGCCAACGTATACCGTTAGCACAGGCGGGGTTACCATTGCATTATCATTTATTAAAAAAAATATCTTCCAGCGCCCACTTTAAGATCGAGACAAAACTCTCAATTGTGTAAATTATCTTAAATATACCCAAATAAGTATCTCTCTTTCCAATCCATAGTATACACACAAGAAATAAAGGCGCACTCAAATTGAAAGCTTATTTCTTTTTAACATAATTTAAAAGTATAAATAATTCAACATTGAACCTTTGAAATAGCACGCTTTGTTGCTAAGCAGGTTTTTTTTGCAGAGAGCAATTACCAGTTCATTGGTTCTGTTGAACTTGTTAATATTAATAGATCAATACTTGAGTGTAATTTAAGACCTATTTATGTTATAAATATTCATTTTATTTATGTACCTTTATCATCGATGACATTAATATTTATGATCCGATGACGTTTTATGACGTAAAGGGGTTAATGATGTAAAATGGATACAAGTGTATATATGGTACATGTGTTTTTATCGTGAAGCAGTTGTGTTTGCATGGCTGTGTTTCGGTTTGAAGGGTGGGATATAATAGTGAATTTACAGGGTATAGAGAAATAACACCTGAGTTCTCAGGAATGGCAACGCATAGGGTATCATGGGCGGAACAGTGTACTCTGTTATGACCATGGTCATTGGTCATGTCTATAGGCAACGGTTATCACTTTCCATCAGGTGGGCCATCAGCTTGTTTGTTAGAACTTAGAATAAGTTGACTATTGATACTGATTTTGATAAAATCAGTTCAGAAATAACGAATAAGAAAACAAAATAGATACATACAAAAAACATAAACATGTAATTTAAATTCACTACTAAAATATTATATATATATATATATACTGCATATACACTCCTCGCAAAAATTAAGGGAACATAAAAAATTTTGAAATTTTTGGGTGATTTTCAACAGGCTGTATTTCAGTGAAAAATAATCGTACAGGAAATTTAAAAAAAGGGTTTTGAAGCTTGAAAACTCCAGTTTTCAGATTTTTTGGTGAAAAAATTTTTTGAGCTCCGGTTTCCATGCAATTCTTAAACAAAGCTGAAAATATTTTTTTTCTAAATTTTCTAGGTTTCGTTTTTCACTCTATGGGCATGGAAAAATTTTTTCGAGCTACTCCATTGTATAGGTCTCTTAGCGTGTTTATTCAGCTTCAAAAATAGCTTTGGATGGCTCAATTACGACCATTTGTCTCCGAGATATCGAACTTTGAATGCAAAAGCATCCTTTTCCATTCAACTGCTAATATCTCTGGAACTACTGGTCGCACAGCAAGCGGGCGCCAAGTTTCTTTATCTGCATAAAATTTCCAATTAAACACAGTCAAGAGTTAGTGAAGAAAAAATTTTTTTCCACCTCTAACATTGAATTGAAAAAAGTGGAAAAAAGTGACTTTTTCTCCTTTTTTGGTTACTTGGCTGTATCTTCGCTAATATGGGCGGGAAAGCTAAGGTTTGAGGAAAATTTTACAGTCTATTGTTCCTTAAAGAACCCCCTAAATCCCTGGAGCGATCGGTTCAACGGTTTTCCCGGACCAATTGATTGAAATTTTGGAAAAATAGGGGAACAAGGTTTTTGTCCCTTAAACTCACCCTAATCCATTCAAAAATCAATAATTTCATTTGTTTTTCACATTTTACTCAATTTTTTGTTTTTTAAAAATTCATTATCAAAAAAAAATCGAAAAAAATCAAGAAAATTTTTAAGAAAAATTTTTTTTTGAAAAGTCGAAAAAAGTTTACAAAAAATTTTTTTTTCGTTTTTAAGGAAATCAAAGTTTTTGACAAAAACTTTGATTGATGATCGATTTACCGCCGGCATTAGCGTTACCCAAAGCATACCACGTGGAGAAACACACACACACACACTTTAGAAAATGAGTTTGGAGTCATTAAATACTGCGGAGCTGACGAACCACGGGGTCTCATTTCTTCTAAAAATTACTTACACAACACTAACACACACACTCTTCAGAAAATGAGTTTGGAGTCACGAAATACTGCGGAACTGACGAACCACAGGGTCTCATTTTTTCTGAAGAATCCCATATCATAAACACGTGCGTAAGCACAAAAGAAGCGTAAATCCGACCGTGCAACCTCCCCGTGGTATGCTTTGGGTAACGCTAATGCCGGCGGTAAATCGATCATCAATCAAAGTTTTTGTCAAAAACTTTGATTTCCTTAAAAACGAAAAAAAAATTTTTTGTAAACTTTTTTCGACTTTTCAAAAAAAAATTTTTCTTAAAAATTTTCTTGATTTTTTTCGATTTTTTTTTTGATAATGAATTTTTAAAAAACAAAAAATTGAGTAAAATGTGAAAAACAAATGAAATTATTGATTTTTGAATGGATTAGGGTGAGTTTAAGGGACAAAAACCTTGTTCCCTTATTTTTTCCAAAATTTCAATCAATTGGTCCGGGAAAAACCGTTGAACTGATCGCTCCAGGGATTTAGGGGTTCTTTAAGGAACAATAGACTGTAAAATTTTCCTCAAACCTTAGCTTTCCCGCCCATATTAGCGAAGATACAGCCAAGTAACCAAAAAAGAGAAAAAGTCACTTTTTTCCACTTTTTTCAATTCAATGTTAGAGGTGGAAAAAAATTTTTTCTTCACTAACTCTTGACTGTGCTTAATTGGAAATTTTATTCAGATAAAGAAATTTGGCGCCCGCTTGCTGTGCGACCAGTAGTTCCAGAGATATTAGCAGTTGAATGGAAAAGGATGCTTTTGCATTCAAAGTTCGATATCTCGGAGACAAATGGTCGTAATTTAGCCATCCAAAGCGATTTTTGAAGCTGAATAAACACGCTAAGAGACCTATACAATGGAGTAGCTCGAAAAAATTTTTCCATGCCCATAGAGTAAAAAACGAAACCTAGAAAATTTAGAAAAAAATTATTTTCAGCTTTGTTTAAGAATTGCATGGAAACCGGAGCTCAAAAAATTTTTTCACCAAAAAATCTGAAAACTGGAGTTTTCAAGCTTCAAAACCCTTTTTTTAAATTTCCTGTACGATTATTTTTCACTGAAATACAGCCTGTTGAAAATCACCCAAAAATTTCAAAAAATTTTATGTTCCCTTAATTTTTGCGAGGAGTATATATATATATATATATATATATATATATATATATATATATATATATATATATATATAGTATATATATAGAGGAATACCAAGTAACCTCGATTCGCCTTTTTTAGAAGTCTCATAAAAATTTAATTTAAAAGTGGCAACCTCGTCTACTTCAAAGCTGTTATAAATACATATCAATGTCAGTAGGAGCAACTAGTAACTACATGCGAGCACGTAGACAGCACTTATTTGATGTTCCGTTAAGAAGAACAGAGCAGGGCTAAGAAAGCTTCTCTATCTCTTGCATTGAAACTGCTAAATGAGGTTTTGAGCCGGTACCCGCAGTTGGATATATTTGCCTCCAACTTGCTGGAGTTTCATCCAATGAGCACACAGTGTCTGTGTTCAGAGATTTAAGCTCTAATGTAATTTATAATTAAATTAAATCTTTTTATATGATTTTATTTACGTGTATTATTTCTTTTTTATATATGTTATTGTACTGATGATTTCCTGGGTGAGCGTATTAGGAGACTGTCAAGCTCCGTCCAGTTTATGTAATAAATAAATAAATTTCTCTTTAGCTATGCTTCGGCGGAGTCTATGGGACAAGATGGCAGCCATCTTGGCAACGAAGCCGGCATGCTGTATGGGGAATACCTCATGCTGGACAAGCTCCTTAACGCGCAGAGGATGCTCAGTGCTGAATCCTCCAGACCTGTGCATGATGAGCATCTATTCATAGTCACACATCAAGGTGAGTAGTATTTACCACAATAGTTTTCAGGAGAGGCCAAGCCAACCTAACAGAGTGTATTGCTAGCATTCTGGATTAATCTCTTACATATAAATAATTCTTCTCTCCACTCCCCTCGGGGAAGACGAGAGGACTTTTTAATGGGTGAAAATGGAATGGTAGCTCCACTTGCGCTATCGATATAGGTACGCTACCGGAACACCAGTGACTAATGATAGGTGAGAATGAAAGCAAAGGACCTACCATGAAATATTTACTAATGTTTAAATTACATAATACTAAAATATTAAAATGTTAAAATATCGTTCCTTTAGACTATTGCGGTAGTATTTATGACAAATGAAATGTTAAGCTCCATTTACCGGGCCGATTTCGGTACGAACAAAAATACGAAATCGAGTCCAAAAACTGGGATTTTCATTTTATGGATAGATCCCCAGATCAGTTAGCCCGTCGTGACAAATCCAACAAACATTAAGCACTATAGTTTCCAGGGGGAACTGCGTGGAGGTCAACCTGACAGGTTATATTTCTGGCAATAGATATTAATACCATTTTTACTAACAATCCATCTGCCATAGTAAAGAGAATTGCTAATGTAAACTTAAATGCCCCATTGCTAGCAATATACCCATAAAAACAGGAAATTTTACTACTAACAATTTCTTCCACCCAAGGGACTCTAAGTAGGTATTCTGATCTCGAACGTACACTCGCTGTGGTCTGGGCTTGTCAGTTATAATTACGCTGCAAAGTTTCAATGTCAATCACTTTCTATTAAGAGTGAATAATATATAGCAATATATATATATATATATATATATATATATATATATACATACATACTAGTCCAATAATGAATATATAAAAGTCTATTATCCAAAAAATAATATTGGATAACAATAACTATTTATATATTTAAAAATAGATATTTGACCGATATTGGGTGATGACCTTTTTTCTATAAGGAACCTAATATATAGATATCGGATCGGTATCCATATTACCCATGTTTACTTTCTATTATGATCTCACGAAACGCAGACCGCAGATAGAAACCACAGAATTAGAGAGCTATTCATTGGTTACAGATAATCACTTACTTTTGACCTTAGATTATATAGATAGAGCATCGAGCCTCAAAAACGGGTGTATTTTTTGGTGTTGTTTTTTTTTCATTAATGCTATATATATTTACGCACACAATGTACCTTGATGTATTTATATTTAATTATTTAATATATATACATATAATGAGTTTTAACGTATTAAAAAGGTGCAGAAATAATAAGTCAAAATAAATATAGAAGTTATAAAAGTAAGTATACTCATAACTATTTATCATGCAAAATTGTATGAAAAAGTTGACCCTCTTTTCTCGAAGCATTTGTATGGAGACACTCTATCTATATAATAAAACTTTATACTCTTTTGTTGGAAAGGTGCATCTACTCAATTGATGAATTTTAACACTCTTTTAATATTTTATGGCTTACTAATGACATTTGTAAATTAATTGTAATGTTATTTTTGACAATTATTATTGGCTATTTTGTTGATTCATATTTTTTGTTTTGTTATATTTTATAATATCTTCTTGTTACTTGTAAAAAATATTCAACACAATGCAATATTTTAGTGAATAAATAAATTGAAATTGAAATTTAAGCTTTTAATCTATTCATAATACTTACTATAATATTATAAGTGTGAAAGTGAGTTTGTTTATTTGTTACCTCTTAGCGTCTAAATGACTTAACTAATCACTATGAAATTTGGCATATGGGATGCAGGAGATAGGTTACCTTTTATCTCAGTTAGTAAACATATCCAGATCACGCGGTCGAAGTCACGGGTACAAGCCAGTCTTGCTATATACATTAAACAAATAAACATAGTAATTACCTGAATTAATAAAATAATTATAATTCTTCACATGTATCACTATAATATTCATAGAATAGGCCACCCCTTCCTTATCTGTGAATGTCGTAAGAGGCGACTAAGGGAGGGCGAGGAATGGGCAGCAGCGTCCCTCTTAACACATCATCAAAGCCTAATGGTTGCCAACCTTGGCGGGCCCAAGCGCGGCGACTACTGGCAAACATCCTTATGGGGGAGACTTATGTTCAGCAGTGGACAGTTAACGGCTGACATGGTATAATATGGTATATAAAGTATATCTACATAAATATAGTTGGATTCAGAATCTCCTCTTTTTAAAGTTGGATAATTACATAAGCAATCATAGATTTCACGCTAGTTTCCAATAGAACAGTCCGCAAGATAATGTACAGGTCATTATATGACCTAGCGAGGACGACAGTAAACTTATCGAAAGATATAACAATTTAACACGTACCTATACTTAAAACAAACACTTTATATGTAACTTATCAGCTTGGGGCGAAGGGATTATTAGTAATACGAACTACCAATCCCATTGCTAGCAATGCACCCTGTCAGGTCGACCTCCACGTGGTCCCTCCTGGAGACCATCGTGCTGAATTCCAGGTGTAATCGTCACCATGGGCTAACTGACTTGCTTTCATTCTCACCTATGACCCGTCACTGGTGCCCCGCCAGCGTATATCGATAGAGCAGGCGAGATTACCATTTCATTACCATCCATTCAAAAACAAAAAAAAACTATTATTACCCGCGACTTCGTCCGCGTGAAAGGGATATGTTTACTGAGCGTGATAAAAAGTAACCTACATTCATATCCATCACGCAAATAAACGGACTCACTTTCACATTTATAATATTAGTAAGGGGGGGGGGGGGAGGATTGTTAGCAATGGAGTTTGACAGCCCCATTGCTAGCAATATGTCCTATTAAGTCAACCTCCACGTGGTTCCCCCTGGAAACCTTCGTGAACAATTCTTGTTGAATTCGTCACAATGGGCTAACTGACCTGCCTGCTCCATCCTCATCTATCATCCTGCACTGGTGCCCCGCCGGTGTATACCGATAGCACGGGTGGGGTTATCATTCTATTCTCACCCATAAAAAAAAATATATATATATATATATATATATATATATATATATATATATATATATATATTAGTAAGGATTTATGGAAAATTAATTATTATTATTTAATAGTAAATTAAAATATATAATATTCACATTTTTTTCTTTTATTATTATTTTAAGGGTTTTTACCTTCTTCAGGTATATCAGTCCTATCGTACCCTGAGCTGATTTTTCAAACAAAACTTTATCTATCTATCTTTCCCTATTGTACTTATTATGTCTCTATATATATGCATTTAAAAAAAAAACTAACAGAGTTTAAGGAGTTAAAGGAAACAATAAAGAATATCTATTATTATTTTTTACAGCATACGAACTGTGGTTCAAACAGATTTTGTTTGAGATAGACTCCGTGAGGTCGCTGCTCGACGTGGACGGCCTGGACGAGGGTCACACTATGGAAATCGTAAAGAGGCTCAACAGAGTCGTACTTATTCTTAAGGTAAATATCCTTTTTATCTATTAATAAATATAATGTATTCTGATGATAGTAATCATCGTCATAATATCAGTCATTAACTGGCCACTGCTGAACATAGGCCTCCCCCATAACGGGAAAGGAAGGGGGAAAGGGATTGTTAGTAATGGAGACAGAATCCCATTGCTAGCAATTTACCCAACCAGGTCGACCTCCTCGCGGTTCCCCCTGGAAACTATCATGGTTAATTCCTGATGAATTCATCATGATGGGCTAACTGGCCTGTTTTCATTCTCATCTATCAACCTTCACTGGTGCTCCGCCAGCGTATCCCGTTAGCGCAGGCGGGGTTACCATACCATTTTCACCCATCGAAAAAAAAAAGGGGAAATGAATGCGTGGCTCATTCTACGAGTATGGCGGGATCCAACGGCACCGAACTTTAAAGCAGTACTTGTTCATTGACATGAACAGAATAGATGTAACAACCGCATATACTTTTGTGTTTCCTAGTACCGACACCAGTCTCTCACAAAGATTGTTTTTAAATTGTAACCTTACCTATACAAATAAAGTTTTTCAATGTATCAATTTGTAACCCCAAAGAACCTATTCACTACACATAGCTTTGTGGTGACTCCTAGGGTAGTAGTCTGAAAAATAGAGCTGTGTGAACCTACAGCATAAATCTGAGAAGATCGTTTATGATACATTCATTATTATCATCATCATCATCATCATATCAGCTTTTAACTGTTCACTGTTGAACATAAGCTTCCCCGTTGGGAAGTTTTGCCGATAGTTGCCTAGCTTGACATGTGGATTGACAACCGTAGTTAGGCTTTGAAGATTTTTAAGAGAGACGCTGCTGCCCATCCCTTGCCATCTCTTAGTCGTCTCTTTCAACACCTGTGGGAAAGAAAGAGATGGCCTATTCTATGCCTAGACCGCACAGTGCTGCTTTGCTTAGCTTTGCTACATTATCCGTTTCAAAAATATTATAACCTTCGGGAGATTGCTAGTATTTTTTTTATACAACTTAGAATGGCAAACAAGCTGACGGCCCACCTGATGGAAAGTAACCGTCGCCTATAGACATGAGCAGTACCATGGACATAACAGAGTATACTGTTTCGCTCATGATACCCCTCATGTGTTGCCATTCCTGAGGATTCAGGTGTTATTCCTCCGTACCCAGTAAATTCACGTCATATCCCACCCTTCAAACCGAAACACAGTCATGCAAACACAACTGCTTCACGGTAGAAACACGAATGGGACAGAGGTACCCAAGCAATCGACTTTTGTACAAAGTCTCCCTCTAGTATACTTACATACAGCCATTCCTAAGGACTAAAATATTATGTACCCTATAATTTCACTGCCCTTCAAACTGAAACACTGCCGCTTCACTGCGGAAACACAGATAAGACGGAGATAGCTATATACAGATGAATTTTATACAAAGCCTACCTCTGATAAACTTTGGTCACTTTGATGACACGTGATTTAATGACTTCATCACGATAAATTCTACTAATATAATAAATGCGAATGTTCGTAACGATGGATGCATTAATCCATTGATGGCCATCCATCCAACCATTAATGTTGCGAGAAAGGTATTATTAGTATTGGGATCTAATTAACCCATTGCTAACAATATACCCTGTCAGGGGGAAAGGGATTGTTAGTAATGAAGACTGAGAATCCTATTGCTAGCAATATACCCAACCAGGTCGACCTCCTCGCGGTTCCCCCTGGAAACTATCATGGTTAATTTCTGTTGAATTCATCATGATGGGCTAACTGGCCTGTTTTCATTCTCATCTATCACCCTTCACTGGTGTTCCGCCAGCGTATCCCGTGAACGCAGGCGGGGTTACCATACCATTTTCACCCATCAAAAAAAAAAAAACACCCTGTCAAGTCGACCTTCACACGGTCCCCTCTGGAAACCATCGTGGTTAATTCTAGTGAAATTCATCACGATGACTAACTGACCTGCTTTCATTCTCACCTATCATCCCCCACTGGAGACCTGCCAGAGTATACAATTAGCGCAAGTGGAACTATTCCAATATCACCCATTAAAAAAAACCATTGTTGTTACACTTTGTTCTTATTTGTTATGTTGCCATGGATTTTGTTACTATTTCACATAAAAACTACTGAGCGAATTTGAATGAAATTTGCTTAGTATAGGTAGATAAATAGATATATAATTTATATGCATTATTTACAGCACACATAAAACAACAAATATAGATATATACGCAAAAAAACTAAATAAAATAATATATATGCATGTATGTATATGTATGTGTGTATGTATGTATATGTATTTGTATATGTATTTATATTATTATATGTATCACATCTCCCGTATTTAGAACTAACAAAAATTTTCATCGTGCCTCCCACCAGATTGTTTGTAATTACTCCTCTCCATCCAAAGGTTGCCTGGAAGAGATCGCTCTAAGCGACAAGGTCGCCCATTGTTTTCTCATTGTGATTATTTCTTGTAATTATTTATATTTATAATAAGTTTACTATTGTAATCTATTGGAGGAAACAATAAAGAGTATCTATCTATCTAACTATAAACAAAAAAAAAAAACTAAAAACTCCTAACTTAGCACATAGGATAAGGATACTTTATGTAATGATTCAATCGAGCAGAGCCACGGGATAGATCTAGTATTAAATATATCATAATTACCACACAATATTTGTGAGATGAAATACATTGTGTAATATACATAACTCGAATACATAAAGTTATCTCGAGTTATGCGTCCACATTATATATACATTGATGATAAGACTGTTAATTGTTATTGTTGTTTATTACCATACGTAAAGATTTGTGATATTTTTATTAGTTACGATTCGATAATGTTGAATAAGTGCAAGCGATAATATTAAATCGTAGTAGGAAGGTCAATATACAGTCCGGAACATGGTAAACCGATAGGTACACCTAAATTACTTTAATAAAAACATTCGCAAATTTTATTACTTTTATTACCTTGACCCACTTTAAGTTAAATACTTTTTTTTTTATTAAAATTGTCAGAAAAATTGACAGATCTAATAGTGGAAAGTTGTTCGTGTGATCCCGGCATAGAGGGGGGAAAGAGATTGTTAGTAATATAGACTGAGAATCCTATTGCTAGCAATATACCCAACCAGGTCGACCTCCTCGCGGTTCCCCCTGCAAACTATCATGGTTAATTCCTGATGAATTCATCATGATGTGCTAACTGGCCTGTTTTCATTCTCATCTGTCACCCTTCACTGGTGCTCCGCCAGCGTATCCCGTTAGCGCAGCCGCGGTTACCATACCATTTTCACACATCAAAAAAAAATCCCGGCATACAGTAGGTGACCCCTTCTTTCTCGTATCGTAACAAGCGACTGAAGGAACTTAAGGGTAGAGAAATGGGCAGCAGCGTCCGTCTTAAAACATCACGAAAAACCTAAATGTTGTTGCCAAACCATTCCTACAATTACAAAACATTCCTTATGGGGAGTACTCATATTCAACAGTGAACAGTTAACGGCTGAAATAATGATGATGATGATGAAAGTTAAAGTGATATAGTTAGTTAAGTTATAGAGACAAATAATGAATACGTAATAAACAGAAATATCACAGAATATTATAAATGCGAAAATTCGGTTTCGGTTTGAAGGGTGAGATATGGCGTGAATTTACAGGTTACAGAGGAATAACACCTGAGTCCTCAGGAATGGCAACGCATGGGGGGTATCATGGGCGAAACAGTATACTCTGTTATGTCCATGGTACTGCTCATGTCTATAGGCGACGGTTACCACTTTCCATCAGGTGGGCCGTCAGCTTGTTTGCCATTCTAAGTTGTATTAAAAAAATAAAAAAAAATCATCACGATGGATGGATGAATAGATTGTTATTCTTTCACACAAAAATTACCAAACAGATTTGAATGAAATTTGGTTATATCCTAACTTAGCACATAGGATACTTTATGTACTAACTCACGCAGGCAGAGTACAGCAAGTGTTTCAATGAAAATCAAAGTTCCCTCTTTGTCAAATAAACAATGTTATATCAATTGCAGTTACTAGTGGACCAGGTGATGATTTTAGAAACAATGACTCCACTCGATTTTATGGACTTCAGAAACTACCTGCGACCAGCTTCGGGCTTCCAAAGTTTACAGTTTCGTCTGCTTGAAAACAAGGTATTTTATTACATCAATATTTTTTTTTATACAGATTTCAAAAAGAGAAGAAGTTTTTCATTTCGATGGTATTTTTTTTTTAATGTTTATTACCACATAACTCCGTCATGAACTGATTTGAAAAATTATTTTTTTATATGGAAGGATATATAGATATAAATTTTATCAAAATAGGTTTATAAGTTTGGTTTTTTAAACAATATAACTGGTTGTGCCACGATTAAATACAGTGATTTTTCTTTATTTTATGAATCAAAATCAATTATTACTAAGTAATATATGTTAAATATTCCTTTTATAATCCATAGAGTTTATCAACAAGGTATGTTAGTTCCTATATTAATTGTTTTTTTTTTTTTAATTATAAATATAATTTAAATCTCGTCATGGAACAACAATAATTGTTATCTAGTGGCTTCAAAACAAGACATGTAAAAATAACATTGTGGACTTTTTTTTATTTTTTACAGTTAGGTCTCAAACAAGCGCTACGTGTGAAATACAATCAGAACTACCAGACCGTGTTCGGAGACGACCCTCAGGCTATGGAAGCGTTACAAAAGTAAGTGATCATAGACAACGAGAATAGGAACTGGCTATTGTATACACAGATAATAAAAAATAAGGAAGGCTTTTTTTATATAACGCGGAATGCCAAACTGACGGCCCACCTGACAGAAGGTAACAGTCGCTTATAAACATGAACAGTACTGTGATACCGTAAAACGGGGTTACTTTTGCACCGGGGGTAACTTTCTAAGAGAAAGTTACCCCCTTTAGGAAACTTTATACAAAAGTTGATTGCTTGGGTACCTCTGTCCCATTCGTGTTTCAACCGTAAAGCAGTTGTGTTTGCATGGCTGTGTTTCGGTTTGAAGGGTGGGATATGGCGTGAATTTACAGGGTACAGAGGAATAACATCTGAGTCCTCAGGAATGGCAACGCATGGGGGGTATCATAGGCGAAACAGTATACTTTGTTATGTCCATGGTACGGCTCATGTCTATAGGCGATGGTTACCACTTTCCATCGGATGGGCCGTCAGCTTGTTTGCCATTCCAAGTTGTATAAAAAAAAGAGTCTCCTGAAAAGTGAATCGACTATTTTCATAGGGACTTTTAGTTAAAGGGATTTAACAGCCCCTTTGCTAGCAATATACCCTATCAGGTCGACCTCCACGCGTCCCTCCTTGGTAACCTTGGTTAGGACTTCCGCTAGGTGGCGCGGTACATTACACATTGTCTCTAGGAAAAATATTTTTTTAATATTCATAAAGAAAACATTTAGAACTAAATTTATTAAAAATAGATAAATAATAGTATAAGTATCACGTGATAGTGTTGGTTGAAAGTTAATGTTGATAATTCAATGAAAATTTTACGTTTTATATTTGTGCAGAAACTGTGAGGAAATAACTAATTCTTGTAAATTTTGTTTATATGAGTACATTCTTTTAATAGTGACGAACACAAATCTATATACATTTTAAATATTTTTCATGTAGAATAGTGGTTATTTTTAAATTTATAAAGTTAACGGACTACCTACAAATTTTGTTTAAAAAACTCAAAGTTGGACTTTGGACTTTGTATACTCGTAACAAAATTCAACTTGTTATATTCAGCGACATCTTAATTCTGAAAGGGTTAAGGGAAGAATGAATATTATTTATACAAGATAATTACGCAGTCCTAATTTGGTAAAGGGCTAAGAACAATGTATGGTGATTAATGAGACCAATAATTTATTAAGAGTGACTATAAATACAGAATAAACTGTTTGCATCATAAATGCACACTTTTTCTCTGCGTTGATATACACTACCTCTCTGCTATTTATCTTGAGTTTCAGTAGGGAATATTTTATATTGTGCTAATAATAAAAACACTTAAGAATGGAAAATGAAAATGTAACCGTTAGAAAACAATTTAAACAAAATTCATTAAATGATATTTCCAGTAATGAATCTTCATTATTTGAAACAACGGCTGTGAGTTTACCAAATACATCATTTAATGACTCGCTGACAATGGCTGAGATACAGGAAAAAAATTATAAACTTAGAATGGACTTAAGCAGCGCTAACCTAGAAATAGAAAATTTAAACAGTGAAAATAGACATCTTCAATCTGAGCTGGAAAAGTGTCAGAAAATTATTGAAATGTACAAGAGGGTAGGTTTCTATAGCAACGATAACTTAAGTTCTGGAAAACAGGTATCCAACACTAAATATTTGACACCACTGAGGAAACGAAAACATAAACGTGTAAGGACTTCAAGTTTATCCACTCCAAACCAACGAAAGACGCTTACAGACACACCGTTTATCGATCAGAAACAGAGTCCAGTAAAACATGAAACGCGAAAATCACAAATCGATATCGACTTAACTGACGAAACCAATAAACCAAATTCCAGTATAAATAATACATGTCCTCCGATAACCGCCGCTTTGGACTTTGTCATCGCTGGCTCTGGCAGCAATATAGTTAATGAGCGAGAAGATTTGAAGAAGCGCCACGTTATCATAATAGCAGACCAGCAAGGAAGGTACTTGCAGAGTCATCTTCAAAAACTATTGGGTTCCAACTATAGTGTGTCCTGTTTTTGGAAACCAGGGGCTAAAATTAAAAATGTTCTTGATACAGAGACAAACTTGATCAAAAAATTAAATCGTAATGACTTTGTTATTGTCTTAGGAGGTACGAATGATGTGAACCCGTATGAATTTCGATTACGTATAAATATTTGGCTAGAAACTGTATCTAATACTAATGTATTAATCTCTGAAGTACCTTTTAATCACGTTCTAAATGAGAAAAAACTTAATAATGAATTGAAATTTATATGTGGTAAATATGAAAATGTAACGTATATTGACATGAACTATTCTCGACAACGGCTTTACAGGGCAAGCATTTCATTATTTGTGAGTAGGACTTTATTAAAAGATATTTTACAAATCGAATACAAAACAAATTTAATTAATTACCGACTTAAATTATTAAATAAACAATCAACAACTAGTGATAAGTATACACAAACCGAAGCGAACCATTTCAATGCCCGTGAGGTTAAAGAATATTCTCGTATTAATATGGACGCCAATCAGAATAACAATTATACTACTACAAACAATAATTTTCACACCTAATCATATTAACATATTACATCAAAATATAAATGGCTTATTGGGAAAGTCAGATTGTCTATCTGTAGAGTTACATAATTTAGAGAACAAAAATGAAGCAATTGACGTAATTTGTATAACTGAACACAATATGATGAAAAGTGATACAAGCCTATTAAAAATACCCAATTATACATTAGTCACTCACTATTCTAGAGGTAACAGACATGGCGGATCGTGTATTTTGGTACGTAAGAATCACAGATACAAGGTTATGAATGAAATAGAGAGCTTAAGTATCAGTAATATTATCGAATGTACAGGGATGGAATTGACAGATTATAATATTTTAATTATATGCATTTACAGACCTCCAAAAGTGACCCAGGAATCTTATGAAACTTTCTTTGAAACTTTAAACAATTTATTAAGCATGTATTGCTTCAAAAAAAGAAAGATAGTGTTATGTGGAGACTTTAATATTGACATGTTGAAAGCCGATAAATATTCTTTCGAATTTAAACAGTTATTACAAGGATTCAACTTAAAGTTAGCAATCAACGATCCAACGCGTCTATGTAGTGGTACATGTATTGATAATTTTGGACATAATATGAAAGACTGTAAAACTCGAATACTTGAATTGGCTCTCTCAGACCACACAGCGCAATTATTGATGTGTCCGGTCTCAGAGAAGTTTGGTAACCCATATTGGTTTATAATGAAGCGTGATTATAGTAAAGAAAATATAGAAAAATTTAATCATTGTCTAATGGCCATCCATTTCAAAGACGTATATAATACTAACAATCCAAATACTGCATTTAATAGTTTTTTTGATGAATTTAAGTTATTTTATGACATGTGTTTCCCATTGATGAGAATCAGAATGCGTTCTTATCAACGACCTAAATGGATTACAAAGGGTATTATAAAATGCTCTAGACAGAAAAGAAAACTGCTTTGGAAATACAGAAAAGATCCAAATCTTCTCAATAAAAAGTGCTTCAAAACCTATTCAAGTAGACTAAAAAATATAATGAAATTAACAAAAAAAGCACAAAACAATTACTTTATTAAGACATCTAAAAACAAAACGAAGGCCACCTGGACAATAATTAATGAATATAAAAATAAAACTAAGAATTATATAACACAAATTAACAACGATCACAAAAAAATAACTGATCCTAATAGAATAGCGGAATTATTTAATAATTTTTTTATTGAGCAAGTTAAACCGCATGATAATTTCAAAGCAAGAAATATGACATCGAATAATGTAAGTTCCTTATTCATAAGACCTACAAATCCAGATGAAATTTTGACAATAATAAGATCTTTAAAAGACACTAATAGCACTGGTTACGATGATATTACAACAAAAATTGTAAAAGAAGTAGCTACTCAGATAGCACCAATTTTGAGCTATATTATAAACTTATGTATTGAAAATGGAATTTTTCCCGATAAATTAAAAATAAGTATTATAAAACCTCTATATAAAAAAGCAGATCGCGAATGTATGTCATCGTATAGGCCAGTAGCACTTATACCTATATTTTCTAAAATAATTGAAAAGGTAATTTATAAAGCTCTTTATAATTTTCTAGAAAAATATAATTTATTGGTAGAGGAACAAGTTGGATTTAGAAAGAATAAAAATATAAATTTGGCTATATATAAATTTTTGAAAAAATTGTAGACCACGTTGATAATAGGAAACCCGTCTGTGCTTTATATATGGACCTCTCAAAAGCATTTGACCATGTAGATCATGCGACCTTAATTGAGAAATTACACACATATGGTATCAGAGGGATTTCATTAGATTTCATTAAGTCATACCTAAGTGGTAGAACGCAAGCAACGCAAATCAACAGAATATGTCCAAAATCAAAAGTTGAAATTAATTTTATATCAGACTTCAAAGAAGTAAAATATGGCGTACCACAAGGGAGTATTTTGGGCCCATTATTGTTTCTGATATATATAAATGATATCCCAAATATAACTACTAACCCTATGATATTATTTGCAGATGATAGTACCGTAATATGTAGTGATGAGAATTCGAATGAACTTGAAATAAATATTAACAATACAATAAAAATATTAATAGACTGGCTAAAGGAAAATAATTTAAAGATAAACTTAGATAAAACACATTTTATGAATTTTAGTAATCGTCAAAATAATTTGACATCTTTTAATATCGATTTTAATGGAAAAAAAATAAATGAAGTGAAAATTACGAAATTTTTGGGATTAACGATTGATAATAACCTGACATGGAAACATCATATAGAAAATATTAATAGCAAAATAAACCAATTTTCATACGCATTACGCATGTTGTCTAAGATTGTTAATCAGACAGCGGTATTGACTGCATATCATGCATATGTTGAATCCTTACTAAGGTATGGTGTCATATTTTGGGGCAATTCGACATATAGAGATATAGTCTTCAAGACTCAGAAAAGGTGTATTAGATCTATGTGCAATTTGAAAAGAACTGATACATGTACGACTTCATTCAAAAGACTGAATATCCTGACTTTTCCAAGCCTTTATATTCTTGAAACAATGTTGTTTGTGAAAAAGAATAAACTTTTATTTGAAAAGTTAAAAAGTGACCGTAATACCGATAAAATTCGCGTTCAGCCTCACGTCACAGCATTATTTGATAAAAGTTTTTTCGGTATGGTCTCTAAAATATATAATAAATTCCCGAAAGCATTTAAGGAAATAAACAGTTTAAATGTATTTAAGAAAAAAGCAAAAGAATATTTGACAGCCAAATGTTACTATACGTTGCATGACTACTACAGTGATAAATATTAGACATGCAATTTAATTATTTTTATTGACATTTTTTACATTTTATTATTATTATTGACATTATTTTTATTATTATAAGTTATTATTACTATAATTTTATATTGTACATGCCGATATGGTAGAATATGGAATAATGGACATGTAATTATTTTTTTCAACTAATGTATGTACCCATATTCGTGCAATAAATGATTTGATTTGATTTGATTTAACCATTTTGGTTAGTAAAATAAAGACAACGCAAATTTCTAAAATTAGTTATCATATAATTGTTTTTTTTTTTTATAAATCTTAGGTCTGAACAAGAGCCAACACTACTAGCCCTCATAGAACGGTGGTTGGAACGCACTCCGGGTTTACAAACGCATGGCTTCAACTTTTGGGGCAAATTTCAGGCAGCAGTTGAGAAAACAATTGCACAAGACGTTGATGCAGCCAATGTATGTAACCGTAAACTAATATTTAATAAAAAGGGATAAAGTAAGGGATAAATTTAAAAAATACTTATTGATTCTAAAAATTATTTCAAGCCATAAAAAGCTACTTTGTCAGCGAGTACTATGGGCTTATTTATAAAAAGAAACCGTGCGAATCTGGTAATCTTGTGTACTATACAATTGACAGCAGCTTTAGAGCAGTTTAACAGGAGTTTGACTGACTTCTAAACATGGCAATGATCCTACATCATCATATCAGCCTTTAACTGTCCACTGCTGAACAAAATCCTCTCCATTGAGGAATTTTCCAGTAGTTGCCACGCTTGGCAGGCAGATTGGCAGCCGCAGTTAGGCTTTGAAGATGTTTTAAGCGAAACGCTGTTGAGCATCCCTCGCCCTCCTTAGTCGCCCCTGACGACAGACACGGGAAAGAAAGGGGTGGCCTATTCTATGCTGGGACCACATGGGAGCTCCGTAGAGATCACGGGATACATCCATGGTTTTTTTATTTGTTACTATAAATGAAACCTATGTATTAGCACAGTGTACGGAGTTTTCAAACAGTGATTTATCGCCTATAGAAATCTATTGTCATACCTATCACATTCATCACAAGATCACATTTATTATCAGTCAACTTCAAAATCAGGAGATCCTCAATTCAAGTAATCCTGTTTTCATATTTTCGATAAAAATATCGTTTCTGAAAAATTTTGAGTTGCAAATTTGACTCCTTTTATAAAATTCTAAATTTAAAATTGTATGTATTACGCAATTGAACGTGACCCGACCAAATCAGTAAGTTAGTTTAATTAAATTTAGTTGAGTTAAATTTAGAGAGTATCAAGATCAATCGTATTAAACGACTTTGGACAAGTTTGCCTAAAGAACAGTTTATTCAAGTTTAACCAAGTTTGGTCCAAATTTATATTGCTTTTAGCGTTAAGGCCGCCCATTATTTTCTCGTTGTGGTCTTTTCTTGTATTTTTTTTTTATTTTTACTTAGTTTCTACTCTTATCTTTTGGAGGGAACAATAAAGAGTACCTATCTGTATATCTATCTTCTATTATTTTCTATTTTAGCTCGAAACAAACGAAGACGTCCGCCAACACCGTCTTCAGGACGCGGAAAACAGGCGCGTGATCTACCGCTCCATCTTCGACCTAGAGGTGCATGATGCACTCAGATCTAGGGGAGAGAGGAGGTATACATAACGTGCATCACATTCATACCAAACGCCTGGTCCTTAAGCTAGGACACCGTGTGTTATGACGAACTAGGAAACGAAAATCTGGGAACACAAAGCAAAACACCCAATCTCGAGAAAATTTACAATATTTCATTTCTTAAATTGACTGTACGGAGAATCTAACCCGGGATTTCTTTGGTACAACACATCACTGTGCCACGGAGGTCATAAGTCGTTGTCATACATGGAATATTTCATAGTATTTTATAAGTAACTACTAAACAAATCATTAATGTTACACTGTATTTTTTTTAAAGGATTAGCGGTCAACACCTTTAGTCCTCAGGCATGAAGTTTATCATACACAGCACAGTATGTTCTGCAAAGTCCATAGAGATGTTCATGTCTATATACGACCATTACCACTTACCACCGGACCTAACAGCTTGAAATTTACCTTTCTTTAATTTAAATTTCTAGAAAACATCTTAAATCTACGACAATGAGACCTTTAATCCTCTTACTAACAATCCATTTTCGAAATCTTACTGTGTTGAGCATGAGCCATTGAATTGCAACTTATCGGGCTGACTATTCAATCAAATTCAATCAAAATAGTCTTCTCTCTCACGATAGAGTAAAATAGACTGATCTGTTTTTATTTATTTTATTTAATTCTTTATTGTACACACCAGTTATAAGAATAAGACAGAGGTAATCAAATGTACAAAGGCGAGCTTAACTCTAATAGAGTTTTCTTCCAGCAAACACAAAGTGGAAAGGAGCATCAATGTCAGCGGATAGAGCAGTGTACAATATTGTGACAATTTTTAAATATTACAATATTTTTTTTTTATATTATATTATAATGTTTAGAAGTTGGGACTTATTATTAATTTGTTTGCAGGTTGTCGCACAAAGCGCTGCAAGGCGCCATTATGATCACGATCTACCGCGACGAGCCTCGCTTCTCTCAGCCCCACCAGCTCCTCACGCTGCTTATGGACATCGACAGTCTTATCACCAAATGGCGATGTAAGTACTGTCTGTGATAACCATCGATCGATCAATAATTTATTTACATAAACATAGGTATACTCAAAAATTTGTTTTTGTTTTTTATATACGAGTATATAATACAATCACTGTAGTCTTATTCTCTTAATACTTTGAGACTTTGTACAAAAGTCGATTGCTTGGGTACCTCTGTCCCATTCGTATTTCAATCGTGAAGTAATTGTGTTCGCATGGCTGTGTTTCGGTTTGAAGAGTAGGATATGACGTGAATTTACTGGGTACAGAGGAGTAACACCTGAGTCCTCAGGAATGGCAACGCATGGGGGGTATCATGGGCGAAACAGTATACTCTGTTATGTCCATGGTACTGCTCATATCTATAGACGAAGGTTACCACTTTCCATCAGGTGGGCCGTCAGCTTGTTTGCCATTCTAAGTAGTATAAAAAAGAATCCTAATATAATTAAGCACTTTATTTTAAAACAATTAATCGTCAATACTGTCAAATTAAAATACATATGTATTTAGTTTTGGACATAGATTTAGAGATTTTTTCTTTTAAATATTTTTTCTTTTTACCAGTAAAACTGAATATCGTTATTAAATTTTTATTTCACAAAATTTCTGTCCAAACTCAACAAAAAATTTCAAAACCCCACTTATACTCAAACACTTTTTCTCAAATGATATTGTTATCAAAAAGGTACTCAGGTATTTAAAAATGCGTCTCATGTAAAACTTTCTCCTATTACTGGTTATTTGGTTACAATTATTTTGTTTAATTCTGTTACCATTAATATGTGTGCGATACCAACTCACACAAAGATTGACTACTATTCTTATTATCAGAAGTTTTAAAATTTTCCATATCAGCCATAAATCACCGACTGCTATTTCGTCCAAGCACGTTTTGCGATACGTATATCTCCTCTAAACAAGGCATTATCAGGCAAATCAATAAATCACTGCTCCGAGCCTTGTGTTTACTTCTGTCCTTGCGTTCCGCAGCCAAACTGAGAATGTCTACTTTCTTTCGATTCAAAAAAACTTTTCGGACGTGTTTATACCTTTTTAATTGGAGGGAGGTGGGGGTGAGTGAACTAATTGTTAAGTTGCAATGAATCATTGCAAGATAACACTTGGTTCAATAAAATATACATTTTTTCAGTAATTTTGAATTTTTGTAAAAAATAATGTAAATATGACACTTACGGAAGTCATCCCATGTTCAAAAATCGATTTTTTTTTATTTTTTCATTAATTGCTTTCCTAAAATAACAAACAAATTGACGGCACACATGATGGAAATCAGTAATGGTCTCAAGTAAACATGAAAAATGCCTACTGGAGACACTTCATAGTATGCTGTGATACCCATGGTACCCCTCATGCGTTGGTATTTCTAATGACTATGATGTCATTACTCGTATTTAATTATAAAACTAATTTAAAAATTAATTAATTACTTTTAATATTTTAAATTTTTAACACACTACCTACCCATTCATTCTTTAATTCCTGATCGTGTCTTGTACTATACTATACTTATTGAAAATCCTTCAACTATTTATAGATCCATCATCATTTCAACCGTTAACTGCCCACTGCTGAGCATAAACCTTTTCCATAAGAGGAGTTTTGCCAATAGTTGCCACGCTTGGCAGACGGATTGGCAACCGCAGTTAGGCTTTTAAAGATATTTTAAGAAGAAAGCTGCTGCCCATCCCTCCACTATTAAGTTTCTTTGCTCTCTTACGACACCCACAGAAAAGGAAGCGATGGTCTATTCTATGCCGGAACCATACGAACAATGTATCCATGTAATATTGGCGCAATAAAGTGTTAAATAAATAAATAAAATATAAAAATTGTTATACCATGTTATTTACAGACAACCACGTAATCATGGTGCAGCGTATGATCGGCTCTCAACATCTCGGTACCGGAGGCTCCTCTGGCTACCAGTACCTTCGCTCTACACTCAGGTACAACTGAACAAATATTAACTTTACACAAAATAGAAATAAATATTTCTAATTAACTCAAGAACGGGCTCACCTATCCAAACCATGTTTAGGCTTTGTTCGAACTATTTAGTAGATGGTTTATGTGAAGTTTGCACAAAATCGGTCGAGCAGTTCTTCATTTATTATATTTTTTGTAACAAATGAATTCAATAAATGGCGGATCATTTTGTTAATGGAGATTTTTGTGTCAAATTCAAACTTTTATAAGATGGGGATTCTTCTTCTTCTTCTTTTCATTAATGGCAATCGGTCGCTATTTTTACGACCATTTCTGCCAGCGTCATGTATAAGAGGCTCGTACTGGAGATAGAAATTATAACTAAATAATTGGTCTAATTTTGAACTTTTTGGTATAAAGCTGAAAAAGACAACACAATATGAGCCAGTAATAAATATCAATACAAAAATCTTAAATATATATTTTCTATGAATATATAAAATAAATACATAATATAGAGTTTATAGTTTGATATTATTGTTTTTGATAAAATTTACCAAATCCATAAAATATTGGGGTTTTCAGTAAAAGAAATAATTAAAAGATTACTTAAGTTAGTAGGCTGGGGAATTTGTTCTTTGACAAGTTGTGGGTATAATGGGCTTATACTATTTAAAGGGCAGGCAAAAAAAATATGGTTTACATCACCATCTTCTTGACCACATTCACAAATAGAGTTATCTCTAATTCTAAGTTTGTGCAAAAATTCTGGTGAAGAACAATTAACAACACTTTTTCTACATAAAATAGAAATGATAGACTTAGGCAACCTTTTGTGTCTAAAGAACCAAGGTTTAATAGGGATAATTGATTGGATCGAAGCGTAAAATCGGCCAGTGTTTTTAGACGAATCTCGCCAACTATTCGTCCACGCATCTCGGAGGTCTTTTAATGGGCATGCTATAAGGTCATTGCAGGCGATTTTATCGTGTTTCTGATCTCCACCATTATTGGCTGCAAATTTAGCAAGGGAATCCACGCACTCATTACCTAAGATCCCTACATGAGCAGGGATCCACATCAAAAGATGGGGATTGTGCTGTCCAATTAAAACTTTTTTCAGTGTTGACAGTACAAGCATGTTGTTACGTCATTCATGCGGTCATTTAATTTTTTTTTTTTTTTTTTATTATTTCACTTTATACGTAGCGAAGCACGTACCGGGCCGCTAGTTATACATAAATATTAATTCCTTCCTTGGTACAGTAGTTTACATTATAATTTGCGAGCAATAATTTCAGCGTTACATTCCTTCGATTAACGATCTCTTCTTAAAATGTATTCCAAATTAAATAATTTTACAATAACATCAAATTTAGAAATTGGTTTTATTTTTTTTACTACGTTATAAATATTTATTTAAATTTCTGTCTTACACTACTACTGCCCACTCACTACTTCCTATGCCACTGCGTTAGGTTGACTGGAAGAAATCTCTTTTAGAGATAAGTTCGCCTTTGCTAACATTGTTATTAACTTATTGTTGTTACTGTATGTTTTAGTGCAATAAAGAATATATATATATATATATATATATATATATATATATATATATATATAAATTTCCATAGATACCAGTCAATGGCCTTTAAAAAACATTTTAATCAATAACAGAATAAGAATTTCCTGAATTAGACGAAGAACCCTTGTTACCTAGTAAAAATTAATTATTTTGAAATTTGGACTATTAAATTGGAATACTAAATTCCATTCCAATTCCAAGCCATTACGAAAATTATTTGTATTGTGATTTAACAAAAAAAAAAAAAAAAAACTAGTTGCAGTTTGGAATTAAATCACTTCGCATTTAACTCTTTCAACGGAGTCCCAAATTCGATCACATCCATGTTGTACAGAGCTGTTATTGTACAAAACGTGTATATTTGTATTCCAGTGACCGTTACAAGGTGTTCCTGGATCTCTTCAACTTGTCCACGTTCCTTCTGCCGCGCTCTGCCATCCCTCCCCTCGATGATAGCATGAAGAAGAGCCTGAACCTAATGTGGGGGAGCAGTGGTTGGGAGCTCACACAAAATCAACAAGAAAACGATTCGAATATCTCATAGACGTCTATTATAAATTAGGGAGACTCCTCAAGACAGAGCACAAACGAATCTATTGAAAGAATCGTTATAACTAGTAAGTTCATCAGATAGAATGAGACAGCAACGTGTGTTGTCTTGTTCTTTCTTGTGTAACCGCTGAATGAAGCGTTTCTATTCATAGATTGGTTTGTACTATATCTAGAGGGGCTGTTTAGAAAAAAAACCTTTCAAGTTAAGAGGCATGTACAATAGTTATTTCCAAATTAATTGCACACATTTGACTTGAGTATTCATATATTGTATTTTAATAAAAAATGCTTATGTGGGTAGTTCACTAACGCTTTTTGGCAATTTCGCGTAAGGTTGATAGAGAAGAATGCAATATTTCGTCATAGTCGTAGAGTACTGACGGATCCGACGAAGATTACATATAAAGATCCGTCAGTATTCTACGACTATGACGATTTGTCAACAATATAATGTGTGAATACATACAGGCTATTGCATTATGTATTGTAACAATACATACATATTTATAGCAACTACAAAGATCAAAATCAGTGAAGTAATGTCAAATTGTAAACTGAAAAATATGGTTTGTTTTCAACAACAAGTCTACTATTTACATATACTTAAAAAAATTTTCGTGTATTATAATTTTTTGCAACTTTTATCTAACTGCCTTTATATCTACTCGTATTTGTGTAAATGTATACGATCAGCCTTATATTGAGTTATTAGGTAAAATGATTGCCTCTTAACTTTTTAATTTTTACAATTTTACAGTGAATAACAAAATACTGTGGCAGCTTCGATCTGTATTAAATTAATTAATACAGTTCGAAGCTTATAATTCAATGATATTAGTGTCTACATAATTGTTATAAATGATTATCGAATCGATAAATGTCGAGTATCGATGAATTGTCGAATTAATAGGACGAGTTCCTGGTAAGACATCGTTTAAATTTGAGGCCTTCGAAAGTTTATGTTCTCTGCATACCTCACATTGGAAGTGGTGTGAAGATATAAATAGAGATATATAGAATAATTAAAATTATAATGAATATAATATTAATTATTATTTGTGTACTATATATAACATATGTATATAGGACATATGTTTCTTATGGTCTCTCATTTAAGTTATTATTAAGTGACAAGCCTAGGAGAGCAGTGATTGAGAACATTTATCTCTTAAAATATATAGGCTCCCGTTTAGTATAGGTAATACTGGATTCGATTCTCGGTTCGTTCAATTGATAGAACATTTTTTTTTTTAATTGATTCTGATGTGTTTTACCGATTTGTGCTCCCCAATGTTTGTTGTTCAATTCCTAATAATATAAAAAACATCAGTTTGAAGAGGTACAGGAGTTCACCATTTTATGGCGCTCGGTTGTAGTGACACACTATAATACTTCGTGTATAACCGACTTGGCAATTAGTGACTTAGTGTCAAACTAGATGGCGCCACTCTTACACGGTTACACACACACACGCCAGTCGACAAAATGTTAATTAATAACTACAAATAAAAAATGAACAGATTGCATAGAAATTACGATTTACCTATTACCTGTTAAACTACTTTACTATTGACTTATCAATAAAGATATTAAAAAAATAACTTTTTTTTTTATTTTCTGCGTTTTAACCCTTAAATACCTGAAGTTTCAAATTTGATACCAGGGGTTGCATTGTTTCATTGTTAAATAAATTTTAAAATATTTTAATTACCGTAATGCCTAAAGTATCAAAAATGATACCAAATGTTTTTTCAAAATAAATATATAAAAATATTGTTTTAATTTTTTTTTTACTATTTTTTCCCCATTAGTAAACACAGTAAAGGGTACACTTATTTGATTTAAAAAATCAGGCTTTTAAGGGTTAATCCCCTAATATAGGGGGAAGGGATTGTTAGTAATTCGGGCTACTAGTCCCATTGCTAGCAATATATCCCAGGTCGACTTACACGTGGTTCCTCCTAGTAACCATCGTGTTGAATTCCAGTTTTATTCATCACGATGGGCTAACTGTACTGCCTTTTTATTCTCGCCTATCATCCCTCTCTGGTGCCACTCCAGTATAGATACTTCAACCCTTCAACTTCCAACAGCAGTAATTTCGAACCGATACGACAACATAACCTTCAATAAAAGAGCATATTCCTTTTAAAAAGGCCGGCAGCACACCTGCAATGCCATTAGTGTTGTGGGTGATCATGGGCGGCGGTAGTCACTTATCACCAGGTGAGCCGCATACTCGTTTGCCCCCTGTGTTGTAAAAAAAACCCTTTTGCCGTGTGGTCCCGGCATAGAATGGGCTACCCTTCCTTTCACGTGGATGCCTTAAGAGGAGACAAGAGAACGTAATAGTCGAAAAATAGACAGCAGTGTCTCTCTTAAAATATCACCAAAAGCCTAACTGCGGTTGCCAAACGTGGCAACTAGTGGCAAAACCCCTCTTATCAAGAAGGCCAATGTTCAGCAGTGGGCAGTTAACAGCTGATGATGATGATGATCATGACGGGTATAGCCTGTGGCTATAATATATTTTACTAACTTATACCCGCGACTTCGCTCGCGTAACTGGGATAAAAAATAGCCTATATTCTTCTCTATCACATTATTATTCTCTATCTAGTACGTGTATATAAAATTTCATAATGATTAGATAAGCTGTTAAGGTGCTACAAGGTAACAAACAGACAAATAAACTCATTTTCACATTTATAATAAAGATTTACAATAGTAATACATATGTATTCTAGTAAAACTGTACATGTTTTATATACTTAATTTTAATACATAGTTTATATAATTTTTACATTTATATTTATATATATTCTCTCACCCAAAGTAAAAAAAAATATTGGTATGTTTTAAAGGTAACTATTAGTTTCTTTTTTTTTTATACAACTTAAAATAGTAAACAAGCTGACGGCCCACCTGATGGAAAGTGGTGACCGTCGCCTATAGACATGAGCAGTACCATGGACATAACAGAGTATACTGTTTCGCCCATGATATACCCAATGCGTTGCCATTCCTGAGGACTCAGGTGTTATTCCTCTGTACTTTGTAAATTCACGCCATATCCCACCCTTCAAACCACAGCCATGCAAACACAACTGCTTCACGGTAGAAACACGAATGAAACAAAGGTGCCCAAATAAACGACTTTTGTATAAAGTCTCCATCTGGTTTTTAGCATAGTTGATTTAATTAACGTAATAAATATAGGTAAATAAATGCAACGTCGGTTTGTGCGATGATTCAATAATTACATGATTAATTTAATGTTATATTTTCCTTGAAGTGAGCCATTTAGAATAAAATCCATTTTGTAGTATCAAATTTTAGCACCGACTTATACTTAGCATTTACGATGTAAGTGGCTGGTATGTAGACTCGACATAGACTTCCACATCTCTGTACTGTGTTCGTATATACTTAGGCAGAAACAACAGCTGGCTGAATATTCTTCACAGCCCCAAATCTATATTTAACCGTATGTGTGTAAACATCGCCAGGAAATAAAAAGGCTGTGGGGAAATTAGGATGATGTACAGCATCTGGGTAGACTTGAGTCTCGAGACAGAAGGCCCCGTGACGACGGTAGCCGACACCGTGTTTCCCGACCAGGGCCGGATCGGACGGAGCCGGCAGGAAGTTCGAAGTGTACAGTTGGACTCCAGGCTGGTTGCTGTACACTTCCAAATACCGCCCTGATGGTGGATGTTCCACACGCGATACGAAGTTCAGGCCCTATAAATGAAAATAACAAAGTTTAATCGTCAATGCCCTTTCTATTAAAGAGGCATGAGGGCACCTTATTTCTAAGTCAAACAGATAATTGTGATATATCTATAGATGCATTGTAGTTATCTGTGGTGCCAAAAACAAAGTAGAGAGAATATCACCTTTTTGTCATTTACTTTTTCAATTATGTGTTCAGTCATTAAAACAAAATTGATTTTTAAAAGACTTAAAAATCAATTTTCTTTCAAAATATCCTAACAATACATGATTATAATAAGGAATAACTTGGATGTAATGGACAATAGATTTACCCCCTTATTCATAAAAACGTCAAACAGCTCATAAACGCATTTTAACTATTGAACTGTTTTGTCTCTTTCTTTTACACTAAATTCCTAACTTGAAAGAAAGTGACAAAAGCATTGTAATAGTTATAACAGGTTTGTAGAAGGCTTTAGTTTTTATGAATATGGGATTAGTGTAAACGCCCTTATATATTTCATAATCTAAGGATTAAGGCAAAGGAAGGATTTTTTTCTAAAATACACAGTCCGTAATATCTCTGGCAGTATTGAAATTTGTTCTATAAAATTGTTAGCTATTTCCAAAAGACCTCTCTTAAAATTTAGTTTTTTTTTTTTTGTAAATTTTTAAAGGTAACCGTGTAAAATTATAAGAATGGTCTCAGTCTAATCCTAAAAATTGCTTATAACATTAAGTCCGCCTATTGTAACACATTTAATTGGTCATAAAGTTTAAATAAATAAATAAAAACAGACGTATCATGAGTGTTGTAAATAAATCTATTTTTTGTAGCAAAATCTGATAATATAAACAGTTGTATGGTCCCGGCATAGAATGGGCCATCCTTTCCCTTCCCGTGTATGTTTTACCAGAGAGAGACTTTGTACGAAAGTCGATTGCTTGGGTACCTCTGTCCCATTCGTGTTTCAACCGTGAAGCAGTCGTGTTTGCATGGCTGTGTTTCGGTTTGAAGGGTGGGATATAGCGTGAATTTACTGGGTACAAAGGAATAACACCTGAGTCCTCAGGAATGGCAACGCATGGGGGGTATCATGGGCGAAACAGTATACTCTGTTATGTCCATGGTACTGCTCATGCATGTCTATAGGCGACGGTTACCACTTTCCATCAGGTGGGCCGTCAGCTTGTTAGCCATTCTAAGTTGTATAAAAAAAAGTCATAAGATGAACTAAAGGACCTTAAAGGTCGATGGATGTGCAGCAGCGCCTATCTTAAAACATCACCAAAGCTGTACTGTTGCCAACCCGCCAGCCATACGTGGTTTGGCCGGCGGGCAAAACTTTTTTGTATTTTATTCTTTTATATTTTACTTCTCCGTCTTGTATCCTTAACTTCATACCTTGTTCCCATGTGTAGACACGCAGAAGTTGTCATCGTATAGATCGGGCTGCTTTGTCATGACCTCACTGAAGCTAATGGGTATACGAAGGTCGTATGGCGTGCCGCCTACATCGATAAACTTTCCAGTCGGTATTGAGTCAGAGTCAGTTTCTGTAATTCTGGAAAATACAATATTAAATTTGGCTAATTATTTCTTTAGGCGTTTTTAGACATTTAATACTCCATCTAGATCGCGAACCCTTGGCTTGATCCCTAAGCCTCAACAAGAGGATCGCAAATCTTGAAGCAGTGGAAAATCAACAGTTCCGTAAATACATTAATCAATCAATAATACGTATCTATAACAGACATCGATTACATGCCTGTTTTAGATACTTTATTATTTACTTTATTTTATCGATACCTAACTGTGAATATAAATACATATACATATATATATATATATATATATATATATATATATATATATATATATATATATATATATATATATATATATATTGCACTATATATATATATATATATATATATATATATATATATATATATATATATATATATATAAGGAACACCAACAGCATATATATATATATATATATATATATATATATATATATATATATATATATATATATATATATATATATATATATATATATATATATATATATATATATATATATATATATATATATATATATATTGTACAAAGTGCTTCAGCAATTTATTCCTGTAGGAATTCGAATTATCGTACACTATATCAATTTCAGGTAATTAATTGTATGATGCACATACAGTAACAACAATAAGTTATAACAATGTTAAATCTGCAAATGAATTTTATTATTGAGAATTTTATGAATAAACATTATCTCTAAGAAGGTAACGAGATTTCTATATAAGGTCTGACTATAACTTATCTCTAAAAGAGATTTCTTCCAGTCAACCTAACGCAGTGGCATAGAAAGTAGTGAGTGGGCAGTAGTAATGCTAAACAGAAGTTAAAATAAATATAAATTATACTATAATAAAATTCATACACATTCGAAACCATGGACTGTAGGGGATCGCAAGATATTTTTACATAAAGGGGGTCGCGTCTTGAAAAAGTTTGAAAAATACTGATCTGGATGTATGATCTTTAAGACCTACAGTCTTAGAGATCATATACCTAGATCTCATTATTTTTAGGGTTTGGTACCCAGGTGGTATAAAGGAATAAGACAAATAGTGCGACGTTGTATGTCGCTAAGTCACAATGTTGTATTTTACCTAAATAATTATGAAACCTATGAACTTGGAACAAATTCAAATATTAATTATTCTGAAAGTAATAACTAAAAAAAAATACTATGAGGTTAAAACAGGATGGTCGAACTTTCTAAATAGATCTATTGGTCTAAATCGAGTTTAAAAATTACAATCTGATCCGGGTCTACTTTGAACCGAGTTCAAAAACTTTTTTTTTAATGTTTGTTAGCTCATAACTTCGTCAGTTGTAAACCGATTTTGAATATTCTTTTTTATCTGAAAGGATATACTTACACATTGGTTACATAGAAATTTTATAATTTATTATCAAAATAAAAACTCTCGCATCTCTGAAATTCACTTTACTTTCACAAAAGCGGTTTTTTTTAATGGATGATAAAGGAATGGTAACCCCGCCCGCGCTATCGGTATACACCGGCGGGGCACCAGTGAGGGAATGACAGGTGACGATGAAAGCAGGTCAGTTAGCCCATCGTGGTGAATTCCACTAGAAATAACCACGATGGTTACCAGGGAGAACCACGAGGAGGTCGACCTGATAAGGCGTATTGCTGGCAATGGGTCAACCCCATTATTAACAATCCCTTTCCCCCTTACAAAAGCGGTTGGGCGATTTCGGAAAGTAGTGTGAAGGAACGCTAGTATATGAATTTTTAAAAATAGAACGACATTTATAAATAGCATACAACTATGCTACCCTCACTTGAAAAAACAAAACATGGGGTTCTTCAAAAGGGGGGTAAAGAGGTTTCTTCAGGGTCGGCAACGCGCGCGTAATACCTCTGGTATTGCAGGCGTTCTTAGGCTACGGTAACCGCTTACCATCAGATGGGCCGAATGCTCGTTTGCCACTTCAGTGGTATAAAAAAAACAACAAAACATATTATAGATACCTGTCTGCATTGATGGAAATGACATGTTCGTACAACTCTTGCGCACCAGTTTCGTGGCCGGCCAGGTTGAAGTAAGAGTGGTTGGTCAAATTGACAACAGTCTTCCTTGTAGTGGTGGACTGGAAGGTCACGTGCAAGCTGTCATCGTCCGACACCTGATAGGTAAGGTTGGTGATCAAGTCCCCAGGGTAACCTTCCTCTCCATCCTTGGATAGATAGCTGAAGATAACCTTGGTGCCAACTACGGTTGTTTTCAATACGACCTGTAAATTTGGTAGAGTTATTAAGTTTTTCTTTAAAAGGTAACAATGAAATGGTAACCCTGCCTGCGCTATCGGTATACACTGGCGGGGCACCAGTGTGAGATGATAAGTGACGATAATCATGACGAAATCCACTGCATTTAACCACGATGGTTTCTAGAGGGAAGCGTGTGAAGGTCGCCCTAAAGTATTGCTAGCAATGGGGCAATTGGACCCCATTACTAACAATACTGTACTAACTCCCTGTGTTGAACGTTATTTTTATTTTATAATTCGAATGTTATTATTATTGTTATTATTTATTTTATTATATTTCAAAATTAGAATGTAAATATTGACTTGCCATTGTGTGACGAAAACTGTTATATTTGTTAATAAAGAAATATGATAAGAAACCGACTTCAACTATGGAAAAACCAGTTAATTTAATTTCAAAATTGAACTACTGAATCGATTTTAATTAAAATTTCTCTGCGACTAACCTGTAAATATATCCTTTCCGATAAAAAATATTTTTTCAAATCAATTTATAACTAACGGGGTTATGAGGTAACAAACATAAAAATAAATACAAACTGAGAACCCCTTTTTTTATAAATCAGTCGAAAATTATAAGTATTTAGATTTTTATACCACAAAGGTGGCAAACAAGCATACAGTCTGTCTGATAGTAAACGGTTACTGTAGCCTAATGACGATTAGATAGAGTTAAAGTTATCATTGGTATTAATAAAGATTTGTATTGCTCTGAAATCTAAAATTTGATACTTGTTGTGCATTATTTACTTTATTCTAGATATTGTGGAAATTTAAAAGGTTTTCCAGTAATTTGGATATCAAACGATATGTTGTGTGTAATGAAACGCGAATGAGCAAAAGTAATAGATATATATCTCTCTCTCGCCCCTCCTTTCGGAAGCGCCGATCATGCCAGACGCGTCTCTGTAAGTCTTAATAAAATACATACATTATATATATACTCCTGTTGTTTTTACTTTAATAACCTGCTCCCAACATCACGATAACTTCTGATATCTGTCAACTGTCAACAATCAGATGACAATTATTTTCAACAAATTCAAAAACGCTAAGTCTTTTGCCTTCACTGTTGATAAATAATGCCCGGCCTTTGCTTTACAAAGACTTGTTCTGGTGGCTTAATAAGTTTATATAAAAATAAAGAGATACCCCGCCTCCTGCCATCTATCCTTCAGAACACCGATACTTAACACATAACAGAGTATACTGTGTCACCCATGATACCCCGAAAGTGTTGCCATTTTTAAGAACTAAGTTGTAATATCACTGTACTCTGTAATTTCATAGTCTTATTCTAGCCTTCAAACCGAAACACAGCCATGCACATACAACTGTTTCACGGTAGAAACACTAATGAGACAGAGGTACCCAAGCAATCGACTTTTGTACAAAGTATACATGCACTCTCTGACATGTATTTGTGAAATTTCGCTCGTCTCTTGTAGTGGGCACCAAACAATTCTAGGGTAGACACGTTCACCAGCCCCTCCTCCCTAAAATACCTGGTCAAAACCTATAATCCCTCCGTGAAGATGGTTCGTCCCAACGTTCTTCGCTAGCTGATACTCCGCGCCGTCGATAGTGAAGCTCGCACCACCGATCCGGTTGGCGCACCGTCCGATCGCTCCACCAAAATGTGGTGAATTCTTCTTCACATACCCCTCGAGATCGTCGAAACCCAACACCACATCGCTGATTGTACCATTCCTATCTGGTACCTGGAAATAAAATAGCTTTATAACAAGTATGCTTTGCTATGCTAAAAAGCTATGGAGAGCGCTATGCTCGGTGTTTCATTACATGATAGAATCCGAAACGAGAATATTCGCAAAAGGACCATAGTAACCGACATAGCCCAAAGGATATGCAAGCTGAAATGGCAATGGGCTGGTCACATGGCTCGAAAATCAACAACCGATGGGAGAAGAAAGGTTTTTGAGTGGCGAGCAGTGTAGGACGATCCCCCCACTAGACGGAGTGACGACCTCAAATGCTTTGCAGGGAGTCAGTAAATGCAGGTGGCTCAGAACCGTTCCTTATGGCAGTCTATGTAGAAGGCTTATGTCCAGCAATGAACAGATAATGGCTGAAATAATGATGATGATGAGTACTTTTCGACATAAATTTCATGTATGGATTTTTTTTTATACCACTTAGAATGGCAAACAAGCTGACGGCCCACCTGATGGAAAGTGGTAACCGTCGCCTATAAACATGAGCAGTACCATGGACATAACTTTTTAGTTTAGAGTTTACTGTTACGCCCATGATACCTCCCAGGCGTTGCCATTCCTGAGGACTCAGATGTTATTCCTCTGTACCCTGTAAACCGAAACACAACCATGCAAACACAACTGCTTCACGGTAGAAACACGAATGGGACAGAGGTGCCCAAGCAATCAACTTTTGTACAAAGTCTCCCTCTGGTTTATTTGACTATCCTAATAATATAGCGGTTTAACATACTTCTCACATTCCGATTGTCGCAGGTTCGATACCTGTGCAATACAAACATTTGGATTCATGAGTATGACTGTTTGTATTGGTCCGGGTGTTTTCTATAAATAATACTAGTTACTGCCCGCTACTTCATACGCATAGTTTTAAAAGTAGAATACCCAATTAAATAGATCACGTCTCGGTGGCGTATCAAGATAAAACCTACACCAGACTTTAAATAAAACCTTCAGAAATACAACTGTCAAAACCGCATCCAATTTGGTATAGTATTTTTTGCGTGATACGGGAACAAGCGTACAAACATATAATTAGACAAAACTACTAAATATTGATTTAGTATTTACGTATTGGTTTTATATTCTTATTAAGACCCCTTATATATTTTTTTCTTAAATATCAGTGATATTCAGTTATTTTCTAGTATCCGTTTTATTATATTAGTAAAATGTATGTATTTACGAGACCGTGTGGTCCCGGCATAGAACAGGCCACCCCTTCCTTTCCCGTGGGTGTCGTAAAAAGCGACTAAGAAACGGCGGGGGATAGACAGCAGCGTCCCTTTTAAAACATCGCCAAAGCTTAACTGCGGTTGTCAACCAGCCTGCCAGGCATGACAACTAAGGGCATTCTATGCCAGGACTACACAGTAATACATAACGGCAAAGTAGTGACAATAACTTATTGAATACGCATTTGTGAACAATTATAAAGATGTTAGTACGTTTGTTATACTATTACGCTCAGACGGCTGAACAGATTAGAATGAAATTGGAATCACAATCGATAATTTAGATTAAACTTTATATACTGAATTACGCAGGCAAAGATAGATAGATAGATACTCTTTATTGTTTCCTACAAAAGATTACAATAGTAAACTTATTATAAATATAAATAATAACAAGAAATAATCACAATGAGAAAACAATGGGCGACCTTATCGCTAAGAGCGGTCTCTTCCAGGCAACCTTTGGATGGAGAGGAGTAATTATAAAGCCGCGGTAAGCAACTGAGAAATTCGGTGATAATGAAAACCTACCTTGACGGACTGTATTATTGCACCGTAGGATATAGCAGACAAAGAGAATCCGCTTTCTGTGGTCCACGTAAACTTCTTTACGGTATCCTTCTTAAATGTTCCAAACACCTCTTCATTTAACTTCACCATGGCTTAAATTGTTACTGAAATTAAATTAATCCTTACTTTTTGTATAATTTGGAATAGTTTGCAATTGCCCAGTATGATGGAAAATAGTGAAGGTTGCACGTGGACAACACAGTATACACTGTGACGTCTAATCTAATACCGTGTGATGCCTTCGTATCCCATAATTTGAACTGAAACACAGCTGTTTAATATCATACATACAAAGGTACCCATGCGAAAATATATGGGGTGAGGATTAATAGTGGTGGCGCGAAACAGCCCTATTGCTTGTAATATACCTTGTAATATTTTACCAGAGGGAGGCTTTGTACAAAAGTCGATTGCTTGGGTACCTCTGTCCCATTCAGTTATGTTTGCATGGCTGTGTTTCGGTTTGAAGGGTGGGATATGGCGTGAATTTACAGGGTATAGAGGAATAACACCTAAGTCCTCGGGAATGGCAACGCATGGGGGGTATCATGGGCGAAACAGAATACTCTGTTATGTCCATGGTACTGCTCATGTCTATAGGTGACGGTTACCACTTTCCATCAGGTGGGCCGTCAGCTTGTTTGCCATTCTAAGTTGTATAAAAAAAAAAACCTAAACATGTTGTCCACCTTGAAAACCTCTGAAAATTCTGGTTAACTCGTGGTAAAACCAGTACGACGACCAACTAAACTGACTTCCTCGAGGGAAAGGGATTGTTAGTATTGGAGATCTAATAGCCTCATTGCTACTATATAATATACTCTATATCACGATGATTTCCAGGGGGAACCACGTGGAGGTCGACCTAATATACTGCTAGCAATGGGGCTGTCAAACTCCATTGCTAACAATCCCTTTTCCACAAAAAAATCGAGTATGTATCAACCAAACTAGAATATCAAATAAGTGGTAATAAATAAAGATTATGTCCCACAAAAAAAAAACCGATTACAATTGTGGCAAAACTAAACTATTTATTTTGATTTAAAAACTAAATTACTGAACCCATTTTGATATAATTTGTATGAAGTAAATATATCCTTTCAGATAAAAAAAAAAGAATTTTCTAAATAGGTTTCAAGCTGACTGAGTTATGAGGTAACAAACATTAAAAGAGACACAACACAATTAAAAACTATCTTTTTTAAGTCGATTGATAAAATGTTAATAACTTTTATACAAATTCTCTCACCGGCAAATACGTAAGTAAATTCAATATAAATAATTATAACATACAGAAAGACACCTTAATTATAAAACTCTAAGAACTACTAAAATAAATTAGAACCAATTAGAAAAATCATAACTTCCACCTTATCTTAATAAAGACATCTGAAAAGTATGAAGATACCTATCCAAATTGAAAATAATTTACATACCTAACATTTATACCTTAACAGATCCTACCTAATTACTGTTTAGATAACATGACATTTATAATCGGTTCAAATAGGACTCACAGTTCTCAATTACTTCAAATATTATAATTTTTTCATGTCTTTTATTTGTCTAATAACAGAATTGAATGATAACAATACTCACGAACGTCGTCCGGTCACCGCAAATAATATAATACAATGATGTGAAGTTGATAACGCATGTGGCATTTATAGAATGAAGATAGCCACGTTTGATTGATAACGTAAGTGTAACTAAAAGTGTAACGACCTATATTAAGTACAGAGTACTTTTTTTTATACTGATACAATGTCTATGGTAGCGACGCAGTATGATCATTCTTTTTTTATAGATGTAAATGAAATGGTAACCCCGCCTACGCTATCGATATACGCTGGCGGAGCACCAATGAAATGATAGGCGAGGACGAAAGCAAATAGCTCATCATAACGAATTCGACAAGAATTAACTACGATAGTGCCCAGGGAAACCGCAGTTTAATTGGTAAAATGCGTCTTTTAAAAAAAAGCTAATAACTAATAATACATAAAAAAATATGATAGAGCTAAGCCAGCCAATGTTATGGGGAAAAGGGATTGTTAGTAATGAAGACTGAGAATCCATTGCTAGCAGTATACCCAACCAGGTCGACCTCCTCGCGGTTCTCCCTGGAAACTATCATGGTTAATTCCTGATGAATTCATCATGATAGGCTAACTGGCCTGTTTTCATTCTCATCTATCACCCTTCACTGGTGCTCCGCCAGCGTATCCCGTTAGCGCAGGTGGGGTCACCATACCATTTTCAACCATCCAAAAAAAAAAAGCCAGCCCATGTACAAAGGCGAGATTACCTCTCGATTGTTTTGTTTACCGTTTAAGTTGATATTTTCAAAAGTCCTTTCTTACTGGATTCTTACATTACTATATAAATTACAGTTTTTTTAGATACAGTAATTTTGGCTGTGTAATGATATATCAATCAGAAGAAACGACTTTTTAAGTATATATGTTTATAAAACCCCTATATAAAGTTACTCAAGGATTACAAAATCTAGAAGATAGTGAGCCCATCTTGAACTAAAACATTTTATTATTAACCTCCTCAAAAAACAGTAGGTTATTTGTGTTTCGCCTATCCAACTATTAGCCATATCAGGATTGTTGCTGACCATTACGTTCCCTTAGTCGCCTCTTGCGACACCTACGGAAAAGGAAGGGATATGTACGTACGGCATATATATATTACTATACTATTTACTAGCACTATTATACCTACTTGTACAACAATTAGTCCATTACCTAAAGGTTGTCTTGAAAAGATTGCTCTCAGCAATAAGACCGCCTTACTGTACTTATACAATTGTATCGTTATGCTTGTAAATTGTCTTACTTATTTTCTATATTGTATAATGCAAATAAAGTATACTCATTCATTCATTCATTCATATATATAATAAAATACACAAATGTAATATACGATTGATTTACAATTTTCAAAAGATCTACAATATTGAAGTCAGTAACAATTAAACAAAATTACTTTTGCTTAATCAATACAATGGTATAATATCTGTTACATTTTATGCGGTATGATGTTGCGATAGTTAAGTAAGCATATAGGCCAATGTGGTTTTACTTTATATAAATATGATTATGTTTATAATATTAACAATGTAAAAAGATAAGTCTCAATAAAAAATAACTGACTGATTCGTCTTTGCTGGTCGAAAGTTTACTATATTCTTTGTATTTAATTATTTTAATAAAACTATGAACTAAGTAATGAAAAAAAATAATAATAATGTAAATAATAATAATAATATAAATGTAAATATTTGATTAACATGCCTCTCATCCTTACAATACCTATTCAAACAAGCTATGAGTAAAAAAAATTGCTTACTCAACTGATATTATATTTTTCAAAAATAAGTTGATATTAAGAGTTTTAAATAGAGTATTGAAGTCAATACTTTTTCTTATTACTTGCACAAGTCATAAAAGGAATGTACTGTCTAAATTTTGCACTTCTAGCCTTAGTAGTTTCGGCTGTACGTTTTTTCTTCATTTTATCCCTTCTTTAACACACTCAGGGGTTAAATTAAAAAAAAAATGCCGAAATTTGATAAAAATAATTTTTACTTAACAGTATTTATGGTAAATTTTAACAATCTAGCAGGTAAAAAAGAAAAAAATCCACATAAAAGTCCGACCTCAGATTTATTTTATTTCAATAGGTACACATTACAGAGAATTAACATGGTTACATTAATTAATTAATTAATTAATACAGTACAATAATGTTTTGTTCAAGCTAACCCTCCAAAAATATGCGTACACAGCATGATCAAAACATAAACACACAGCTAAACAAGTCTGTAAACACAATATAATTTATACAACAAAAAAATATTTAACTTATACATTAACAATTATAAAGGTAAATATACAAACACATGGATAATCATATACATATATAATAATAATAAATAAATATATACGGACAAATCACACAGAATGAGCTAGCCCCAAAGTAAGTTCGAGACTTGTGCTATGGGATACTAACTCAACGATACTATATTTATAATAGATACATATATAGATAAACATCCAAGACCCAGGACAATCAGGAAAAGATCGTTTTCCATCATGACCTGGCCGGGGATCGAACCCGGGGCCTCCACGTCGCAGGCAGGCGTGTTGACCGCTGCGCCACGGAGGACGACATATATATATATATACACATACATATATATATATCACACACATATATACACACACACACACACACACACACACACACATGCACACATACCTTATTATATTATACATTTACACACTTATAGTCCGAATTTCCAAATATTCTTGTTATTTTTGTAGATTATAAAAGAAAATTACCGTCAACATTTGTTAATTATAACTTCAGTAGTTTCGGCTGTGCGTTGATGAATTATTCAGGATTTTCTCTTTATAATACTACCTTATGAACTATGTACATTTACAGATCATTCATTCACCTTTCATTTATTGGATATGTAAATTGACATCATACTATGATGTCTTTATATATATTTTTTTTTTGGAAAACGTTCAGCTGAATTACAGTCAATACTCGTACATAATGAAATTTATATCTGTGTTAAGCTATGAATCGTTTTCACATTTGCGCAATGACACAATTGATCGGTTTGTATATATGCAAAATATATACATACAAACATATACACTCATATACATATACACACATATACATATATATACATATACATTCACACGCATATATACACATATCCATAATAATTAAAAAGTTATAAATTTTGATAAGACACCTTTTAGCTTAATATATAATAACAAAACAAAAGCAATATAAAGCAAAACAACATTACTAAAATAGTCAATTAGGTGCAGCAGGACGAGAACCAAGGAATGATTCTGCTACATGCAATTTAATTGCATGCGGTTTTGTGTGGAACAGATCAATATCATGGTCAAACAATAATTTGTTAAACTTAACTGGAGCTCTGCAGAAATATGAATTTCGTCTAAAGTTGGTTCTGTAACGTGTCATTACACTAAAGATCTTATAAATAAATAATCATAACCTGGCAGTGTACTGTATTTTATTACATAAAATAGTAAATATTTAAGAATAAGTACTACACAAGGTGGTCTTACAATAATCTCAATGCACACACAAACATTATCATGTTAATTTCATCCTTGATTTATTCTTAAGTACATTGGTAATGATTAACTTATAGGTTATTTTTTGAAAATAACATTTATAGGCAATTATCTATTAAGTAAAACATTTCTATTTTTAACCAACATCAAAAAGCGGAGATTTCCAATTCAACTACTATTTATTTATTTATTTATTTATTTACACTTTATTGCACCAAATAAAAAGAGAAATAACAAATACAGTAAATATTAATGAGAAGTGATACAAAAGGCGGCCTTATCGCTAAGCAATCTCTTCCAGACAACCTTTGGGTAGAGGACATTGAGAAAAAGACAAAGAGTAGGTGGCGCACTATTATATAAATATTATCATATACAAACATATATAGATACATACATACATACATACATATATACACATACATATATAATATATACACAATTAAATATATACATAACATACATACATACATACACATACATATATAATATATACACAATTAAATATATACATAACATACACATACTTAACAGCATACATACAACAGAAAAAAATGACGAAGGAAAACGAAGAGAGAATACAGGAAAATAGTACTAAAGTGAGAGGTAGTAAGATTTAACAGAGGTTTTGAAGCTAGTAAGAGTTTGAGCGCACCGAATAGAGGTAGGTAGTGAGTTCCATAGACGAACTGCCTGAACAGTAAAGGATTTAGAATAAAAGGAAGAGAAGAATGAATAAAGAGAAGAATGAGTGGGAAATTTAAGTCGGAGGTTATTGACACTGCGTAAAGTATGATCATTAGCCTCACTGAGAAACAAGAATCGGTCTTTTAGATAATCAGGAGCAGCAGGATTAAAAAGGATTGTGTAAAGAAGAGACAGGATATGCAGATTACGACGAAAACGGATAGAGAGCTACTTGAGTTGAGTACGAAATTGAGAAATGTGATCATATTTGCGAAGACCAAATATGAAGCGGATACATAAATTTTGGAGACGCTCAAGCTTGTTTAATTGCTCTTCGGTGAGGTCTAAATAATATTCTATTTACAATTTACAATTTTGTATTATATTAATCGATATCATTTTCAATTGTGAGTTAGATTAGAATATTTTTTTTTACCACAAAATTATTTATAATTTTGTGGTGTGTTTATAATTACTCCTCTCCATCCAAAGGTTGCCTGGAAGAGATCGCTCTTAGCGATAAGGCTGCCCATTGTTTTCTCATTGTGATTATTTCTTGTAATTGTTTATATTTATAATAAGTTTACTACTGTAATCTTTTGGAGGAAACAATAAAGAGTATCTATCTATCTATCTATCTATAATCTTGATTGATGTTACTTGATGAAGCAAAATTTTTAAATTATAAAGAGATTACATTAGCCGTTGACCTACACATAATAATATTATTTTACAGACTAAATAATTAAATATCAAAATTAGAAACAATTTCACAATAGGTCCGTCACGAACTCCCCCGGCTACAGATTGAGGGTCCGCCTGATGAAAAGAGATCTTACAGGGCATTCTTCTAGTCAATTTGAGAACACGTAAGGAGAATGTATGTATAGGGTTTGTATTTGTATAATAGAATTTAGCATTCACTCCCATTCAGGGCGTATCATTTCTCACACAGTCCATCCATGTCTTTTTAGGTTTTCCTCTGCCCTTATAGCCAATTAATTCCATTTCTAATACCTTTTTTAAAATATGCTTATCATTTCTGCGTATCACGTGTCCATGCCAGGAGGAACGGTTACTTTTTAACTTTTTTATCACTGGCGCTTTTTTCATACATCCACTGAAATAATCATTTTTAATTTTGTGCATTCTTGTACCACACATGCACCTCACCATTCGCCTCTCAGCTACGTACAGTCGCCTTTCGTCTATCACCTTTGTTGTCCAACACTCTAATCCGTACAAGACAACAGGCTGGAATATGCTCTTGTAAATTTTCTCCTTTAATTTAAAGGAAATTCGCGAGTCACATCTGGTTGCCATAACCTGCCGCCATTTCATCCATCTTAAGTTAATTCGGTGCTTTACTGTTCGGTCTAATTCACCATCGCTTTGTAGGAGTGAACCTAGGAACCGGAAATCGGGGTAGACTGGTATAATAGTATCGTCAAGCTTTATGACTTCCGAACTAAAGGGACCGCCGAAATTGCACAACATGTATTTAGTTCTGATTCTGCTGATTTTCAAACCAAAACTCTCTAGACTTTGTTGCCACTCTACCAGTCCACTCTGAACCTTAGTTTTATTCTCAACGACAAGAATAATGTTGTCGGCAAATAGCATACACCATCCTCCTTTAGATGCGATGTCAAAGCATCTATCACCAACAAGAAGAGGTAAGGGCTTAATGCTGATCCCTGGTGCAACCCCACGGCTGCATTAAACTCATCGGTGTTGCCAGCGGCCGATCGAACATATGCAAGAGATTGACAGTATATAGCCTGAATTAACTCCACATACTTAACAGGTATACTTTTTTTTCAGGGCCCACCATCAAACCGTTCGGTGTACTTTGTCATATAGCTTTTCTTGGACCACAAACACCATATCCAAGTTCTTATGAACACGTCTGAACTTTTCACATAATTGACGCAGTAAAAATATGGCGTCTGTGGTACTCCGACCTGGCATAAAACCGAACTGATTTTGGGTTACCACTAATAAAGGTATTTTAAAGCAAGATAGATATCATGTTAATCACAGTTTAAATTCCAATATTAGCAAATTATTCTTATAAGACTTCTCTTTTTGCGTCAGGGTTTAAAAAAGTAGCAAGAGTGACGTATCTCGATTTTGAGCTAAACATTCAAATAGGATATTTCGTCGGCGATTCCGCACACATTGTGTCCAATCGCAATCTTAACATAACCCTCGTCTCCAAAGTCTTCACCCCACGAGTTCTTGACTATATAATACGGGGTCGAAGCTGTCAGATCGTAGCCTACAATCTGAATGACGTGGTTCAGATATCTTTCAGCGCCCCTGCAAAAGAAACCCTATATAATTATGTATTTGTATAAAGTCAAATCGATAATTCTTATTAATATTAAATGTAAAAGTGAGTTTGTTTTTAACCTTCTTTAACGACTTCAATAATCACTATGAAATTTTATTTATACACGTACAAAAATAAAGATAAAGATAAATAAAGATGGATAAAGATATTGACTACTTTTTATTCCGTTCAGTAAACATATCACTATCACGCAGATAAAGTCGCGGGTAAAAGGTAATATTAGCACAATCTTAAAAGGTTGAAGTTCTACAGGTTCTAAACTAAACATGTTCCTAAAGGAACATGGATTGAAAAACAACAAAGTATTTACTACGTCGGATACTAATATCTCATAAATATTATGGTTTCTTCACTAACCTGCTTACCCAGCATTGTGACTTATGAGCGTAAACTCTCTAAGGAAAAGGACCAATAATGCGTCAAGTCCCGGTGCGAAAAGTGGAAAATCACATATTGACAGACATTTTTTTTATACAACTTAGAATGGCAAACAAGCTGACGGCCCACCTGATGGAAAGTGGTAACCGTCGCCTATAGACGTGAGCAGTACCATGGACATAACAGAGTATACTGTTTCGCCCATGATACCCGCCATGCGTTACCATTCCTGAGGACTCAGGTGTTATTCCTCTGTACCCAGTAAATTCACGCCATATCCCATCCTTCAAACCGAAACACAGCCATGCAAACACAACTGCTTCCCGGTTGAAACACAAATGGAACAGAGGTACCTAAGCAATCGACTTTTGTTGCATACTTACAGACAGCCCTTATGTATCACTCCGCCAACATAGTGCTGCCAAAGTTTGGCGTTCACAACCGCTATGAGCGTGCCATGCTTCGCGAGTAGACGAAGCATCTCCTCTTCTTGTGCGTTACTGGAAGGGAAGAAGAATTATTCAATATGAATTAATTTTCAATTTGGTGTAGTAAGGCAAAGCCGCAAGATACAGTTAGCAAAGAATAACTGAAACTAGAAATTACTAGAAAGATATAACTACTAAATAAGTATATTTCTTATCAAAATTCATTACCAAAGGGAGACTTTATAAAAAAAGTCGTCTTCTTGGGTACCTCTGTCAGTGTTTCTACCGTGAAGTAATTGTTTTTGCATGGCTGTGTTTCGGTTGAAGAAGCACTTACAGGGTATATTTAGTATTAAAAACAATTTAGTCCTCAAAAATGGCAACACATGAGAGATATTATGGATGACACGGTATATTCTGCTATGTCCATGGTACAGTTCATGTCTATAGGCGACATTTACCACTATCAATTAGATGGGCCGTCAGCATGTAAGCCATTATAAATGACATCAAAAAATTTCAAGACACCTCGTTATAAAGACAATGCGCTCTAAAATTAGTCATTCGCATTTTTGATGTCGGACGATTAACACTAATTCCCAAACAGTAACTAATAATATACGTGAAGATGCGTCGTTTAGAGGTGAAACATATATTGCAAAACGTACGTGGACTAATTAGTAGTTTGACATTGATGGCTAATAAGGAAGGTTGTAGAACTTCTGGTAGTAATGATGGTAGTCAATTTATTTATAGGATTACCAACATAAGTTACAGCTAAACATTTTAATACAATACACTGGTAGATTAGATCTAACTGTTCTTACATTTATGTATAGGCAACCACAGCACGCCTTGTGTTTGATAAACATTAAAATATAATTAAATTATTAAATGTCATTATATGAGTAAAGATATTAACAATATGAATAATAATATAATATAAATAATGGAAATTGTATTTAAATTATTATAAATTATAAATAAATATATGTATATCTGTGAGTCTACAGTCACAAACATACTAATGGTAGAGAAGTTAAACAAAATAATTCTGTTCAAATAACCAGCGATATGAACTTCCACAAGATAACACCTAGTTCAGTAAAATATTCATTAAAAAAAAACTTACCACAAATCCGTGTAATCTGTGACCAGTACGCCGTTCGGTCGGCCACGGATTTTGCAGGTTTGGTCTACCAGCAACAGAGGATACTGTTCCTCAGTGACGATTGGCAGGCGACTCTTTTTCAAATACTCAAGAGCAGTTGACGGTTTTCCACCTCGACAGCCGTCATTACGCTTTGAACAGTCGATTAGTTCCTAAAAATATAACTGTGTATGTTATGAATGAAAGAATGAAAAGTGTTATTCCCTTTAAAAAATAATACAGCATACAAAGGTTAACGATATGTACACCAAAAAAATGATTAATTGCAAAAAGCAAAACCAAAGGGAGACTTTGTACAAAAGTCGATTGCTTTGTACCTCTGTCCCATTCGTGTTTCTACCGTGAAGCAGTTGTGTTTGCATAGTTGTGTTTCGGTTTGAATAGTGGGATCTGACGTGAATTTACAGGGTACAGAGGAATAACACCCGAGTCCTCAGGAATGGCAACGCATGGGGGTATCATAGGCGAAACAGTATACTCTGTTATGTTCATGGTACTGCTCATGTCTATAGGCGACGGTTACCACTTTGCATCAGGTGGGCCGTTAGCTTGTTTGCCATTCTAAGTTGTATAAAACAAAAATGAGGAGGATTGTGCCAGTAGTTGCCACGCTTAGCAAACGTTTTGACAATCGCAGTTAAGGATTTGATGATGTTTACGTCATAACTGCTTAGAGGGCACTGCTGCGTATCCTTCGACCATTAAGTTTCCTTAGTCACCTCTTACGACACCCACGGGAAAGGAAGGGGTAGCCCATTCTATACCGGGATCACACGGCAAAGTTTTACGGAAAATAGTCAATTTCAGTCATGTTTGCTCTACGCTAATTGCTTATTTCATTTAATTTTGTCGATCTCTGTGGAACAGTGGTGAGTTGCTTTGTGTAGACAAAGTCCCAGGTGACCTACCATGAAATAAAATTCCGAATTTTCGGGCTCAATTTCGTGTATTTGTTTGTACCAAAATCGACCCAGTAAATGGAGCTTAACATTTCGTTCATCATAAATCCTATCCTAATAGTTCAGAGGAACGATATATTAACATTTTTTATCATTTTAAACGGCATCTATTATGCAATTTTAATATCAAATTTCTGTTTCGTTTGTCCCCGAAATTTCGAAAAATATTTCAATGTTCCTCAGGTTCGTATCCCGATCAGGCCAATTTAGGAAACGAACTTTTCTAAATCGGCTCGGGTCTGAGTGTTCTGGGCTATTCTCTCCTGATGTTTGTTGTCTGATTTCTCGAAACACAGTGTATCCTAATTTAAGACCCAAGCGATTGGTGTAATTGTAAAAAAAATCAGAACAAATTGTAATTTTTACATGAGAATGTGACTCTATTATTAAGTATTATCTATTATTCTCATCTTCACATGTATCTTATATATGTGTAAGTATATTTATTATTCATTTGTTCATATATGTAAATGTCAGTACATATATATGGGGAAAAAGGATTGTTAGTAACAGGAACTTATGATCCCATTGCTAGAAAAAATAATCTTTATGAATTCTTTATGAATTCGTCACTATGGGCCAACTGACCTGCTTTAATCCTCTTCCATCATCTCTCACTGGTTCCCCGTCAACGTACACCGATAACGCAGACGGGGTTACCATTCCACTATCGCTCATTAAAAAAAATATATGTATGTATATCAATTACTACTAATACCGCATTCCAGTATTCTTACGCTTTCCTAAGGTTAACTGGGAGAGAATACTTTTAAGTCCGCCTTGTACATGTACTAATGAATAAATAAATAAATCTAGGGTTTTTATAACTATGTAAAAATTATTAGAGTTCACCTGAATACTTAATTTGGTGAGAGGTCGCATGGTACCATTTTTCTGCAAACCAATGGCTAACATTGTTTCCATAACGCCCACGATACTTATAGCCCAGCATCCGCTACACATTTTTTGATCCAGGATGGGCCCCACAACGCCCTTTTGTCTCCTGCAACATTGCAAATATAAGGGGGGAAAGGGTTATTAGTAATAGAAAGCTTAGTCGTCAGCATCAAGACGCCCTGTCTCCCTATGGTTTTCTCTGAAAACCATCGTGGTTTATTTTTGGTGCATTCGTCACGATGGGCTAACTGACTTTACACTCTTTTGTTGGAAAGGTGCATCTACTCAATTGATGAATTTTAAAACACTTTTAATATTTTATGCCTTACTGATGACATTTGTAAACTGATTGTAATGTTATTTTTGACAATTATTATTGGATATTTTGTTGCTTCATATTTTTTTGTTTTGTTATATTTTATAATATCTTTTTGTCACTTGAAAAAATATTCAACACAATGCTGTATTGTAGCGAATAAAAAATAAATTGAAAATTGAAATTGACCTGTTTTTATCCTAATCCGTTATTATTTACTGATACCCCACCTCACACTGTTAGCGCAGAAAAGATTACCACTTTCATTGTCATCTATTAAAAAAAATCATATTTGAATTAAAATAATTTGAACTAAACCCACTTATTTTAACTATTGAATAATTTTCTCTCTTTCCTTCGCTCTAAATTGCTAATCCGAAAAAAGTGATAAAACAGTTATGTTAGCTTTGTAGGAAGGGTTGATTTTTTTATGAATAAGAATTATTTTTTACTATATTTTTATTATATAACACTATGAGTAGTAAACAAGTGAGACTTTTTTTATAAATACATATATAATATAAATATATAGAAAACACTCAGTTATACATATGTACAAAATGTTAGTATTGTGTTGGGATTAAACCCACAACCATGGAGAGATAAGGTGATATGTTAAACCGCTACACCGCCAAAATTGTCATCGATCGTCACAAAATTGATCCCATAATATGACTGTATTGCAACATACATATACGCATAACGTATTAGAACATATTTATGACGAGACTACGGTAAAAAAAATTCTTTTAATTTCGGGTACGGCATAAAATTTGAGTTCTATAATTTAAAATTGTTTTCCACAAAAAAAAAACTGACTTCAATTGTGACAAAAAAGTTATTTCGATTTAAAACTAAACTACTGAATCGAATTTGATACAATTTCTATGGAAGCAATCTGAAAGATATATCCTTTATCACTATGTTGCGCGGCAACTGAGGAACTATGGCCTGGAAAGTAATAACATACAGTACACATCTTTCACATGGATTACACTACACACATTCACACATACTCACGAACATTCCCACATTCATTTATTCAACTTCGTTTCTCTTAAGGGCATATATTATTAGTGTTTTATAATTGCTTGTGTATCTATATTGTTGATTTTATTACTTTTTTCACTATTTCAATTTTATATTCCTTTTTATATTAATACCCGCACACTATGTACTTTTTATTACAACACATTTGTGATTTGTTAATCTTTGTCGGGTGCCCACGATACAGGCTCGCTGTGGGGCGCATTGTATCTTGTTTTTGTAACTTTGTGTTTTTGTCAAATAATAATAAATAAATAAATAAATTTTAGATAAAAAAAAAACAATTTGCCAAATCGATTTTGAATTGACAGATTGAAGAATATAAAGTAATAAACATGAAAAATAATAATAATACCTACAACCGAATTAAGAACCTCTTTTTTATGTTGTTTAAAAATTACTTTTGATATGGTTGAATTTTGATAGAATATAAAGTAAGGTGATAAACATACACGAACAAACGGTACAGCTGTTGAGTAAATAAGATAAGTATGTGCTATCTATCTCTTATCGTTTATCATACGTAAAGCGACAGGTATGATTTAACCGCAGTAACGTTAGTTATATTTATGTTAGTTTTTTTTTTTATATCTAATGCGAAATAAAGAATGTCTATAAAAAACTGCTTTCAGGGTAAGGCCTCCTTTTGTATATTCACATTCTGTATATATATATACAGGTGATAATGAAATGGTAGCCCCGCCTGCTCTAACGGTATGCGCTATATACTGGCGGGACACCAGTAATAAACGTTGAGAACGAAAAGGCAGGTCAGTTGGCTCATCGTGATGAATACATATCGAATTAAGCACAATGGTTTCCAGGGAGGCCATGTGAGAGTCGACCTGACAGGGCACATTGCTAGCAATGGGACTTGTAGTCCGCATTACTAACAATTCCTTACCCCCTACACATAAAGAATATCATGGTGACATAGTATACTCTGTTATGTCGATGGTACTATTCGTGTCTATAGATGACGGTTGCCACTTTCCATCAGGTTGGCCGTCAGCTTATTTGACAATCTAAATTGCATCAAAAAGTGTCTAATAAGATTAGCAAGATTAGTAGGGGTTACTTACCAATCCATCATCTTCGGTATATTCAGCTCCTCGTACGATGAAAATGATCGTCTTGATGATTTCTTGCATGATGACATCATCTTCGTCAGCATTACTTTAGCAAATTCCTCTTCACTCCAGTCCGAATATTTAGAATGTCCGTACACAGCCGACTCAACATTCAAACTGTTCTCCAATTTGTTAAGCCGAATAATCTCCAATGTTGAATTCTGTAAATTATTACGTAAATAAATATTAAAACAGTATAAGGTGAATTTTGAAGGACGACTTTCCAAGTAAACTAAATCAGTAATTCCGTAGTTAGACCCATGTTTTAGGTAGGGCAAAAAAGTTTTTTGGTAGGCCAGAAGCCATAATTAAGCTACTTCGGACAAGCGAATCTGTCTAATTCTTTCTTGGGGCCTTAAATTTTAAGGTAGGACATTGCCTCTCAATCCCCCCCTCCAGTTACGGCCATGTACAATAGTTACTTTATCACATAATGCTTATCGTTGTGTTAATTACATATTAGTTTTTTTTATAACAGGGGGCAAATGAGTATGCGGCTCACCTGATGGTAAGTGACTACTGCCGCCCATGACCACCCACAACACCAAAAGCATTGCGGGTGTGCTGCTGGCCTTTTAAAAAGGAATATAATAATGCTCTTTTCTTGAAGGTTATGATGTCGTATCAGTTAGGAAATACAGCTGCCGGAAGTTGATTCCAAACAGTGGTGAAAAACGCACGGTGGAAAACCGCCACTCGTTCAGATGGTTGGGATAAAACTTTAGTTTGTGTAGTATATTAATATATATTAAAAAAATTGTTTATATAATTTAATGTGTATTTCCTATGTATTATGTGTATGTATAATTATTTTAGTATGTTACAATAATGACGTCACTTCGTTCTAGTCACCACTGCCCTTCATACGCTTTCTGTTTTTACCTAATGATTAACTGGTAGAGAATGCTATATTATATGTCTTTAAGATCGCTGCTTGTATAAAGTTTTATTATGCAATAAAAAATAAAGAATAATACAATTATATGAATTATTAATAAATAAATAATACTTAAAAAAAGTTTTTGTTAAGTACTAACATTTTGCTCGCTACTTTGTACCATTTCTAGATGGCGTATCAAGATGAGACATACGTCAGATTTTAAGTTAGAAAAATTTCAAGGACACAACTGTGAAAACCATACCTAATTTGGTGGAATAATTTTTAATGATGCCGGTACAAACATACAGACAGTCAGACAGACAAAATTTCTAAAAATTATTATTTTGGCATCATTATTGGTTTTAGTCTTTCTTTCCCCTCATATTATTTTTTCCAAATATCTCCTATGTCATGTGTCTATAGGGACATTATCTAGCTACATTTTTTTTAATGCAACTTTGAATGGCAAACAAGCTAAGGGAGCACCTGATGGAAAGTGGTAACCTGAGCAGTACTATGGGCATAACAGAGGATACTGTTTCGTCCATGACACTCCCCATGCGTTGCCCTGTAAATTCACTGCCATATCTCCACCCTTCAAACCGAAACACAGCCATGCAAACATAACTGCTTCACGGTAGAAACACGAATGAGATAGAGGTGCCCAAGCAAACGACTTTTGTACAAAGTCTTCCTCTTTTTTACAAATACATTGCAATTTAAGATACTAAATGCATTACAAAATACATTGTTATGTAAATGCACCTCGTTTTTTTTTTAATGGATGATAATGGAATGGTAATCCCGCCTGCTCTATCGGTATACACTGACAGGGCACCAGTGAAGTATGATAGGTGAGGATGAAGTAGGTCAGTTAGCCCATCATGACGAACTCAACAAGAATTGTTCACGATGGTTTACAGGGAGAACCACGTGGAGGTCGACCTAATAGGGCATATTGCTAGCATTGGCGCTGTCAAACTCTATTGCTAACAATCCCTTTCCCCCCTACATGCACCTCGTTAGGTACAGCAACCTGGGGAGAGAGGCAGTCATTAAATCAGTTTATTTTTTGGATACTCATCAATATAATAATACGCTTTATTAATTAAAAATAGTTTTCATATGCTGATAAACTTATTAAAAATTCGTAATATCTTGCCATATAATATAAAAATAGAAAATATGTATAATAACACGCAGTACGGTTCACAGCTATATATTTGTAATTTTGCAATCCATATTATCATTAGTGTAATAAAATGTAAAATAAATAAATATATTTTATTCCTAAAATGTCTACCTAGTGTTTGATAACGTTAAGTAATTTATACCTACAGTTGGAGCCGCAATGAGCAACGGAAATGATTCAGATTATATGTATTTCAGCTGCTCTTAAATAATACAAGATAATTTTCATACCAGTATGTTATTAATTAATATATAAAACGTTATTTCTATATTATAAATGTTATAATATATTAAAATGGGGGGAAGGGGATTGTTAGTGATGGAAACTGAGAATCCCATTGCTAGCAATATACCCAACCAGGTCGACCTCCTTGCGGTTCTCCCTGGAAACTATCATGGTTAATTCCTGATGAATTCATTATGATAGGCTAACTGGCCTGTTTTCGTTCCCATCTATCACCCTTCACTGGTGCTCCGCCAGCGTATCCCGTTAGCGCAGGCAGGGTTACCATACCATTTATTGCACAATTTAACTTTGTACACAGGGCGAGCTTAATGAATAGGGCATTCTCTACCAGCTAACCATTAGGTAAGAACAGAAAGCATAGGAAGAGCAATAATTATATATATATATATATATATATATATATATATATATATATATATATATATATATATATATAAAACAACAATAAGCATTATGAAATATAGTATCTATTGAGTAAATTGTAGTTAGAACTAGTTTTATTGACTCGAAAAATAATTGAAAGGTATTCTTTTAAGAATTGGCTTAGGTACTGGGTGCTGGGTTAAATACGTATCAAAGTACTCTTTCTTAGGCATTAAATATATATTTAAACAAGCATTTCAATCTCAGCGAGATGTTTTATAACAATATTAATTTTTCTATAGAAAATGTGTAATGGGTGAAGTCGAGTTTCTCAAACACAATAATAACAAGTAATAATAATATATTAATATATATAATAGAATATTATAATAGGTGCCAATATTTTAATTTTTTATGCAACTTAGAATGGCAAGCAAGCTGACGGCCCACCTGATGGAAAGTGGTAACCATCGCCTATAGACATGAGCAGTACCAAGGACTTAACAGAGTATACTATTTCGCCCATGATAACCTTATGCGTTGCCATTCCTGAGGACTCGGGTGTTATTCCTCTATAACCTGTAAAGTGCCCAAACAAACAACTTTTGTACAAAGTCTCCTTCTGGTATAAATTTATTAGCTTCTGTATAACTCTTGATAATTATTTTTCAATAACTTAGGTTAAGCCACATTGTTATGTACAAAACATTGGTTTTTTTTTTTTATATTTCAACAAATTATATGCGATTTATTTGACAAAATTGGAATAAATCGCATCAAAACAATTTGATGTAACTTAAATACATGTAAGTACATGTTCGAGTTACTGAATTTTATACATATTTCATAACCATTTCAACCAACATAATTACATGTGGCTACATGTCGTCCAACACATGTTTTGCAAAATTTACCAGGAAAAGATTTCGTATAGATACCTCTGTCCACTAGTGTTTCTTCCGTGAAACAGTTGTTTGTATTGCTGCGTTTCGATTTAAAAGGTGGAATATGGCAATGAGATTACAGGGTACAGAGACATAACAGCTGAATCCTCAAAAATAGCTACGCAAGAAAAGTATCAAGGACTTCACGATATACTGTGTGATGTCCATGATACTGTTCATGCCTATATGACGGTTACCATTTTCCATCAAGTGGCCCGTCATCAGCTTGTTTGATTTTCTATGTTGCATAAAAAAATCGATTCCGAAACTAATCGAGTCTTTTCGATATAATTACAAGTAAATTAAACCGGTAGTTATTAAATTAAAATAAAATGTAAAATAAAAAACGAAACTTTTAACAATAAAATAAAAAATAAAAATTAGAACAAATAGGGTTTATGAAAAAATGCCACAACTTCTCAGTCATTTTCCACTCCCTGTACTCAAAAGGTGATACTCTGTAACAGCTAACATTTGCATCAGCCAAAAATTGCACAATATTAGATGTTAATCTTAATTTTTGATACATTAAAAGACATGATAATCATTAGTGCATCGAGGCTGAACAAACATTGATGCAGTTTCTACAGAGCGATTTTGAAACAAAAAATACTATTTTAAATTAGTTAATAATTTTAATTGTGTTTTACTATTAGACTGCCGTCGTTTGTTAGAAATAAATATCATTCAACCTTAAATGATATTTGTGAAGGTGAAGAAAAGACATAGAAACCAAGCATTAGACACTTACGGACAATATATATTCGGAAGAAAGAATATAGATATAGTGAATATTATAGTGCAATAGAAAGAGCTAGCAGATGTTAGATAGATGAAATTTAGATTATAGGGAAAGGGATATATATAAAAAAAAGTAAGATCCATGTGGTAGACCTACCAATTTAGCGATTAGGAAACATTTGTGCTTCCATAATCCCACATTTTTAAACATAAGAATCGTTCGAACAAGGATTACAATGTTCTCTGTTATAAAGAATCACCCCCTGGTACCTTCCTAGTTACATACCTTATAAATTTTTAAACGGCGAAAATATTCATTAGAGTCGTAGTTTTTCTTAAATTTTTCCATGTAATTAGAAAAATTTTCAATATCTGTTAATTTGTGTGAATCACTGGGCCTTGATATATCTTTCAGATAGTTCTTTCCATAAATACATATACCTAGTACCAACAATGCTGACAGAAATACAGAAATAATCGTATTTGCATTACACTTGTTGGTCATTATTTATATTCTCAATTCTTTTTTTTTTTTTCAATTACAATCGATCGCTCTTTTTGGCTGCGCGCACTGCAGGTACAGTATCCCGACCAGCTGTATAATTTTGGCCTTATTGACGTAGAGACTGTATAGAACAACACAATATTGGTTAATAGTTAATGATAGTTGTCAATCTGCCTCAAAACAATGGGTCAATTCCGATCAGCCATATGTCACTTTTGTAATTTTTTAACTTATAAATTATTTTGAACCTCGGGAATATTAATAAAAATGTTTAAATATATAATAATTATAGTATTAGATATAATAGTTAAAAATTGCGTATTTCTTAAAAAAAACACTTAAGAATCAAGTTGATCATATAATTAGGCGCGGCATATTTTAAGCACGTTGCTTGCAAAACTGCCTTAAAATAATTAATAGATCTGGTGAACATTTGAATATCTGAATATAGGTCTGTCCACAGGACAGCATTATCCGACATGAGCACACCGGAACATTCTAGTGTCGAACAGCATTGTCCGACACGACGACACGACCTACTAACCCCAGAATTATATAGTCTTAGACTATTTTAATAATATTTCAGATGTTAAAAATGGTCCTTATTAAAATAAAAATAAAAAACAATTAGTAAATTTTATTTTTCCTAATTTTTTAATTATTAAAAATTTAATTTAATATTTGGAATGAAATGGATAAGCTGGACAGAAGAAGTGACGAACAAGAAAGTCTTGAAAATGTGAATGAGAAAAGAACAACAATAAAAACAATAAAAAATAGAAGGGTTCCTTGAAGAAAGATAGGCTTCCTTATACGACATAATGATTTATTAAAAACCAACTATGCTTTTTAACAAATCATAAGAAGGAAAAATAGAGGGCAAAAGAGGAAGGGGAAAATCGGGGAATAATTAAATAGGACAGATAAAAGAAACACTAGTCCATGTCGTATAGGGAGGACAAAAATATGGCCTGGGATAGAGCTGGCTAGAGGAAAATGCATAAATTAGTTGCACTGGCAAGAGGAAACTCTTAAATGAATAGAGAGAGAGAGAGATATTTTTCTAATATTTACATAAACAGTGGAGAAAGTTGAGTCTCCAACAGCATTATTCGACACGACCCCAGCACTAGTGTGTTCGACACTAGTGCTAACCAACATTGTCTGACATGGTCCGTTTAAAAAGACATAGATTTATAATTTGGTGATCAACTAAACAGAATAGCACTCTATTTCTTCAGGAAACCCCCTTTTAATTTCATCAAAGGAGACAAAGACATGACATTACAATGTAGTAAAGCTAGATAAAAACAATTGTTCAATTCCGACATTTTGAAACCGAAAGGGATTCAATCTACAACAAAATATTGATCGAGTATTGATTCGTGGTTTAAAATCATGAACTTTAAATACATAACTTACCTACCTTTTAATAGATACCTATACCAGCAATTTGTATGTTTTTCTCTACATTAAACTGAATACATGTTTGTTTTATTCCTTGAGGGGAACAGTAAAGAGTTTTTCATTCATTCTTTCATTTATTCAGTCATATCTAACAAAAATAGGAAGTTGCTTATATTCTAAGACTAGACCTTGGATTATATTATTTCAATATAGTGTTTCCATACAGCATACTTTGCCGAAAACAGGTCAACTTTTAAAACCAGGTCCATTATATCTCAGTATGTGATCTGATCATATCCTGAGCTACCTACAGGTTTAAGGTCGTCACTCCATCTAGTGGGGAGCTATCCTACACAGTGTTTGCTCGTACGGGATCGCCATTCAAGAACCTTTCTTCCCCATCGGTTGTCGGTTCTTCGAGCTATGTGACCAGCCCATTGCTACTTCAGCTTGTTTATTCTTCGGGCTATGTCGTTTACTTTGGTTCTTTTATGGATATCCTCGTTTCGGATTCTGTCACGCAAAGAAACTCCGAGCATAGCCCTCTCCATAACCCGCTAAGTAATTTAAAGCTGGTAAACATGGTTGCCCATGTAGGACCATGTTTCGGTTTCATAGGTCATCACTAGTCTTTAAACCGAGTAATAAATATAGATTATGGGAGACATATAGGGAAAACGATACAAAATTATTATATATTAACAGAATAAACGGTATTATAGTGATACGTAACGATACTTATCTTTAGTAAATACTATGACATATATAACTGAGTCATGTTCTCGATTTCATTAAAAATGACCACCATTTTTATTAATACATATAAATAACTATATATTGCTATTTCTAAACAATACGTACCTGCATATGGGTATTTATATCATAAAAAATAATTGACTATTTAAATTAAAAAATCGAGCTGATTTTCTTGCACGATTTCTAGCTCTAGTTTCTGAAACAAAACACGCGTTTAAAAATGATTGTAGCGAATTCACACTATTTTTTTGGAATATAACTTCACCAAATTTAACACTTTTTGCATAAATTGGTTCCTTTTTTTTATTATGAGCTTATAAACGTTATTTTTATATATAATAATACGAAATTTTTTAATTAAACATCTTGAATTTAAGTATTTATGCACCGATTCGTATGCCACGCCCTACAACTCCGCACACAAATGCTGTTTCTTTACTTCGTATCATGCCGTTTCCTTCTAGAAGTTTCAGTATTAGATGAAAAAGTAAATGACAGTTACGCGTCGTTATATATCATTCTAGCTACGTCGCTTTATATAAACTGCTACAAATAACAAATAACTTAAATCGCGGAAATTCGCTACGTTCGGATTTAATCGTGAGCTATCGACTACGCTTCGTTAGTAGCGAATTGAATCCGCCAATTTATTACACAGTATTAAAGTCTCTATTTACTTGCTCTTTACGTGTGTATTATCATAAAAATGATAATTAATATTTCTCTTTCAATACCAAAGAGTAGCGAAATAAATAAAAAATCATTGAAAACAAAAATTGCATTCATAATTTTTCATAGAGAACATCACAGTGATAATTAAAAATAACTTTACAAAGTGATAATGAATCAAATGAAGCAATAATTTTCATCACTAGTAATTAATTTCTAATACCAAATATTAATTTTTGTAACTTTTTTTATCTTCTCGCGTAGCATGACAGGAATATGGAGTTTTTTTGTAACTAAACTAAGTTTGTTACTTCTAAGTTTATTACTACAGTTAGCCTTTGGTGATGTTTTAATACGGATATTGCTGCCTATCTCTCGACCAGAGGGAGACTTTGTACAAAAGTCGATTGCTTTGGTACCTCTGTCCCATTCGTGTTTCTACCGTGAAGCAGTTGTGTTTGCATGGCTGTGTTTCGGTTTGAAGGGTGAGATATGGTATTAATTTACAAGGTACAGAGGAATAACACCTGAGACCTCAGGAATTGTAATGCATGGGGGGTATCATGGGCGAAATAGTAAACTCTGTTATGGTTGTTGTGAAACCTCTTTGTATTTTTTATTATTATTTTTTGTCAATGACAATATATATACGTTTTTGTTTTTTTTTAATGTTTAATGCATATACGAAATATTTACCACAATTGTTTTCTGCATAAATAATGCATAAAATATACGTGTCCAATAGTTTTTTTTTCCCCATAAATAACTCTTGGTTTAAAATCACTATTCGGAGAAATACATTTTACAAGCGATATCCCTTAAATTGTCTAACACATCGATATTACGAACAAGTATATAGAAAATGGGGTAAAACGTAAATGTGAGTAATCCGAATAATATATAAATAAAATAAAATAAAATAAAATTAGATAACGATAAAAATGTGAGTAATCCGAATAATATAAATAAAAAAATAAAATAAAATAAAATTAGATAACGATGGAAGCAGGCGAAGAAAAAACAAAAACGTATATATATTGTCATTGACAAAAAATAATAATAAAAAATACAAAGAGGTTTCACAACATACACCCCACCTTGCGCATACGCATTACTACAGCGCAATAACAAAATACAAAATTATATGTCAAGTCGATGAGGAAGTTTCACAGGACGACCAGAACGTGTAATCTTGGCTGGACAATTTTCAACCTCAACTTTAGAATCAATAACTTTATCATTTGATCCCGATGGCCGTGGAAACTGAATATCCTCTAATTGTGACACCTCTAGAGGGTATAAACGTTGCAAAGGTCGAAGACGTTCGCCTTTAGCCGTTTTAATACGAGCTACCCTACCAATGTTATCAACACCAGGACATATCTGTAAAATGAGACCCAAGGGCCAATTTACGCGTTTTAAATCATCTGAACCAATAAGTACAATATCTCCAGGTTTCAGATTGTTCTTATTTTTGCCATACTTTTGCGTTAATAACGATAAATATTCTGATCTAAATCTTTGTTTTAAATCCCTATTGATTTTTTCAATATAACGATAACGAGTAGCAAGATTAGATGAATAAGCTTGGTCTAAATCACTTGTATAAGTACTGCCTACCTTAAGAAACATTGCAGGAGTAAGAGCTGTAAAATTTTCAGTGCTGTCTGCTATGTAAGTTAAAGGACGTGAATTAATAAGTGCTTCTGTTTCGCACAGTACAGTCATCAATTCTTTTTCTAATAGAGCAGCTTTACCTAAAACTCTTCTCAGAATTTCTTTAATAGTACGAATCATTCGCTCAACACCTCATCATAAGCGTTCAATAAGCCTAATTTTGTAAGCTTATTAGTAGTTGAGTGAAGACGTTTTATTGCTAAATTAAAGTTAGAAGATAAAATGTCTGCTGTATCCTTCCATGGTAAACTAATTTCATACCTATTCTCACCATTTATGTTTACAGTTTCTCTAAAAAAATTCTCAACTTCTTCCTCACGCTTCCGAGAACTTTTAACCTGCGCCTCATCTTTTATACCTATTGATTCAAGTTTCCACAGGTCATCAATATCAAATGAACAAGCGTGTATTGAAGTAAAATTACAATACGTACCAGAAGTAGGTCCCTGAATTACCCAACCAAATTTTGTCTCGATCGCCACCAAATTGTCACTTACATGTTCTGATCGCCCAGTGTACAACGAACCTAAAACATCAGAACCAATTAGTAAAGAAATCTCTGTCACTTCATTAATACAATCAGTGATGTCAATACCTTTATCCTGTAGTTGTGACAAAAGTGAGCTTGACTATCTTTGGCAAATTATCGCATATTTTCCTCTGCTCAAGTGCCTCTATTTGAATTTCATACTTACTATTGAGGCTTTTGCAATTTAATATAAATAATCTATGATTTTTTAATTTAGTCACTACTCCGCCGAACAAATTGTGCCTTAAGTGTTCATTACCTGTAGGTTTAATATTCAATTTCTCGATTGCATCTGACCTTATAAAAGAGCGTTGAGCACCTGAATCCAAAAGGGCTCTCACTGTAATGGTTTTCTCTTTGTATACTAAATTTAGTTTGACAGTTTGCAATAAAACTGTACTCGGTTTTATAGACTGTTTAAGTACTTGATCTTCTGCCTTCTTTGAAATCTTAGGTAATTCGGCACACATAATGGGATAATGTCTTTTTTCACAAACAATGCATTTGGGATATTTTCTACATTTTTTTGCATGATGTCCAATTTTTAGACATATCAAACATGTATTTTTCTTTTTCAGAAAATCTTTCTTTTCTTCTAAATCCCATTTAATAGGCCTTTTACATTCAGAACTATTATGCGTGGGTTTATCGCACCATACACATTCTCTTATTTCATTTTTAGTATGCACGACATTTTTCTCTTTGTTTCTGACAGCTGTACTTAAAAAACTTGCTGACGGAATTACAGGACTTGGATCCACGCTTGAAAAACCTCCTCGTGATAAATTAATTTTTTCTTCAGATTCAACTTCCTTACGAACAAAATGTAACAATTGTGTCAGCTGACTCTTTTCTTTATCGTTAGTCGCGACGTTCGCCTGACATCTGTTCCATGCGCGTAATATGTCTTCCGGCAGTGCAGATTCCACCATTGGAAATAAAAAGGCGGCATACTTATCTTGCGTCACGCCGAGAGATTCTAAAGCAAGAATCTGAGTCATTAGTTTATCATATAGGATACGAGTGGCCATCTTAGAATTATCGTTCCTTTGGACGATTGTTAACTTTAAGAGTTCTCTAACGTAATATTCTATTATAAGTTCATCTTTTCCATACCTTTGTTTGAGCTGTTGCATTACCTTTGGGTAGTTTTCTGCTGAGGGTGGAAAACTTTCCACTAACTCCCTGGCGTTACAACCTTTCTCAATACTTTGTAGGAGATATTGAAATTTATCTTCATCATCTATGTCGCTGTCGCAGTCAATCTTCTTGAACTGTGTCCAGAATGGAATCCAACTTTTTATCTCTTCGTTCAATAAAGTAAGCTGTAACTTCGGAAGACGAAAGTGGCGACGATGCCTTTGGGAAGTCTCTCCACTCTCACTATCTGCTTTAATTACAGTATCAGAGGCCGAAGAGCGGGCTACCGCAGGACTGCAGTTCTCGCTGACTTTGTGTTTCAACAAATAGAATTTACTGGTGTAAGCCTCGGACAGTTCTAAATCATCATCAAAAAAATTTTCGTCCCGTTCCTCCATGTTCAACCACAAATCCATTAATTTGTTTTGGAGGAATGTTAATTCGTCGAAAATTTTGGTGATATTTAATATTTCCGCGCTCATACCTGTTTTATCATTCTTCTCTAGAAAATCTTCTATACGTTTAGCACACATAGTAAAACGACGACGTACTACTTTTCTTTGTAATAATGCCTGTTCCATTTTTACGCTGATCACGGTCGCCAAAATGTGAGTAATCCGAATAATATATAAATAAAATAAAATAAAATAAAATTAGATAACGATGGAAGTGGTACCCCTGGTGGGACGATGTGAATAAATGTGAGTAATCCGAATAATATATAAATAAAATAAAATAAAATAAAATTAGATAACGATGGAAGCAGGCGAAGAAAAAACAAAAACGTATATATATTGTCATTGACAAAAAATAATAATAAAAAATACAAAGAGGTTTCACAACAATGGTACTGCTCATGTCTATAGGCGACGGTTACCACTTTTCAGCTGACGCTTGTTTGCCATTCTATGTTGTAAAAAAAAAAATATACGGAACCCTGGGCGAGTGAGTTCAAACGGCATTTGATTGGTTTTATTTAATTTCGAATATTTTTGAAAATATTGAAAGAAATGCTATTGGTCTATTCTATAGGATTCCAATGCCTCTTTGTCGCCTTTTTATAGAGAGGTTTAACAATAGATATTTTCAGTTGTTTTGGGAAAGTTCTGTTTGTATGCTTAAATTATGACTTCTTTTATAATTTTGGTCGAAGATCCGTCATACCCTACACTAACTGAATTTGTTGTGTACACGGCGCCAAATAGGATATGCTTTCAGATAGGTCCCATAGAAATTTTATCAAATTCGGTTCAGTAATTTAGTTTAAAATATATATATATCGGTTTTTTTTCGGTGGGACAAAATCTGTTTGTTATAGTTTTTTATAGGTGATAATGAAATAGTAACCCCACCAGCGCTATCGGTATACACCGGCAGGGCACCAGTGAAGGAGGATAGGTGAGGATGAAACAGGTCAGTTAGCCCATCGTGATGAATTCAACGAGAATTGTTTACGATGGTTTCCAGGGGGAACCACGTGGAGGTTGACCTGATAGGGAATATTGCTAGCAATGGGGCTATTAAACTCCATTGCTAACAATCCCTTTCCCCCACATTTGTTATATTAGTAAGGATTAGTAATAAACAACCACAATATTTTAAGAAATTTTATTTATAAATGTAAAATTGCTTCAACAAATTTCAAATTTGTAACAAACAAAAATTAACTTATAATTACTTAATTGTAAATATACTATATACATACAGAGTGAAAACGAAACGGTTAGCAATCCATTAAAGGGTGTTCTTCGACTGAAATTTACCACTTTCATCAAAGAGAAACGGGTCGAAAAACGACAAAAATTTTGAGCCACCCATACTGACACACTGATCACCTGTAGAGTTGATGTCATCATCATTTCAGCCAGTATCTATCCACTGCTGGACATAAAACTGGGATTGTTAGTAATGGAGACTAGGAATCCCATTGCTAGCAATATACCCAACCAGGACAACCTCCTCGCAGTTCCCCCTGGAAACTATCATGGTTAATTCCTGATGAAATCATCATGATAGGCTAACTGGCCTGTTTCATCCTCATCTATCATCCTTCACTGGTGCCCCGCTGGTGTATACCGATAGCACAGGTGGGGTTACTATTTTATTATCATATATAAAAAAAAACTGCTCCAATGTTTTCTACCATGCGCGATCCTCTACTTTTCGAATCCATCCATTTCCATGTCAGTATTGAACGGCTGAACTATTTGTTTTTAATTAAAAAAAAAATTATATAAATATATTTGATAGCTTGAGTAGATTCTTAGTTTTACGTACCGAAATCGATTTTAATATCACCCTGTATATAATAACATATATATATCTCAATATAACGACACGTTATACACATAGAGATAAAAATATTATTTTTATTAGTATTTTGTAACTCTTACATATGTATATTTATATATAAAAATTGCAACTAACTTATAAAACTATATAAATATAAAAATGGACGAGAGATTTAGGCACTTTTGTTATATTTATACACAATGATGTCCAAAAATGTACTGCAAACATATAGATTGCTCAATATATAAAACTATACTCTAGATAAATATAGTTTAACTAACTTTTACCTGTGACTTCGTATGCGTGGAAATAGGTAACGTAAGGAGAAAACCCAATAATATAGAACATGTTTAGATAATAAAATTAATTCTAAAAGATTTATGTGCATAGGAGATATTTAATAAAAAAAAAATACGTGACGAATTTTTTTAAGAGGAATGTAAGTCAAAAAATATATTTTTTTTGTTTTTGTATATGTTGTAACACCTCTTTATATTTCGTTATTTTTATATTTCTGTCAATGACAATAATTTACTTATTGGTTTAGATAATTTGAAACGCGTAAATTGACCCTTGGGTCTCATTTTGGAGACATATCCTGGTGTTGATAGCGTTGGTAGGGTAGCTCGTATTAAAACGGCTAAAGGCGAACGTCTTCGACCTTTGCAACGTTTATACCCTCTGGAGGTGTCACAATTAGAGGACATTCAGTTTCCACGGCCATCGGGATCAAATGATAAAGCTATTGATCCTAAAGTCGTGGTTGGATCTCTCCAGCCAAGACTACACGTTCTGGTCGTCCTGTGAAACTTCCCCATCGACTTGACATATGATTTTGTGTTTCGTTATTGCGCTGTAGTAATGCGTATGCGCAAGGTGGGGTGTATGTTGTGAAACCTCTTTATATTTCGTTATTTTTATTTTTCTGTCAATGACAATAATTTGAATATGTTTCTTGATGTTCTTTATTAAACAATCGAATTGATTTATTAAAAATTTTCTCAACTCATCATCTGCTATTTTTCTTCGCCTGCTTCCATCGAAACCTAATTTTATTTTATTTACTAGCTGACTCGGTAAACGTTGTTTTACCATATACATTACTTTTAGAACTATACATGAAAATCTATCGTACTACAATTATTATATTCGATTGTCATCTTGCAGCCCTATTGCGGCATATAAAAATTGCGATTAAACAATAGGGGTTGATCATAAAAGCGTGAGAATTTGAATTTGTATGTATTTTTTAATGCTAAATCATAATAAAATAAGAATAAAAAAAAAAATACAGAAAAATAAAAAAAAAAAATGTAAGGGTGGGTCACCTTTATCATTGAGGGGTTCTCAGACCTACCCAATATGCACGCAAAATTTCATAAAAATCGGTAAAGCCGTTTCGGAGGAGTTTGGTAACAAACACCGCGACACGAGAATTTTATATATTAGATATTAATCGGATTACTCACAGTCTATTTGTCTGTTTGAACGATTGTTCTTGCGTCGCGTAAAAGAACCACTGAACCAATTTAAGTGCAATTTTCAGAGATCCTTTTCGTTTTCCTGAAAATTAAAGTCTGTCTGTCTGATGTATGCTTCATTTCGATACATGCATTTATAATTGGTTTATTTCCTTGAATTTTCTTCTTACGAGACAAAACAACGTTTACCTGTTTCCCAAATCCACACGTACGAAGTCATAGATAAAAAGTAGTTTTAAATATTTGCATTACATTTTCGAACACAACGATATGAATCAGTCTTAATATTGCTGAATAGTTTCCATTATTTACACATGTTTTTTTTTTTTAGTATCATCACAAATATATAGATAGATACACATGAGTATTTTCTAATAGTTGACACGACCTTATAACTTAAAAAAATATATTAATAAATTCTGATTTATAAGAGACGAGATTTAGGGCGATTATTTAGATAGACTATAACAATTTACCTGAACTATCTACACCGGCCGTAGTCACGAGTAGGTCTTTTTTATGCAACTTAGAATGGCAAACAAGCGCACGGCCCGCCTGATGGAAAGTGGTAACCGTCGCCTATAGACATGAGCAGTACTATGGACATAACAGAGTATACTGTTTCGCCCATGATACCCCCCATGCGTTGCCATTCCTGAGGACTCAGGTGTTATTCCTCTGTACCCTGTAAATTCACTGCCATATCCCACCCTTCAAACCGAAACACAGCCATGCAAACACAACTGCTTCACGGTTGAAACACGAATGGGACAGTGGTGCCCAAGCAAATGACTTTTGTACAGTCTCCCTCTGGTAAAGAGATGTAGCGTTGTCGTATTTCCACCTTGAAGACAGAAGTATTTTCTTTTCTTATTCACTCGTGATTACGTCTCGGAAACGTCCAGATAACTCAAGTAAATTATCATCTCTCTCTCTCTCTCTCTCTCTCTTCTTATTTAAGAGTTCCTTCTTGTCGGGGCAACTAATTCATGCATTCTCTTCCAACCATCTCTATTCCAGACCATGTCTTTGACCTCCCTATACGACATGACATCTAGTGTTTCCTTCATCTGTCCCATATACTTATTCCTCGCACAAATTATCATTGTTTATTTAAATAATTATATTAATTCCCGTCTCTTATAAACCATAAACGTTATAATGCAAAAGTCTATTAGACATAAAATGATCAATTCTGCAGTGTAAACTAAACTTACTTGATATATCATTCGATTGAAGTTGGTAATCATAAAAATATTTAACTATTTGTTCATTACAATATTACTACCTGTTTCCCGCGACTTTGCCTGCGTGAATATCTTATCTATCTATAGAGTATTTTACTTAGGATATAATCTAACAAACAAGATACAAATATTAATTCAAATGTTTTCAGCCATTAAATGTGATTGAGTAACACATATACACTCAGAAAGTGTTGCGACACTAAAAAAAATGTTCTACAGGTAAATATATTTTTATTATATCTTTTCAAAGTACTCTCCACCAGCCTCTATACAAATTTTCATGCGTCTGAACCAGTTTTCGAAACACATTTTCCAGTCCACCGCAGACACCTCGTTTACAGCCTGCTCGAACACTGAGAGCGCATCATCCGGCGAACGAAAATTGTATCATTTTTCAATGAAACACGCTAATTTCAATTAGCTCGCAAAAAATGTGGAGGGAAGTTTTAAATTTAGAACGTACCTATTTTTATTTATAGGTAATAAAATTTTTAAATAAATTATAACTGGCCAGTCTCGCATACATAAAAACTTTTTCTCGCAATACTTTTTGAGTGACCCGGTACATGTTTATAAACTTTCACATTTATAATACTATAGTAGTGGGATATTTGTTCAATGTACCTATTTATTTCAAATGTACAGTCATTTCAACATTAAGGCATGTCAAGTAAAATATAAAAAAAAACTAATATGACACATAGTCGAGTACTATACAATTATAAGTCTTATATATTATCAGTCCTGCCGTGTAAATTGACTTTTTCAGTATTTGTTTATTTTTTCTTACATATATTTCGGTATATTTAATATTTTGGTATATCATTTTATCGAAATTAGTAATCTAAAAATATATAATAAAAATCATTTTGCTCTAGCGCTATTTGTTCATTATGATCACTCTAATTACGATAAAAGAATATGCCAAGTTTTTTTTTTTATTATATATTTCAAATAAAACTAACACAACATACCGACAGTTAACCACCAACACGTCCTAAATGACATTTATAAAATAACTAGATACCTATCTAAATAAATGATTCTAATGGAATAAATTTAAATAGTTAAAGATAAAAAAAATCCTTAAGATCACTGCCAGCTGGTGACTTAGGAGACCTTAGGACACCTAGGAGACTTGCTGCATTTCCACGCTGAATAGCTATGGAAATGCGTTGACCAAAGTATAGGCCAGCAAAATAACTATTCACATTTTTCTACTTTACCTATCTTCTTTCCTATGTTACATAGACAAAAATATATTTAACATTTACAGAATTTATATTAAAACCAATTACTTTTTTATATTATCTATATATAAATAAAATATATAATTGTCAACATATATAAATAAACGTGTTACTAAGCGCAAAACTAGAGAACGACTGGCCCTAACCGTGTTCTTTTTTTAAATATTAATTAAGTCCGCGGTGAGTTCTTATGAAAAGACAAATTAGTAAAACCTCTTTTTCTTTTTCCATAAACTGTTTCTAGCTGCCAGTACAATATATTTTTAATAATAAAAAAAATATTAAATTCAAAATGAATGCGTTTTCTCACACATTATCATCATCGTTTCATAATTTCGATCGTTAACTTTCCACTACAGAACATAAACCTTCCCCATAAGTGGAACCAGTAGTTGCCACGCTTGGCAGACAAGTTGGCAACCGCAGTTAGGCTTTCAGAGATGTTCAAAGAGGAACGCTGCTGCCCATCCCTCGACCATTAAGTTCCTTAAGTCACCTCTCACGACATCCACAAGAAAGGAAGGGTAGCCTGTTCTATGCCGAGACAATACAACTTCATCATCATACCATCATATCAGCCGTTTACTGTCCTTCCACTTATTGCCAGTAGGTAGCACACGTGGCAGGCCTTACTCACAAATATATGGAGTAAATTCATAATTTATTTTATCACACTTGTAAAATTTTTGTAAATTTTGTCCATGTTATGTTAGGGAGACTTTGTACAAAACTCGATTGCTTGGTCACCTCTGTCCCATTCGTGTTTAACCGTGAAGCAGTTGTGTTTGCATGGCTGTGTTTCGGTTTGAAGAGTGGGATATGGCGTGAATTTACTGGGTACAGAGGAATAACACCTGAGTCCTCAGGAATGGCAACGCATGGGGGGTATCATGGGCGAAACAGTATACTCTGTTATGTCCGTGGTACTGCTCATGTCTTTAGGCGACGGTTACCATTTTCCATCAGGTGGGCCGTCAGCTTGTTTGCCATTCTAAGTTGTATAAAAAAAAATAGGAGTTCTTGGCAGTTAACAGTCAATATGTTTAACTTATTTATAATTATTTCACAGCGACAGTGGCCACTTCGTTGGCCAGGCCGCATATGTTGCTCCCTATGGCGAGATGGAGGTAACCGTCCAGTCCGAAATCTTGACCCCAGGAATTCTTCGCTATGTAGTATGGTACCTCAGCTGATAGGTCATACCCGACTAGCTCCACTGCGTGGTTGAGGTCCAATGCAGATCCACTGGGGGGAAAGAAATTGTTAGTGATTGAGACAGAATCCCATTGCTAGCAATATACCCAAACAGGTCGACCTCCTCGTGGTTCCCCCTGGAAACTATTATGGTTAATTCCTGATGAATTCATCATGATAGGCTAACTGGCCTGTTTTCATTCTCATCTATCACCCTTCACTGGTGCCCCGCCAGCGTATCCCGTTATCGCAGGCGGGGTTATAATAATAATAATAATAAAGTTTATTCTCTTCACAATACCAGTTGTACATCTATTATATTCTAATACATTACCATGTAGGGGTTACCATGCCATTATCATCTATTAAAAAAAAATAACACAAGCAAGACTACCATTCTAAAATATAAATTCTTCGTTACACCACACGTCCCTAATTGTAAACCGATTTTGATAATTCTTTTTACAGCCAACAGAGCTTACTCTCGCATCGCATGCAAGAACCATTTTCCATCATAATCACTAATTTTGTCATGTTTCAAGACGATTTTTCGTGGAAATAATTTTTAAATTATTTGCGTGTTTGTTACGCGGTAAATTCGTTAATTGAATTGAACCGATTTCAATGATTCTCTGCAATTGATAAGGCATTTCCTAATTATAAATATATCCTATTGCCTATGCACTTTTTTTATATTACTTAGAATATCAAACAAGCAGACGAGCCACTTGATGGAAAGTAGTTACCGTCAGTTATAGACATGAACAGTCGAAAGGAGATCGTATGGGTTATGTATTCATACTGTGACACCCCTCCAAGTCATCCCCCATGCGTGTTGCTATTTTTGAAGACTAAAATATGTATGTATATATATATACATATAATTTCTCTGTCATATCCCACATTTCAAATCAAAACAGCTATGTAAGTACAGCTGCAAAAACACGGATGGGACAAACACGTCCACAAGCAGACTTTTATACAAGGTCTCCTTCTAGCTAATAACACTTATTTGTCTTATTTCCTGTCACCTGCAATGATACTGTATGACTCCGCCGAGATAATTCTGCCAGGTGAGCGCGTTCACTGCAACGGTCACTGGGCCGTGGGTGGCCAGCGCTTGCAGGATCTTATCCTCGGCGCCCACAAATCTGGAAACAGGACGGGGAGAGGGAATTATTAATAATGAGGTCTAACAGCCCCCTTGCTAGCAATATACCCTATCAAGACAATGCGGTTCACCATGGAAACCTATTGGTTAACTCTTGTTTAATTCGTCACGAAAAACTGTCCTTCTTTTATGCTCTCATCCTGTCATCACTGACTGGTGCCCCGTCAACATAAAACGATAGCGCAGGCGGATTTTTTTTGATAATAGATTATAATGCTCGAACTTCCTGTGTGTAGGACACATTTTATGGGCAACTCTTTCTTATATCGAGCTGCCCAGTTATGGAACAAACTCCCTTCCCACATACAAGAGAGTCCCTCTATTACCTCTTTCAAGAAAAGGTTGAAATCACATTTTCTTTCCTTGAGTTATATTTTTTTATTTTTCTAATTGAACTGTCAAATCTTAAAATCATTAAACGAAATTTCTAATGTAGGTACTATATTCATTTATTTTAACATTTATTATATAAGTATGTAGGTATTATATTTATTTATAGTATATGTATTCATGTAATATTTAATTATATATTTTAATATTTAATTTAACTGTATATTTGTTTATGTATTGATAATTGTAGCACTTCAGCTGCCCGCTAACGAAATGCTTTCTTACTGTACTGGGTTGACTGGAAGAGATCTTTGTCAGAGATAAGTCCACCCTTGCGCGCAAAATTTATAAATACATACAATTATTCATTTATTTATTTATTTATTTATTACATCCACTGGGTGAGCTTTACAGTCGTCCAATACGTTCACCCAGGAAAGCATGAGTACAATAACACATAAAAAGAAATATTACACAAAAATATTAAACAAAAAATAATACAAAAATACTCAACTGAAACAAAAAAAACGTCTGAACACAAATACTCTGTGGTCACTGGACGAAACTTTTTATAAATTATATGTAACTTACAAGTGCAATAAAGAATATAATAGAATGTCCCCGCCCTCAATTATTATTCATAAAAAAATAATATTTTACTCACTCGTCACAAGTAAAGCTCGCTATTCGTACTCCTGTACCGTTTTTCTTCACACTACATGTGCCACTGGCCAACCGAAGAGGATACTCCTTGTCGAGTTCGACGGGCGTATTACTCAACATCAACCAGTCCAGCAGTAGGCAGATGTCGCCACCGGCGCACCCGCTATTGCCCATTCCGGCGCAATCTATCGCCTCCTATCAATTGTGCGGTTTAAAATTGTTTTTAACATCACGTTGTCATTAAGAGCGTTCATAGTTTAGCTTCGAGTAATAAAATCTAAATACATATATGAAAAAAAAATACGTATGTAACACTAATTGTATCTCTCGGCTTTGACTGCGTAAACTATAGTATGTAATTATGCCACAGATTTCACCCGGGAGAGACTTTGTGCAAAAGTCGTTTGCTTGGGTACCTCTGTTCCATTCGTGTTTCTACCGTGAAGCAGTTGTGTTTGCATGGCTGTGTTTCGGTTTGAAGGGTGAGATATGGTGTGAATTTACAAGGTACAGAGGAATAACACCTGAGTCTTCAGGAATGGCATTGCATGGGGGGTATCATGGGCTAAACAGTAAACTCTGTTATGTCCATGGTACTGCTCATGTCTACAGGCGACGGTTACCACTTTCCATCAGGTGGGCCGTCAGCTTGTTTGCCATTCTAAGTTGTATAAGAAAAACCATTAAATTCCCTAGTCGCCTCTTACGGCGGCCACAGTAAAAAAGGGATGACCCATTCTACGCTGGGACCATATTGCAAGTAGCTATATCTATTGTGTATACCACATACCTGAACACTGAGAGTCTCCAATTTGCCATTCTTAATGGCCGCCATCGCCTCCACCGTGCCAATTGTACTAAAGGCCCAACATGCACCGCACAGGCCCTGATTCCTGACTGGGCCTATCACACCCTTGGACCTCCTGTCAATTGAACAGACCCCGTTTCACCATTTAATGATCAAACGAGTCAATGATGATCACCAGTGACGATAAGGAGAATATTGATTTAATATGCTCAACGGTCAGGTATGTCAGTTTTATTTCGAATTTTCTATTTAATAAAAAATTATGCTTTTGTTATATACCTCCCCCATAGATAGCCATAAGGAACGCTTTCAAGCTACCTGTATCCATTGACTACCTGCAATGCATTTGAGATCGACACTCTATCAAATAACAAGTCATCTTACACTATGTTTGTTTGTATGTATGTTGTCGGTTCTTCAAGCTATGTAACCAGCTCATTGCCAATTCAGATTGTTTATCCTACGAGATACTTTAGTTCTTTTACGGATATCCTCATTTCGGATTCTAGCATGCAAAGAAACACCGAGCATAGCCCTTACCATATTTTTATTAATTTTATTTTAAATCGAGTTTGATAATTTTTAATAAGAAAAGTAGGCCTATATTAGTTCCACGCTTACTAATTTTGTAGGCATTTTGAAGAGAAAGAATTAAATCTTACAATTGACAGTTTTGTATTAGAATCTATAAAACCTTTTAGTAAACACATTTTAATATATTAACATCCAGGGGAAAGGGATTGTTAGTAATGGAGTGTAACTGACCCATTACCAGTAATACACCCTATCAGGTCGACATCCACGCGGTTGCCTTTAAAAATCATGTGGTTAATTCTAGTGGAATACGTCAAGATGAACTAACTGACCTGCCTTTTCATTCTCACCTATCATCCTTTACTGGTACACCGCCAGCGTAAAACGATAGCGCAAGCGGGGTTACTATTCCATTATCACTCATTAGAAAAAAATATACTGACATCAATATCAACGCTATATCGTTACAGAATTAATTGTAAATTAATTCATTGATACGTATTTTAATAGAAAACAGTTTTGTACAATTTTCAAACAGGTTTAGTGAACTAGTATCTCATTAAACCTGTTTAAGATTTTATATCATTACAAAATATGTATATTATTAACATTTTGGTCGTTTCCTATCAATAACTAACTGTTGCCCTCGATTTTATCCGAGCTGGACAGGATTTGTGTAATGGAAAATGGTATCCCTGCCTGCGCTATCAGCATACGCTGGCAGTGCACCAATGAGTGATAATAGATGAGGATGCAAGCAGGATGATTTCAACAGAAATTAAGAACAATTTTATTAAAGGAGTGGCGAATCAAGGTCGACCTGATAGGGTGATCAAGATGAGTTTGCGCTTGATCTTACCTCACCTGATGATAAGTGATGATAGGATCTAGGTGGAGCACACTTATCCAGAAAATATTTATTGCACCGACTTTAAGAGTTCCAGCTTTTGGACCCTATTACTAACAATCACTTTCCTCCTGTCTACATAGGTAGACACCTCTGTCATATTTACGTTTCTGACACCAAGCAAATGTGGTTGCTTGACTGTGTTTCGGATTGAAGGGTGGGATATGGCAGTGACATTACAGAGAATAGAGGTATGACCCTTAACTCTCATGAAGAATAACAAAAGAATCACGTTGTATTTTACAAAATATGTCCATGGTATTGGTCACACCTATAGGCGACAGATTCAGCGTATCCCATTAGCACAGGCGGGGTTACCTTACCTATAGGCGACGCTCGCCATTTTCTTTTAGGTGGGCCGTTAATTTACGATTCTAAATTGTATAAAAAAAAACACTTGCGACCAATGCTTCAATCAGCATTTTCGCATGTGTGTACATTCTTATCACATTACAAATTCTTATTTCTCATTCCCGTGAAAATTTCCGAAAAGAGATTAAATATAAAGGAGTAGTGTATTTTTATGGTACAGATGACTCGCGCTAACCAATAAGTTGTTATGAGGAATGCATTAAGTACCTATAGAGTTTCGAAGAACCGTTTATTTATTTAAACTTTATTAGCCAATAAAATGTGGTACAAAAGGCGGACTTAATGCATTTATTCGAAACAGTATACTCTGTTATGTCCATGGTACTGCTCGTGTGTATAGGCGACGGTTACCACTTTCCATCAGGTGGGCCGTCAGCTTATTTGCCATTCTAAGTTGTATAAAAAAATGCTATAGGTATTCTCTACCAGCATCCTTTAGGATGTGCAGAGACACTCGATGGCGGTCCACTCAATCATCATTGTGTCAAACAGGCATACGACCCGATGTTTTTTTTTAATGGGTGATAATTGTTATGGTAAACCCACCCGCGCTATCGGTATACACCGGCGGGGCACCAGTGAAGAATGATAGGTGAGGATGAAGCAGGTCAGCGAGTCCATCGTGACGAATTCAACAAGAATTGTTCACGATGGTTTCCAGAGGGAACCACGTGGAGGTCGACCTGATATTGCTAGTAATGGGACTGTCAAACTCCATTTCTAATAATCCCTCTCCCTGATACGACCCGTTGTTAACAGTTATTACAGCTTACGGGGGCTTGCAACACTAGGACTTTCACGCACTTTTAGTAAAATCGCATTCTATAGCCTTATCTTGGATTTGTTTTGTTCAGATTTTAAATTTAGATAAAAACAATTATGAATATCTTACCAGTCAACTTGTAAAGGTAGTAATGCCCTCTTCTTTCTCTCGTATACAGGCGTATCATGGAACCTTTGACCCTTATGACGTGATTTGTCTCGATAATATATCAACTTGGCGATTGCTTCACGCCAACTCTTGCCGTATGCCTCTGGTGATTTCAGTATACGTTCATCCGATAGATGTATGTTTTTATATTCAGATTTGGACATGTCTGACAATTTCGTCAACCCGTATAGTGCCCGATACTCGTCCGATCCCCTCGATAGGGCATTTAATTCGTCTATTTCACGTACTGATGCCTAAAATATAATAAATAATTAAACTAGAGCTATTCTTATTTAATTTATAATGAAATAGTAAATTATTAATATATATATATATATATATATATATATATATATATATATATATATATATATATATATATATGTATGTATGTATATTTAAACATACACTGAACAATCTTTTTACTTAAATATCATTCATTAGATTAGATACATTCTCTTTTTAAGAAAAAATATATAAATTATACATTTTACATATGAGAAAACAACATAAAAATTAAGATTACACAATTATAAAATAACATCATTATTTTATTTTAAAATTACAATAAAACAAGAAAAAAAAACAAAATCAATGTAGCTGTATTTGTTTGTGCAAAGGACCTAGCTCAGCATATATACGTATGTGCACGAGATATTGTGCTGGCGGAGCATCAGTGAAGGATGATAGAGGTGAGAATGAAAGCATGTCAATTATGAATTCACTAGGAATTAACCATATTTTCTAGTAGAAACTGTGGGAACGTCAAACTGACAGTATCTACTGTTTTTTTTTATGAGTGATAATGGAATGGTAGCCCCGTCTGCGCTATCGGTATACATTGGTGGGGCGCCAGTAAGAGATGACAGGTGAAGATAAAAACAAGTCAGTTAGCCCATAGTGACTAATTCCACATGACTTAACCACTATGGTTTTCAGGAGAAACCACGTGGAGGTCGACCTGATAGGGTATATTGTTAGCAGTGGCGTCGTTAGACCCCATTACTAATAATCCCAACCCCCGGTATCTACGTATTGGGTATATTACTAACGATGAGACCTTTAGTCCAGGTTATTAATTTCCTCCTTGCCTCCCCAACAACAAAAAAAAATTGGTTAGCGCCATATTGGGATCATTTTCAACTAATCGAGACCCTTGTCCAATTTCGGTGGACCTTTCAACTTCGTGTCCCCAGAAAAACTGATACCGCCAAAATATAGAAGTATTTTAAGTCGATCAACCCATTCGTGTTTCAAGCGTGAAGAATTGTGTTTGTATGACAGTGTTTCGGTTTGAAGGGTGGGATATAGCGTGAATTTACAAAGGAATAACACCTTCCTCATGAATGGCAACGCATAAAAATGGGCGAAACAGTTCCATGGTACTGCTCAATAGGCGACAGTTACCACTTTCCATCAGGTGGACCGTCAAAATAAAAAAAAAAAGTATTCCTTTTATAAAATACTTTTTAAGGTATTTAAAATTTTCTGAATACTCAAAACTAAAAATGTTTACCTATATCAGACAAAAATTAGCTAATACTCTATCGTGGATCCTCTGCGTCGAACATTGGACCGGAAACGCGGCGCGTTGTAGGCTTGATTAGGCATGGCTGATACAAATGTATGTAAATACATTAATTATATGTCAATATTTTAATCTAAGCACAGTCTGATTGACTTACATGCATTTTAGTCGAGAATGTTCAATTAGTTTACACATAAGTCAATCTGGTTGTTCTTACGAGTTATAATCCAATAATAAAGAAAGAGGATTATTAATATAGTCAGTTTCAACAGAATTTAATGAAAATATAAACAAACTACTAACTGACCCGTATATAAGACTGTCTGCTGATATCTAATAGTACCCAGTACAAATAAAAAATCAATTATTTGATTAAATGTTCCGATTTGTTATTAATTTTATTTCGTGTTTCTGTGACAATTTCAACAAAGCTTGGTTACCTTTTTGGCATTTTATTAAAAAACAATCTTTTTATGTTTTTCTCCATTATGTGACAACACTTTCCTACGATCATTTCACTTTTACTCTCTTGTAATATGCTGTAAACATCAAATATACTCTCTCTCTCTCTGCCATTATTTGATATTTTTATTAATATATAGCGCCGAATATATAGTCTACTATCCAGTCTTTTGTACATGGTCCTTCGAGTCGGATATGAACCAACGACCTATAGATAATGCCAACATATCCTTGATTAAGTTCTATTTATAAAAATATATAATTTATCGAAATAGACTAAATTATTGCTAGCAATATATTAACGTCGATTTACACAACCTACCTTATGTAAACCATCATAATACATTCCTGGTAAATCATCCGGGAAGAGGGGATTGTTAGTAGCGGGACTACTGGCACAATTGCTAGTAAAATACCCTGTCAGTTCGACCTCCATGTTTCCGCGGTCGTCCTTAGAAATTATCGTGATCAACTCCTGGTAAATCCAACATGATGGGCCAACTTACCTAACTCACATACCCTCACTGGTAGGGAAGAGACAGATTGTCAATAATGGGATCTAATAACCACATTACTCGCATTCTATATATAGCTATCCTATTAAGTACCCTATTACTCCAACTTCCACGCGGTTCCTCCTGGAAACCATACTTTTAATACTTATGGAATTCGTCACGATGGGCTAACTGACCTGCTTTCATCTTCACCGATCATGCCTCCCTGGTGCCCTGCCAAAGAATACCGATAACACAGATAGGATTACCATTCCATTCTCACCCATTAAAAAGCCCCACTAGTAACCCATTAATGAAAATCAGTAACGCAAATGGGGTTACTAATGTACCGTACCATTTTATCTTAATATCGAATACAAGTAACAGACGCGTAAACTAAATATTATATTTCATGTCACTCATTCGCTGACACTTGATATGCTTACATACCTACAAGTACATGAGTGACAGTAATTTTATACTTAAAAAAAGAGGCAATAGTGATAACGTTATCCTATACCCAAGTATGTGTAACTAACAATATTTACCTTAGATTATGACGTATATATGTTTTTTTTTTATGGATAAAAATGGAGTAGTAATGGGGAGCGCCTGCGCTAATGAGATACGCTGTGCGGGGCACCAGTGAAGGGTGATAGATGAGAATGAAAACAGGCCAGTCAGCCCATCATGATGAATTCATCAGGAATTAACCATGATAGTTTCCAGGGGGAACCGCGAGGAGGTCGACCTGGTTGGATATATTGCTAGCAATGGGATTCTCAGTCTCCATTACTAACAATCCCTTTCCCCCCTATATAAGTACCTATGTTAAGCCTATAATATTAATAATATGAAAAGATAAAAATCTCAGTATCGTCCAATGAATCATGTTTTTTTTAATGGATGACAATGAAACGGCAACCCAGCCTGCGCTAACGGCTATACACTGGTGGGGCAGTGAGGTCTGATAGGTGAGAATGAAAAGGCGGGTCAATTAACCCATAGTGATGAATATACTTGGAATTCAGCATACTGATTTCCAAGGGAGGGCACATGGAGGTCGACCCGACAGAGTACATTGCTAACAATAGGACTGATAGTCCGTATTATTAACAATTCCTTTTTAAAATGAATCATTAGTATCATCAGGTACAGCTTTGATTTCAGATCAATCAATAAATATTGAAGTAGGGGGGAAGAGATTCTTAGTAATGTGGACTAATGGCCTCATTGCAAGCAAGCCCTGACAGGTCGACCTCCACGCGGTTCTCCCTGGAAACCATTGTGATTAATACTTTTTGCATTCGTCACGATGGGCTAACTGAGCTACTTTCACACTCATCTATGATCCATGGTGCCCCGCCAGTATATATCAATAGCGCAGGTGGATTCACCATTTCATTATCATCCATTAAAAAAATATATTGAAATAGATATACAAATAGATATGAAATTGTCCACGGCTATCTTAGGTTTTTAGAAAGTATGTAATATGAACATGCAATATGATCTATGGATGGATCAGATGTCGAGAGCAAGCAGGCACCTATAATGTAAAATTTACATCATTGTCACATCAGCCTTTAACTGTCCACTGCTGAACATAAGCCTGTTGAGATGTTTTAAAAGAGATGCTACTGCCCATCCTTCGCCCTCCCTTAATGGTTTCTCACAATATGCACGGAAAAATGAGAGGATAATGGTTTGTCAGAAATGGGGATTAGTAGCCCCATTGTTAGCAATACACCCTGTCAGGTCGACCTCCCCGCGGATCCGCTTGGAAACTATAGTGTTCAATTTCAAGTGAATCCGTCACAATAGGCTAACTGACCTGCCTTTTCATTGTCACCTATCATCTCTCATTGGTGCCCCGCCAGCGTACACCGTTCGCGCAGGTAAGGTTACCATTCTATTATCATCCATTTAAAAAAAAACACCTACAGACTTCATTTTCAATAGAAAGGTAGTCTATGCCAGGCTCGAATGATCACACTGCTATATTTTTTTTTTACATAATAGGATATTATTTAAAAATGACCTTGAAATCTCTTTGTGTACCTCACATGTTTGCATATGATATATGTGGTGTAACATACAATTTCAGAAGTTTTGTTATGACCTTAACAAAATTCATGTTTAAAACTACAAGGTATGGTAAACATGCAAAAAAAATATCCATAGCTTGTGCAGGCCATAATTTGACTGGTGACACATGCAGTTTTATAGTGCATATTGGTAAATTGATTTAGAGTTTTATTTTTAACCAATGCCAAAAAGGAGGTTCTCAGTTCAACATTAGGCATTTTATTTATTTACTCTCTACTACATCACTTAAAGAATAATACAAAGAATATATATATTACACTTATGAAGTACAAAATGTGATCTTATCACCACAGCTAATAAATAAATAAATAAAGCATTCTCTATGTATGTTGTGTATATATATGTATGATAGACAATATAAATAAATAAAATAAATATATTCAAACTCAGGACATTTTTTTTATTTTTCTTTTAATTTCAAAGAGATTTCTTCCCAAGTTGAGCCCATATCAATTTTGATTATGGAAGTTAATTTTATTTAGGAAACAAATTTTTTTATTACACACAACTTATAACAGATATAATTAAATAAAGAAAAATACAGGTTTTCCCAAATGTTAGAATATCTAACTTATTTTGGAAAGTTTAAACCAGTATAGGCAAACTATTAAAAAACATTTTAAATAAATAAATTTTATAACCAGTTGCATGCTAAGGAAAATAATCCTACAAATCAAAGTTTGTTTGTATGAAAGGTTTAAATGAAATTTAGAACATGGATAGACTATATCTTAAAACATAGAATACTTTATATACAGATTCATGCAAACAAAGCTGCGGGAAACAAATAGAGGTAAACAATGCTCATACATTAAAATACAGAAAGGTAGGTTGAATTTTTAATGATTTTTAGATGTTTACTTTAATGAATTTTATTTAATAATAATATTTTTTTTTTATTTTGTTATAAAGTTGACTTACTAAAACTTTTGAGATGATAAATAAATACATTAAGTTAAACATTTTCTAACTTATGAATACCTTAAATACAACAAATACTCACCACAAAGTGTCCAAACCTAATTTTGTACTCCGTCAAGTTGTTTTTATAACTTTTATTAAACTTTTCCAAATATATATCATACCTAGCCAAAAGAGCTCCCTCGTTTCCACTAGAAGTAATAGCCGAGTATAACAAGTATAAAAATACTATACTAAGGACCCAGACCCACCACTTACACATGATATTTAATATTTAAATAAAAATAAAAAAAGAAGCAACACATCCGAACGGACTACGGGTTCAAATAAAAACAAAAACCATTTATTCTACTCAGCTGTTTCGACTGCACTGGATTGACATTTATCTAATGACACTGACATTGACAGATAAATATAATATTGCCAATTTTAATTAAAAGATTTGAAACAGACGATATTCCTTGTAGTTAAAGTACAATTCCTATTTCATTTATAATTAGATAGTAGTTTCTGAAATTTTTTCTTTCCACAGGAGAACAAAAAAACTATAAAAATAAATATATATTTAAGTTTAGAGCCCTCCACAGAAGCTAAACTACTATTTTATTACTTCATTAAACGCAAAATTACTGGTTACCATCATTTTCATAAAAGAAATTAAAAGGTAGAATATTATTAACTAACTTCAAAAAGGTTTTCAATTCAGTTTTTTTATTTTTTTATATTTATCTCATAATTCATAATCCTTCTCATACTTAACGCATAACTCAAATGATTTGATAATTTATTTATTTTTGGAAAAATACTTACAGGTTGATCCTATAAAATTTTTATTAAAAGCATTCAAAAAGTTTAGTTGTGATATCAAAATAACTGGTTTTGCCACAATTGAAGCCGGTTTTATTGTGGCACACAATCTTAATTACGTTTATAAATACAGCAGTGTATACTGATTATTGGAAAAAATCCATACTAATATTATAAAGTTGAAGAGTTTGTTTGTTTGAACGCGCAAATTTCAGAAACTACTGGTTTGAATTAAAAAACTCTTTTTTTTTATACAACTTAGAATGGCAAACAAACTGACGGCCGTCGCCTATAGTTTGTGCTGGATAGTCCGTTTATCGAAGAAGACTATAAAAAAATAAAATATATAAAATTATATAATTTTATATATTTTATTTTTTAATATATTTTACTGGATTAATGAAGAGTTCCAATGGAAATGATATACAGGAACTACAGTTAGAAGCGGGCAACGCCGCGAGAAACGGTTAGTACAGTAATAAATGGATGCAATGAAATGTAATATTAGAAATGAAATTAAAAAAAAAAAGAAACTGCGGGAAAATTATTAGTTATTAAAAATGTAAATATTCTGTTTCCATTTCTCCCAGTAATTTCCCAAAGAGTATATAATTTGCAATAGAATTTCCACGCAGTCGGCGAGCTGGCGCTCTATGTTAACTATTTAGATACATAACCTATTAAAATTCTTAACTTTCTAAAGGAAGTTGAAACGAAAGAAAAAAAAGTAAATCTAAAATAATTCTTACAAATTTATTATACTTCAATAGTATTTAATAATAATAACTAAGCATTTAAAATAAAAAATACATTCTATTATTTTTCTTTTTTTATTATATCAAAAGTAACAAAAGTCCATTTCTGTTCAATAGAGGTTCCGATCCCTGATGTGTTACAACTAAAAACGTCGGGATATCTCTGCAGAGTTTCATGTACAATTACATGGTTCACATAAGGCAACATGGACTTTAAGTATGATACAATATAATCCAAAGTGGCGCCAAGTGGGTGGGCCATGAGAAAAGCTGTTAGCATACTGATGAGCTTCACCTCACACGCTGGCAGCCCAGGACGTGTTGAGGATATCATGTCGTCTGGAGTTGGAGGGGGTGGTAGTGGCTTACACGTGGTGTTAGAAGTTGAGGATGGGGGTTGGTTAACGGTACTGTTGGAGTTGGATGACGTAGACTGCAGTATATGGCTCGGGATTGTAGGTGGTGGTAACGGTGGGTAGACCTGTGAAAACACAAGACTTTTTAGTTTACATTATTTTATTAACATTTTGGCATTTACATTGCCTATTGTTTATTTACCTGATAAATAACAAATTTTATTGCGTACAAAGTGTAAATTATACATGTTAATTACATTGATGTATAAATAACCTAGATATATAATTAGAGATAAGTAATCAAAAAATAAAAAAAATAAAGATGAATAATTTCTTTGAGATCACTGCCAGTTGGTAGGGTGCCTAGGATACTTGCTGCATTTCCACGCTGAATAGCAATGGAAATGCGTTGACCAAAGTATAGACCAGCCTTCTTGTCACCAGAGGTTTCCACCAGCCGGCGAATTTACACATGATTTTTATTTGTGTGTAAAATTATCAATCAAATTATGTTACTAATGTATCAATTTTTGATTTTACTATTTTAGACATAGGCATATATGAAATCTACAAAAAGTTTTACGGTTTTCAAATACTAGGCTGTGTAGAGATTGGTAGGGTGGGAGGGACATTTCCCACCCTAACTAAGAGAGGAGGCCTGCCCTACACCACCTACAGGGCGGGCCGTCGCGTTGGATACTCGGTAGTCGTACAAACGGGAACCCGGGATCCAACATAAGCGCCTCGAGGTACGTCGTGTGGTTTTTAGTGGGTACGAATCCCACACACCCCAGCTGCCCTCCCTCCGGCAGATGGGACGGTCTTTCCGAAGATTTTCCACACGGAAAAAAAAAGGCTATGTAGAGATATTGTTTATATAGAAGCACGTGTAAGAGCACGTGTTTAACCAAATAGGACTCATAAGTGATCCCTGTGGTACACCAGTAGTTATACAATAATGTTGTAATTTAACGTAACTATTTACCTTCATTCAAGTATTTCCAGAGATACAAAAATAAATGTTAAAAACTATAAAAAATAATTACCGCCTGTTTGTTTTGCAGCGCCTGTTGAGCGATAAAGTGAGCTTTGAACTTCTCGAACTTTCTTTCGGCTTCATCTTTCGCCAAGTGAGCTTCGTTCTTGTAACCTTCTAACTCGAACACCAAACTTTCATTCTCAGCCTAAAATAATAATATTATATTAATTATTATTAATTTAATGGAATTAAATAATATTTTAGATAAACTCGTAAGAGATTTTTTTATCTTTGGAAAAAAAATTTTACATTAATTTTCCCTAACTTTTTTTTTTATTTAGATAAAAAGCCTTATGTCTTGATGTTAATATAAATCAGTATTGTGGAAAACTACCACTTACAATGATTTTTGTATCTGTGTCTGAAAAATGTTTCCGAGAGAGTTTTACGAACCGACAGACAGATATTTGCCAGAGGGAGACTTGGTACAAAAGTCGATTGCTTGGGTACCTCTGTCCTATTCGTGTTTCAGCCGTAAAGCAGCTGTATTTGCATGGCTGTGTTTCGGTTTGAAGGGTGGGATATGGCCTAAATTTACAGGGTACAGAGGAATAACACCTGAGTCCTCAGAAATGGCAACGCATGGGGGGTATCATGGGCGAAACAGTATACTCTGTTATGTCCATGGTACTGCTCATGTCTATAGGCGACGGTTACCACATTCCATCAGGTGGGCTGTCAGCTTGTTTGCCATTCTAAGTTGTATAAAAAAAAATTTGATACTAATAGGCGGAAATTATCATCACCTATTCATCGGCCACTACTGAACATATAATCTCTATTATAAATTATTACTAAAAATGATTCAGTGCCAACTGCATCCACCAAAGGCTTGCGAATATATTTATGGCCATATACAATCCTAGTAAAACATTATTTTCACGTACCTTCAACTGTTCGTATTTCTCTAAAGAAACAACATTTTTTCCTACTTTCTCTATTTCTTCATCGTCGAAATATAAGTTAAATTCGTCCTTCATGTTTTCAACCTCCTGAAAAATAATATAACGGTACATTTTTCAGATATGGTTAAATTCTACTCATATAAGTGGGTCACCAATTCTATAGGTGTAAGAAGCCCCATAGTTGGATCAATGATCACCGGAGCGAATAGAGTGACTACCCAATGGCCTTTTTATTCGCTGCCAAAAATCTGATCAGGGAAACCTCAAAACGGGACTTCTAACGATTTTTTCGATGTCAGGGTGGCGTCAAGTGCCGTCAACACAAAGATCCTCAGCACTAATTCACGTGGTGACAACCATACTTTTTTCTTCGCCAGAGAGACCACGTCAAAAAAAAATAGCTCAGAGGCGCTATTAGCATTAAGTCTGCTTTTAGCATTAAGTCTGCCATGTACACATATTTGTACTAATGAATAAATAAATAAATAAATGCGAAGATTCTCTGTCTTCGACATATCTATAGAGATTACTTACTGTAATATACTAACTTCTTGCTGTACTTCTGGTTAATAACTTCACAGTCGGATTTAGTAGAAACTCAGGTTAGATATTGATGATCAGCCTGTAGGATTTGTCGCCTTATTCGTAGATGCCATTTAGCTTACCTGGTCATCATTTGTAAATTCCCACTGATATAGTTGTGAGCAATTATATGAGTAACCTATCACTTTGTTATATTAATCATGTAGTGGTGTTGCCAGTTAAAAAATGCTTTTAATTTACAGTAAAGTCACTGTGACAAAGTTCTAGGTTATTCACATGAATGCTTAAAAGCAAAGACACGTAGACAGGCGATAGCTGCGTGATACTTGAAATGATGCGACGCCATGTGGTCCAGGCATTTTTATCTTATATTCGTTGTACTGTTACCTAAATTTTTTTACCTGTCATTTTAGCAAGAATAACCTATAAAACTGGATCCACGGTCCACCATCTTTCACATAATGAAATAACTTGTCCAGTTTTCTGAAGCTGCAATATCTCACCTTAGAGTGTGTTTGAAGATTTGCCGATTGCTATTTCCCAATTTTTTTTAGCACCTTTAAAACACCTTTGAAACTTTCAAGTTACAAAAAATACGACAATTTCATAGTAAAATTTATGGCAAACATATTTAATTCGTTGTTGTCCCCCATGTGGCCTATTTTTTAATGGACGATAACAGAATGGTAACCCCGCCTGCGCTAATGATATACGCTAGCGGGACACCTATTAGGGACGATAAGTTAGAATTAAGAGGCAGATCAGTTTGATGGTTCCCACGTGAAGGTGAAACTGACATAATATATTGCTAGCAGTGGGACTGGTAGTTTGCAACTACTAACAAGCCCCCCCCCCCTCTCATGTTGACCTGTTTACAAAAACTGTAACAAAACCGAATCCAATGGGTATTTCAGGTATTGCTGCGTGAGACTTAAGTCGGGTAAAAATTAATTTGGAACATACAAAGTTCCATTTTTAAAATAGGTATCCTTTATTTGGTAGCCCGGTGAAGATTTTACCTTGCCAAGTTCAATACCACAGTCCTTTTGGACACCATCAGGATTAATTCCTCTTGAACTAGCCACGATTACTTAACTATCCTGCCCTGACTTCATCCCCGTTTCTCCTCCACTGGTGCCCCCTCATCGTATACTATTAGTATAAAAAGGATTGTTAGTAATGGGGAGGTTAGTCCTCATTACAATCAGTGTACCTAATCAAGTCGACCTCCACGCGGTTCCCACTGGAAACCATCGTGATGAATTTATCGTTGAATTCATTACGACGGGCTAACTGACCTGACTTTTCGTCCTCACTAATCATCCCTCACTGGTGCCCCGCCAGCGTATACCGTTAGCACAAGGGGGGCGACCATTCCATTATCATGCATTAAAAAAAAGTTTGAAAAAAAAAACTTCGCCCTGTACGCACCTCAGTAATTTTGAGCCACATATCGATACTCCGCCGCTGCTGCTTGCTGAAGTGATCGGAGACCCGCTGGTGTTTCGCCGCGGCCATTATTCTCACTACCTGTTCGACTGTTTTTCACATTTTTTACAATAAAACGGACTTTATATTCTCAATTTTAATGGATGCATTAATAAAAATAATGTTATTTTATCATAATAATAATAATAAAGGATAATATTTAAAATTGTAAATAGAATATAAAGTCTTGCGCTGAGAAAAATATGTCCAGAAATTAATTTTTAATTCTCATTAATTTACGAATACATTAATTTCAACTTTTGCAGTTTTTCTTTCAGCCCTTTACAGCTTTTAAAACACAAGCTAGTAACAATGAAAACCCATTAGATACTAGCCAACGACAATTGTTGAGAATCCTTAGTACTAGTTTTACCTGCGTCTTCGTCCGCGTAACAAAAATAATTGATAGAACAGTAGCTTAGGACCTACTCCATTCCAAATAGTATGTGCACGAGTGTACCAAATTTCATTAAGATTGATTGAGCCATCAAAGCACCAAAAGGCAACAAACAAACTCATTTTCATACTTATAATATTAGTAAAGATTGATTATTTATATTATAAATTATATTATTACTTTATTGTTTGATTTATAATTTACTAAATTTAATAAAAAAAATATAAGACTTTGAGTTAATTGAGTTTTAATTATGTATTATAATTATGTATGTATGTATATAAAATTTACATTATTAACAGATTAAATAATATGTACTATATAATCTAAATTTATAAAAGAAAAAAAATATTTTTATATGTTTGTTTGTTTATAATGGATAAACTCAAAACTGAAACTCTTTTAAAAATAGTTTCATATTTGAAAGATTTAAAAAATTCTTTCTACTATAGAAAGCTACATTATCAGCGGATAATATAGACTATAAAATTTACCTATTTAATGTAAATACTATTTTTTTTTCTATCTACCCACGTGAATCCGGGGCGGTCAACTAGTTATAACAATATGTAAATAAACATTTTAAGCAGACATCATCCAAGCAATGAGAATTAGAAACACGTTCGATTGCATTCTATAAGATCTCCAACACACGTCCATACACGATGACAAGCCGAAGTTCTGACCACACGACTGTTGCCTCAAGATACGTCGGCTGCTGAAGAAGCTAAGAAGAGTAAAGCTAAGAAGAAGAGTAAACTGAGGGCCTACCATGAAATGTTTTCCGAAATTTCGGAGCCAAACGAAACAGAAATTTGATGTTAAAATTACATAATACATGCCGCTTGGAAATATTAAAAATGTTAAAGTATTGTTCCTTTGGACTTTTATGATAGGATGTATGACGAACGAAATGTTAAACTCCATTTATTGGTCCGATTTTGGTATAAACAATAACACAAAATTGAGTCCGAAATTTCGGAATTTCATTTCATGGTATGGTAGCTGTTTCTACCCATACCTACACGCACGTTAAACATAGTGTAATATAGATATTTAAGTCTAATATACGTATTTAGGGGGGAAAGGGATTGTTAGTAATGGGGTCAAATAGCCCTATTACTAGCAATATACCCTGTCAGGTCGACCTCCACGTGGTTCCCCCTGGAAACCATTGTGACTAATTCTAGTTTAATTCGTCAGGATGGGCTAACTGACCTACTTTCATCTTCATCTGTCATCCCTCACTGGTGCCCGGCCAGTGTATACCAACAGCGCAGACGGGGTAACCATACCATTATCACCCATTAAAAAAAAATACGTATTTAAATGTAATATGTATATAAGAAAGTATATAAGCAAGATAGAGAAGCCATTATTCTGTACTATATTCAAAATTATCTACTATATTTTATCATTGAAATATATCTCGATAGAGTGCCTTATGGCAAAGAGTGCCTTATGGCAAAGGCCTTCTCCAACTCCTTCCAATAGTCTCCATCTCGTGCTCTACTTCAGTCGAACCTGCTGTTTGTTTCAGCTCATCCTCCCAGCGTAACTGAGGACGGCTTCTTTTTATTTTTCATATAAACTAGATATTAAAATAATCGTGCGTGCAAGTCTGTGTATAGGCAATCGAATATGCTTCTATCGAATATATAAATATCTTTGTTAAATAATTACTTGGACGAGATCTGACTTTAAAACCAGTAAACGACGATGATTAATGGAGTATTCTATGTAAACAAGTATTTATATGAAGGTATTTATGTAATTTTTTATTATGTATCTTAATATTTTATTTAACTGTATATTTGTTTATGTACACTAAATATTAATAGTTGTAGCACTTCAGCTGCCCGCTAGCAACATGCTTTCTAACTGCATTGGGTTGACTGGAAGAGATCTCTGTCAGAGATAAGTCCACCCTTGCTCACAATATTTATAAATGCATTAACAATGTAATTTACAAGTGCAAAAAAGAATATATAATAAATACTCTTTGTTTCTTCCAAAAGATTATAGTAAACTTTTAATGCAGTTGAATTTGGGGGGAAGGGATTGTTAGTTATGCGGATTACCAATCCCATTGCTAGCAATACACCCTGTTAGGTCGACCTGCACGTGGTCACCCCTGGAAACCATCGTGCTGAATTACAGGACTATCACGATAGGCTAACTGACCTACCTTTTCATTGTCACCTATCATCTCTCATTGGTGCCCCGCCAACGTATACCGTTAGCGCAGGCGGGGTTACGATTCCATTATCGTTTATTAAAAATACAAAAAATTATAAGAAAACATTACGCTGAGGAAACAATGAAGCCTTATCGCTTATATAGTTTTAAATACTTGTAAATTCATAATTGTTTAAAACACCGCCGTTTACTGTCTTTTTTTTTTTTTTTATATACTTACTCAAAACGTAGTTATTCACGAAAACATTACAGCAACACGTGTTAGGGACTCCACCAAATATCGACCTTTTTTATTCAGAGCAAACTGAATGGAATGTACGGCAAATCGTCACATCAAAACACACCATAAACGGTAATCAAAAGATTCTTGTGTACTGCTGACGCATGCTGAAGCGCGCTGAAGAAAGCTGACACCCGTTGAAACTTGCTGAAGACTCTACAGCTTACTGACGACATTTCATCCCGTCGATTTGGACATTTGTAGACCACCATTTATGGTATGCATAAATGTGTAATTTAAGGAAATATTTAAATAAAATACTTTGTTTTTTAAATATTTATATATGTGTTGATATGCCATACCTCCATTACGTTTGCACAAAAACTTCAGTATCGTCATTCGCTCGCCTTCAACAACACCATTAGTTTATATTGAATTTACAAAATTATTTCACGCGAACAATTTTGCTTTTTATACAGTTAGAACACTATAGAGGACGTACAGAAAGTCCGTCAACTTCGCGGCACTTACTAGCAAGTACGCGGGACAGGACAAGGCAAAATTTTATGAATTAATGGAATAAATAAACGCTTATCTCGTAAGACTCTCATCGAAATATTATCATTAAATTTTATTTAAATTTTTATTTTTATTGTGTCTCTATTTTTTATAATTTTCTAGAAAATATCTTTATATTACCAAAATAAAAAAAATAAAAAAACCAATAAAACAACCATCTGTACCGGTACCGACGGCACTACTAAAAAACAATTGAACTTAATTAAAAATACGTGCCTACATAAATACTATTTACCTCGAATCGCGACTAGTTACATGAATTTAAACATAAGTACACCAACGCGAAAGTTTCATCATCATTATCATCATAACATCAGCCGTTAACTGTCCACTGCTGAAGATAAGCCACCCCCATAAATTGCTAAACTAGCAAATTTGTTGAACGAATGGCAACACTGAACGATAGCTGATGATTCAAATTACTAACCACAACAAATCCGCTGCGTCACCACTCCACCAGTAGATATACAGCATTTTATTCTGTCAAGCAATAGCCTGGATATTAGAATGAGTACTTACATTGAACCAAGACATGGGAGAATTTATCCTTGATAGTGCTCTTCAAGTTTTGAAATTCTTCATCGAGCTGCATTTTCTCGTTGAACAACCTACGTATTTGATTATTGCTGGCTTGTATCATAGAGTAGAAGGAATTGGCATTTCTCTTATTACATTCACCGCGTTCCAACCAACCGATGAGGGTCTGTGGATGAGAATAAATATGCTCATAAGATTTTCTAATTAGATAAATGTTTTATGTTTTGCTCTGATAGTGGCGCCTCCACTCCGAGGAAACTAGTTCACTCTAATATACTTAAAAACACTGTACAGCAACCAGAGGGAGACTTTGTACAAATATCGATTGCTTGGGTACCTCTGTCCCATTCGTGTTTCAACCGTGAAGCAGTTGTGTTTGCATGGCTGTGTTTCGGTTTGAAGGGTGGGATATGGCGTGAATTTACTGGGTACAGAGGAATAACACCTGAGTCCTCAGGAATGGCAACGCATGGAGGGTATCATGGGCGAAACAGTATATCTATCTCTGTTATGTCCATGGTACTGCTCATGTCTATAGGCGATGGTTACCACTTTCCATCAGATGGGCCGTCAGCTTGTTTGCCATTCTAAGTTGTATAAAAAAAAAATAAGCTATAGAGCTATTAAATAATAAAACAACTTACTGGCGCTGCTTTAGCAAACTGATCGTCACTCTTGATCTTCTCAACGATGCTGGTAAGGGTAACTGGATTGAACACTTCAATACGGGCCGGGGTCAATGCTCCCTTGTACTTATTTCTCTCGTTCTCCATCTGGTCTTCACGATTCTATGAATTATTAATGTTTAATTAATACCGTCCAACGAGGTCTCAGTTAGTGTACCCAATTTAGACAGATTTGATATCAGAAAACTGATTTATATTCTAACTGGGTACTGTTCATTAAACAGACTTCTTTGTGCTAACTGACATAATATTGGAGGGATGGAGTTGTTAGTAATGAGGTCTAAGAGCTTCCATTCCTAGCAATATAACCTACTAGGTCGACCTCATTGCTTTCCCCCTGGAAACCATCACCATGGTATATTTTTGTGAAATTCGTGATGACAGACTCACCTATCATCTACCAATGGTACCCCACCAGCGTATACCGATAGCGAATGTGGGGTTACCATTCCATCAAGATCCAAATAAATAGAATCTATTATTTTAAACTAATTTTAATACAAAAACTCAGATCAACTGTATTACTTTATTATAGTGTATGTATACTATATTTGTTCACTATATATATATATATATATATATACACACATATATATATACATATATATATATATATATATATATATTGTTTCAATAAAAATGTTAAACAACAACATATGGAAGGGGGCACTAACTCGTGAAACACAGGTTTTTTCATACCTACCTCGGGAGTTAGGGACTTCAAATTATATTGTAACAAAGAGTGAAATAAAGATTATTTATTATTATTATTTGTTAAGGTGCTTATCTTTTAACTTACCAGTGCGTAATCAACAAAAATTGTAGTAGCTTCATTATCAACCTGATGGTTAAATTTTAACCTATATCCTGATATAAAGAATGCCTGTTCAACACTCTCTGCTTTCTCAAAACGCACATGGCAAACGCCATGTTTGTGTATTTTTATATCGGAAATATCTCCAAAACGCTGGAATATTTCCCTCACGGTATCTTCTGTCACATCTGGTTGCAATCCACCTACGAATATAGTACGGCAACCGGCAGGTTTCTCTCTACGAGGTGGAATAATGACACCAGGGATAGGCAGTAGCAGGGATCCGTTTGATAATGGTATCAGTTGGCTAGCAGACAACATCTGTTGCTGCATCATCACCATGTTGTGTTCCATCATGTTTGGCATCATATTCATCCCACTTATCACGCCTGGCATACTCTGCATGCTCATGTCCATTGTAGATTGCGACATCATATTGTTATAAGGTATCATTCCTAAAAGTGAATCATTTATTTTATTGATGTGAACTTAAAAATTTTAAACTAAATATAAGTTTTTCTTTACATTTCTATGTATGTATTTTTAGACTTACTAAATTTTCCTGTGTACACAATTCCTAGTCTAATATAAATATGAAATTTTGTAAAGTACCTCTTGGCATAGGCACGTTTGGGAGGGGGGTTTTTTAACAGGCCATAACCCCTTAGAAAATGATTTTAAATATAGCAATGCCTTTTAGTAGCTTAACTACTCAAACAAATGTCATTTAATTCAATAAGTAAAAAATAATGAAATCAGTTTTATATGCTAAGACATAACCACTGAGATAAACTGAAGCATCATCATAAGAATAGAAAACAGTGATATGTCATATTTTTTAAAATGTATATCCAAAAATACAAATACATATATATTAATATTTAGATCTAGTATATGGATACCAATCTCTACATTTTTTGCTCAATTAATGCCAGATGAAAAGATATAAAATATCTATTTAATGAATGCTAAAAAATAATTAAAAAAATTTGCTTTCAGATATCTACAGGTAAATGAGTACGAATATTTGGCATATCCTAATAAAAATCCATCTTACCTTGCATCATCATTTGTGACAAATCAGATGCGGGAGTAATTTGATTCAATCCCTGACTACTTGTGTCATTGTCATCCCACTTTGATGACCTGTGCCGATTCCTGTCCTTTCTATCAGTCCTGTCTCTTCTGCTGTTCCTGTCACGATCGCGATCATGGGACCTGGACCTTCGGCTTGACCTGCCTCTGTCTGTGACATAAATACAGTAATGTAAAATAGACTCTTTTTGGAACTAAGCCTCTCATTTGAGCCATTGTGTGTATGAGTTGTGGCTAGTACATACAGTCAAGCTTCACCCAGAAGCACAGATCTCCTCACTGCTCCGAGGATTTCTGAACATTGAAGTGCCACAGCTTCTCATTCCGGGATTATGTCGGCACAGTATTGTATGTTATATAAATAAGATTAAAGTTCATTTATTTATTATCATAACTATAATATATTTTTTTTTTTTTTTTATACAACTTAGAATGGCAAACAAGCTGACGGCCCACCTGATGGAAAGTGGTGACCGTCGCCTATAGACATGAGCAGTACCATGGACATAACAGAGTATACTGTTTCGCCCATGATACCCCCATGCGCTGCCATTCCTGAGGACTCAGGTGTTATTCCTCTGTACCCAGTAAATTCACGCCATATCCCACTCTTCAAACCGAAACACAGCCATGCAAACACAACTGCTTCACGGTAGAAACTCGAATGGGACAGAGGTACCCAAGCAATCGACTTTTGTACAAAGTCTCCCTCTGGTAAATATATTCATGTAACATGATAATTAACCAATTAAGTAATTAAATAGCAATTCTGATGTATTTAGATATGTAAGTATATAAATATTGATATAGATAAATTATTAATTTTTATTTTTTTTTTACCTTTTGATAATCTGCTTATATAAATGATGTATTTAAATTATAGTGCATCCATTTTAAAGGTTTTAAGTCACTTTTGCTATTATGTAAATTGATTTATCAAATTTTTTTTTATTCTTAAGCCAACACCATTCTGATGGAAAGTGGTAACAGTTGTCTATACCATGAACATAGCAGAGTACACTGTATCGCCCATGTCACTCTAAGAAGTAAGTTGTTATGCCAGTGAAATTACAAGGTACAGAACCTTGTAATTTCACTGCCATATCGCACCCTTCAAACCACAACACAGCACTGCACACACAACTGATTCACGGCAGGAACATAAATGGAACAGAGATACCCAAGTAAATGATATGATATACCAGAAAGAGACTTTGTACAAAAGTCGATTGCTTGGGTTCCTCTGTCCCATTCGTGTTTCAACCGTGAAGCAGCTGTTTGCATGGCTGTGTTTCGGTTTGAAGGGTGAGATATGACGTGAATTTACTGGGTACAGAGGAATAAAACCTGAGTCCTCAGGAATGGCAATTATCATGGGCGAAACAGTATACTCTGTTATGTCCATGGTACTGCTCATATATATAGGCGACGGTTACCACTTTCCATCAGGTGGACCGTCAGCTTGTTTGCCATTCTAAGTTGTATAAAAAAAAATAAAAAAAAAGTGCTATTTTGGAGTGCACATATTATTAAAATATTCGTTCACTATGTGGTTCAGGCATAAAAAAGACTTCCTCCTTTCCCATAAAATTAATGGTCGAGGCATAAGCAGCAGCATCCCTCTTAAAACAAGCCTGCCAAGCATGGCTACTAGTAAAACTCAATTTATTGGGTAGGCTTATGTTCAACAATGGATGGTTAACGGTTGATATGGGGGGGAAAGGGATTGTTAGTGATGGAGGCTGAGAATCCCATTGCTAGCAATATACCCAACCAGGTCGACCTCCTCGCGATTCTTCCGGAAACTATCATGGTTAATTCCTGATTATTCATCATGATGGGCTAACTGGCCTGTTTTCATTCTCATCTATCACCCTTCACTGGTGCTCCGCCAGCATATCCCGATAGCGCAAGCGGGGTTACCATACCATTTTCACCCATCAAAAAACAAAAAAAACCTCCACATGATTTCTACTAGAAACCATTGTGATTGATTTATGGTTGAATTTGTCATGACCTGACGAACTTGCCTTTTTATCCTGGGGGGAATGGAGGGTGGTGAGGGGAAGTTATTCTATTATCATCCATTAAAAAAGTATATCTATAATATTATATTTTTCTGATGTCTGTATATCTGTTTTATATTTATTGTTTTATATTAATGACTATTAAAATGATTTCATTTTAAAACATTACCTCTATCACGCTCCCGTCTATCATTTCTACTAGATCTATCAATTCCTCTGCGACTGCGTGCATCACTTCCGTTATTAACAGACTCACTTGGCAAACCTTGCGACTGTTCTTCCTCGTTATCTTTACTGTTAGAACTCACAAAACCTTCAGGTAACACAGGACCAATAAGAGGAACCGACGAATCTGGATTGGTTGTTACGTTCGTATTCTCTGTTTGGTTACTTACATCTGGCATCATACATACTTGTGGAGCCATTTGAGGCATCATGTTCGGCATGATCATTCCATATTGATTCATCATCCCGTATTCGTTAGGCCAGGAATTCATTTTAGACTGGAGTCTGACTATTGAGTGTCCGTAGGAAGTTTTATTGTCTTTGATGATGAAATTGGCGATAATGTATTAAAATTATTAAATTGTAAAAGATAATAATCAAAACAAACAACAAGTATATCTAATTTGTGCAAGTCATTACTAAACTTATAAAATATAATGAAACATTAGAAAGACTATTACAATAATAAAACGGCATTTACTTATTACCAGTTACAGTTACGTTATAAGAGTTGGAAGCGGCCTTATATCCACGAAACTAGCAAATTGAATTATATGTTACCTTTTCGATGTAACAAAACAATGAAAATTAAAAAAGAAAAGAAAATAGTGATGTTGAAATTTTAAATTTAAAACGTGTTTTTTTTTTCGAGATGTTATTCATATTAGTATAAAATTTTCAATTGTTGTTTAATACGTCCAAGAGAATTTATATTACTCACCTATCAATAAAATATATTTAATAAAGTAGAACAAAATAAAGTTACTAAACATAAGTATTTGTTTTATTGTAGATGTTTTTCATAAAAGTTATAATTTTACATTTTGAAATAGCTGGGTCCTTTATGACAACACTATTTCATATCCATATTTTAGATAGTGGTACAACACTATGAATATTCATTTTATTGTGTTGTTACTTGGAAAAGGTAACATGCATTTTATTTTTCAAATTTCATAGATTAAAGCAACTGTTAACTCTACTTGCTGTGGTTTATGTACGTCATTGGACATCATTGGAACGAATTATAAAGTGATCGTAGTCGTGAACGAATGAAGAATTAAATTATTATTTATTTATTTATGTCGTCCTGTTTTGGGTATTGATTTAATTGATTATCTGTCGAAAAATACAATAATATAATGTATTTATTGATATATTAAATAGAATTTCCTAACAATGTGGTGAGTGTAGATATTTGATATTATTTTTTCTGTCGTCTGCAATTAAATCTATTAATATAAATATATATTGTAAGGATTTTTTACTACTTTAGAAAATATTTACTGCTATATTAGAGGTCTAATATTATGACCTACTGATTCCATTAATTATGGTTTTATGATAAGAGACAATATTGCGGTCAGTCAGCCTATTACGAAACTACAATAGCGAATTATACCAAAAACAATGTGATATTAATGTTTACATTTGCTTTTAGTTCCGAATCATTACCCAAAGAATTCGAAAAAACTACCGAAGTATTACCTATAGTTACATATGGCATTTCAACAATTGAGGATCTTAGGAGAGCAGAAGCAGAAATTAATTTGTTGGAGAAACTGAGACGCGCTGGCCTCAATGCATACGAAATGAAATTGTATCATGAAAACGAATTGGGAATTGTTGATAAGCGCAGGAAAATAGAATCATTAGTATTAAAGGCACAATTAGCAGCAATTTATGAGAAAATTAGTGTTTATGAACAAATTGAGAGGTAAATAATAATGTAGCATTTTAATAATCACTCTTCTAAAGGTTTTTGGTATTTAAAATTATTTTTAATATCAGGCCTTAACTGTCCACTGCCAAGTATAGGTTTTCCCCATAAGGAGAGTTTTGGCAGTAGTTGCCATGCTTGGCAAGCGGATTAGCAACTGCATTAAATTACCTTAATCACCTCTTACAACATAGACAGGAAAGGAAGAGATCTGAATATTATTAAGTAAAATTATAAAAATAAATATAAAACAGACAGACAGACACCAGAAAAATATAACAGTATAGATATACTTTTTTAATTAACGATAATGGAATAACATCCCCTCACCACCCTCCCTTCCCCCCAGAATAAAAAGGCAAGTTCGTTAGGTCATGACAAATTCAACTATAAATTAAACACAATGGTTTCTAGAAGAAATCATGTGGAGGTTGACCTGATGAACCTTCCCATTTTTAACAATCCCTTCCTCCCACTATAGATATACTGTCTGCTGCTAACTTATCTACTGATTGTTTAGTATGTACATTTGCTACCAGCAGGTTATTCAAATTTTACCACTTCTACCAACCTCTATAATTCAAAACCCTAGTTTACAACCATGCAGTGATGTAACAATAAGGTGGCAGGACTGGCAAAATGCCACAGGCCCTGACTCAAGAGGCCTTGAGCTCAGAAATATTTTATTTTACATTGTACCTGAGTATTTTATTTTACTTGAAAAGTTTTTTTTACTGATAGGGCCCCATCAAAAGAATTTGCCACAGGCCCCAAATGGTATAGTTATGCCACTGCAACCATGTTAATTAAAAGTTGTTATCAATAAAATTGTAACATGATTACAAAAAAAGTCTCAAAATTTGCCACCACTAAAATCTACTTCCTATGCTTCAACTCACTCAGTGTACTGGTAAAACTGCCAATACCCATTTGCACCCATTATGATCAGAAAAATTGTTTATACAATAAATATCAGCCTTTTATTGTTAACAGTTCAAAAAAATCAAAAGAACAACCGAGTACCTCAAAGAATACACCGGAAGATGTTTTCGAAAGGCTTAAAGACAAGCCCATAACCATTTACCCTGATCCACATCCTGTAAAGAATAATATTAAGGAAGTGAGTGAAAACTTCTTCACTTCAGAACTAGTTCCTATTACAAAGAGGCGTAAGTCATTAAGACGCTTCGAAAGGAACAAAGAGAAGGTCCTTTCACAGGAGGGGCAAGTGAATATACCTCTTCATGTCACACCAGTCGTGAACAGACCGGGCAGTCTGTGGGATGTCAAAGAATTACCAAAGAAACCACAAAATGTAGAGGCTCCTGACAATTGTGATACAAAGCCAAAGAAAAATACCCTATATACAATAAGGAATAATAAGATCGTAAGGCTGGAACCGCTGCCAGGAGACCAGGGAGTCGTGGAAGATGAGTACCAGGCTGTTGATATAGTAATGCCAACAAATTCTGCTGAAGAACAATTGCTGGAAGGCACTAAAATGGCAGTGGATGATATAAAGAAAATTGAAAGGTTCAAAGATTATGAGCCTGGAATTCCATCCAAGGTTAGTTATTATTGTATGTTTTTCTGAACTCAGCTATGTAATGTATTGGTATTCCAATGTACTTAGTGTGCTGTTCCTGTCTAGTAATGGTTAACATTTTCCATCAAGTCGTCATAGTCGTAGAATACTGACGGATCTTTATATGTAATCTTTGTCAGATCCGTTAGTATTCTACGACTATGACGAAGTGGGCTATCAGCTTGTTTGTCATTCCAAATTGCTTAAAAAAATCATGATTTTTGAGTGGTTACCATAGATATTTGAAAGGGATCCCAGTGATCCAAAGATCTGTGTCTGCTGGTTAATTCATCTATCAAAGAAATTATAAAATTTTTAGTTATCCCATATTTGATAGCTAAAGGTACCTGCAACTATCTAGTCCTGAACTAACTATATCTAATCATATTTTAGAAACAAAATATCAAATTATGTTGATTGTTTCAAATCATAGCCTGATATGATTGTTCCTTTCAGGTATTGTACCTAAAGAATATAGCACCATCAGTCACCGAGGAGCAACTTTCACTTCTATTTAATCAATTTATGTTGGAAAATGGCGGCCCTGTAGAAGTGAATCTGATGTCTGGCCGCATGAGGGGGCAGGCCTTTGCTTCTTTACAGAGTGAGTTCAAACTTATCACCAATGTTGTTGATAACAAAAATACCAGTGGACCTATAATTGCTTTTTACGTAAATTTACATCATACCTGCTACAAAAGCAGGGCCGGATTAACTATTAGATAGTGTAGGCGATTGCTTAGGGCCCTGCGCTTCGACAGAATTTTTTTTTCGACAGTTTCTTATTTGTTTATCTATTTTATTTAAGCATGTAACTACAAGTTTACAACTTAAAACATAACATAGCGCCGTACGCCCTCTGAAGAAGATTTTCGGATGAAGGTGTGAATGGCAAGTTCTTCAAATCTTATTAACATGCATATTTGTTTTTTTTTAATTAATGAAAATATATTCTTTAGCCTTTTTTTATATTTTATTGTCATATTTTAATATAGTTCGTAATACATTTCAAGTTATAATGTAGAATAAAAGTATGGTAGGGTTTTTTATTATATTACTGTAAGCCGAGTATTGTCTAGGGGCCCCGACATGGTTAATCCGGCCCTGTATCAGAGTAGCAATGCATATGTTTGTTAAACACGCACTAATTACATTAGTGCCTTATAACTGGGCTAATGGCTCTACCGATCCTAGGAATAAGAGTGCTTTGGAAAATTTCTTCATGTGAACTGTTGATGAGCGTGTTGTGGTCGGCGCCCTTGCCTCGTGGCGATGTCCCACTTAGATATATTACTTGCTACGTCATCGATATTGGTAATGGACTAATATATAACAAGTTGTAACTTCAAAAAAAAAATAAGTTGAATGAGATTTTATTTTATTTTTTGTACGCCATCCTCCATCCTTTCCCGAGTAAATGCATACCTTGTTTGTCAGCTACAAGCGCGATATATTTGAAAAACAAACGTTATTTATAATAATAATAATTTTTCATTTACATGAAAATGAATAATGAAATTTCGGGATTTTTCCTTTTTTATTTCCTTTATAAGCTAAAATTTTAAATTTCAAGTGTTTGCGTCACTAGAAGTACCTTGGAATTTTGATGACCGGTATGTCAATGACAAAATGAAAAAAAATTCTACTACCGATAAGTCGTAAATTATAATTATTATGTATAATAACAATATAGCCAGTTATAATGTCCTCTTGATCAAACATTCTAACTTCTTGCTTTATCAACAATAAAGTTAGACAGGGGATCAAAAGTACTGCTAGTCGCTACGACGGTATTAGGTCCTATATTCGCTTGGTGGGAGTACTGCCATGGTCACTGATTAAAAAATAAAACTTACCATTACTAGTTTTTCAACTTATTGTAAGTTAAGTAAAGAGATATTAGGCCTATTTTTATTGTATATATGTATTTATACATACATACATACATACATATCTGTCACGCCTGTCTCTCATTAGAGTAGGTAGAAATAATGGAACGCCAAATGCTTCGATTCAAACAAACCTCTTTTGCTTCTTCCACATTCATCAATCTTTTCACCGGTTCCGGGTACTTTTTATTTGGCCCTTCTTCAGCACGTCGCCTATTTAATCGACATATGTACGTCCGTCTAGGGCGACCCCTATTATGCTATATCATCGCAAATTCTTATTTTATAATGATGAATTTATAATTAATATATTTTAAATGGAAATGGATAAACTTAGAGCCTTTGAAATGTGGTGCTGGAGAAGGATGGAGAAAATTAGCTGGAGGGATCGAATTAGCAATGAGGAGGTCCTGCTTAGGGTTAAGGCAAAACGACAAATTATTAAAACTATTGAGGACAGAAGGGAAAAAATGTTAGGACACTTGATACGACACGACGAACTTATGAACATTATAATAGAAGGTAAGATAGAAGGAAGAAGGGGGAGAGGGAGACCGAGACATAGTTACATCAGGCAGTTCAAGGAAGGAGTTGGTGTCGTGTCGTATCAAGAGGTGAAGAGACTCGCTGAAAATCGTAGTGAGTGGCAAGAGCTCCACCGACAAGAGCGCAGCTCTTAAATGGATAGATAGATAGATATTTTAAATCTATCCTGTTGATACTAATCATTTACAGAGCAAAATTAATAGCGGTATCCTATGTTATAACATTTTTTTTTTATTTCTAGATGTAGAGCTGGCGATACGAGCGCTGGAAGAGGTCAACGGAACTATCCTGAGTGGTCGACCGATCATCGCGCAGTTTGGCCGGGGCACCACAAGGGTTCAAGAATAAGCATATTCCATTAGATACTATTGAAAGTTGTATGAACAGTGTCATTTCATTGGCTACCTGTTTGTATGTGTGTATTCGTGTTTGGTGTTCGATACGTAAGCGTATTTAAAAAATTAAAAAAAAAAATTGTTTAACAAAAATCATTAAATGTTATAAGTATAATTACATTATGTAAATGTTGGTCAAACTCACTCAGTGTTCCGAATTATAGAATTTATGTGAACTCGACGATTTTATTTTTAATATAGTAGAGACAACCCTAATAACCTGTTCAACCCATGAACCTAGGGGATAGGGATTATCAGTAATGGGGTTTAGCAAGCCTATTACTAACGATATACCCTATCAGATCGACCTTCTCGCGGTTCCCCCTGGAAACCATAGTGATTGGTTCATTGCTGAATTTGTCACGATGGGCTAACTGATCTGCCTTTTCATCCCCACCATTCAGCCCTCACTGGTGCCCCGCCAGTGTATACCGATAGTGCAGGATGAGGTTACAATTATCATGCATTAAAATAAAACCCATGAACCTGGTATAACGCACCAAACAAATATAATCAATTATAATAATAATTAAAGTATAAAAATACAAATAAGGGGAGGGTGGGGGAGAGGACATGTCAATTATGCGGATCGCCGCGCAGGCGGGGTCAACATTCCATTGTCATCCATTAAAAAAAAATTAGGGATGTTTGACCGTTGGGGAGAAAATGTCCCGGTTTATCTCTCTAGGATAAGGGCTCGAGTTTTACATAGTATTTAACCACGACTATAAATCTTATAAGAAATCTGAATATTTTTAATTTTTTTTATACCACAGGTGGCAAACAAGCATACGGCCCGCCTGATGGTAAGCGGTTACCGTAGCCTATGAACACTTGCAATACCAGAGGTATTACGCGCGCGTTGTCGACCCTGAAGAAACCTCTTTGCCCCCCTTTTATAGAACCTCATGCTGTTTATTTTATAATTTTTAAAATATACTTCTATAATATAAACTTTTCAAAATGACTTCACGTATAAAGTGTACAGTTCAGTAAATAGTATAACATACTTTAAAGTCCAGAAAGTGTACAATCCTTCCCAAAAATTACCATATTTTTCTTAGAATCACAATATGATAAATGTCACAATGAAAACACATATATTTATATATTTTTTATTATTAAATACCTTGAACAAACACCATCCCGTTTCTATAGTAGCGTAAAGTACTTAATTCTACAATTTCATCATCAATCATTGCTAAACTACAAGTTACAATACAAGGCTTGGCTCAAAAGACATTCAATTTCACGACGAATCGAGTTTTGTGGCAAATATACAACCACAAGGTATTTTTTTAAGATTTACATTTAAACTTGATCTTATCTAGTTCACACGAAATTTATCCGAAAAATATATGTAAAGTTTCTGTCCTACCCTACATTCGTCACTATATACTACGGTCACATTATCTAGTTATCATCATCATGGCGCATTGACGCGATATACAATTTGCTTAGCTCGGGATTTTTCCTTAATTATACATAAATATACTTTATTGTTCCCTCCAAAAAATGATAGTAGAATAATTAACAGGAGAAAGGTATAAGAAAAACGTCATACTGAGAAAATAATAGCGACGAAGAATCACTAAAACAATTTCTTCCAGGCCCTCCAGACAAGTGGTAAGCGAATTCATCGATGGAATCGACATCGGTAGCGAGTCTGTGAAATAGAATGAGATAGCAACGTCGGATGTCTCATTCCAACTCACGGACTCGCTAGCGATGTCGATTCCATCGACGAATTCGCTTGCCACTTGTCTAGAGGGCCAAGTGAACTTTGGATACAGAGTTAATTGAAACAAATGTTAAAAACCGGTAATTTTCTATAGTTCATCACCCTGCATAGCAATAGCATATTATTTCATTGTACATAACTGACATAACCTATACCACATAATGACCGAAGCTCTCACTCTTTACATTTGTTGACAATCTACCGGTCTGAGTGAAAGGGAAGGGATTGTTAGTATAGTAACCCTATCTTCAGTACTATACTTTATATGACCTATCACCAAGCAGCAGCAGAACTGCTATTAACCTTTTACGTTACACTATATACTATATAAGCACTTTCAGTAGATTGTACGCTAACCCCCTTATTCAAAAAAACTCAAAACAAACCAGGTTTGTCACCTATTTTAACTATTAAACTGTTCTGCCACTTTCTTTTAAATTGGGAATTAGTGTAAAAGAAAGAGACAAACATAGTTAAAAAGGTTTATGATACAAATGACGTCTTCATGCATAAGGGGGTTATTTTGTATGCACAACGTGTCCATTCACTGGTTGTCCTTTGAGGACGATTTGCGGCGCCGTTTCACGACGCGCTTCGGTGACAATCATTCACTCTCCTTCTTGGCGGGTGGTTCCTCCTCTGTAAAGAAAAAAAGTCCTAATGTAACATTATGAAATATAAACAAACAAGAAATAATAAACAAAGAATTAGTAAGACCGGCTGGTTTTCGATTCCCCATTATATTTTACTATGCAAAGATGCAGAAATACTTTATTATAATCAAAATCATTATTTCAATATGTTGAAACTTATTTTTGTCTCAATTATTAATAAAATATATAAATAGTAAATGTACCTTTGTACATTTGATTACCTCTGTCATTTTCTTATAAGTGGTATGTACAATAAAGAATAAAATAAATAAATAAATACCAGAGGGAGACTTTGTGCAAAAGTCGATTGCTTGGGTACCTCTGTTTCATTCGTGTTTCAACCGTAAAGCAGTTGTGTTTGCATGGCTGTTTCGGTTTGAAGGGTGGGATATGGTGAATTTACTGGGTACAGAGGAATAACACCTGAGTCCTCAGGAATGGCAACGCATGGGGGGTATCATGGGCGAAACAGTAAACTCTGTTATTTCCATGGTTACTGCTCATGTCTATAGGCGACGGTTACCACTTTCCATCAGGTGGGCCGTCAGCTTGTTTGCCATTGTAAGTTGTATAAAAAAAAACGTAATTTCTAATTGTTTTTACGCTTTGAGATGGAATATGTTTAAAGTGCATGTAGTTTGTTACAATTAAGTGTGATTTACATGAATATAACATAAATCAGGAAAATAAACCACTAAACTGCATGTTTTTCATGTAATTACATTGTAATTATTTATACCCTTAAACGCAATATTCTAGAACAATTAGAAATATTTTATACAAGAATTGGTAGAAAAAATATCTAATTGGATTCAAATATAGTTCCGAATGCTCCCGAATCGAATCGGAAATTAAAATTATAACAAATACGTGAATTTTGCAACTTCAATTCAATACAAATTCTGTGCGTGTTTTGCAAATATGTGTGTTGTGTACGTGACAGACGTACACAACACACACATTTGCAAAACACGCACACTAGTGTAATCATTTTTTCGTCTTATTTTTGTGATTGCATTGCCAATTGACTCATTCCATTCCCAAAGAGGGTTGACGTCAGGCAGGCGGCCGGTCGTAAAACTATAAGCCAAATCTTTTTGTAATATGGATAAAAACATATTACGCCAACCCCAAATAATAATTGGGATAAGGGTAGAAAGATGATGATGATTGCCAATCTGCCAGTACGCAGTATATTGTATTAAGATTATGGATAAAAACACAGGCTATACTCACGCTTGACTTCATGATGCGGCGCGAGATGCGGCACGTGGTGTGCGTAGTGTTCGGGCGGCGCGGGGTGTGACGGGTGCGGCGGGTGTGACGGGTGAGACGGGTGTGGCGGGTGAGACGGGTGTGGTGGGTGTGACGGGTGCGGTGGGTGCGGCGAGGGGTGTGCGGGCGGGTAGTACGGGTGTGGTGGGTAGTTGCCCGGGAAGCCGCCCGCGTAGCCAGGGTAGTAGCGCCCGCCGTATGGCGCGCCGTAGTTTCCTGGGAACATAAATATACACGTAGATATTTGCTGGCCCGAATTGATAAACTAGCAAAATTAATCACAGATGAACTGAAAGAGAGCCCGGGTGGACCGGACCAATCATAAAATTGTCTGGTGCCCAGAATGCAAACAGAGCTTCTAACTATGCGCAAAGATATGTCTGATTAAGGGGGCAGCCCCTCTTAATAAATACGCACGCTAAATGGACATAATTATCAATAAGATATAGAAATTAGTAAGCATGTGTAGTGATTTTTGTTCTAAGACCTCCAGAAAGTACATACCCTATAATGATCTAGTAAATAATTGGACAGTCTTGCATATACTTGAACCACTGGAATACATATTTATTTGAAGTAAATATGGAGGATATGTTTTTTAATGCAAATGTTTAGTGTTTAATTTGTTAATTTAGTTTAGATATAATTTAGATTTTGGCGTGAATTTACTGGGTACAGAGGAATAATACCCGAGTCCTCAGGAATGGCAACGCATGGGTGGTATCATCGGCGAAAAAGTATACTCTGTTATATTCATGGTACTCATGTCTATAGGCGACGGTTACCACTTTCCATCAGGTGGGCCGTCAGCTTGTTTGCCATTCTAAGATGTATAAAAAAAAAGGTATATAGGTACCTGGAGGTGGCGGGGGTCCAGCGTGAGGAGGTCCTGGGTGCGCGGGAGCGTTAGGGTTTGGAGGCATCATCATTGCTGAAAAAATAATTTCATGAAATTAAAATTAATTATTCATATAGAATATCAATGACTACTTATGCATGTTGATTGCGAGCATTTAGGTTGTAACATGTGAAGATGAATTCCCTGTCGATGGCGATATTTTTCTTTATCAGAACTATACTAGATAGATATTCCCTATTGCATCAGTGTCCTTTTCCAGCCCCTGATAGTACGTCCAAATTTTTTTTATATCAATAATCGCATCAATCTGCGTGGATAAGCGATATGTTACTTACGATGATGAGGCGGTGATGTCATATGCGAGGGGTGTGGCGACGGTGCGGGCCCAGCCGCTGGCGGAGCAGTGGGACCTGTGGGGCCTGCAGGACCAGCGGGACCAGCGGGACCAGCTGGGCCGGGGCCAGGAGCAGGGCCAGGGGCTGGGGCAGGGCCAGGGCCGGAGGCTGGGGGTGGCCCTGCAGCCGCGCCTTGGTCCTTTGTCTCCATCTTTTCTAATTTAATATCTTTGCGTTCTAGTAATAGAGAAAAGTAATTATACATTACTGTATATATAAAAATGTAACATAATATAAATTGAATATAAATTGTTTCCACTTAATTAAATAATTCATCAAATATGGTCCTTAAAACTATTGATATTTTGAAAATTAGTTTGAAAGATGAGACGAGTAAACTATATTACCTTTTTTTGTAGAAGTTCAAGAAAGATTGAGTAAAAAATATTCATCATATTATAATTCTCCACAGCTGAACATAGGCCTTCCCCATAATAGGTTTTGCCAGTAGCTGCCACGCTTGGTGGCGGATTGGCAACAGAACAAATGCCAAAAAACATTAATACTCTTAATTATCATCATAATTTCAGCCATTATCCGTCCACTGCTGGACATAAGCCTCCCCCATAGACTGCTATAAAGAACGGTCCTGAGCTACCTGCATCCATTGGCTCCCTGCAACACAATACAATATAAACATTTTACCTTCACCATCATGCGAGTTTCCACCACTCTCCTCTTTCACAGCAACCTGTTCAGGCTTGTTCAGCTCAGTGGTGACATTGCCATCGGGTTTATTCACTTCTGTGGTGGACACCTTGTCCACCTGAGTGGGTGGATTGGGTCCATTCGCTTCATTCTTGATACTATTTGCTTCCTGCTCCATGGTCTGTAAATTATATAGGACAGTGATAGTATGTTTATAGAAACTAAAAAGTTAGGTTTTTCCTAATAATTATATTGCAGAAAAATAAAATTGACTTTATTTATTGAGTAGTTGCATCACGTAACTTTACAGGTATGATTAAATTTAGTGCATAGGGGGGAAAGGGATTGTTAGTAATGGAAACTGAAAATCCCATTGCTAGCAATATACCCAACCAGGTCGACCTCCTCGCAGTTCCCCCTGAAAACTATCATGGTTAATTCCTGTTGAATTCATCATGATGGGCTAACTGGCCTGTTTTCATTCTTCACTGGTGCCCCGCCAGCGTATCCCGTTAGCGCAGGCGGGGTTACCATACCATTTTCACTCATAAAAAAAAAAAAATTAGTGCATAGACTTATCATATTTTTTTTTATTTATTTATTATTTTTGAGGAAATGTTACAGCTATAATAACTTAATAATTAAATAAATATGGTAACAATAAGATAATTAAAAGCTACTAAATATAGTTAAATTGAATTACAGTCTAGACAATTAATAAGTGTGCAAACACACGCAATATAACCAGTAATATATAATCACATGAATATTTTTTTTTTTTTTTTTTACAACACAGGGGGCAAACGAGCATGCGGCTCACCTGATGGTAAGTGACTACCGCCGCCCATGATCACCCACAACACCAGCGGCATTGCAGGTGTGCTGCCGGCCTTTTAAAAAGGAATATACTCTTTTCTTGAAGGTTATGTTGTCGTATCGGTTCGGAAATACTGCTGCTGGAAGTTGATTCCAAAGAATGGTTGTGCGTGGAAGAAAGTGCCTTGAAAAACGCACGGTGGAAGACCGCCACTCGTCCAGATGATTGGGATGAAACTTTAGTTTGTGGCGGGTTGTACGGTGGTGAAAATCAGCAGCAGGTATCAATCCGAACAATTCCTCAGAACACTCCCCATGATAAATTCGGTAGAAGATGCACAGAGACGCAACATCTCTGCGCAGTTTCAATGGGTCAAGTCGGACAGTAAGGCATTGACTATCGATAATTCGAGCCGCCCGACTTTGAATGCGGTCTAACGGAAGGAGTTGGTACTGTGGCGCTCCTGCCCACAGGTGAGAACAGTATTCCATATGCGGCCTGACTTGGGCTTTATATAATTTCAGGCGGTGTTCTGGCATGAAATATCGTCTCACCCTATTGAGCACTCCTAACTTTTTGGAAGCTATCTTAGCCTTCTCCTCCAGATGACCGCAAAACTGGACGTCGCAAGATATATCAACGCCCAGAATTCCTAGACTTGACTTTTTATCAAGGGAAGTGCCCTGAAAGTGAGGAGATACGACAAACGGCGTCTTTTTTGCGGTAAACGCGCAGACTTGTGTCTTTTTGGGGTTAAATTGGACAAGATTTTGTTCACCCCAGATCGAAACTTGATGGAGTGAAGTTTCGATTTCAGACACAAGTCTATTCCGGCACTCATCGGTATGTGCCCGCGAGATCTTTGCATGACCAGTATATAATGAATCTCCTGTACTGTCGTCCGCATAGCAATGAATATTACTTATCTGTAACATATCATTGATATGCAGAAGAAACAGAGTCGGAGATAGTACACAGCCTTGCGGGACACCAGCATTCAAAGGTTTTAAATCAGAGCATGCACCGTCGACTACGACCTTAATGCTACGTTCCTTGAGAAAACTGGCGACCCAAATGCACAGTCTCGCAGGCAACCCAAATGAAGGTAGCTTTGAAAGCAGCGCTCTATGCCACACCCGATCAAAGGCCTTCGCAATATCCAGACTAACTGCTAAGGCCTCTCCCTTACTCTCGATTGCCACTGCCCATCGGTGTGTTAAGTAAGCTAAAAGATCACCGGCCGAACGTCCCTGTCGAAAGCCATACTGGCGATCACAGATCAGCCGGTGCTCTTCTAGGTACCGGAGCAGTTGACGGTTAATGATGGATTCCATAACCTTCGAGAATAAGGAAGTGATAGCTATGGGCCTATAGTTAGCTGGATCTGAGCGATCTCCCTTTTTAGGGATCGGATGCACCAGAGCAGTCTTCCAAAACTTTGGGACTATGCCCGATGAGTAGCTAAGCCGAAAAAGACGCGTAAGAACCGGAGCCAACTCTGGTGCGCACGTCCTAAGCACAATTGGAGGAATACCATCAGGCCCACTCGACTTATGGATTTCGAGGGAGAAAAGTGCTCTACGCACTGAGCTATGCGTGAATTTAATGTCAGGCATAGAGCTCCTACAACACGTGATGGTCGGTGGTGGTTTCTCCCCGTCATCCAATGTCGAGTTTGACGCAAAGATGGATCCAAGAAGATCGGCCTTTTCTTTAGCGTTCTGGGCCAACGAGTCATCCTCCCTGCGCAAAGGTGGAAAAGATGACTTACAGAAATTCCCTTGTGCAGCTTTGGCAAGAGACCAGAAAGCTCGAGTCCCAGAGGGCAAACTAGCCAGTCTCTTGCCAATTCTACTAATATGCTCTGACTTCGCTGTGGCTATAACTCTTTTGAAAGACCTAGAGGCAGAGTTATACTTCTTTTTAAGAGCACTGGTGTTAGGATCTCGCGACGCCACACCTTTAGCCCAGGTTAGGAAGCACTCCTGTTTCAGACGAGATGCTGTTCTACAGGAGGCTCCATACCAGGGCTGGGATTTCCCGCCGACGGGCACCACAGAGTTAGGAATAAATAATTCCATTCCCTGAAGCACCACATCAGCAATGGAATCGGCAATGGCGTCGGGATCATCCAGTGTGAAGCAAACCTGCCTCCATGGGTAAGATGCGAAAAAAATCCGCATCTCATCCCAATCTGCCGACCTGTAGTGCCAAATGCGACGTCTACCCGTAGAACGAGGTGGAGTCGGACTCGTAAGAGGCACTTCGCTCCGCACCAAACAGTGATCCGACGATCCAAGCGGGGCTTCGACGGAGATCACATAATTGTCTGGGTGGGTGGTCAGCAGAAGGTCCAGCAGTGAAGGTGAATGGTCCAACACATCAGGGATTCGCGTAGGCGAGGAAACAAGCTGTGTCAGACCATAAGCCAAAGCAAAGTCATGAACAGATCTTCCCGCATAGTCGGTTGTACGCGAACCAAGCCATTCGGCATGGTGGGCATTAAAGTCGCCAACAATCACGACTTCAGCGGAAGGAATCTGCTCAAGCAGGGAATCTGTAGCCATTTGGACGTGCTCAATTAGTTGGTCGGTTTCAGTGTTACCGCTGTGGGACCTGTATAGGCACGCATAGATGCGGGGATGGTCATTGCAATCTACGCGCAGCCATAGAATGGACAGGTCCGTACCTTCAAGAGTCCCAAGGCGTCGACAGCAGATATCCTCTCTGACATACGCACATACACCGGCACGCGAAACAAAACAATGTTCAAGCTTATACCCCGGGTAGGTCAGGTATGATGTTTCGTTAGGAGGGGATATCTGTGTCTCCGTGAGGAAGAGCAATGCCGGCCGCGCCGTTTCTAGGTGGTGGTGGACAGCGTTCAGGTTTGAATGAATTCCCCTAATATTACAGAGGCTCACATTGAGCAAAGGGGATGCCGCAGAAGTCTTGCTCTGTTTGCCCTTGGTCCCATAGAGCGGAATTTTGCCCCCCCAGAATACGCAGGGCAGCCCGAGCGTGGTTGCTCGAGGGAGGATTCTCCAGCAACATGGCTGCTGGTACCTCCCTGGGGTACGTTATTTTTTTTTAAATTCCACTGCCATGGTATTGAAAGATGGGGGGACGGAGTTGGGGGAGGATTTTAGGATAAGGAAGGGGATGGGTATAGGATGGGCCTCCGGACTCCCTCACTCACCATACGGAATGTGGTCGCACTAAAAGTGCAGCCACTTAGCGTCGGTATTCTGTGAGGGTGTGGTACTTCCCCGGTCGAGCCGGCCCATTCATGCTGCAATACCATATGGTATTACAGCGTGGCTCTACCACCTAAACCTTTTTTTTTAAAATAACACAATCTACATGAAAAGGTTTTGCTGGAAGAAATCTCTTATTTATTCTCTTATTATCTCTATTTATTAGCTTATTATCTCTAATAAGCTCACCTTTGTACATTATGTTTATAATGAATTGTGATTAACAGTATGTTTTGTGTACAATAAGGAATAAAGAATCACGAGAGTTCAAAGAATATAGATGGCCAGGACATTTTCTATAGCGGTTTATCGGGAATTGGAAAATACTTTAGTGGCAATTTATGGAAAGATTATTTATTTATTACATCAACTGGATGAGCTTTACAGTCTTCCAATACGCTCACCCAGGAAAGCATCAGTACAATAACACATATAAAAAGGCATTATACACATAATTAAAAGGAATTATATTGAAAAGATTTAATTTAACTAGAAATAACATTAAAGCCTAAATGTCTGAACACAAACACTTTGTAGTCATTCGACAAAACTCTAGCAAGTTGGAGGCAAATACGTCCAATTGCGGGTAACGGCTCAAAATGTCACAGAGTAGTTTCAATGCAAGAGATAGGGGAGCTTGTTTAGTTATATGTAATAAATTTTAAGGCAACTCACCTGGTCCTTCTGGTCGGCGAGGGAGAGCGCCGGATGTGTGGGATGTGAGGCTAGCGGCGCTGTGGGCGCGGCGGGCGCGGGCCCGGGGGCGGCGGGGGCGGCGGGGGCGGCGGGCGCGGTGGGCGGGGCCCCGCGCCGCATCTGGTCGAGCGCTCGCTCCACCATGCGCTGGAAGGTGTCCTCGTCCACCGCTGGCTTGCAGTGCTAACATTATTAAAGTTCATGTCACACTAGAGAACTAGCGACACCAAAGTTTCCACTTTCGTAACGTACGCATTACACAAACTAAAAGCAAGTAACATTGCTAGCAATATATCTTGTCCGTACTATTCCCTCTACAACCAGAGGAAGACTTTGTACAAAAGTCGATTGCTTGGGTACCTCTGTCCCATTCGTGTTTCAACCGTGAAGCAGTTGTGTTTGCATGGCTGTGTTTCGGTTTGAAGGGTGAGATATGGCGTGAATTTACTGGGTACAGAGGAATAACACCTGAGTCCTCAGGAATGGCAACGCATGGGGAGTATCATGGGCGAAACAGTATACTCTGTTATGTCCATGGTACTGCTCATGTCTATAGGCGACGGTTACCACTTTCCATCAGGTGGGCCGTCAGCTTGTTTGCCATTCTAAGTTGTATAAAAAAAAACAACTATCATGATTAATGTTTGGTGAATTCGTCACGATGGGCGCAGTGACATTATTTATTTTCACCTATCATCCCTTGCTGGTATGAGGATGAACCTTGACGAAAGATGACCCTTGAACGATGAATATTTTTCGATTATAGCAATACATAACACACAAAAAGTGTAATATAATAAAAAATATTGAATACACTCTGGTATAAACAAAAAATATATAGTCCTTGGAAGCTTCTATACTTCAATAGTTCTTAAAAACTTCTGAAATTCTCAATGGTGCTGACTACTAAAGGAACGAAATGAAAACAGAAATTAGAGTCCAATTTACATTTCCTTACCTTCTTAAGTTCTTCTTGGAACGATTCACTGCTCTCGATAAATTTCCGTTTCTTCGCCTCAAACTTCTCCTCGATTTGCTGCAGTTCATCTTCCAACTTCTTTTGGTGCATTGTCAATGACTGCACCTGCTTCTTAAGAATCTGTAAAGGCAAAGATTGGAGTGTAAAAAAAACTGCCTATAAAAACGAAATACGACATGAAGAAATTATTTTTCTTGGATTGTTAGGATTATGTTAAAAAAAAACCCCTTTCTTGATATAAAAAAGGGATTTTTTTATACAACTTAGAATAGCAAATTCGCTGACGGCCCACCTGATGAAAAGTGGTAACCGTCGCCTATAGACATGAACAGTACCATGGACATAACAGAGTATACTGTTTCGCCCATGATACCCCCCATGCGTTGCCATTCCTGAGGACTCAGGTGTTATTCCTCTGTACCCAGTAAATTCACGCCATATCCCACCCGTCAAACCGAAACACAGCCATGCAAACACAACTGCTTCACGGTAGAAACACGAATGGGACAGAGGTACCCAAGCAATCGACTTTTGTACAAAGTCTCACTCTGGTGAAGGTACTTCGATTACTGAAACTATATTATTATTATTGATACAGAATGTATTAAAAAATAATCAAAGTGGGAAGTAGTGACACTGTTCAGGTCAATCTATATGTGGTCTCTCATTGAATTTGTCATGATGAGCCATTTGAACCAATATCATCCTTTACCTATCCTCAACAGGGCCCCACCAGTGTAAACCAATAATTTGGGAAGGGTTTTCACACTATTACCTTTTTTTTATAATAACACGACATACCACCACAATATCCTGAGGGAAGATGGGGACATACCTATGTACATTCTACTAATAAATATGGTCTACTCTCAACAGTTGGCTGCACTATGCCGGTTCACTAAGTGCTTTCTCACGCTATGTTTAAAGAATTATTTATTATTTATTTAACTCTTTATTGCACCATAAATAAAAATATACAATGAAAAGTGAATAATTCAAGTGAAATACAGTAACATAAATACAAATTGAAATATACACATAAAGGTACAAAAGGCGGTCTTAACGCTAGGGCAATCTCTTACAGACAACCTTCAGTTAAAGGTGAACAGATAGAAAAGGGCAGGCGGCGCAAGAGTGAATTAATAATTTTTCGAATCCGAGGTTACAGAAAAAAAAAATGTTACTTTAAGCAATAAGTTCTTGTGAATGATGATGATGGATTACCTGCATTCTGGCGGTGGTGACGACGGATCTCACGTCTGGTACAACCGTATCTGAAAAGATCTCGTTGATAAGCCGGTGGTTGCGAAGGTACCTCGCGTACGCCACATGCTTCACTGACAGGCCTTCGTCTTGATCTGTAAATATTATTAAATAGATTACAATTTTTGTAAAGCAAAAGACATATTATGGGAGTTTTACCAGCTTTTTTTCATAACATTATATTGTAATAATACACACCTTCCTCATCTTCAGCCGGTTGTATGTCAATTCTTCTGTCCTGCTGCTGCTGTTCCTTCTGCGAGCCGCCTTTCTTGCTAGAACTCTCCTCCTCGAGGTTACCTACTGCTGATGCGATTAACTCGTCAATAATTATGTAATATATTTATACATTTATATATTTATTTATTATTATTCATATAAAATTGCCACATGCAATTATTTTGCAAGGTCATATGTTAAGAAATCTTAGTTAGGATGTATAAATAAATAAATAATTCTGATTTGCCCCAACAGTATTTCATTTTTTTATTATTATACATTAAATACTTTTAAATATGCTTGTATAATTACGTACACTTAAGACAAGGTTAGCAAAAAAAGTTCTAAAATAAAAGTTAAATGTTTAACTTATTTGAGAGACATTTTTAGTTTTTTTATTATTAATTAAATTGTTATCATTATTAATTACATTTATTTTATTAGTTAAAAAAATTTGTTACTCTTCTATGAACTCTGAAAAATATAATTAAAGTGGTAAAAAAACGGTTTCATTTATTAATTTTAAAATAGGGTGTAATTGTGATATAGCATTAAACAATTGTGCAAGATAACTTTTTACTAATATCAGATTCACTTTACAATTACTTGTATTTAATATTATACGAAGCAAGAAAATATCACTGCTCTAGTGACTGTTGCCATTCAGTGGTCTTTTAATTTATTATTAAGTATAAAACTATTAGATATCACATATTTATCGTTTACCATTTACCATTATTGGTAAACGATAAATATGGGGCATATAGTCTTTAGTTCATTATATATCTAAGAGATGGCGCTAGTGAGTCGTTATTACAGCTCTTTACAGAGCCCTTACCTTGATGGGAAAATAGCACAGCGCTTGTGAATACGTGTTATTTTATATTTATGAATGGTATGATAATAGCCCACTGAGGCATTCCCAATGAAACAAAAAAGTGTCTAAAGAGAAACTGGCTTAATCATATGTTTGTACAATCAGTTAAAATTATAAAACGTACTTAAAATATTATTTGGTACCATCAAATAAAGTTTTATTTGCAATTTTTAAATTTTGTTCAAATTCGGTTTAGTATTTAAACACTTTTCACTGATTGTACATACTATTTTACATATGAGTCAACAACCACACAATGCAATTATGATACAAAGGGCCTCCGATACAGTATAAAGGTAACTTTAACGTTTAAGTTACATGCTACTTTATCACAAGATGTACTGTTAATAAATTAGTTAAATTCATATTGTTTAAATTAACTACATAAAAATTGTTACGTGTTAAGTTATGGATATAACCTACCTGTGTAGCTAATTTCATTAAAATCCGTTCAGAAGTTTTAGTTTAAAAGAGTTAAGAAACATTAATCAATGTTTTCACTTTTGTGTTTAAATTATTAAAAATATAAAGAGTAGAGAAAAGATATTTATTGAACGGTTTTTATATCGAGATACATTTCTGTATCAATGTATATTAATTATCCAAAATGTATCGGAAACCCTTTAACTCTGATCCCAATTGGCTGAATTTCAAACAGGCCATGTGGCAATATAATGGCTTAATGTTGCCCGATTCGAAATTACGTCTTGAAATGGCATTATTATACTATCAAATTTAATTACAAATTTAAAAAATTTCACTGATATATTTTATTACTTAAAAATTAATATGAATTTGTAGTATAAATTTTATACTGATTTGTTACATTTTATATGATACTGAATATCATGATGCTGTAAGCTTAGTTTTATTGATATATAACTAATAAAATAAAAATACGTCATTGACATTATTATCATGATTTTACGATAGTGTAATAAGCCTCAAAGGTTGGCCAATGGCTGGTCGTGGCTCAATCTGCCGCATGGCTTGTTGGAACTTCGGGCCGTGTTTGAGCTTCACCGCGAACAATAGAAGCGTCCCTTACCTACAGCCTTATTTTTCGCCGCGATATATGCCAGGTAAGCGGGCGAATTGTGGTACGCCTTTAGAGTCTTTTCGTACTCGGACTATTGGCCGCCCGTGCATATGTACATGAGGTGCATGTGGAGGACAAAATTAGGGTTATTCCGGTGCTAGTTAGTCACAACGGAGTAGAAATGGGACGATATCACGTGTATTTAGAGTTACAACAGTTTTTATAGGGTGGATAAACTGTTTAATATTTATTGGCCAGATATGAAATTGAATAAATAATAGGCCACTTTATGGATTCATGACTCTGCTTATTCTGCTGTGGCGAGTTCCACTAGTAGCAATGTTATTTTGAAATTTCGTTTTTTTTTTTTAGTAAACATAATTTAAAAAAATCTCTGGTATTTTTAGAATTATTATTAAAATTTTACGAAATTTATTTTAAAGTTTTGAAAATGATTGCCTTTTGTCTTGAGAATAATACAAAAAAATATCAAAGCGCGACGACACACAGCGGGCTTGATATCTTCGAAACCCAATCCTTCAAACATTTGTACATTCACCAATGGAATGAATATGACAATGAAATTGTATTCATTAAAAAGCATCTTCCCATTTCTGCAACCGAAATTAGAGACATCCCATAACATGGCCGAGCGAACTGTATCTATGTAATTATGCTACACAGAAAATAGGAATCGCTCGGTCTTATTACGAAATCATCCACAGACATGGATTTAAATAGATGTCGCTGCATAAATAACCGATCCTATTTAGATGGGCTAAATTTATTATGAAAATATTCTAGAATTGTCAGAGTTTACTATAAAAATAGCTTTTGTACCATAACAGTAAGTACCTTAATAGTAAAATGCTTGGTTATTTTATAAATTTAGGGGCCCGCGTCGTCTATCGCAACATGTCTGTGAAATCCTAACATTTTTCTTTTAAATACAAGTGCTAATGGCAGTGAATTAAATTTAAATATTGAATAGTGAATATTCCGTAATGAGTACCAACATATTTCACAATGACACCATAAACCCGCTGTCTTTATGCTGACGTAAAGCGATAACTTAAAATCCATGTATCACTCAAGAAACGTGAACCTGTACTACATATTCTGTATTAATATGTAGGTACAGGTGACATCTTCCACAAAAGAATACCTCATTAGATAATTATGTTACTTTTTTCTAGATTTTACAGCCGATTCATTACACATTTACATTTTAATGGAAATATGTTATTAAATACTGTTTAAAATATAACAAAAAAAGGCACGCGGTGTTGCCAATGTACCTTAGCTTATTATTTTTATATACCACACTACAACACTAAAGCGTGCGGATTACGCGTGCTGACTAATATTTCGATACTAAGCTAGCTTTCAACATAATAATATTTAGATCTAATAATACAACTAACTTTCCGTATAGCGTACACACACAGTAAAACAAGAACAATATGAACAAAACACTTTACGGTTCCTTGAGGAAAACTGATAATTCCGCTACCGCTTACCGCTAGCAGTGAGACAGCGGACTAAACCCCCATGTTAACAAGCTAGTGACGTGAAGGCGTGGTTATACACAAAACTGATCCCCTTTGTGGCATTAGGTTCAAATATACCTCGGGTCTTGTGCGCCAGCCACTGTATGTACGCGGGCGAGGATTGGTACGCTTTCAACATTTCTGTGTACTGCGCCTGGCCCCGAAATAAACTGATTATATTTTATTCAATTAGCCACTCTTTATTTTACACATCTGTATAGATCTAGCAGTTTCTGATATTTTATCTTTATTTAATTAATTACTATTATGTTTATATGAATTTAAAACTTGTATTTAGAGGTAGCACGCATTGGTGACATTCTGGTCAGGGTGACAATTTTGTAATTTTACAATTCTATGAGTTAGCTGCGTAGTCTAAATTTCAAATTGGTAGAACACCCGAATCAATTCAATCATGAATCAACCAATAGTGTAAACATCACGTCACATTTCTAAACGAGGGGGGGGGGGGGTATATTTATAATTGTAATTATCATAACATATCAAATATTACCTTCTCAGCTTCATACTCCTCCACAAACCCAGCTTTCTCCGACTCGGGCAGGTCTCTCCACATGCCACCAATTATCCTTCCGATCTCCCACAGCTTCAGATCTGGATGTGCCGCCTTGACACTGTCCCATACTCGGCGTGAATACCTCATGTACGGCATAAGCGGCTTTTCTGGTGGCTTTGGCGGTTTTGGGAGACCGGCACCCTGAAATTACAGCATTATAAATGTAGACAGACATAATGACAATTCTATATTAATTTTCTATATATCACTTTGTCAGGTGATATAATTAAGGAGTAATTTTATATTCAATAAATAATCCATCGAGGTTTTTCCTAGAGGATTCATTATGGGGTTCTTCAAAAAGGGAATATTATGGTTTCTTCAGGATCGGCAAGGCGCACGTGATATCCCTAGTGCTGTTCACCGTTTACCATTAAACGGGCTGTATGCTTTTTTGCCATCTTTATGGTATAAAAAAATCATACAATATGCTTTTTTTTATTTAAGATACTTTAATGTGATTTTTATTTATACTTTGTATTGTTATACTAGCTATACGCCTCGACTTTGCATATTCACATTAGCTTTAATAGGCAAACTTGTAGTAATGTAGTTGTTAATAATGCGCACTACCAGTCTCATTAAGGCCATGTCCAAAAAGGTCAACCTCCACATGGTCCCCCCTGGAAACCATCGTGCTGAATTTCAAGTAAATTCATCACGATGGGCTAATTGACCTGCTTTTTCATTCTCACCTATCATAAAAATAGGCAAACTTGTAATATTTCGTGTCATATTATTGTAATTTTCATAGGTATCTTTATCCATTTTTTAAAATAATATATAGTCAATGTTACTCGCTGATAATAGAATTTTTTAAATTGATCATTATATATCTGTTACAAACAAACATACAAAAATTAAGTGCCTCCTCTTTATAAGTATAGAATCGTAATAATAAATTCATATAAAAATAATGATATTACAGGACTCTTTTTTATCCCCAGGAAGTCATAAGAGAAGAGAGAGTCAGAAGAGAGAGAGAGATTAACAGAATACCTTACTCCTGTAAGGTGTTCTCTTAATATTATTCTTAATACTTTATCAAGTACCGTATTATTGTAAAAACAGGAAGAAGAACCGGTAGAATCATAAATAAATACTATTAAAGTTCATTCTAAAGGAAAACTCGATATAAAACTCTAGATCAAGCACTCGGCCAGTATGGTAGTAGTAAGCTACATATTCCTCTTATGGACAGAGTTGCGCCCAGTAGTGATTGTTAAGGTAACATAAGGTTATGCAGTCAACTTACCGCACCGGCGCCTTTCCCGATTTTCTGAGGCTGAAATCCCGGATGTGAATGCAACGTAGATATGAAAGGGCTGGTCTTATCATCTTTACCAGCTTGCGAGCCCTGGCCTGCGCCCCCGGAGGCGGCGCGGCGCGCGCCCTCTGCACCGAAACGTGGCTGCTGTTGGCTCGGGGGCTGCCACCCCCCGTACCCCCCGGGGTGCCCCATCGGGGGACCACCTTGGTATTGCGGGTGGTACTGGTATTGGTTATGGTGCGGCGGTGCATTCATACCGCCTTCAAGCCAAGCAGCGGGCGGCAATACAATGAAAGAAAAAAAAACAAAAAGCATAAGGGAAAGGACAGGAGGGGGCGTGGCAAATAAAAATAGAATCAAATATGCACTAGGTAACTATAAAATCAACGGAATGTTAAATTGATTAGTTAGAGCGAGCATCAGTACTAGCATATAGAAGAATTTAGTAGGCTTTAATAAGGCAAACAGTGGATTGGTAGAAAAACAAAGAAAGTAAAAATATATGATGGCTTGTGATGTGGAAACGAAATTATGTGCGATTACAAATTAAAATTCCCCACAGAGTACCTAGATCCAGATGAATGTGTGAGAACGATAAAATTTTGAAAAAATAAAACAAATATAAAATAATAACAATACATATATATTTATTATATTTATATAATCAGATTGTCGTATTACCTTTCATCATACCGAAACTCATGGGGGGCCCAGCAATCATGTAGTCTGTTTCAACATAACAAAACATGAAACAAAACCAACATAAGAGAACAATGTAAGTTAAAATGGTGTGGAAAATTCAAAATTAACGGAAATCAAAGTCTGTTACTGAATGCAAAAACTTCGAAAAAAGCATAGAATTGGAGCCATGCTTCACAAGATCAAGAGCAGTTAGATACCAGCAATACCAAGATTATATCTCAGCCCTGCTAAGCTTGCAATGGCATCAACTGGGCAATATTTTATGTTAAATAGTTAGTTTTCAACAATAAACATTAAATCATAGACAATTTGTGTGTAATGTTTTGGTAAAAACTATTTAAATAACACTGGCAAGTTATAATCAATAGACTCCTTATAATATCTATGCTTACGTCTATACTCTACAGCTCTATGTCTAAACGAATGCAACTAATTGTTTCTAAGTGATAAAGTTAGAAGGAATACAAACGCGGATTGTTTTGTGGACTTGGCATCGACATTGATGTGTTTTGTTTGTAACTGCTCGGTGTAGCCATAACCAGCTTCGTTATCTGAAATTAAAATTATTACTTATTTATATTAAGTAGTATTTTTGTAGATTATAATAATAACATTAATTTCGTATTAATTTTAAAATAACTTCTACAAAGCAATTTCATCCTTCTAGACAAGAGTGCAAAGATATTTATCAATAAAATTGTTATTGCTAATGAGTAGGGCAACATACAGCAATACCTATATAATAGATATTGTAAGTACAATATCCATATATTGACTCAATAATGAATATATTAATTATTGGTTATCTAATATATAATATCGATAAATGTGTTTAATAGAAATGAACGTAGATATCCGACTGGTTAGGGGCGATATTGAAATGGAAGTTGATCTTTTTTCCATCATTAATGTCTACAGGAACCCAATGAGTCCATGAGATACAATGAGATGGTGATGTGTAATGTCTAGTTCTAGGGGAAAAGGGATTGTTAGTAATGGGCTGCCGACCCACTTCTAGTAATACACCCTATTAGGTTGACCTCCATGTGGTTCCACCTAGAAACCATCATAATTAATTCTAGCGGAATTTGTCAGGATGGGCCAACTGATCTGCTGTCATTGTCACTTATGATACCTCACTGGTGTTCCACTAGCATATACCGATAGGGCAAGAAGGGACTACCATTCCATTATGATCCATTAAAAACGTTTTTGTTCTTTCTTTGTGAAAGTTGACCTAAACAGTTCTATCTATAGATTCATTGCACAATTTTTTAGGACAGGGTATATTGATTAACTGGCACAAAAAGTAGCCTACATCTTTCTATATTGTAAATACTATATTTTTCTCTTGGAGGTACAAAATAGACTCACTTTCACATTTATAATACAATGTGAATTATTATTCAAGTCTCCTATGTTTTAACCCGTGGGGCAATTGGCTTTAAGCTAGCTCGCTACATCCACTGCATGAGCGATTTTAAAATTACCAAATTTCTATGTTATGGATAAATGGGTTTATTACTTACATAAATTAATGACCTATCAAAATTTAATGAAAACAACTCTGCAAATTCAAGTTATGCAACAGACGCTGTTGCATTAGTGCCCCCAGTGCCACATTTTTGTTTGGTAAAGCATATGATGCATAAACAATCAAGGGGTTAAGTTACGATACAATGCCTGCCATGACTAAAATTTTATATAATTTTATTCAAATCCATTAAGTACTTTTTATGTGAAAAAGTAACAAACAACCATGCTTTCAAATTAACATATTTGTAACAGTGCCTATTATAGTAAGATTTAACATGCAATATTATTTATATTATTCAATGGTTGAAATCAATATAATAACATCTTTTTATTCATTTATTTCACACTTCACTGCAGCTAATACATAAAAATACACAATAACAATTAGAAAATTTAATTAAAATACATAAGGACAGAGATAGAGTTAGACATTTTAAGGAGGCATTCTACAAGTGGATACATAATGAAGTTTATAAGAAAGGAATTCTAGAAGGAATTTTTTAAGGATAAAATTGGCAACTCTTTTTAAATTTCTGAATATCAAAATACTATTGCGCAGTATTATTATCTTAAATTAACGTAAAATACATAAGTAGTGCTAGATATATTCGGTCATTTAAATGTGTATGGCGTCACTAACATGCAAATGGTAATTGAAACATCTATTCCATAGTCGATCATAAATTGCAAAAACAAGAACAAAACTGTTTAATATAACCTTTGATAAAAATCACAATAAACAAGACTTCAGTACGATTATATTCACAATTAAATAAAATGTAGGTAAACATTAATCATTTAAAGTAAGGGAAATGGGAGTAATATGCAGATATACTAATTCAGTACCGGTGGACAAAACAGGTAGTTATAGAACATTAAACATAAATTTTGGAAATTGGACTTACCTATAATAAATAAATCAATTAATAGTCGATTTGAATTAATACAGATTCATTGAAATAATAGGAAGTTATTGAAAACGTCACGCATCACTTTCGAGGCGACGCCATTTCTGCCGACATTTTGTTGTTTGACTGCTGTCAATGTTCGTTTGGATTTTGACATTGACCATTTGTCATTATCAGTGACAGTGGACTGTGGAAAAATAACTGAAAATGAAACACTACCTCTTTTTAGATAGAAAAAAAGCGCGGGAAATCTCGAATAGAGTTACGATCTCGAATATATATTTGTATTCTTAGTCTTCATTCTTTCTTCACTGGTTATAGCTAATACTTCGTTTTGCTTTTCTATCACTACTAAAATTCTTTTAATACGTGAGGGATTATAAAACCTGGTTAAAAAATAAACTAGGAAAAAACCACAAAATTGCACATTTTCAGGTAATTACGCTATAAATATTTATCACTTTGAACGCAATATTTTAGAAATATCAGAAATATTTTCTACACATAGTGGTAGAAAAACTCGTATATTATTCAATCCAAATACTGAATATCCATAAAATGAAATTCTAATAAAGACATTAATATTTGTTACAAGTATTTTTGCAATTTCAACTCCATATAAATTCAATCACTAGTGAAACGATTTTCATCTCACTTTTGTGATTGCTTTTTCTATCTATCAATATATCCATGAGTACTGGAGAGTGGGGGAAAAGGGATTGTTAGTAATGGAGACTGAGAATCCCATTGCTAGCAATATACCCAACCAGGTCGACCTCCTCGCGGTTCCCCCTGGAAACTATCGTGGTTAATTCCTGATGAATTCATCATGATGGGCTAACTGGCCTGTTTTCATTCTCATCTATCACCCTTCACTGGTGCTCCGCCAGCGTATCCCGTTAACGCAGGCGGGGTTACAATACCATTTTGAAACATGAAATGGTAACCTGTCCTGTGCTATTGATATACGTTCGTGGACACCAGTGAGAGATCATCGGTAAGAATGAAAGCAGGTCAGCTAGTTCATTGTGACGAATTTCATTAATTACAATGGTTTCCAGAGGAAACAGCGTGTATGTTGACTCGATAGGATATATTATTATACTAACGTTCCCCTCCTCTTTAAGTATGTTATGCTCCATTCTCAGTCTTTGCAAGTGGTGAAGCTTCATCTTTATAATTGTAGCCAACATATTTGTCATTATTCATTCTTACTTTTAAATATCACTTATGATTTCAACGTTACTGTATATCACTAAAAGGTGCAATTAGTAATGCAATCACATCGCGCACGGAAGTTGGCACGTGTCACCCGCGCCATGCCAGCTGACCGCATCACGCGCTGTTGCTATCAAAATGTCGTACTCTATATCTCGATTGCTGCATGACCGAGTAACATTTCACTTGAGCGAACTGAATTAAACATTGGCTGTGGGTACTTGGAGTTATATTGTCTGATACACAGATTCGATTCGACAGCTAACAGAAATGTACTATTAAATTAGTACTTGTATTACCATAAAATATGCATGTATAAACACGAATACCGTGTGGTCCCAGCATAGAACAGACCATCCCTTTCTTTCCCGTGGGTGTCGTAAGAGGCGAGACATGCCAAGCGTGGCAACTACTGACAAAACCCTCCAAGGATATAGAATACCTACCTGTCTATCTTTAGGCGAGAGAATCTGGATATTGATGTTACTAACTTTAGTCTTTAAAACTGAATTAAAAACATGCTATATTGACAATTGATGATCATGACATATTCACAAGTGGTATCGAACTGTGTATTCTTTCTTGTGTACAATAGACTTTTGGGAAAAAAGAAATACTCTGTCAGGTCGACCTCCACGCGGTCCCTCCTGGTGTCCATAATGTCGACTCAATGAAACGAAATAACTACGATTCATCACATTGAGCCGACTGATCTGCATTTATCCTTATTAATCATCAGTGAGGATTGATATCTTTTACTGGTAGCGGGTATATTGATCACGCAGGTTGAGATACTATTCATATTTAAAAAAATGTTCTCTCCTAGAAGGAGAAGAGGATCTTGTATTAGGTCGACTCTCATGCAGTGTTCTTTGGCAACTATCCCTATTATGAACAACGAACCTGACATTTATCCTCCGTTTGTGTCCCTTTACTGTTTTCCATTAGCACAAGTGGATACCCTATTCTAAATTCGTAAAAAAAGTCTTGATTGAACGTTTTATGTTTATTAATGTCAGTCGTTTCACGTATTCTTTAAGAAACTTTTAAGAAACTTCGTACCGTGAAAAGGATTTTTGGATAAAGAGTGGGTAGAAAAAAAAAACTTTTTGACTCGGAAGCGGAGATATGACAGAGCTACATCACTACTCGTGACCAGCTGCATTGTTCGTTAGTGGAAACATTGAAATAATTAAAATAAATTATTGTAGTTTTTTTTTGTATGCAACTTAGAATGGCAAACAAATTGACGGTCCACCTGATGGAAAGTGGTAACCGTCGTCTATAGACATAAGCAGTACCATGGACATAACAGAGTATACTGTTTTGCCCATGATACCCCCATGCATTGCCGTTCCTAAGGACTCAGGTGTTATTTCTTTGTACTCTGTAAATTCTCTGCTATATCCCACCCTTCAAACTGAAACACAGCCATGCAAACACAACTGCTTCACGGTAGAAACACGAATGTGACGAATGTGTCCAAGCAAACGTCTTTTGTACAGAGTCTCCCTCTGATACGTCGTATATTGGTATCTGGTACGTCGTTTATTATGCTCGGACTTAACGGACCGCGTTAATTTCGGACTCATATAAAACATTAATGTTCCGACGTACTTCAACCTGCTGATCCTTTGACAAAATAATTTTCAATTTTACAGGTAGAATATTTCTTTAAATATTATTTTAATACTTTATTCTCCTATGCAGTTACTCGTAAATGTTCTGGGAAACACAGTATGGTATCCTTTTCACGGTGTCATGACGTTGTGGTTTTTCATTGGTCATGGTGGTTTAAGTTTTAAGACTTTGTTATTTAGCTACCAACCAGAACAGTAATATGATAAGTACGAGCAAGTCCATAATAGAAATTTAATAGAATACATTTAATATAGGTACATTCTACAAAAAAATAAAATTATATATGTGTAAATTTATAAAGATGTTTGAATGTTTGTTGTTTATGACAAAACAAGCTGAGGGCCCGCCTAATGGTAAGTGGTAACCGTCGCCTATAGACATAAACAACACCATGAACATAATAGTGGACGAAACAGTATACTCTGTTATGTCCAAGGTAGCTCATGTCTATAGGCGACGGTTATCACTTTCTATCAGGTGGGCCGTCAGCTTGTTTGCCGTTCTAAGTTGCATAAAAAAAAATTATCGTCATCATTGTCATGATAGCATCCAATAATTAATATTAAAATATATCAAATTCACTATATCAATTAATACTACTACCGCATCCTAGCACTCTAGCACTTCTCTTAGGTTCACTGGGAAGGAATACTTTTAGATCAAGTCATCCTTGTACACATGTTCTGTTCTAAAGAAAAAAAAAAAACATAATTATCAGAAGATAACGCAGGAGAAAGCGCAGATGTGATTTAGTTTTATATTTTTTTTACTTTTATATAACTACGGAGATTGCCATTCTTAGAAAGTAAATATTCTTAATCTATGTCCTTCTAAGAAACGTTTCTATCTGACAGATAATATAATTGTTCTTGATTCACAATTGTGTCGCAACGGTCGTTAGCATTTATAAATATAAATAGAGAATATTTACATCAAATCTGGCTGTTTATTAGGCTGGATATCAACGTCGATGACGCAGTATTTTTGAATGAATACGCAACATCTCGACCCATTTTGGTATCGATGACAGTTTGACTGTCGCCTTGAAATGGGGAAAATAGGGGGAAATAGATTCCATGACCTCAGAAATTATTAGTGGCAATTGACTAGACAGTTATATTGTCTGAAGAAACTATGAGCCGAATACATATGTGTTTCTGCTGCGATGCAGCTTTGCTTGTACAGCTGTAAAAGAAGGTAAGACTTTTTTTGTATTGTATCAGCTGTTAACTGCTCACTGCTGAACATAGAAAGAAAGAAAGAAATAATTTAATCGAAGAAGCATGCGGCCCATACAGTAGCGCACAAAACAAGAACCATAGCCTCCCCCATAAGGGGGATTGCGCAAGTAGTTACCATGCTTGGCAGGTGGATTGGCAATCGCAGTATGGCTTTTGGTGATATTTTAAGAATGATATTTCACGAATGATATGTCAATCCTCGATCGTAAGCTCCCTTAGTCCCCTCTTACTACATCCACGGGAAAGGACAGAGTGGCCTATTCTGTGCTGGGGTCTACACAGCTACGGAATAGGTGCCAGAAGAGACAAAATATGAGGATTTCCATGGGCTTTACAATGTATTTTGTGAGAGAGTGTTATGTCTATAGGCGACAGTTAACATTTATTATCAGGTTGGCTGTTAGCTCTGCTATTATAATTATCAATCCACTGCTGAATACAAGCTTCCCCTTTGGGGGGGTTTTGCCAGTAGTTGCCACGCTTGGCCGGCGGGTTTTTTTATGCAACTTAGAATAGCAAACAAGCTGACGGCCCACCTGATGGAAAGTGGTAAACCACACAGTCGTAATTTATATTCCATATTATACGTGTACGCTGTGTGTGCCTCGGCATACAATGGGTCACCCCTTCCTTTCCCGTGGGGTAAAAATGGTATGGTAACCCCGCCTGCGTTAACGGGATACGCTGGCGGAGCACCAGTAAAGGGTGATAGATGAGAATAAAAACAGGCTAATTAGCCCATCATGATGAATTCATGAAGAATTAACCATGATAGTTTCTAGGGGGAACCGCGAGGAGATTGACCTGGTTGGGTATATTGCTAGCAATGGGATTCCCAGTCTCCATTACTAACAATCCCTTTCCCCCCACCGTCCGGTGTTAAGTCCGCCAAATGTACATAGAATTTTACTATGCATTAAAGTTGAAATAAATAAATAAATTACTATAAGGTAAGGAGTAGGATTAAATTTCTGTTGTTTGCTTCAATTTAGCCACTGTGTCAGTAGAGCGAACAAGTGAAAATGTCCTCGATAATAACTGTACGCCGGCTGTCCATCATAATAATGAACAATAACAGGAAACACGATTCCCGTATGAATCATTACTGTAGTCTGCATTATCAACGGTATTATTGTTATTTCTCCACGTGGCGTATTCATGATTGTACACAGTATTGGGGACCCATAATCATTTTATAAGGTTTTTTGTTTTGCGTAAAAAAACTAAATGATAACTACATCTGTACTATTGGTTTATGCTGACGGGTTGCTAGTGAGGGAATTTAGGAGATAATGAATTTAGTTGGCCCATCGTGATAAATTACAAGGAATTAAAAATTAACCGAGACGGTTTCCAAAGGGATCGCACGGAAGTCGAGCTGATATGGTATATTGCGAGCAATGGAGCTGTTAGTCCTCGTTATTGATAATTTCCTTCCCCCATTGGTCAGCAATTCAAGGACTACATTATTTTTTGGATTCAAAAAGTATTTTTTATGTATGATAATATAATGGTAACCCCGCCTGCGCTAACGGTATACGACTTCGAAGTACCAGTAAGGAATGCTAGGTGAGAATGAAAAGGCAAGGCAGTCTATCGTGATGAATACACCTGGATTTCAGCATGATCGTATCCTGGGAGGACCATGTAGAGATCGAACTGACAGGTACATTGCTAGCAATGGTACTGATGACTACTATTACCAATATCTCCCCAATGAATTAGGGGGTTAGTAACATTCTAGGATACAACTAGTAACGTTCACTTTTGTTTCCTCTTGCCTACTCGCGTTAGTGTTTATAATATTAGTGGGTACTCTTAAAGTGGCTAAAATACCTACTTGAAGTGTAAAGAATGCATTTGTATTATATTGTAAAATCTTTACTGTACATAATTCATATTGAATACATTAAATGATTTAATATACAATGGCGGACTTATTCCATAAAGGGATCTCTTACAGTCAACTTTTGAGAAGCTGAAAGAAAACTGTAGAATGTATAAGGATAATAACCGTACAATTAAAGATAAACTAAATAATAGCCAGTAAAAAAATGAATATATAATACAATATTGCTGTATTGTTTTCTATTTTATTATGAAAACGATTAAATTATGGAACATTGTAGTGCAGCCAAAGTTAATTAAAAACACGCCTTAGGTAGGTACAACGTGTCTAATCAATGTGAGAGACCTAATGATTCGTAATTGCTACGGACAGATAATGATTAAGTTGTAATTAAAAAGGAAATACGCAGACAAACGCAGTAGGACGAACCTCCACTAGACTTTAAACGCATTGCAGGATTAAGTGGATGCAAGTGGCTCAGGACAGTTCCTTATAGCAGTCTATGGGGGAGGACTGTTCAGCAGTGGAAAGATAACAGCTGAGATGATTTTTTTTATGCAACTTAGAATGGCAAACAAGTTGATGGCCCACTTGATTGAAAGTGGTAACCGTCGCCTATAGTCATGAGCAGTACCGTGGACATAACAGAGTGTACTTCGCCCATGATACCCCTCATGCGTTGCCATTCCTGAGGACTTAGGTGGTATTCCTTTGTACCCTGTACTGCCATATCGCATCCTTCAAACCGAAACACAGCCATGTAAACATATGTATTTGCTTCATGGTAGAAATTCGAATGGGACAGAGGTGTCCAACCAAATGAATTTTGTATAAAGTCTCCCTCTGGTAAATGATGATGATGATGTGAATGCTTTATATATAACTAACTGTATCCTACGGTTTCACTCGTATAAATCAATGTACATATACATTATCCTATATGCTAAGTTAACCTATCCGTGTATCAAATTTCATTCAGTTGAAATTTCATTCAATTACGTTCAATAATTTTTGAATCTGAAAGAGTAACAAACATCCATACATTCTCACAAACGTTCACATGTATAATAGTAGTGGGATTTATAAAAATACTTGGGTAAAAAACTATATTAATTGTAGAGGCAACAAAGAAAGTGTAATGCGCCAATATATCAAAGAAAAAATATTACTTTACACTACAGAGATAAGCCTAATTTCACATGTGTTTTTTATTTCCTTGAAATCACAGTCCTAAAAACATTTGGCACGCCACAATGTTTACCGAGCGAACGTTACTATTGCCCACTCCGTTGTTTTCGTATGCAAGGCATTAATCTAAAAATAATTCATCGTGCTCACAACAACACATATGGTTAGTTTGTTGACGTCGCCCGGTACGGTCGCGTGTGTTTAACAAATTTAATAAAATGCTGGTGAAACTCGCCTTTCCTATACAGCCCGCGTCTTATCCAGACGTAGACATGTTGAGGTGTAAGGAACTCAATAATTATGAAACAGAATGCGTGGTGTCCCGGCGTCCGAAAAGGAGCCTGCCTCCGCTCCCCGAGGACAAGGAATGCAGCAATATTGAGCTGAGGAAGTGTAACAAGAAACGTAGAAGCAGGAGGCGGTGTATGAGTCTACCAGCTCTCCCAGAGCATGACGAGTCTTGAAAACATTTGTGTTCGAGTGACGTATTTATGTACTTGTTGCAACTGCGTGTGCATTTCTCGTCGAAGAAAAATATCCATGTCAAGTTTGGTGATTGTAAAGTCGAGAATGTTTAGAAATTTTGTCCTTCAATTTTGTTATGTGTATCTACAATATCTAGTACTATATGATGCCTACTTTGATTTCAGTAGGTCGTGCGGAAATAAAAATTGTGACCTTATAACAGAATGTTATGTAAATATCACTTCATATTTAGATATTAGAATGCATCACAGAACGAGTGATGTAAGTAGGTAGTGATTATAGAATGATAAATATTAATACATTCAATTCGAGTAAGTTTTTTTTTATAGTTGTATCAAATTACTTTAATCGTAATGAGTGGCAAGAGCTCCACAGAGAAGAGCGCAGCTCTTAAATGGGATAGATAGATAGATAGTTGTATCACAATGTAAGGAACAACCAGTGATTTAACCCTTTGACATGTCCCGAACAGTGATATGATAATTCGTGATATATTACTCTCTACATAGACGTGTCCATTGGACGAGTGCTGAGAGTTCTTTAGAATGTGGCTATATTAAGTATGAAGGATCTCTGTCTACCGCTTAGGGAAAGAGACGTGTGCATATAAGTAAGAAATTATATAAAATTTTGATTAATACTAGTCACATTTACCAATAATTTTAAGGGTACAAGTGGCAATTAAATTTACGTAATTTTAATTCGGTACATAGTTTTTACATAAATACCTATTTTGTGTTATCGAATTATTAAATATGCACATGGTAGATTAGTGTCATTAACATAATAATCTGTAGGTATAATTAATATATTATATTTTCGTCGAATAATACCTTGATAATTATGTAATGATACGATCAATAAATTGAATGTTAGACTGCCCCTAATAATAAAATATTTATTATTATTATGTACACATCTATTTTATTATCTGATATATGAATTAGATTATTTTATAATTAATTTTATAATATTATTTAAGGTAATTATTGTATTATAATTGGCGACTTTTCTATTATTTTAATATAGGTAACCACAGTGTCTGCTATAGGTATATTCTCATTATTTATAATTAATATCCTAACAATCCTAAAATGTAGCGCGAAAATTTTAGCATTTAATGTACAAAACTAAGGAACTAAACGACTGCCAGGTTTACATATCAATGTATAACTCAAACTACACAGCACAGAAATATGTAATTTTGCACAAAAGTTTTCTACGTAATGTAGTCATTTATATAAGCGTATTAAGAGGAAACCAGGGTGGGCCACCCACCCATCCCAGAATCGTCTGGTGCCCACCCGGGATGCAAGCAAAGCTTCGTAAAATCATGTCTGAGAGTACGTATTTGTCAAGGCAATCTTAAATACGCCAAAAGTTATACAAAGAAAAGGAGAAATCTCACAGGAATAGTTTTCAAGCAAAACCTG